ATAAATTTTTATCTTATAAAGATATAATAATAAATTTAATAGATTTTAAAGAAATAACTTAATATAGTTTCGATTTTATAATTTATTAAATTTTTATATTATTTCTAGCGATAGCTTATATTAATATCGCGATATTTCTATATTTAATAAAAATTACTTTTTTTTATAAAAGATAAACTACTACTTCTTTTAAATTAAATATATTTATTTCTATTAGAAGATTTATTTTAAAATTATTTATAATATATATATCTTAAATAAACTTAATTATAATAAACTTTTTTTTTAAAATTTTATCTTTTATAAAAAAAGAAAAAATAATTTATTTATTAATAAAATATTAATTTAAAATAATTTTATATAAGATAACTAATATTATATACTTCTTAATAGAGAATAAAGATATTAATCTCTTTAAGAAAACTCGATTTTCTATATTTATTAAATATTTGATATCTAGATATTTTAATTTTAATAAAGCTTTTAAAGAAAGATTAAATAGTTTAATAAAATAATACTAAAATTAAAAGATTATTTTATTATTTAAATTTATAGATATTACGAACTCGATTAACTCGAATTTCTTAGAAATAAATATCTTTATTAATAATATTTATTTAAAGATTTATATTAATTTCTCTAATAGTAAGTCGAGTATAGAATTCTTCTCTCTAAGAATCTTTTTAATATTTTTTAAAGAGATTATTTAATAATAAGATTTCTTTTTAAAATAAATATATAACTAATTATTAGATAAAAACTTTTTTTAATATTTTTAATAAATTAGTAAATCTTTTATTTTATTTATAATAATATAATAAATAATTAAAATAAACTCGACGTTAACTTTCTTATTCTTATAATTAAATTTCTTATCTTCTAAAGTTTTATTCTTATATATATTATAAAAATAATTATTATTATTTATATAATATATCGAAGAATTCTATAAATATATAAAATTATAGTTTTTATAATAATCTTTAAAAATAAAGCTCTTATTTCTAAAATCGTAAAAATATACTTTCTATAGAGATTAAGATATAAATATTCTTATAATTTCTTAATTATTATATTTTTAATTATCGCTATATTATCTAATTAAATAAAATAAATATTTATTATAATTTTAATAATTTATTTAATTTAAATATTATAATTAATTTAATTAAATATTTTTAATTATAATTATAAATAACTACTTAAAAGTTAATAAAGCGTTTTTTAAAGCTTAATTTCTTAAAATTATAATTAAAATTTAAATCTAAATCTAAGTCTAAAGCGAAGTCTATAGAAATTATTATTTAAATAATTATATATAAGAAAATACTTAATTATCTTAATTCTATTAATAAAATATATAAGTTTAAAAAGTATAAGAGAAATATATAAGAAAATTCGATTATTATTAATATTTATAATTTAAATATAACGATTTTAATTAATAAAAATAAGTATTATATATTTATAGATCTATTATAAAAGAATAAGAAGAAAGAAATAATTGCTTTTAAGCTTTAAAAAACTATTTTATTATTCTCTAGATAAAGATTTATTTTTATTAAATTATTCTTTATAATCTTAATTTCTATCTCTCTCTTATTCTAAATTTTAAACTTTTTTTATATATTTTTATACTATAATTTTTTTTACTAATTAAAATAATATTATAACTTTTTTTTATTATTAAATTTTTTTTATAAATTTATAAAGTATAATTTAGAAAGTTAAAGAAGATATAGTAATTTATAATTTAATTTTTAAATAATTTTACACTTAAATAATTTAAACGTATTTTTTAAAAATTTCTATTTATATAATATATTTAAAAATACTCTATATATAGTTTATAGAATTATATCTACTATTAATATTATTAAGAGTATAAACTTATCTTATAAATTAATCTAGAGCTAAAAATATAAATATTTTAAAATAATTTTATAATTAGATAAGCGTTCTTCTTAATTCTATTTAAAATTATATTTTTATATTTTTCTCGTCTTAAAATAAAGTATTTAATTATTAAAATAAAATAGCTTTTCGAAAATAAGTTAAAAGATTTATATATATAATATTCTCTTCTTTAATTATAATATAATCTTTTATATATTAATAAAAAAAAATACTTCTTAATATATAATTTCTTTATTATTAAAAATAATATTATTAATATTATATAATTCTTTAAAATCTAAATAAAAGAATCTTAGATTAAAGATATAAAAATTATTATTAAATCTCTTCGAAGTAGCTTACTTAAAAGATTTTAAAAAACTTTATAAATCTATTAAATCTATAATATTAAAAGAAGATTATAAATTACTTAAAGTTATTTATATAATCTATAATATAATCTATTATATTATTAAATTTACTTTTATAAATAAAGATAATATTTATTAAAAACTCTCTTAATTTTATAAAAATTAATTTTTATTAAAATTAAATTTTAAAATAATATTTTCTAAATTAAAAGCTTCTAATTAATTAAAAATCGATTTATTAAATCTATTATTAAAAAAATCCTATATTTAGAAAATTTTAATATTCTTTATTATTATTTTTCGATATTTTATTAAATATAATTTAATTTAATAGAAAGAGAATTTTATTTACTAAATTTATAGTTATATAGAAATTCTAGAAATTTAATATATTTAATCTTTTTAAAGCTTAATTTATTTTTAATATAAAATTTAAAAAAAATAAAAATAAAAATAAAGATTAAGATTAATAAAAAGATTAAATTTTTTATATAAATATTATAAATAATAATAAAAAAAATTAATAAGTCTTTTTTCTTTATCTTTATTAAGCTTAAAAAAAAAGTTCTATTATTAAGATAAGAAGATTAAATTATTTTAAAAAAAGAAGAAGATAATAACTCTAAAAAGATATTTATATAATCTCTTAAATTAAACCTTAAATATTTAAAAATAAAGCTATTTTTAAACTTAAGTCGAGCTATTTTAACTTACTAGATAAGAAAGTAATTACTATTTATATAATAATAAATTTTATATATAAAGATAATAATTACTCTTATTAGAATACTTATAAATTTAAAATTATAATTTTAAAAAGAGAATAAATAAGAAGTTTTTCTAATCGAGTAATTTTCGAAGAAGAAATCGAGTTAATACTCTAAAATCGATTTTATTAAATATATAAACTTTAATTACGTAGAATATTAATAGATAAATTATAAATCTATATAATCGATTTAATAATCCAATAATAATTCTTATTAAAAATTTACTTATAGAGTTTAGATTTTTTTATTAAAAAAATTTAAAATTAAAAGATAAGTAAAATCGTTAAATTTAATAGAATAGATTTTCTAACTTTATTAATTATAAATAATTATACTCTATTATAAAAAGATATAGAAAGAATATAAAAAGAAAGATTTATTAAGAAGAAAGAAAAGTATTAAAAATAAGAGATAAATTTTCTTTAAGAGAAGAAAAGTTATTTAAAAAGATAGGGAAATTAAGTAGCTCTTATAGCGATTCTTTCTTTTAAGAAAGATTCTTTTTTTTAAAAAAGTAATAGAAGTAAAACTTTTTAATATAAAAATAGTATCTTTAATACGAAAAATAATAAGAATAGTAATTAAAGAATATAGAAAAGTTATATATTATTATTAATTATTAAAGATACTATATAAAAAGTATATATATATTTCTAAAAAGAAGTTTTATAAAGAAGGAAAAGATAATTCTTAATTTTAATTATAATTAATTAATTAATTGATTAAGCTAAAGCTATAAACGTTCTTAAAGAAAGAAAAGAAAGTGATATATCAAGTGACGCTAGTAAGGTTTCTCGAAGAAAGGAAAGGAAGTAATAGTTCTTACGCTATGTCGGGAACGTAATAAATAACCTATATATTCTTATATATCTTCTCTTTATAAAATAATTAAAATGCTTAATTCAGGCCTTATATAGATTATCGTTTACGTATTCGATATTATTAATATTCTATAAAGTATCGAGATTAAGACTCTCTTAAAATTAATTATCTAGATATTATTTCTTAGTTAAAATTAATATCGAGAAAAGCGTATAATCTAAGCTACTAATATACTTAATTAATATAATATACTCTCTATTATTTATATTCGTTTAATAAAATAGAAATTCTCTTTCTTTTATAATAATCTATTAACTCTTATCTATTTTAATTTAAAATTTAATCTTATTAAAATTATAGATATTCTCTATTTATACTTTAAACTCTTAATAAATACTTTAAAAACGTTAAAATTAGTTCTAAATAGCTTCTAATTTATATATATTCTTTCATTAAGCTATAAGAGACTTTTATTTATATATCTTATATTAAGAATTATACTTTAAAAATTATATAGATTAATAATTATCTACGTATTTAGATAGATTAAAGTACTCGCGAAGAATAAAATTTATAACTCTTTTAAATATCGAACGACTATAAGATATTTTTAATTTATCGAGTTATTATATATATTAATAAAGAGTCTATTTTTTTTTTTTAGTTTTTTGGATATATAATCTATAGGCGAAGTAACGTTATATTTTATTTCGAGAATAATAGTAATTAAAGTCTTCTAAATATTTTTCTAATTATAACGATATTATAAGTTAGATATAATTGTAGTTATAATAGATAGATAGGGAATAAAAAATTTAAATTTTTAAAAAAATGGTATTGAGGGAGCCTTAGGGTGGGGGGGGCCCCAAAAAAAATAAAAATTTTCCCCAAAAAAAAAAATTTTTTAATAAATTTTAGTGTTCATTCACACACAAATTGATGCTTAACCTTAAAAATTTCACCTTATCGATAAGCTTTGGAGGCTTTGCCTCGGCAAGAATACTCATAGCATCATCCCACTTCTATGATACATCCCCTACTCTGTACCCAACCCTTTCATGTTCTCTTCGAACTGATCAAATTCAGCCAAAATCCTCGTATATATCTCATCGCCTCCAGCTACGGGTCAGCATTCTGGACCATGCCTCACCAAAATCCCCCAAAGGTCGTCCTTTTCGATATTGGCGGTGTTTGTGTACGCTCATAATCATCACTTCCGCTAGAGGACAGCTTCTCTGATTCTAATCCATTTTCCAGGTACTCTCTCCTTTCCAAGGCATAGTCGACTTCGAACGTAAGAACGGTTTGCCAGCGGATTGGGTCAACTACGCAATTCGAGTACGTACATTCCTGAGATCATCTTTCCTGTTTGGTATTGGAATTGAGTCATAATAAATTATGTTTCGGGAGCGAGAGGACCTCTCTACTTCCGGGACCGGTCTTGCAAATCCATCTTCCACCCCGAACGAGCAATGTTGACTCGGAAATCTGCGTAGTACAGTTCCCCCAATGGCTACTGGCAGCGTCTCGAACGCGGAGAACTCAAGATGGATGCAGAATTCTTTAAAGGCTTCACGGCAGATCTCCATAATAAGAACGCCTGGAAGGAGTTTCACACAAGTTTTAGGAACGAGAAGAAGAAGCTGAAGGACATGGCTAATCCTACGCAGCTGGGGGATCACGTTAGCTTGAAGGCCGAAACCGCAGATTCCAAGCCTACAGATAATGATCGAGGAGCACAGTCCTCGGCCTCCAAGCAGAAATCATCAGGGAATGATCCAAACAACGGAAAGCCTTCACTTTCGAAGCTGGCGAAAGATACCACAATTGGAGACCCTGTCAGCATGGAATCCGAGGACGTGGTTGAATCGTCCGCCAAAGGCAAGATCAACGAAGACTCGACACCCAGAGAAAAAGTTGTTTCTCCTTCGTCACTCAGCAATTCCGAAGCTTCGCCCGCTCCCATTCCCTCAATCGATGGCGAGTTCCTCTTCTGGTCTATGATGAGTGCTTCACGTCATCCCGATCCCTACGTCTTTCCGGCGCTTGAACGACTATCGAGCCAGGAAAATCGTCCTATCATTGGGGCTCTCTCCAACACGGTCATCTATCCGCCGGGTCATCCTTGGAGCAGAAAGGAGCTTTCTGATTCCTCCAATCCGAAAGTTGCAGACGCCTTCTTATTCAATCCCAAGAGCTACTTCGACGTCTATATCGCCAGTGCGGAAGTTGGCATGCGAAAACCTTCACGCGATATATATGACCTTGCCATTCAGCGCTTAGATGAGTTTGACAAGCAGAAAGGTGGGAAAGGGATCAACCCGGAAGATGTCGTCTTTCTGGACGACATTGGGGAGAATTTGAAGATGGCAAGGGAGGTGGGAATGAAAACGATCAAGGTGCAATTAGGCAAAACCTGGAGAGCTGTGAAGGAGTTGGAGGGAATTTTGGGACACGGTGTGGATTTGATGGACGAAAAGACTCGGAGGGCGAGACTGTAAGGTAGGAGACCGTTGGAGAATGACAATCGTGGCAACTCGCAAGCTTTGGACTTCAAAAGCCGGACGCACTGGCAGATGAACGAGCAGTTGTAAGGGTATTCTACAGCTCCGGCAAAGCTTCCCAGCTTCTTGGCTTGATACCCATAATCGTGCCGAGATGGAAAAGCCCAACGCTCAAGACCGGCGATTTCTTCAACAAAGTGCCTGAAGCTCACATTGTCATTTCTGTCTTAAAGGAAAATGTTGTTGTGTTCGAAGAAGACTGGAAGCGTTTCCGTTGCATCCGGACATAGATAGACCAAAATTTAGATTTGAATGTCGCAATAAGTTGCGTGTGATCTTTGACCTGTAAGTTGATTATATGCAGCAACTCCAAGAGATGACCCAGTAGATCCTCTTTTGGTCCTAGTCATCGATCCCGATATGCCATTTCGCCGCTCGTGGACTCGTCATTTGCCATAAAAGTCTCACACAAAACCATGCACCAACATTTCCTTCTCATACCGGAAAATGTTCCTGGAAGTTGCAGAGTAGAAGCTTTCAAGATTCGATTTGGTCCACTAGAGTTTGAGTTACTCTCGAACGTAGACAGGTGCTTTCACGAGCACACTTCGGCCCCTGACCTCAACGGCCATGAATGTGGAGAATCTGACTCTATCCTCTTTTGGTGGACTCGGTTGTTGTTGCACTTGTCCCTGCCCCTGTTGCGGTTGTGGGCCTGTAGATGCTCCCGAGACACTACCTTTTTTCCCAGCTGCGCCGCCCATGAAACCAGTGAACATTCCTTTCTTCTTTCCTTGTACCGCCTGTTGCTGTTGCTGCTGCTGCTGCTGGGCTTGCTGCTGCATCGCTATCTCTTTAGCAGTCTCATCGTTGCCATTCCCGTTGCTAGTGGCGGTATCACGACTTTCGATAGATCCGGTCTCCTCAGTCTGCTTCGAAATGATGCTCCCGCCGTCGCCGTCCGTAGGTCCTTCGCCTGGATTCGTCAAGGCGGGTAATCCGACCTCAACTTTCATCCAGGCTTCTTGCACAAAGACGCCAGGGGTGACATACTCGACAAACACGTCTCGGCTTTCTAGCGGCAAGTTGGCAGCTATGCCGACAGCAAGCTCTACAATCATTGATACGCCACCTTCAAGACCTGGTGGCGAAGGTTCTTTCAACATCATCGAGAGGCTAGCTGTCAATTTCTCAACGAGTGATTCTGTTAACGAAGCCCGATTTTCGCCTGCTTGAGAAGATGACAGGACTTCTTGTAGGCCATCTAGAGTAGCTAGACGCCAATTCGAGATCCTGGCTAGAAGAGAGTCCTTTTCTTCCTCTGAAGGGGTTGGAGCAGCAAAACGGCGAAGGTTTTTTTCTATTATTTTGAGCTGGGCTGAGAAACCGGGTTCCAGCGAGGGATGAAAGTAGCGTTCTAGTAGCTCGTCTACGAGCCATCGAGATATGCAAGCACGGCCGACAGCTGTCATCTCTTTTGTTGGCTGAGTTGCAGCGTCCCGATTGACATACGGTGCAAGCCAGGGCGGGATAGACCGCCAGTCGCGGCGGATGTTGAAAGCGAGGTTGTTGATAGCGCCGTCAAGGCGTTGAAACCTGTTCGAGTACTCGTTATCGTCTAATGAAGTGCGGGATTGTGATAGGCGCTGATGAGCAAGCGTGTTCTGAAGCTGTTGGACTTGGGCGTCTTTGTCAAAGTAGTATTTCTTTACTTTGCGATATTTGTCCTCTGTCAAGTTTTGTTTAGTCTGGAATCATGAACCACAACCGTATGATAAGAATTGGAATGTAATGATAAACTTACGTAATTCATCATGACGATTAAGCAATTGTGCAACGTCTAGGCCTGATAGATCATCTCGAGACCTATTTGGAGGCGGTGTAGTTCGACCTTCCTGTTGCGTCATTGGCGAGGGTTGAGCGTTTCCCCTATAGCTTTGACCTTGCGGGGCTAGCTGAGCGCTGTACTGTGGGGGTGCGTTGGAGGGCAGATTTGGGCCTTGCTGGACACCTTGATTGTAGTGTTGATAGTTGCCCCCTTCCCGACCCTGACCTCCTGACGACGAACTTTGCTGAGTCGCCTCGCTTGAGCGTCTGGTTGGAGGGGCTTGCTGAGTTGGCGGCGGTCCCATTGAGCCCTGCATATATGTACCCGGGGAAACCTGACTCTGCTCTTGTTTCTTTTGATGAGAATCCGAGGCTCGCGGATACTGGACAACAGGGGGAGGCTCTAGCGACTGTGCCGATGATGGTCTGCTAGTCTGATCTTGGTATAATTGCTGAAGCGCCTCGTGCGCCCTATGAGCAAAGGGATGACTGGATGTCGAGGTCGCGGAAGAAGGAGAAGGGTGATATGACGAAGGCTGGTGGCGAGCAGTTTTGGGTGACTGAGAAGAAGACTGACGCTCCAAAGGCTGCCGAGTTGCTGAATCCGAGACTAAAGCTTGCTGCGTTAACCTGCCGTAGAGATATTCCTCGTGAGTAAGAGGCGGTGGGAAACCTGGAGATCGCAGTGGGTCTTTCTCTGACGCCGTGTACTGGGCATACGAGGTGCGGAAAGCGGCCCCACTGTCAAAGCTTTCGAAATCAGCATATCTTCTTCGAGATGGTTTCTAACTTGTGGGACAAGTCTTGAGTGTTAGGCGAAGATACCAATCCCCCGGCCTCCCTTGTGACTCAAATCTTTGTATCCAATCCATCAGGAAGGAATCACTCTGTGAAGACGTACCTTTCTGGCTCTTCCTCGTCGTCCAAAGGATTCGAGGCAGACCAGCGCTCTTGCTCGGTACGGTTGCGAGCGTCGGTGATGTGGGACTCTGGCTGTTGGTGCTGGCCCTTCCTCACAGATGTGCTCCTCCCAACCTTTTCAAGCTTGTCTTTGTTGATCTCTTTGGATGAACCTCCGAGTCCAAAGAACCTCCTCTTTTTCTGCTCCGCTTTGTGCACTGGAGCTCTTGGAGATTGTTGGTAATAACGGTCTGGGTTGTCGTCCTCGACCGCGGAATTTGGCGTGCTGTGAAGGCTGATCGGTGGCTGGGTAGTAGTATTGAGCAGGGTTGGGAGCCGATGACTCTGGGACCTTGTGGGACCAGATACCAATTGACTCTGGGGTCTCGTTGGACCAGATGCCAATTGATAGAATCCTGCTTCTTCTGAACGAGGTGGTAGCCCCTCGTCGTGGACGTGATCCGACGTCGTGAAGTGGGGGGTATCGGCGTCTCTCTCGTCTTGCGAGCCCACTGAGATCTCTGAACGGCTGGTGTTCCTATGCGAATGGAAAAAGGTTGACTTAGATGGCATTGTTCGCGCAAGGGCAAGGGGGAGAGGTTAAAGGTCGAGCATCGATTAATTCAGCCGGGCCTTGTCTATTTTGGAGGCTGACAAGATTAACATTTTGTGAGGGCATGACAGCAGATTGAATACGCACTATTACTCTATTTTCCAGTGGACCTGAGAATAGTAATAAGTAGGTAGAATACGATATGGCAAAGCCACGGGTCAACACTTGCAAAGATGAAACAAGCAATTACTTGCGGTATGCAAGCCATAATGGGGCTGTGTATTTACATACTGCACATAGGTAGTGAGCCTTTCATTTCCCAGCTTACAACCGAATGAGCATATATAAAGGCCCTTGACTAACCATGAGCATCTGTCTACTGAATCGTACGCTTGAACTTCCCTAGTAAGGACTGCATTCGTGGTGTTTGAAAGAGAGCAGACTCCGGAAAATGCTTCACCATACGCCTCACTGGAGTCGCCGTGAACATCTCTCCACATACAGAAACGGCTTTGGCATGCTATGAATATCTATTACTTGGTGCAAAGTACCTAAACAGAATCGTATTTATACGAGTATGGCCTACCGACTACTGTGCTATGCGCCCGTACCCCCTCGTATCCTTTCCAGTCAACCCTAACGTTAACGTATCCAATGCTTACAGCCCCAAGAATAGGATTTTACATCCACTCACCGCTCAGCCAACGGTTGAAGAAGTCTAAGCTGGCCTCTGGCTGATCCAGAGGAACCATGTGGCCTCCAGCGTGAAGTCTCATGAATGTGAGATTACCGTTGTTCTTGACTTCGCCAATCTTTCGGCCGTCACCGCCGAGCTTCAAATCCTCGAGTGCCACTTTGTTGTAAGCCTCCTGCCCAGGCCATTCGAGAGCCTCAGTCCAAGCTTGGTTTCCAAGCCAGTTGCAAATAAAGTCCGCATCACCCTGGGCCAAGGGTTAGTATCCGCTGAACGCAATGTTATTTGCTATGTCAGGAACTTACGGCGTAAATCAGTATGGGCATCTTTTCAAGGATCCCTGGCACCAAGCGGTGAAAAGGCATCATCCAATCACCAGCAAACAAAAAGTTACGGTTGACATCGAAATTGCAGCCGTCGTAGCTGTCAACCTCTGCGCCGAGTGCTTCCATAACCTCTGGCTTGTTGAGCCATTTGCTGATCCATCCAAGTTGACTGTAACAGAGCGATCCATCTTCGCATGGCACGCGGACATCGTATGGGTTCTGTCCTGTTCGCTGGTAGGGTCCGATGATGGCGTTGTTGCAGTAGACAGCCGCGGGAACACATGACCAGACGCTCTCGCTGTTGTAGCAGCCTTCGATGAGTGACTGGCATCGAGGGAGCGAGTTGTCCATTCCCTGGCACTGGCTCTCTTCCACAACGGCTGGCCAGCCACCATCGCCGCAAGCCATAGGCCTGTAGTATTCGTATTGCGTGAGACCGTCGGTAAGACCATTACCGATCAGGATAGATTTGAGGTTAATGTTTCTCTTCTTGTGACTCATGATCTCGGATGTAAACACAGGAATGTAATGTCCAGCATACGACTCTCCGGCAATATGAAAGTCTTGATGGGCGTATTGGGGAAATTGCTTGAAGAAGAGGGTGAGCAAAGCGTATACATCCTTGCCAGCAGCGATGGTATCGCTGACTGAGCCTCCGCTGTACGAATAGCCTGTATTTACAGGCTGGTCGAGGAAGATTACGGAAGCGTTCGAGTTCCACGAATATGGGTTGTGGACAATGTTCAGCTTATCGTCAATGGAGGCCGGACCGAGCTCGAGGAAGAGACCCGTCAATGAACTGCATCCTGGTCCTCCGTTGAGCCATAGAACCACGGGATCGTTCTCAGGATCGTTTCGAGATTCAAAGAACCCTAGGTCGAGCCATCAGAAAGACCAACGACATGGGGGAAACAAGCTTCTGGGAACATACAATAGAACAGATGCTTGTCGTTGTCGTTGTCATCAAGATAACCGCTGTACTGCTTCACTTTCGGATCCACTCCAAGTAAGCCCGGGTCAACACCTTTGGCTCTCAAGTCATAAGCACTGAGCTTTCCATCGATTTCCCTCTCTTGCTCGCCGTTCTCGTTCTCAATCCATACGCTCTGGACATCGGCGCCGCGAATAATGTGATCCCAGTGGCTGTCTGGTCGGCGATCGTGCTTCTTGGGAGTGGAAATGAAGCTGGCTTCGTCCATAGCTCCCGGAAACATCATGGCAACCTCATCCCAAACGGCTCGGGTTTCTTTGTTGAGGTACTTCAAGGAGTTTTTGAGATCCTTGAGGGGTTTTGTCCAGGCATCTTGTAGCTGTTGTGGCGCTTGGTCTTGAAGAGGAACTTGCTGCCGTATTGACGCAGCACATGCTCCCACGAGGAAAGACGAGACAAAGAATTTCATATTGAGGAAGAGACGTTAGCTGTTAGACAGCAGTAGAATTTGTATGAAGTGAATTCAGATCGATAAATAATGGTCATAAGTGTCTGGTAAAGAGAGATTACGCTTTTGGAGCTGCCTGGCAACGATCAAGGCTTGGCAGGGTCTCACTTGCATGACGACATAAGTATGCTCGATATGTGACTTGAGCACGAGACGTTTTCTCACCATCCGAATTTTGCCAAGCTAGAAATTTACTCGCTATGTACCATATGTAAGCCTCGAAATGGTGATATCCAATCCTTTTCAGCTAATCCGAGACAATGATCCAATACCGATATTCCATTCCTGGTCAGGAGTCAGGACATCCTTGGAGCCACAGTCACAAGTTTTCTCCAAATATTACGCTACGTGTTTCGAATGCCAACAGGTTTCACTACAACTAGATCTTCAAACAAACGGTCTAGTTATTGAATGAATAGCTTCCGTCAGTTGAGCGATGTACCATTATTGACAACCCCGTGACGTGATCAATGGCAGCATTGATGTGCTCGAGTTGTGCCCTCGAGATATTCCAGGTACATAGCTCACAGCAGACGAATTCCAAATGATTGTCATCCTCATGATCTGATCAAGTCACTGAGCTCATTGCCCAGCATATCAGCCCTTAAGGTCGCCCTTTGACAATACACCGAGCAGCATTCATGCTCACTGATCCATCTGCTTGAGACGGTCTGTGGCATATTCCTGAGATACATCGGGATTCTTGGTGGTACTGAAGTAATATCAGCTGTGTCAACCTTTTAGGGGTATGCAGCTCACGCTTTGAACCACCGAGCATTGTTCTGAGGGTTTCACCTGTTATTGATGTTGCTTTCAATTTCGCCTTCTCTGTATTTCTGGGGGACAACCTCCTTGGGCTGCTTTCTGAACTTTACAGCGACGTCTTAACAGCACGTCAGTATGGATGAATGATCCAGTGAGCCGTGTTTTATACAGGGATTGTTGAAGTTAGCCTTGTGGCCGCCGATGACATTGCCTGGGCTCGACCTCGTGGCTGGGGTCTGTATCTTCGGCTTGGGGGGTCGAAATGGGTTGTATAGTAAGTTTGGTTGGTCGTCAATTGGAACCTAGATGGAAGGAGACGGTGTAGATGGGTTCCAAAGTTCCCAAGGTCAAGTTTGACCCCTGACCGTTATAACGATATCACATTTTCTGTTTTGCTGCTTAAGAGGCAGGTGGCTGAGCAACACGGACCCGTCTGGTTGGCATTGGACACGTCTGAGTAACTGAGGCAAGGGACTTCTGCGAACGACTCTCGACCATCATGAGATCACTAAGTTAACCTTGGCCAAACAACAAGAGTGTGGGAGCAAATTTCCAAGACCTCATACTCCGGACAAAAGCTCAGTCCAATCTCATGACTAGGCCTTGTCCGCTTCGTAGAGTCCACTTTGGGCACTCAAAGAGGGTTCTGCGGTCTTGTACTCGGATGCGATGGAGCTTTGCCAAAACTCGAGCGACCCCCCCCCCCCCCCCCCCTTCCCCCCAAACTTTTCCTATCGCCAGCAAACACTCTGAAGAACAAAGATCCCCTTCTGCAATGCGTGTCGCCTACAGACACCTACTCTACACCTAGCAAAGATGGACGTTAATAACCCCCGGGATTCAAATATTTGCAATGAAGGAATTGGACGACCTTGTGCACGATAGGGATCTGTCAGTTGAGGATCGCGCTCTAAAGAGGGCTCTGAACTTCTGTGCTGCACACAGCCGGACGGGAAATATGAACTACAGGCCCGACGGTCTGACAGGTTTGGAGAGGATCTGATCGGCGGTGGAGACGGTGAAGAGCCAAGATTTCAAGATCGGTATTGAAATGAGCTACAAGATTGAGAGAGGGAGGCGAAAGAGGCAGCGAAAGGACGAGGGAAGAGGAAGGAGAAGGATTTGCTGGTTCTCGTAACGGACCTATCTGAGAATGAGGACTCCGAGGCCATGTCTACAACAAGCGAGAATGAGGACGAAGAGGACGAGTCTCCAAGCCAAGGAGATGACGAACCTGGACCAGCGTCATGTAATGGCAGGAAGTCCAATATTTCATTGCTGCTTCTAGATCCGGCCGGGGGGGGGGGTAAAATCCCATCTCCTTCGTGGCCAGATAGCGTCTGAGAGATTGATCGGACATCGTCATCAGGTTGCAGCTGTCAACGTTCAATTTCGGCGGCAATTATTGGAAATTTAGCGCTGTAAATGAGGAGAGCTCCACACCATCCTCTAAACAGCCTACATGTGAGATGAAGGTTGTCAATACAGTCGAGAGCCGAAAATTGATCTAAAATCCAAGATTCAGCTTTTGTTCTCGGCAGTAAATGCGGAAAACTTAGCGCCAAAATGTAAAGAGCTTCACACGCCGCGCCGCTCGCGTGTGCGGGATGCACTGTATGAAGAGGAATTTTGCAGACCGAGTTGAGGAAGGGAGAGACCGTTGCGATTGTAGGGGCCTTGGGCATTTAGGCTGCCAATTTGCAAAAGCGTTCGGACTAATGGTTGTAGGCAAATTGACGCGAGAGATGAAGGATTGGCATCGGCAAGAGATAGTGGAGCGGATGTTATAATAAATGCCAGACAAGAGAAAAGGAAGGTGATTGATGAAGTACTGAAGGTTACTCACGGAATGGGCGCAGATGCTACCGTGAATGTTTCTGACAATGGTCAAGCAGCGGCGCTGGCCTGCGCTGTGACGAAGATGCAGTACGTACTTTCGGAGCTCATTCCTTTCTTGGGCCAAACATTGAGTCCTGAGACGTGTTTTGCTAGTCCGTACTCTTGAAATACGTTCCTTCAAATAAGTAATACTGACTGCGAATCTGAAATCTAGTGGAACGATGGTTCAAATTGCTCAAGTAAATCCCCATCCGAAAATCGATTCTGGTATCCGTGGCCCTTGACATCTCTAAAGCCAACAGAAGCTTCCGTTTCCTTTAACGAGCTCGTTTTCCGTGACGTGAGAATTAAGGGTTCTCTTATCTGTAGCCGACTTGAAGCAGAGCGTATGCTCAAGATCTTTGCCGAGCACAATATCCCCGTCAAAACGAATCCGTACTTCGGTCTCAGGGAAATCCCAAAATTGGTTGAGCTCGCTCATAGCGGGAAGATGCAAGGGAAAGCCGTACTCATTGTTGATGAGGAGGAGATGAAAAGAATGAAGGAAGAGAAGACGGCTCTATCCTAATCATGATAATACTTGAGTCACCAAGCTGTACTTACCGGTTCAAGCTCCTAGAGACTTACAAACTGCAGCGCTCGTCAATATATCGGAGGGTACTTTATCCAAGCTAATGCCAGTCAGTCAAATGACTCTGTTGGAACCTAGCGATCACTTTGGACGTCCAGTCTGAAGGAGAAAAGTCTCTGGGCTCATAGCGGTCGCTGTAGCTGAGCTTTGCTTGGTCTCCAATACGTTTCGGCGCGTTCCAGCAGACGTACCCATTCAGTAGGTCTACCAGTAATAATGAAGCCAGTAAAAGCATGTGACCTCCAGGGAGTAATAATTGCTGCCGCCTCGATTGACGCTGTATCAAAGCAGACGTGCACGCTGGCTTCCGATAGAGCGTGGAATACAGTATTTCAGATGATCAGGCTCATACATTCTAGCAATTTCGGAAGACGATCTCTTCAGCGTGCATGGTGTCTTCGAATATGTACTGCTACGATCAATCAGCCTTATTTTAGCGTCTTCAAAACACTGTCCAATTCTTGGCGTTGGGTCCTGTCAGAAATAAAAAAACCGCTACATCATTGTACCAGCGCCAATAAGAATCGAACCTATTACGAATTAAGTACCCTCTAACCTCTGTCGCGCAGTGCATCGATTTAACCGTAAGTCGGACTATGAAGATTTCTGCGTTTGAATTAGTCTCTCTATCGTTGCGATCTCAATGCCGCTAAAATATCAAAAATCAGTACAAGAACAATTAATATAGATTTACAAGTACTCTGTACACTCTCTCCGGACCCTGGAATTTGAGCGAGGCGGATCACGTGTCAGAACTCTATGCCAAGATTCTGCCAGGATTTTGAATACACTTTTTGCATGGGATTATTAGCAAAGCGTGTTTCTAGAACCTACTGGAAAGCTCCTCGCTCCCACCCGACAGGTGCATCGACAGACAGCCCACGAGCTCAAGTAAAAGACTTGACTTTATAACTGACGACTTAATACTAATTCTTCGACCTTGAAAACACTTCATGTCATCTTGTTCCAAGTCCATTTTCATACACATCACAACGTTCGGGGGCCGAAAGAGCATCCACAAACACGCTTCGAACTCCACGAGCTACACAACGCGGATTGGGCTAGGCCCCATATCAATCTCCTAGTCATTCCACTCCAATCTACCTATAATCGTCACGATGGCATCGGGCATGAATTTCACAGACCGAGCTCAGAAGGCCCTCGCCGATGCCCATGAACTCGCCCAACAATACTCTCACTCCCAGATCCTGCCTCTTCACCTCGCTGTTTCCCTCCTTGACCCGCCAATCGACGAATCTAAAGACCAGCAGCAAGCCATGAACGCATCACATACATCAGGCTCATCACCACTCTTCCGCCAAGTCGTTGACCGTGCCCACGGAGATCCCCAAGCGCTTGATCGAGCAATGAAGAAAGCTCTTGTCAGGTTACCGAGTCAGGATCCGCCACCAGAGCACGTGTCAATATCTCCTCAATTCTCAAAGGTTTTGCGGAACGCGAGTGAATTGTCGAAGACCCAAAAGGATAGCTACATTGCAATTGACCACCTTATTCAATCCCTTTCGCAGGACTCTTCTATTGAACGATGTCTAGCAGACGCCAATGTCCCCAACACTAAGCTCATAGACTCTGCCATACTGCAGATCCGCGGGACGAAAAGAGTGGACTCAAAAACGGCGGATGCAGAACAGGAAAATGAGAATCTCAAGAAGTTCACCATAGACATGACTTCGTTGGCCAGGGAGGGTAAGATTGACCCAGTCATTGGTCGAGAGGAGGAAATCAGGCGAGTCATAAGGATACTGTCACGAAGGACGAAGAACAACCCTGTCTTGATTGGTGAGCCTGGTGTTGGAAAAACGACTGTCGTCGAAGGTCTGGCCTCGAGGATAGTCAATGCAGATGTACCAGCAAATCTGGCGGCCTGCAAGCTGCTCTCTCTTGACGTCGGATCATTGGTCGCGGGAAGCAAATACCGGGGAGAATTTGAAGAAAGAATGAAAGGCGTCCTGAAGGAGATAGAGGACTCAAAGGAGATGATAGTTCTCTTCGTTGATGAAATCCATCTATTGATGGGCGCCGGTTCGAGTGGAGAAGGCGGTATGGACGCGGCCAATCTGTTGAAACCCATGCTTGCAAGGGGTCAATTACACTGCATTGGCGCAACCACGCTTGCCGAATATCGGAAATACATTGAAAAGGACCAGGCGTTCGAGCGTAGATTTCAGCAGGTTTTGGTCAAAGAGCCGACGATACCAGAGACGATCTCAATTCTCCGCGGCCTAAAAGAAAAGTATGAAGTTCACCACGGTGTCAACATCCTTGACGGGGCTATTGTGGCAGCAGCTACCCTTGCCGCTCGATACCTGACTGCCCGAAGACTACCCGACTCAGCTGTTGACCTGATTGACGAAGCGGCAGCGGCTGTTAGAGTTACTCGGGAATCGCAACCAGAGGCCCTCGACACTATGGAGCGTAAATTACGGCAGTTACAGATTGAAATACATGCTCTCGAGCGTGAAAAGGACGAAGCTGCTCGTTCTCGTCTTTTACAAGCACAGTCGGAAGCGGCAAACGTTGAAGAGGATCTCAAGCCCATGCGTGAGAAATACGAAACTGAAAAGCAGCGTAGCAAAGACATTCAAGAAGCAAAGATCAAATACGATCAGTTGAAAGTCAAGCAAGAAGAAGCCGAGCGGAACAAAGACCTACAGACCGCTTCGGACCTCCTCTACTATGCTATGCCCGACACCAAAGCTCGTATTGAGCAACTCGAAGCCGACCGTGCCCGTGCGGATGCTGAGCTTTACAAACGCCGCGGGTCTGAGGGTGTTGAGGAAGCTATGCTCACAGATTCAGTGGGGCCTGATCAAATCAATGAGATTGTGGCTCGCTGGACAGGAATACCAGTGACACGCCTTCGAACTTCGGAGAAGGATAAGCTTCTCCAAATGGAGAAGCACCTGGGCAAGGTAGTCGTGGGTCAGAAGGAAGCTGTCACGTCTGTATCGAACGCCATCCGTCTCCAGCGCTCCGGTCTTAGTAATCCCAATCAGCCACCCTCATTCCTCTTCTGTGGCCCGTCTGGTACAGGAAAGACGCTGCTCACGAAAGCTCTTGCGGAGTTTCTCTTTGACGACCCGAAATCCATGATCCGCTTCGACATGTCCGAGTATCAAGAGAGACATTCGCTCTCTCGAATGATCGGTGCACCTCCAGGCTATGTAGGCCATGATGCGGGAGGACAGCTTACGGAAGCCCTTCGCCGAAGGCCCTTCTCAATCCTCCTCTTTGACGAGGTGGAAAAAGCCGCGAAGGAGGTCCTCACTGTTATGTTGCAGCTCATGGACGACGGCCGTATAACGGACGGGCAGGGTCGCATCGTTGACGCTCGCAACTGTATCGTTGTCATGACGTCCAATCTTGGTGCCGAATACCTTGCTCGTCAGAATGCCCCTGACGGCAAAATTGATGCTACGACGCGCGAGATGGTCATGACTTCATTGCGAAATTACTTCTTACCGGAGTTCCTAAACCGCATATCCAGCATCGTCATTTTCAACCGCTTGACAAGGAAGGAGATCCGGAAGATCGTCGATGTGCGGTTGGTAGAGATACAGAAACGCCTTGTCCAAAATGACCGCAAAGTCACAATTTGGTGCTCAGACGAAGTGAAAGACTATCTTGGTTCCGCCGGGTACTCTCCAGCGTACGGCGCACGCCCTCTTGCTCGACTTATTGAGAAAGAGGTGCTGAACCGCATGGCAGTACTGATTCTCAGAGGTGGAATTCAAGATGGCGAAACTGCTCGGGTGGACATGGAGGATGGACGAGTCACTGTCCTTCCCAATCACGGCGACAGTGAAGACGAGGACGAGGACGCAATGGTTGACGGAGACGAAGCGGAGGATGACGCGGTGGAGATGCTTCAGGACGGGACTGGGGACATGGATCTTTACGAGTGAGGTGGAAATAGTTTGGCGGGGAAGAGGGCCCCTTCCCTCCTGCTCTAGGTGCGAACCAAAAGGATGTATCTATCTTGGGGAAGTTGCACATAGCGATGACCGTCATGACTCTACATGATTACGATGAACGTCATGGGCCAGAGATAGGTGCCAGCCCACGTTTTATATTTTGCCTTCAGATTAGCATGTATCTAGCATTGATGCACCCATCAATTCGACTACTTCTTGGCTATTGGCCAATGCATGAGTCTTTTCGGGAGCTTTATCCTTCGTCTCAATCTTTCTCCAGTGCCCGGCCGGCGCTGGCCGGAGCAAAAGCTAGAGCAATCACAGAGACGAAGGGGAAGATGTAGATTCGGTAGCATTGATCGTTGCGTCCCGATCCATCCCGAATCTTTCATACCACCATGTGAACCTGGAGGACGCCTTCATGGTAGGTAGACAATCTTGTTCACCAAAGCTCGAGGTGGTCAAGCCATTGCAAGGTGGAGGAGCACCATGGCGGAGAGCTACGTCGTTACCATCCCTCCCTGCCCTTCAACTACGACGATTGGCCGGTGCCCGGCAGCGTGACTTGGGACGAGCGGTAGCATGGGTGTACTTTACTTCCCGCTCCCGTGAGCTTCGTATGCCTCCGTCTCGTTTCTCGATGCCACTTGATGGATCCTTTACGTCCCTCTCGTAGGCGATGCATGCACCACCCGGTCGTAAGCAACGGGCCATTTTCTGATCCCTTGAAGCCGATACAAGATCTCGGTAAATGACAGATGGACTTTTGCTGAACACCGTCGAGAAGAGAGACCCGCGCCAACATCAAGCAGAAGACCACTTCACTGCACTTCGCCCACCTGAGTTCGAAACGGTATACGGGGTGTGGACACGCTTTTTTGAAACCTCTAGGTGTTCTATTCACTGTGTGTGGCATAGCCACCGTTTGAGCAACATCTCACCTTCCCTGGCCTTCTCCGCCTCCGGAAGTGTCCGGAGGAACCGTCCCAAACGGCAAGTCCTTGTGCCTTTCCTCCCTTCCCCGATGCCGCTGAGCTGGCATCCTTGGAAAGCTGAAGAGCAGCGCATCATTAGCACTACCATCTCAATTTTCTTGATTTTTCGACCTGCAGTTGCACGACCACACAGCAGTGGTGGCAGCTCCCACCTGCACGCCCACAACTTTAAGCGACCGGTGGTCTTCCGAGAAATTCTTGGTAAATGGGAAGTGAGAAGAGCGGGGCGAGCAAAAGCTCATGGTGGTTAATGTTCGGATATATCGGCGCCGTGTCGCAGCGAGCTAGGCGTTCCACGGATAACCCCTTTGGTCGAAAAAGATTATCTTTGCTGAAACCTGACGCGGGCAGTAATTCAAGGCCACAGGGGTCCTGGAAATCCCAAAAGCGTCGAACCATCACGGCGGCAACATGATCTCAACCAATGGAACGCGTTGAATCCATGGGCCTATACAGATTCCACGGTGGGATGATAAGTCTCTTCGGGTTGCTGGGATCAATTTGGTGCCGAACAGGGTGCAGCTTCGGGCGCGCTATCCAGCCGACGAGGTAGGGAGCAATCTGTACTATCACTATTAAAGAAGAAAGCAGAAAGATTATGCGGGCTGAACGGGGAATTAAGCAGCATGGTCATGCCAATGAGCTGGAATCTGTAGGCAGAAAGTGGAAAGAGTGTACTGATAGAGTAAAGGCAAGGCACTGCAGAGGAGAAATGGTTGGAAACAGCGCAGGACGTTGGTTTGATCACCTGTCCATGTCATGCATAAAAACCTATGCACGACCAACGAGATGCAGACTAAGCAACGATCTTACCGCTTCGGGGATGGCGCTGACGACAGCTTGCATGCAGGGAAGATAGCCAATGATTGAATGGAACCAATGGTGCAAAAGAGAATCTGCAGAAAGGAGTAATATGACGCCCGTGCTCTCCAACTGCAAACCCATGAATGCAAGACGGCTGACTTGGCAAAAATGGTTGCCAAGCTATTCTGGAGTCGGCGTTAGGGAGTCAGGAAAGAAAGGTAATGGTATCCTGTTACTTTTCCCCTCGAATCTCTCGTGCAGTTCTCGTAGAAGCGGTGATGGAGACAGGATAGGAAAATCTTGCCTTGCTTGGAACGTCTTGATGAGATGATGTCTTTTCGCCTTGCCTTTCGTGGTAGCTACCTGGGTACCTACCATAAGTCGAGGCTCCGAGTCCGCCTCGAGTCGGCGCTTCCTAGATCAATGACACGGCCATGTGACCTAAACATAAAGGCCCATCCATGTTTGATGTTGTCTAGGTCCAGCTCCCAGATTCCCAGATTCCCAACGTCCGGCTCCACTTCCGTTATTGCTGTTGCTCGTCTTCTCCTGGTTTTTGGGCTGCCAAGGGGGAACAAGATGATCCTACGCGGAACCGATGTCCGAATGCGTCAAGAGGGAGCGAGATGAGCTGTAGCGGCAAGTTTATGCACCGGTCAGCATCAACGTACCAGTCGGTTCTCTCCGGCTCCAGATCCGTTTTATGTTTTGTCGCAGCAGATCTACGCTCAATTGAGGAAGGAGGACGACAGGAGGGAGGGTTTCATCCTACGTGTCTGGCGACACCGGACCGTTCAGGAAAGTCTTCGAGTCTAAAGTCGAGTCAATCTACATGAGCGCCGATCTCTTACCCGCTCGAAGGGTTGTGCATGGAAGTAAGTTTTTGTTTGTTTGTTTATTGGAACATGGAACATGGAAATATGTATGATAACATGGGGTGGATGTCGGTGTGAAAGAGAAGAATTGAAAAGGGATCAAATGAAAGAATTCAAAGGGAGATCCTACCGTAGCTCTATCTTCCAAGTTCCCAGCGACATCCGCCAAGCTTTCCAAGATGACTCATTAAACTTTGAGAGTATTCCTTTTCCTTGATCGGGAGAGGGGAGGGGGTTGCCCTTCTAGCCTATCTCCTAGAACGAACGGAAGAAAGGCCGATCACCAAAAAGTTTGCTCAAAAAATAAAAAATAAAAAGGCCGGTACTTGGCGATCGTCGTTTTTTCTGCAAAACGGAAATCCGCTAGAAGCAATCGTCCTGGACTTCTCGGCCTTCTAGAAGCCTCCTTACTCCGGGCTAGTGGGCCACGCCTTGTCGCATTTCCCGGGGGTCTGGAACTTGCGCGAGCCGACTTTCTCTTTCATCGTCATGACTTTACTATTCACGTCCTCAGGGAGCGCATGGACATTGTCACGCCGGTGCATCGGACGGTCTGGCTCGTGGAGACGGCAGCTGCTCCTCGCTTCGTGTTCATCGGATGGACATCGAGTCCCTTGGCTGGCACTGGACTAGGCTGCACAGAAAGCGGGACCGGGAAGGTCATTGGATAACGGACTATCTGTACAAGGTAGTCTATATAGCAAGAAAAAATCAGTGCGCCTCGTTATGAACATCCCAAGTCTATGGTCGTAGGAAACGCATGAGTCGCCCGGGTCTATCCCTTATGCTACCAAGAACATCGATCGAGGTCGGCAAGCAAAAATCAAAAACATTTTGTGGTATACCCCGCACGCCGGAAACAAGATACAAGTACAAGCAGGCTGTGATGATTAACCAAACAACACCTCTTTCGACATGGACTGCGCCACATCTCTCCACTCAACCTCACCGTGACCCGAGTCACTTCTCCGCCAGATCTCCTCACAGACCTCCCAAGCAGTGACAATGTTGTTCATGCCCTGCCTGGTTTCCAGGTGGCGGAAGACGGTTCGCGCAACGTTCCTGTCCACATCCTCCACCGCTTCGCAAGCAGCGGTGAAGAGAGGCCAGACTAGAGTCGCCATGGGACCAGAGAATATGACGACGCGGAGGCATGATTGCAGTGTCTGCTTGGTAGGCGTTTGCACTTTCGGATCCGAGCGAGGATAGGATAGGATCACGCGATAGAGAAAGACGAAAGAGGCCTGTTTGTGTGCTTCGGCGTTATTGAGAATAGATTGCAGGCGGGAGTCATCACCCGGATTCTCAATCGTAACCACCGAAGGCGGCAGTTTGGGAACCCACTGTTGCAGCGCGAGCTCAATGCTAGTCGTGTTGGTTTCGAAATCGGCTCGCAGATTATTGGCCTTGTCATGGCCAGGGCTCTGCAACTCTTCCTTGTCCAGATTTCGCTTGACATCTACCAGGCTGGCGAGTCGGTGGATGACGGGCCATAGGTCTGCCATGAGGCCGAAGAGAGTGTCCACCGACGCCATGGCTGAGCGGTCGTGAACAGAAACGAAATCTTGAGCCGAGGGTACGAGGATGGTCCCGGACATAGGGGAAGAGCCGAATGAGAGAGCGGAAGCCACATCGAAATACCGGAACGCCTATATACTGTAAGAAGGAAGTATGTTGTAGATGCGGATTGAGTCAGCTTACCCTTTCAAGGAAGATACTGGTCGGACCACGTTTCGCTCTCCGTTCCCGCATTATTGATAGTGCGCCTCTCAGATGACTGTTCAATACAGTAGAAGAGCCACTTCTCACGATCTGAAGAGTGTCAGCATGCCGTGGGAGGTTTTGGGGATGGAAAAACGAACTTCGTAATACAATAATAAGATAATGACGGCAAGAACTTCATCTCGGTTGCCTTCGTCCTTATGTGCTATGAGACCCGCGAGGCCTTGCAAAGCTTTCGAATGCAGATCAAGAGCCCTTTCTTCTACATGCAACCCCCGGTGCTCAAGATGCGCGCTTGAGATGGCGTAGATGGCATTGAGTAGAGGAGGGCTCTTTCGAGCCATGGGTAATACGAGCTGTCTGAAAGGGTTGCCCGAATCTTCTTTGAAAACGATGAGGTGGCTTAAGACGTTGCAAAAGTGATCTAAGAGACCTCTTCGAGATTCGCGACTGGTGTACTCCGAGTACGGAGGGAGACCGGGGGACTGAGCGTGGACGCTTGGGGTAAAGTCGTAGGGCGAGCCGGCAGATTGTGGGGAGAGAAAGGCGCTTGTAGGATCCGGATATGAGCTGCTCCGAGACAGGGCGGACGGCGGTGCCGTGAACATTTCTCTCGTGACCTGGACTATATCTGGATCGTAGGGTGGAGGGTCCTTGGAGAAGCCGTCTAGCGGGTCCATGTGAAGCTGTTTCACCTGGTCGAGGCTAGGGGAATGTCGCGCAAAGCTATCAAGAGATGTGAAAGGAGGAAGAGGGGAGTTCATGTCTCCAAAGGTGTCGCTGCCGCAGCTTGAAGCGGAATCACTGAAGACTGAATCGGCCGAATGGATTTCCCAATTCTCCGCGATAGCTGGAAGAGGCGGTGTTGGTGATCCAGATAAGATGGAGGAGCCGGAGCTTGAGTCTTGACGGAGAGCTTGGAGCCTGTCGTGGAAGCCATAGTGTTGACCTGGGGCCGTGGTCGGAGGTCTCATGCCCATGTGTTCGGGGTTGGAGACGGTCCTTCTCCTCTTCCGGGGCTTGACGGGCTCATATTCACACCTCAAGCCCCGTTCGAGGCAGCGATCACATTGCGGACGCTCTTCATTACACTTTTTCTTCTTCTCTTTGCTAAGCCATAGTAAGTATACTGGGAGACGTGTAATTGGTTTTCGGATTGGCTCACCAGTGTACACATCCTACAGCGAGCGGAAACATCCACGGTCAGCCCCGGCATGTCTTTTTTTTTTGAGGTACTTCTAATCAAGGACATAGGACGGCAAGATGTTATCGAAGCTTACCTGCTCGTGAGCGCCTCTTGGGAATCTTAGCTGGGACTGGTCTGTGGTAAAGCAACATCATGGAAGGTGAACAGTCAAACATGAAAAGGCGAGGTAGTCCCTGAGACCACAAATATCGATGATATCAAAGAATGTTTGGAGACACAGGGAGGGCGGGCTTTAAGACAGATTCTTGGAGATCAGTTGCTGATCAGGTCGAGGTTTATAGCTTAGTGACTTTGATACCACAGGATTGAGGCTTTAAGACGTAAAGGGTATAGAATCAGAATGATATAGGCGCAACGTTTTATACCGTTCACTGGGGGGTGAGGGATGGGGGATGGGGGATGGGTATGGGTATGGGGTTCTTTTAGTTGCGGGGGGGGGTGGAAAGGTATTAATTATTATTATGATGATTCCAATTTCCAGTGGTTGCAGAGTAGTACGGTACGTACCTTGAGGTCATGTATCTTAGAAAGAGGCAGATGAAATAAAATGTGGGGCAAGGGGGTGGATGATCAATATGCCGGGGTTCGGTAATACTAGTTTCGCTGCAAGCCCTTGAACAAAATGTTGCAGGGATGTTATTCCGTTTGATGCAGGAGTCAAGGAGACAAACGCGGGGGTTTAAGGGTAACAGGGGAGGGGAGGAGGGGGGGAGGAAACGTCATATTACTCGAGTCGCGATATCCACTCGTCGCATTGGGGCTTGGGGGGGTTGAAGGGGGGAGGGGGAAAGGGAGGTTTCTGCTTCAGAGCTGCCTGGGACAGCTGGGAAAGAGAACTGGGATTCACTAATCACTACCTATGGGATCTTCAATACCTACCTGAGGTACTTACTTTAGCCCTTAAGGCTGCCCTAAGAAAAACGAGACTAATGCATACCCTGGCTTGAACTTGGCCAAGACACTAAAAAGTGACAAGGTTCGCAAGGTTTTAGGGATCGGCAGCTCGGTTCTATCATTCTTTGGGGAAAAGCGTTGAGATCGTCAGCACTTTAGATGTTTAGTGGACAGACCCCCGGACCCCTTCCATGTCCCACCATGGAATGATTGGATGATGATCCCTACACATCAACTGAGATCACGGCTCACCTCTCCGCCGACATCCTTCTAGCGACCTTCTAGAAGATTTCTAGTCTCCAGAATAGATTGAAGCAAGCACCCATGGAAGACATATGGAAACGGCGTGGAAGGCACCAAGAACATTCGTAACTTTCTTCTAGAAGAATCCGTCAACCGCTTGCCCAACCCCCCTTGCACCGTTTTGCCAACCTCACACGGTCATTCCTCATCTGCTTCGAAACCACACCGTTCAAAAAGGCATACCTACCTAGTCCAAGTCGCTCAGTCCTAATTCCCTAAGACCCACCGATCGGAAAAAGTGGCAATTCTCATGCGTCGCCACATGTTTCATGCCCATCTATGCGTGACGGTAATACCTGAAACACTTCCACACATTTCCTCCAACGCTTAATCGCTCACACCCACGTCTCACAATGAAAAATGTCGTGCATTCTTCGGCCTACCCTCTTCATGCGATATGGGTAAAATTCGAATGTACTATCTTTGGAGCATTGGTCCAGACAAAACTCGGCCACTAGGCCTCACACCCTCAAACCGGTCGTCGAATCCCAAAGTCAGGTTTTCAATTGTGAAACAGTGAGAGCCGCTGTCTAAGTTCGATTGGGAATTGGGAACGGAATGGAATGCGGTACAGTACTGTAGTACTCCTGGCCTGGGCACGAAAACTTGGCCTCTTCTACCTAGCTCGTCACTGGGTCCATTGGCTTCATTGGATGTCTGTTTCGTCGCTTGTAACACCCTGGTCGCATCGCAACGTAGTAGATACTAGTTGGAGATCAACAGCTAGCCTAAACTCATTCCGTTCAAAACAGACGAACTATTGCCGCGCGAACAATCATCGAAGACACCAAGAACATTCCATGAAAATGTGAGCTTTGATTGGATATCAGCCTCTGGACCGAAGAAAGGCTGACTCTGATGTTAACTCTCATTTCACGAGGATCTCACGGACTCCACCTGCGAGCCAATTCATCACAGCGGACAAGCAGATCGATACCCTATCCATCTTCGAAATGTCACATCTCGAATGCCAGGCAGCGTCCATGGATCACCGAGTCTTACCGATTTTGAGGCTGAAGCAGACTCATTGCTTCAGTCATCTCGTATAGGCCATTCAAGCACTAGCCTCTAGCTAAATGATTCGTGGCAAGAGGACCCGAATGTTTGCCGAAGCTAGATCACCATCAATGGCTCGGGATCTAGCAGCCACCGACTCAGTAGCAGTTTGACTACACCTGTCGCAAACTGAATGGAATGATCCCCAACGATGACACATACATATGCTGACGAGTCCTTGAATCCCAGGTGTCTTCTATCTTAGTGGGTCCTGTGTAGAGCTTGAGAAATGTGGAACGTGGTGACTGGCTCACAAGTGCCTCAGAGCTGCCAATGACGGACTGAGACCAGTGCTCGACGATCTTGTGACTTCCACTTTTCGCCACCGCTCCATAGAAGCGGTGGAAGGGTTTCCAATCGTCCAGCTTTCGTTGTCCGATCCTGCCATCTGGCAGACTAGTCAACTTCTCCCGACAATGTGGACATGGTGGCGCAATAATGGACTCACGGTCCTGCGAGATAAGATAGTCGCCTGTCAAGGGAGAATGACCAAGAGAACAGTAAGATCTTTGATTGAAACATTTCCTTTTCCCGGCCAACCATGTTGACGTGTCTAGACTCATATATTCCGGCGTCATAGCTTCGGGAAGCCTTACGGATTGAACTCGGATGCTGTTTCAGAGCATGCAGCCCGCTTCAGGGTGACCCAAGCCCGTCGAGGTTTCGAAGTAGCGTTAGCTGTTACTATTTTGGATGCGACGGTACTTACTCCCTTGCGCTGCAGCATGATTTGCTATTTTTGTAACATCTTTGTTTGAACGACATCGGAGGAGTGCTTACAATATACGTTGACCAGCCTGCTTCAGAGATATGATACTTGTGTTTGAAGCTTGCTTTAGAACGAGCTCTTACATTGTCTACGTTTTCTCGTGTTCTCGAGATTTGCCAGCTGGTGGGCAGCTGTGTAGAGCTCTTGAAATGCCTCTGAGGATCTTGGTATTGGCGCGAACTTAGTATTTGAGAATGAGGCTGCATCTGTAAGTTTGATGGTTGGTTGGCAACTGCTGCCCATACTGTTGTTCTTGCGTGCCAATTGCTCGGCCATTCGCTGAGTTGCTAATGGTGCTTCACTAGCAGAGACCATAAGTATTGGGCCCGTACAGTGTGGTATCAAATCATGTGATGGCGGTTCGAGGGTACATGCAGGGTTCGCCATCAGAGCGGTCCTAGATTTTGGGAAGACATGATCGTCATGGTCGTATTATTGCGCGCATGTGCGCCGGATCGGACATTATGGAGGATTAGATATCGCTTCTCCACGAAGCGGAAACACCAGGTAACAGCCCCTGCTTTCCCCACACTTCGGAGGTCTCTGCAGAAAGCTCTAAGGATAGATTTCGCTTCGGAACACTGCTTTGGGTTTCGTCGCAGGTCGAGGCTTTGCCTGCATGTGTCACGCGAGAATGACGCGATTTTCATTTGCGAGCTTGTCAGATCGCAACATATGAAATCAGCCTTGGAAAGGACGTGTCGGCCAAGAACACCTGATTGGTTTCGCGTGGCGGCTATCGTAAATCGCCTCAAGGTCTCAGAGTAAGACAATCTTTGACTCGTAAGACCTACAGTCTTTGACATCTTTTGGAAGCACTGTCAATCTTGGTGAGCGAATATTGCAGTCTCGATAGTCTCCTGCTGTCAGAGAAGACACGCAAAAGCGATGATAAAAATGGTTCTGGTAGAATCGAAATCTGGGCTGCAAGGCTGGCGCAGGGGACGAGAACATTACCCATCCCAAAGGTATTAGGTTTTTATCTGGATGCCTTGAGTGTCAGCATGCCTTCTTGTCTACTACGCCGATATCCTGCAATCACTATTCCTAGAAGTCCTCGCGCAGCACCGAGAGACTTTACACTGTATGAAGGAGAGGACAAGACACAATTGATCAGCGTGAAGGGTACTCGCTTGGAGAAAGTCCAAAGATTCAGATTACAATTGAGAGTTTCTTTCGGTGGCTCTCATTGACTGAGGCCCGCTACATCATCGACCCAGCATTGCCTCGGCAATTAGGAGACTTGAGGCACAAAGACTTGCGGAGGGAGCAGGGGGTCATTGTTCGCTGCTCGTCTAGCCGAAGCAGCGCCGGGGCTCAATTTCATGTCCTAGTTCGTGGCTTACAAGCTGGCTAGTCAATATGTGATGCAGACTCTACTCAGAACATGAGTCTGCCTGCAAAACGCACCCTCTTTGAGCAGCGGCAGAAATCAGCCCAACAGGCTTCCAACCCACGCAGGGATGCATTCGATGGAGATATTTACCTATTGGATTCGTGGGATGCAACCATTGGCTTTCGAGAGGAAACGAGTCTCAATTGTGCTGCTGGCTGTTTTTCAGTGGATGAAAGGACACACACTATAACACTCGTTGCTACGAGCCATCGCCATGCGTACACGGTAGTGTTCGGCTATATCCTCGTAGAAAAACAGAGTCCGGTGCTTGTAGATATTGGTAATTGGACTTGAGATGATGATCGAGCTAAGGACTGAATCTAGTCTAATAAGTATCTTAACCAATTACAACGTAGCAGAAAACTGTATACTTGTGGGTACAAAAAGAATAACAGTGAAAGATGTGTATGGAAGTGAGCAGGTGCATCCATTCAAGTGGACTTGGTCCTTTTTTTGAAATCCGATCAACGAGACCGTGCTTCTTAATGAAATCTCCACTCTGGAACCATCAAAGAATGTCAGAGTGTATGGATTGCTCGACAAGACACCCCCCCAAGGGTTTGCATTGCTATCTGGATTTGCAGTCTTCGAAATAGGCAATAATGCCCAAGATCAGCTCGAGGGTAATAGTCCATAGACATGAACACACCATCCTTGCACTATACCCAACTATCAGCAGTATTTGAAGCGCCGAGAAGCTTTTCATCAAGTATTCATGAGGCCTGCATGAAGTCTGAAAATCTATTATTGAAATTCGTGGTTGTGGGAATATCTTCGACCAGGGGACGAAAAGGAGTAGGAACGGTAACTCCGATAATTGCCAAGACGCTAAGCAAGAAAAAGATGTGAAGCTCAGCCTTCGAACAGCACCCAAACAAAGTCCTATTCAACTCATTCGTCTCACCTATCTTCCTCCTCTATCACACCAGTCTTTTAACTGCTTGTTCAAGATGGCTGCGTCAACTGGGTCGACGAAGCTAGATGGCCTGGTACAAAAGGCTTCTGCAAACACCCCAGAGAAGCTGAGCGGTCTTGCACTCTACTCGAGATTCGCATTGGCTGGTGCAATCTGCTGCTCGGTCACTCATGGAGGTCTCACACCTGTTGACGTGTAGGTGGTTTCTCCGACAAAAATGATCTTCATAAGTAATGACTGTCATGCCTAGTGTCAAGACACGGATACAACTCGATCCCATTACCTACAACAAGGGAATGATTGGAGGCTTCCGTCAAGTCATTAAGAACGAAGGCTATGGCGCACTTGCGACTGGCTTTGGCCCTACCGCTGCTGGATACTTCCTGCAGGGTGCTTTCAAGTTCGGGGGATACGAACTCTTCAAGCAACAATGCATCACCTATTTTGGCTACGAGACCGCATCGAATAATCGGACGGCGGTCTACCTAGCTTCATCGGCTTTGGCAGAATTCTTTGCCGACATTGCACTCTGCCCACTGGAGGCCACCAGGATTCGACTTGTCTCTCAGCCTACTTTTGCTTCTGGCCTGTTGAGCGGATTTGGGAAGATCTACAAGCAGGAGGGTGTTGGTGCTTTCTACTCAGGATTCGGACCGATTCTCTTCAAGCAGTAAGTTGAAAAATTATTGCACCGCCTGTAACATTTGCTAACGCCTAGGAGGGTGCCCTACACAATGGCCAAGTTCGTGGTCTACGAAAAGGTTGCAGAAGCCGTCTACCAACGCGTCGACAAGTCTAAGACATCTGATGGCATGCAAACCGTCATAAATCTCGGATCTGGTCTCATGGCCGGATTCGCAGCAGCCCTTGTCTCGCAGCCGGCCGATACCATGCTCAGCAAGATTAACAAAACCAAAGGACTACCCGGAGAAGGCACGACGAGCCGTCTCATCAAGATCGCAAAGGAGCTTGGACTTCGTGGAAGCTACACTGGTATCGGTGCTCGTCTCTTCATGGTATGATATAGCACCTATGATACAGTCCAATAACTGACCCGAGATCCAGGTGGGAACATTGACGGCCGGACAGTTTGCTATTTACGGTGATATCAAGAAGTTTCTTGGTGAGTCTCCACTCGGTTTCTGCTTCCGAATGTCTGCTGACAGATTTAGGTGCCACTGGTGGCGTAGAGATTGCGAAATGAAAAAGCAATGTTATTCTGCAGAGGTTTTAATTCATAGGCGTTTCGATTCATTGCATGCCAGGACAGTGGTCGGTTCTGCTCAGCGGTCTTTGAAAGAATCGTCGCTGGGCTGGGGGACACTAATGCTCCTGTTTCTGGAAAGGGATTCAAGGTGGCGTGTAATACTACCACGGTCCATCGATTATAGAGGAATATTGATAGAGAGCGCTTTATTTCCACTCATCTGATCTTCTGATTCTGTTCCAATCTCTACGCTGACCAGTGAGTGACCTTGGCTTGTCGCAGAACGTGGATAAGGTGTGAGCGCCAAGGCTTAGGGCTATTGCTCCAGCAACCGCGCAACGACTCGATAAACAGTGGTCATGGTATTGAAATTCGTAAGACGAAGGCACAACGCCATACTTTTAGATCCTTAACCTACGATCATTACAGCTGCGCGGAATCCAGTCCCTAATATCTCAACTGACCTTCCAGCTTCCCAATCCCTATAAATCGCACTTTTCATGGAGCAAACCTCGATCGAAGACTTTCAGGACTACCACAACCAGCAGCCCGTCGGGGATGTAGATGAAGGACCGCGCTTATCACCAGAGCCTCTTGACATGGGAGAATATATAGGACGCTGCTTTGAAGATGACCAGGCATCGCTATCCGGCTCAGCACACCACTCGCCTGACGAAGCCGTCTTCGATCGTCCCTCTCGCACAAGCTCTCCTCGCACGTCGCATGGCTCTGACGACGATGTCTCAGTGCTAGAATCGTCCTACGAGCCTCAGAATCATCCAACACCATTCACACCTCTCAAGACTCGATCGCGCTTTCGAAATCCTTCTTCCGTACGAGCAATGCAGATGGACACTACGCCTCCACATCTAGCCACTCCATCCTCGCAACAGCGTCAAAGACTATATACGCCCTCCAAACAGGGTACACCACGTTCCGCCCGCTCACACCGCAGTGTCATAAGTTCGCCCTCCAAACTCAGCCCCATCAAGAAAGTGAAAAAGGAATACCCCCTTGTCCTCCTTCACGTCACTCTTCTTCCAATGCCGCTTTCCTACACGCCTGAAATCCTCGAGACTGCTCTCCCACCATCTATCCTTGCGAATTGGAAGCTTCTTCAAGAAAAAGCTACCGACACTGTCCTCGAGCGCGGTATCCTCATCCCGCATCCTAGGGAAGATTACGACCTTCTGGAAGAGCGATTGCTTGAATCTCTAGAATTGAAGATACCACGTATACTGAAATGCGGCCACTTTCACCTATCTCCGGAAGAAGAGGCCGACATAGCGGCTGAGTCGGACGAGGAAGCCGATACCGACGCCAACGATGCGGACATCTGTCTCGATTGCGGGCGGCGCATACGTGATGGGAAATTTGGCAGCGCTGGTACAGGAAGCAAAAGATGGGACATCAAGCTCTTCGCTGCAAACGGGCTCATGAGGGCAGGGGCGTGGAGCGCAGCATGGCGGGAGATGGAGAGAGTGGATGTGGAGATCTTGCCTTGGATGGAGGAGGATATGAAGCGTGAGTTGGAGCTGAGAAGAGAAGAAGATGAAAGAACAAGAGCGGAACACTCGCATGCAGAGAGGGAGGAGGGAATCGGAGGCTTGGACGACGCAAGGTTGAGGGAGATATATGGACATGATGCGCAGGCTTTTGTCGATGGTTTGGGGGATGAGATACCTGCGGCTGCATCGACACCTCAGCGGACACCTTTCCAGATGCCTATGGAGAGCAAGGAAGATGTGCCGCTTTGGGACCTTCTGCGAGATTACATGTACCATGCGGCCCAGGACCGTCGCAACATCGCCATTTTTCTTCTCAGCATTGTCGTTTTGTTTCTCTCGATGGGCTCGTTTACATCAAGTCGAAGAGATACGGAAGTTCTAGATATGAACCACGCCATTCGGACACCTATAGCGCAAGCTTCGGCCTACAGCACTGACCCTATACCTAAAGCTTCTGTATCCGTCACGGGCGCGGCCTCATCCGCACCGTCTTCACTCCTAGAACCACAGGAGCGTGACGAGCAAGACCAGTCGGCCTCTTGGACTGAGACAGCCGAAGACGTGGCGAGAGAGATGCTTGAAGACTGAGTGGGCCGAGAACATGTGGTGTTGAACGAGGCGTAGTACACAGGAATGGAGTGTAGATCGAATTTAATGTCCGGATTTTTTGTCGCTTTTTTGTTCGTTCAATGGCCGAGATACCACACTGTAATTAGCAAGCCAACTGAGCGTGTCTGGACCTTCATGTTGCGGATCTTTGGAATTGATCCCCTCGAACAGATTTTGACATACCGTCTCCCTTATCAAATCATTCTCTTGTTCAGCGGATCATTGCCTGAAAGTGCGTCTGCCACCCTGTGAGAAATCCCATAGCATGGACAGGTTTCCCCCGTCAGCATTGGCTGCTGACGCGTAGAAGTAGTCGAGCTAACGTCCTCAAGAGGACCATTTGGGTCTCAAGATGCAATGGCTTGAACAATTGTCACTGTTTCGGGCGGCGCATCTGCACCTTGCAAAACGAAGGATAGTTCAGGTCCATCATGTCGCCCAGTCAGTCAAGTCAGCCAATCTCACTACATACAGCCCGAAAACCGGACCTGTTTCAAGTGGTTTGCTTTGACGCGCCAGGAACGTCCATCTTTCATGCTATACCTCGGGCTTGGAAAATGGAGATCAGTCAGGTCAGAACCACCCCCTCTAGATGCTCTTGACTCAAAAGGAACCTATAAATATCACGTAAAGCTTTACCATCGACCCGCTCCGTGTCAGACAGTCCGACTGGACTCTGAATATTGGAGTAATCACTGACTCCCATGCCCTGTACAATTGGCTTTCCACGGTACCAATTGCACAAATTGGGTTTGGCCAACTCTGGATGTGAACTGGGAACAACACTAGAACGACATGTCCGAGGTCATTCACCTCTTCACTCAGGACTCGCAATGATAGGATGAGCGACCTCCGCCACCAGCCCCCCTTTCCCTCCTTCCCCAACATTTGTAAAGATGCAGAGGACAAGAGGTCACTGGTTCGGTCCCTCTGTATTAATTCATTGGCTCACTTCTCGAGTCTAGGGAGTCAAGACGGATTCGCTTCGACTACAACAATTTCATGTTCTTACAGCAAGAAGAGTGCTTTCGCGATACATTCGGGTCCTCCTACAAGATTAACGTCTGTAAAACAAGTCTCGCAAATCCGATCCATAACGAAAACGCGGTCGCCTCGTCTTACGCCGAGCACTGCCAGCGCCAGCTTCGCGTCCCAATTATCATGTGCCATCGCCACAGCCGGGCTTCTCGGATGCTCCAAGAATTCATCCCAATTCTTGATTGTCACAATGGCCGGAAAGCTCTGTTTCGGGTCAAAGGCTTCCACAGAAGCGTGGTTGCAAAAGGATTTGTAGAAGAACTCATGATCCGGTTGATTGCATCCTTTGCTCAGAGCCTGCAGGACGTCCAGATCACCGATCCATTTGCCACGATCGTACACCGAGACGAGTGACTCGATGATGTAGGCTTCAGCGTCTCGACGTCCGCGACCCGCTTCGCCAACATCAACTGGAATGCACCAGTCTGTGAAAGAGAGATGGAGACTTGTGCCGGTGAAGGCGTTCGTTACCGTTCCATCAAAGTCTTCTCGGTCGATAAATTTCCAGTTATCAATCCCTGGGGCCAGCGTCTGAGGGTCTGCTGGTGGTACCAGGAGAATGAGCCCTGCCTTGCCAACATTGCCATGAAGTCGACACACGGCATTTGCAGGTTGACGCTCCGCAGGATCACATATGAGCCACGCAGCGACGTATATGGAGTCACCAGAAGAGAGCGCCATAACATTGGTGAACTGGGACGGGTTCATATCCAAGCCGTCAGACTCGAAGTAGGCGATGCAAGCAAATGTGTTCAATCGATCCAACAGGCTGATGGAAGAAAGACAACTTTGGGTCTCGCCCTTAACATATTGAGCCCATTTTGCACCAAAGATTGGCTTCGTAACGGCATTGGGGCTGATCGTGGCGCCATCGAACCCGTTGTAGACCTTGTACGCGGCGGCTAGGGCTTTGAGAGAATCGAAATATTTGGAGTCTTTGGCAACCTTCGCTATGGCTGCCATCATCTCCTCCATATCGATAGCATCCGCGTCCAGTGCAGCTTGTAAGTCTTTCAGATCGCAAGTCTCTTTGATCGGTCGGCGGGTCCTGCCCCAATTAGGGCCTCCTGACTCTCTCTTACATCTTTCGACTTCGGTTTGGTCCACAAAAATTGCTGCTGTCTTTGGATTACCCGAAAAGAATCTATACCATCTTGTTGGACGAACCATGTGGCCTTCTTCGATAGCAGACCGGCGGAAGATGTCGTTAGGGACTGACCACCATTCATCCGCATGGTCGAGCTTTTTACAGTACTCAGGCCTCTTTTTGCAGATCAGGCGTTCGGCAAATTCCTCTTCCCCTAGGCCTTCGACTCTCTCTCTTGGATTCATCCAACGGTATAGCGCGGAAGCAGAAGAGGGCGGCGAAAGCTTGTGCGGGAGCGCTGTGGCATACTCGATTATTCCCTTTCCTTTTGTGGGTATGTCTTGGCTTGGGACATTTTCGTCGTCGTCAACAAGGTGAGTCTCAATCCGAGGAGCCTCAGTGCTCTCGCCCATTACTACGTCAACATCTAGAGCCTCAAATGCCCCAGCAGAGCCTTCATCCCTGATGTCCTGGTCGCCAGGATCGAGATTCTGCTGTAAAGCAGCTCTCTGGTCCTCGGAATACCGTGCAGACTCGTCACAACTACTGGAGTTGTTGAGATCCGACACGGCATCTTCATTACTTTTAAACTTTAATCCGGAATGTTGCATATCAGTTTCTTCACTCTGCTGAGCCAGGTTAGATCCGCCCAAGCTCATTGGAGATCTCCTGTTTCTGGATGGTGACCGGCGAGACCCAACCCCCGCAGGAGTAGGTCCGAGCCTTGAGCTCAACTGATCTCGAACAGGTGTTCGATTTTTACGTGACTTTGGGGACTTAGTTTCTTTCTGAATCGTCACCTCAACTCTCTCAATACTGAATCCTGCCTTTTCTGGATGTTCTGGCAGCGGGACCTCGCGAAAAGCTACAGGAACGCGATAGCGAAGAATGACGTCGAACGGATCGGCCGTGGGGAAAGATCTGGCGGCGTATGCTCGAAGCAGCCTGAGTTGATACCCAGGCGTTTTCAGGAAACTTATCATGCTTTCTATATTCGTCAATCCAAAGACTGGCGGGACCGTTGTCTCGGCCAAGATTGTTGAGCCTCGCGTACGACCGAGTGCAATCAACTTGCGGTTGAGCGTCCGCGAATCTCCTTTGGAGGATAAGAACGCATCAGAGGCGTCGGCAAGCATGTGGATCCACGCAGGACAGATTGTCTTGCTGACATGGCGTTTCAAGCGTACAGAGCGGATCAATTGTGCAACAGCGACTGGATCCGAACCATCAAAGCCCCAAGAATTGCAAATCGAGCCCAGGACAACTTGCAGGAGATTGTCGAACGAGATCCGAGATGACTCCGTTGCATACGTACCTTCAGCGTGGATGGGCGCTCCGTAGTAACTGGTTTGTTGTTAGTACGACGTTTACACCAACTTACCACTGACGGCACTTTACCGCATGTGTGAAAGGGACAGCGACCAATAGACTCCAGATGGCTGTTTTGAGGGATTTCCATGTAAATTAAGAGTCAAAGCGGTTCCTCGGCTAAACAGTGGGTCTTCCTGAACGACAGGCGTATTACCAAGGGCCTAAAGCAGTTTTTTATTAACGGAGAGAGCTAATTCAAACAAACAAAAGAAGCCTCAAGGATTGCCCACATACAATCATGTCAGGATAGAGGTGCCAGGACGAAAGTGCGAGTAAGAGCCCTCCACTTGAAGCTCCTTGGGAGGTACCCTTAACTAGGTTCTCCATACCCTGGAGAGCTGTCACCCACGCATCGATGACGCTCCGGTATGTTGAAGGCATGGAGCTAACAGAGAGGCCCATTAAATTGCTTAAGATGAGCATTACCTGGGTCTGCTGCCTCGATCGAATTCGATCAGCATGTCGTAGCCAAGCTCTAGCACTGTTATCCCACTCTGCAAGCTGGTCTCGTGTCAATGCAACATTTCCGGCAAGAGTAGTGGCGTACGAGAAGGCCTCTCCCTGGTCCGAGAGCTGAAGCTCATTCTTTCTTGCTTGGACGATTTCGGACCAGATAGAGGTAGCTTCTGGTCCCGTCCATATACGGGCACTTGGCGTGGTAGTCAGTGCATGCAATGAAAGACTCGAAGGGGCTGGCTATTACAGCATGCAAGCGAGGAGGTGCACGGAGATTGCTCCTCTTCCCGAGGTAGCCGCGGCCCAAATGGAGGTTCCATCAGCTCCTACAAAGCTCGAAAAGATGCCTCCCTGTTTAGGCTGGGTTGTGCCCGAAGATGGCTGACTGGCTATCGCTGATGCCCGCGTGCCATAAGCTTCAAAGAGTCGAGGAGTGTTAGGAATCATGTGCTCAAACAAAGCACCCAGTTTTCGCGCTGTGATATGGGACGATCCGCTCTCAGCTGCCTCAAGCCGCTGTCTCGTGAGAGACTTTCCCACGCCATGGTATTCTATGGGGGCTTCGAACTGACAGGTCTCGTCAGAGATGCGGACAAAAGGTTCAAAGTAGTCTACCCACTTTTACAAGGGAGAAGTCGAAATTGAGGTTTGCGAGCGCCAATGTCGTCTCTTGAGAGCCAGCAAAGAGTGCTGCCGTTAATTTGCTGATGCTGGTCATGATGAGGACAAGCTCTTAATCGGGCACCACTTCTTGGATGATCTCGATCGGAATCCCCGTCTGTAGACAGAACAAGGTATGACGCATCATCCTGTCTGTCTATGCCAACCTACACGGAAAATGAAGACAAGGCTGCAGCCTTCTTGGCGGTGGCATTTTAAGATTCATACTGAACACCTTCCCAGCCTAGCCTAGCGCGTGTGGTAGAAAGGTGACACGGGAAAACTCACCCAATAATCGAGTAATCAATGTGGCTTGGGGGCCTAAAGGAAGCGCTGCGAGGCCCTGGCGGGTATCTTCAGCCCCGCTTAGTGTGGGAGTTAAAACGGTTCGTGAAGGGACTTTTTTGCTTAGCCTGTGAGCACAGAATGGTCGTGAGGAGGCAATTTGTCCAAGAAGAACTCGGACCAAACCTGGTGTCCATACTAGCGTCGTACGGAGTAAACAAAGAAATTAAGTTGTCAATGTAAAAAACTTATAATCGGACAGGGTCAATACGTTCGACATGTTACGCTGAGGTACACGTTCAAGATGTTTGTGCTGACTGCTGAGAACTCCATCCAAGGTGTATAATTCTCCAAGTTTTGACAGCAAACACTCCAATATATCCCATTGATTTGCAAGCCTACATCCTAGACCTGTCAGTGCTGTTCTTCTCAAAAAACCGGCTCAAGTGCTCATCAAGCCACTTTAAATCCTGCTTGCTGTCCCCCGGTCCGCCCGCCCAATGGCCCCAGATGGTTGGAAATATCTCCACTTGTCCAACACCCGGTTTCATGTTCGCGACTTCATACTCGGAGTCTTCAGGACTGTACATTTGTTTGACCTTGATCAGCAGGAAATCACGGCCCTAGCGATATGGATTCAGCACTCACGGGAAGTATAAATCTGTCTTCGCAGGTAGGACAAGAGTCTTTGCCTTGATGCTCGACATCGATCTTTCAAAATCGCCATTGTAAGGCTCTTGCATTGAGCAATCTCCACTTTGCCATGTCTGCAGCATTACAAGCATGTTCTCAGGATCTGGGCAAGTCAGCCTGAGGCAGAAAACATGGGCTAGATCTGGGATGCTGATGTACCCTTCGAGGTGGCCCAGCTCTCCCAAAAGCCCACCATGAACGACTCCAGGTCTGGAAAACCATAGTGTCTTTCGTGGAGCTTCTCACGGTAGAAAGCCTGGCTGAAGCCCCTTTTAACGATAAGTCAGCCACAGACGAACAGGCACAACAGGAACCTTACCATCCAGCATAGCCCCTCCCAAACGCTCTCAGTCCTACCATTCTCTCCTCCTCGGTCCACACCCTCTTCTTATCAACTCCGTCCCCAGTCACTCCGCCCTCTTTTGATCCTGCACTCGGTATGCCCTTCGCAGCCAGCAATGCGCTCTTGATACCCTCCAAGAAGACCTGGTTGTGCAAGCTCGTCCTCGCGGAGCCACAGAATGGCACTGCAAGATCCGTGAAATCGGGGTACTGCGTGATCCATTCTACGCACATTTGGGGGTCAGTATTGCTTCTTCAAGGTAGATAAAGGAGTTGCAAGACAGGTCTCGGCAGCAGAACAGGTCAGTTTACTCCCCAAAAAAGTCTCACGACTCAATTTCAGTGCCAAATAGGAAGGATCTTGTCCGAAAATGTACGTACGAAAGGTCTGACCGGCACCCATTGACCACCCTAACACACAGTATAGATGGTGAATACCAAGATGCTCGGTGACGAGCTTATGCTGGGCACGGACATTGTCATAGAATGAGATTTTCGGGAAAGCTGTAGCGAGCTTAGTGTTGGAAGGGGACGTTGATTGACCATTTCCGAAGAGCGCCGGGATGATGATGAAGTACTGAGAGGCGTGTGAGATTAAATCGCGAGAGGGGTCACGTTTCTGAAAGATGGATCACCTTGTTCGGATTTAGGGCTTTGTCTTGGCCTATCAGCCAAATGTTGTCTGATATCGCTGTTCAAACGTCAGGGACAGCCATTGAGGACGCTGCGATGCATGCGGACATCCAGAATACCAAGTAGGATCTTGATGATTTCCGAGTCAGCATCACTCTTTCGGGAGGAGTAATGAGTCGCGAGACATGTCTTAGGAGCAGAGAAACCTTGAGACATGTTTGACGACCCATAAGACAGCATGAATGAGGAAGAATTGCCTTAGAAAGTATAACGTACAGACAATTGCGGGAGCCTTTGGGTCACCAATTGTCTTGTAGGCGATGTGAGCATTTGACAGAGCGGTGCCGCATTGGAGATGCCAGTCTCCTAATGCGTACTTGTCATAGTCTTCTTTAGACATCCTGAAGGGATTTTCAGGGTACTTGGTCAAGGGTGTCACGTTACAACTGCTGCTACTGTAACGCTGTCGAGTGTCAGCACGAAGAATGTTGATGCTCTCTCTCTGTTGACCCCGCAAGCGGGGAATCCTTATCGATAAGCGCAACCTCTTCGGAGGCGCCTCCGTGGTTGTCTTCACCAGAGCGCACAAAGAAGCATTACAACATCTGCCGGATATCCCATCCACGCGCCCTTGATCACGCGTCCATCCTGATACCTTTAGCCATTATGCAGGAAGTTATAAAAAGCATTGAAGCCATGGCAGTCAAAGTCAAGCATGAGCATGAACATGACGTAGACGGGTGCTCTCGGCTTATGCTACGGATACCTCGAGCATATCTTCCCCGGCACCCCCTCTAATTTCTTTGATCAGTATATATCTACCCCTCAGACCAGCTCAACAGCTCTTTGACTACCTTCTGCCACGTTCTCGGTTCTTACCCAATATCACCCACCACTACTCAACCATGCCTACCAACTTCGGCGACAAAGAGCAGCGCGAGGAGGATCCCTCAGGTCACGAACAGCGCTTCGACCAGGAGAAGGCTGTCAAGAGAAACCCACATCCAGACTTCAACAAGGTCGAAGCGTCTCGGCCAGATTGGGCGGAAAGATCCGAATGGCACTTCACCAAGACAAAACGGCCGGGGTGGAAACTAGGTCAGGGCGCCAACGACGGCGGAGGGAGTCTTCAAAAGAAGCACGTGGAGATAAACCCATACGAGGAAGGTAGACCGGCAGTCTTTAACTACAAGCTGCTGATCAGTGGGATAATTCCAAGACCAATTGGCTTCGTGAGCACACGATCTGAAGACGGTCAGCCACGGTCCTCGGCCATCTCTCTCCCTCCTTCGCGCTGACACGTCGCTTAGGCTCCTCTACAAACCTCGCTCCCTTCTCCTACACCAACGTCATAAACCACGACCCACCTCTCTTCACCATTGGCTTCGCAGGCGGCTTCTCCAACGCCAAAGACACGCTGCGCAACCTTGAAGCTACCAAAGAATGCACTATCAACATCATCAGCGAACACTACATCGAAGCCGCTAATGCTACGAGTATCAATGCGCCCTACGGCACATCTGAATGGTCGTTGAGCGGTCTTACCCCCGCCCCTTGCACGGAGGTCAAACCCTCCCGCGTGAAGGAGGCGATTTTCAGTATCGAAGGAAAACTGTTATCGACAACAGAGTTTGAGAGCAGGGCGACGCCGGGCAAGAAAACGGGAGTGTTAGCTGTTGTCGAGGGAGTGAGGTTCTGGGTGAGGGAGGATGCGATCAATGAGGACAGGAACATAATTGATCCCGGGGTGCTGAGGCCGATAAGCAGGCTGGGCGGAATCATGTATGGGAGGACGGTAGAAGGGTGCGAGATCCCGAGACCGGATTTTGCAGACAAGGAGAAGGAGGGAGAGACGACGGGGTTGCTGAAACCAAAGAGGGAGAATCAATGAGAGAAACAGGGCACGAATGCAGTCATTTTCATTGAGGTCGGCAGGTCCCGTTGAGAGCCATGGAGTATCCAAATGGTTATTGGAGCCCGTAGGCCCCGGAAAAAGGTAGTTGATTGATATATGTACATATTGCAAGCTATCTGGCACATGAGCATTGCGCAAAACTACCTGATTCTTTTCTTTCCAGCTTCTTTTTCGATCAGTCTAAATTTTTGCTGCCTAGACATGTCAGCAATCGATGCAACATTCGGGATTGGTCCCATTGTAACTTGTTGTGGGAGGGTCTTTCTTGATTCTCATCCTCCCTGCTCAATTGGATGTCTTTTGGAGCGGATCGTTGAGATTTTGTGCCAAACAGATTGTCAATCCCCAATCCCAAAAGATCTTTGTGCTGTTAGTATCGAGTCTTTCACGTTCGGAGCGAGATTAGTACACGAGGGCGACATAATCCTCGTTGCAAGTGTGTCCGTCACGTAGTCCTTGGGTGGGCTTATGCGTTGGACATTGACGACCTAGGGGCCCCTCAGCGATCGCTCTAGTGGGGTGCCCGAAGAGTTGGAATGTTATATCGTACGTAACCCACGAGCTGTCTGCATCTTAAGCTGTTGGTTCCTTCTCGTCTGATCGTCGTCTCTTCACGCCATTCGAAGGCTGAGGGGTTTCCTACGCATCAGTAATGGCCCTCGTCAGCAAACCCAAGCATCACCATGAAAGCCTCCGGTTAGCAATTGAGACACTTGGCGATCTCCGCGCTTTTTCTGGAATTATGTCCACGAGGGCGGACGTACCTCCATAGCGTCGAGGTCTCTCTTCTTGCTGACCTTCTTCTTTGGCCTAGTGGGTTTAACTTCTCCTAACGGAAAAACGTCGTCTGGCAAATCGTAACTGCCATGGCCCAAATCAGTGGTCCAAGGACACAAACCGGGAAGGGACAAATAGCTTTTAGTCTTACTTTCGAGTATGGACAATAGACAGGGAATTCAGATCTCGGTTGTAGCTCTGCCATCCTGTACAGATTTCTTTAAACTCCTTTGTTTGATATGATATATCGAGTTTCTTCGTCGCGTCTATGCGTAGTCAGTAAGGTTACTCGCAAAAATGCGGGCACGTACCTTGAGCTAGCTCAAGGCCGATGTAGTAGGTCGTATTATAGATGGTCTGCTCTCCATCTTCGTTCGTGGTAGCCTCGGTATGACCATTCGGCATTGCCATTTCGTCAGAATTACCCTGGGCAGCAGCAGCATGCACCGGATCCTTGGCAACATCGGTCGTTTCAGTCTTGACATTTGTGGCTTGGAACCTGAGGTCGCCGTTCAAGACAGCGTAGATCTCATCTTCATTCTTGCAATGGTGCACGCGTTCAAACCCTTTGTTAAACGGCCGCGCCACCGCAATCGCTTCTTGGGTCTCAAGGTTCGATACGAGTAGGCGTACTTTGGATTCAACGAGGCCAGACCAGACTTTCTGCGCATCCTTTGTTCTGCTTGAGGCAATGATACTGAGATAGTACTTGTAGTCATCGGTGAAGAAAGTATGCTTTGAAAACAAGTCTTTCCATTGCAATTGGCCACTGAAGATCTTATCGGTTATCGCCCTGCCTCGCTCTAGCTCTCGAATAAGGATGGTCTTGGTTGACATCGAGATATTATGCGTCGCACACATTGAGGGGTATGCTGGTGTGATGATTGGCATGAGATGGAAGCGGTCTCCATTGTAAATCTTGGGATTCCAAACTCGCACTTGCAACGGACCATCTTCGATACTTTTAAGGAGTACCGGCTGAGGCCATGGCCATTTGCCGATCATGAGGAAGAATTTTTCAATGACGACAGAACCTGTGGCTTGAGGGTATAGCTGACAGATTCTGGCTACCAACATTGCCCATGCCACACCACCGGGAAACCCAATCACGTTGGAGTAGATCGCTCGACGTTGGGCCCATAGCTTGATGCCTCGTAACGCGGTTCTGAACGTCTTCTGTTGCGGAACCAATTCGAGTATTTCGTCCGTCACCCGTGTTCCATTCAAAGATCGCAAATCTCTTTCTTCCAAACCCCGTAGTATGCTAGTATCTTTGAGAGTGAGGGTTATCGGCACAGACTGGAGGGCGAGGCGTGCGAAAATGAGATCGACGCTTATGCCAGAAAGCTCGAGTTTGATGATTGGTACATAGGCGTCGGGTACGGGCGTCAGCTCCTTGATGGCTCCAGGAGGGGCCATACGCTCCAGAAGGGTAGGGACGTGCTCGAAAAAGTCTTCTCGAGTCACGTGCTGTGGTACAACGACGAGGGTGTCTATATCAGAGCCTCCTTGGAATCAGCTCACGATCAAGTCAAGTCAGAACGTGGAGCACTGACCAGGTCCGTAAACTCCAAGGCGATAGCTCCCGAATGTAAAAATCTTGCCGCCGGCTTTGTCCACAACGGACTGAGGGAGATTCTTCGTCTTGCTGACATGTTTGACGAATTCCACAGTGATCTTCTGTATAAGCTGAAGTGTAGATTTTCTGTACTCAAAGATTCAGCTAAAGGGCTAATTACGGGTACGGTGTCCATCTTACCTTCGCTCTGTCTCCTCCAGGCCCTCGAAGTTGTTTTGTCTCTTCAGCTCCGCAATGAGGGCATCGTTGGCAGCAAGCTCAGCTTCAGTGGGGAAGTTCTGGGATACTGGAGGTGTAACACCGTACTTCCTGGATTGATTCGTAGCCATAGTGGCTGCGATGATGCTTCAGTCAGCTGCAGCAGGGGGAGGAAGTGAGGGGGGCCCTAAAATTTTTGGATGCGTGAGGTAGTAGAGCTACGAGCATGGAGGCGGCGAGGGTGGCAAATTGCACTCTATCTTCGAACCACTCATATGGATGTATGAACGTATGGTGTCACTGTTGATTAATATGTGTCTAGATCATCGTCTGGCATTGCGAGTGGGTGATACCTAGAAGTGAAGCTTGGGCTTTGAGAGCACTCGAAGATTTGCGCTAGGCTTCTCTTGGACTAGTCTCTAAAAGCGGAGTGCAGCGTTCCATTTCCATGACAATGCAGCAATGTAGCATCATGGGGCCTAGCAAGACGTGTGAAATGCCTGCAACGTTCTCAAGGATGAGCCCCATCAACATTTTTTTTTGACAAATGTATCCGTTACTATTGGAGTTCAGCATCTCAACCCTATTATGCTTGGCAACAACTATAAATAGCAGTACTTCTCCATAGAAAAACAACAAGCCGTCATCAAATTTCATCCGTTACCGACATGATACTCCTGTGCCGAGAGGGAAAGTGGTATCATCACGCCACCAAGGCTACCAGAAGCATCAAATTTTATGTTGAAGAAAAAGGTTAATAAGCGACTTTCTGTTTGAAATCCATGGCGATGATTGTCAAGGTTACTCTTTATGCAAGCCATCGAGATTAAGACCATATATCTTTTCTCCGTTTTAACCCTCAAGTTGTCGACTATATATTTCCCAAGGCCACAGCAGTCTCTTTTGTCCTCCGTAATTATTCTGCAGTGTTTTCATTAGCATGCCCGAACTCCAAAAGTTGGCCAACTTTGGGCACTCGACTACTGGCGCAGAGGCTGTAGAACATTCAAAGATAGGGTCAAGGGCAGAACCAGTAATACCACCATTGCCCATCGAGAACCAACACTGCTAATATGCATTTTAGTCCTTATCACTGGATCAAGTGACGGTGGTATAGGCGCAGAGACTGCCTTGTCCCTTGCCGCTGGGTCTTCTAGGTGCATCCTTCTCGCAGGTCCCTCGTTACCCAAGATTCAACCAGTCATCGATCCTATCAGCGGTGCTTATCCGGACGTCGAGACCCAATTCATTCCTTTAGACCTCAGCAGCCAACATGCTATACGGGAAGCTGCTGCAGATATCAATAAAACCGTCCAGAGCATCGATATCCTGATCAACAATGCAGCAATAATGGCATGTCCTTTGGCAAGAACGGCTGACGGGATCGAGAGCCAGTTCGGCACTAATTAGATCGGGCATTTTCTGTTGACGAACTTGATTATGGGAAGACTGATTGCTGGGCAAGGGGCAAGGATAGTCAACGTGTCCAGTTCAGCACACAAAATGTCGGACGTCCAGCTAGATGACTGGAACTACGAAGTTTGTAGACCCTACTTTCGTGCCACAGCAGATGAGGCTTTTCACTGACGCTTCCCAGGATGGGACTAAATATCACGCCTGGTCAGCATACGTGAGTATTTTCGGCACCGAGAAACAGACCTTGGGCCTATAGACATACTCTAAGGCCCGAACTCCCACCTCCATTGACAATGCTGACTTGGAATGTTTATCCAGGGTAGGGCCAAAACAACAAGCATTTTCTTTACGGAAGCCCTAGCGTCAAAGCTGCACACAAGGCACGTGGACTCGGTTTCATTAGACCCAGGCTGTGAGTCATGTCCTATAAGGCGTTACAAACATCATCCTGATTGAATTGTAGCCATCAAGACCAATCTTCAAGTATATTTGACGCCAGAAATGAGGGAGGAAGGCATAAAAACAATTGAAACTAACACAGGCCGTAAGTACATCCATTATTTCGGTCTCTTCAGCTCACCATCGACTTGGGGTCGGAGGATGATGTCTAACCTTTCACTTTGCAAGGTCCATTCTCCGCTAGTGAGCTCAAGACCATTGGACAAGGATGTTCAACAATCCTCGTCGCAGCATTGGATCCAACCCTTCCATCCGGAAGTTTCTTGGGAGATTGCATCGTAGCCGCACCTGAAGTCTACGCGAGAGACCAAGAGAAAGCTGAATTGCTGTGGGCTTTGAGCGAGAGACTGGTCGGACAGACGTTCGAATGGTAGCTCCACAAACCATCTTCGCGCAGGCAAGCTGGAAAATGCCTTCTAGAGGCGCACGGACTGACAAAATTAGTAGGAGTTGTGTGAGTACGGTACCCAAAGGTATCGCAAAATTTAGCCTCGACAAGAAAACATTCACTCGTCAAAGACGATGACTCTATCGGCTTCGCATTCACAAGTCCACTCCTATGATTTGCACCTCTAAACAATGCAGGATAGAGGAATACCAAAACTCAAAACTGCCACTTTCCCTGAAGTGGTCCTAAGACAGAAAAGGATACATGATTGGATCCAGAACATCGACTTTGTCAAGACATTGCTTGATGCGAATCCCTTTTCCATTTCGCTTCTAAAGACTTGAAGGCTTTGTCCACGATCTGTGCCTTTCATTGTTCTTCAAAGGAAGTTCCATCGTTGTAAAGAGGACAATGCTTTTGTCCTCCTGCTTCCGTCTTCTAAAGCTCTCACAATTCTCTACGCTCATCAATACTATCTTCCCTCCACGAGCATCCTCCCAACAAACCCCAAACCTACTCGACCGGAACCAAAGTCACCAGGCAAATTGCTGGCCGCAGCCTACACCAATTCGCTCTACCCAACATTCTAACCCAAGTCCAGATACCATCGAGCTGTGGTAGTCTTCAATGATGGCCCATAATTTTGTGGCCCAATTCCCCGTCGTCTCGAAAAGCGACTTGATGTACGGCAACAGATGCTCGATCTGCCGCGAGATTTATGGGACGAATATTACCGGCAGTGGCATTATCTGCGAGGACGCGATTCGCTTGCCATGTGGGCACGAATTCGGCCATGCGTGTATTTCTTCTTGGCTCTCACCCGAGGAAGGTAAAAACACCTGCCCCCTCTGTAGATATGAGCTCTTTCCCGCTGCGCCAGAAGTTGAAGATGGGTTTGTACCATCACATGACGCCATCGAGGAAGACTGGGATAACATGGCAACAGAGCTAGATTCGGAACTTTCCGCGAACGGCATCGTGCATCGATCCCGGCATTTTCGGGACTGGCTCCTATACTCGCAGCTCCAGGGTCAGGGCGCGAATCTCCCTCCCTGGCGCCCGAGTAGCACCAACCTCGGTCCACGCCTCGGACCTTCTCAGGAGGAAGCGCTCTTCCATGAACTTCGACGGAGAGGAGCCTTCCGTGTGCTTCCGGTTCCGGTGGGGTTGTTGGTATCTGACCGCGATATCTGGATTTTTCTCCGAGACCACGGATACTCTTACGATCCTGTCTACGCCGCGACGTCAAGCGGCTGTGCATGGTCTCAGACCTAGGAGGGTTCGGATTGAGAGCTCAATTTGAGAAACGATGTTAATGGGGCTGACAGAGTGAGGACTTTCTTGTTCAGTCGCTTACTGACTAAGGTATGTAACTTATCCTTGCTCCGAATTTGCGATCTACTATGAACAAATTCTCTTCAATACCTTTCTGGATAAGGTGAAGATGTCAAGTCATTTGCAGAAATATAATGTACATGAATTACATAATGCAGACCAATATCATGTACGAGTACCGAGTTGTAGTGCGTCTCCGCGAAGCGTGAGGAAGCGAACCCTGTCAGTCCTCAATTCCTGATTGTCTATGAGAAGAACTCGATACGTCATTGTGATGCTGTAGCGACGACAAAGCAAAGCTACCAGCCAAGATACCTGGGCCCGATTGTATCATTGTCCTCGAGTCCAGCCTCGGTGAATCTTTGCATTCATTGCCAAGTCGTAATCAAAGATCTCTTTGTCAGCTTCCACCAGACGACCGAATTTGTACCGAACTACGGAAGGAGAGGTCATAGATAGGTTGTTGAATATCTGATACAGCTAGAATTCTGCCATGTGGCACGGCCCAGCTGCCTGGAAATGTGGTTCGCGGAAGCCCACACATGCCCGTCCTGCGCCCGCGTTCCATTCCCAGCAATCCCGGCGGAATTTCACATAGAGGCCCGGATCCTGCCCCAGCCAACAACCCCTCCCGTGGACCGGCCCAGGTCCCAAGCGTGGAATCCTCCAATCGAATCCATGGGTCGTCTACGCATGGGCCCAAGCCCTGGCGTTTCGACCCCCGATGCGTGGGCCCAGTGTGATGAACCCTCTCATCTGAACCCTCGTACGGACACCCGTTCCAGCCAACGGACCTTGCGTATGAACCCTCATACCAGCCCGCCTGCCAGACGTATCACTGAGCTACGGATTCGAAGATCGTGGAGACGATAGTGTCACAGCGAGCGGTATGCGGAGTCCAAGGGGGAGACCGTACCGGCGTGGACTCTAGGGCGTTGGTGAATGTCGACCTCTCCGCGCGTGAAAGTCCGGGTTTGAGTCTGGTGAGGGGTAGGGTGAGCTGGGGAGGTCGCTTTTCATGGTGCACAGTGGTTGGGTTTTTTCACCCGGGGTTTGTTGTGCATGTTTGGATATGCGTTGACTAGAGCGATTGTAGACTTTAGATGTTTTTATGTTATGGTAGTAGGTTTGCTGAACTGCAGACATGAGTTTTAGACGGAATGATTCTATCTTGTGTATTCTAGAAGGTTACCTTCAGCCAATATCATTAGGGTTAAGATTAAGTAAATAGACTACCACCAGCCAATAGATTTAGTATCAAAATCCTCCAAAGACCTTGTCATCGGCCCCGACTGGTGTCTATTGCCCAATATTGCAGCTCCGCCGTCCTTCGCTTATCAGGAAATTAGATCAGAATCCTCGGCCCATTACTTTGCAATCTCCTTACAACGGGGACTCTCTTGCAGAATCACATTCATCGGTAAGACTGTGCTTTCTTCCATATATAAAATCGGCAGCGCAGTCGTGATCTTTTCCGAGCCCACTTCCGATACCCAGGCGCAATCTTCTTTGGAGCTCTGACTTTTACGAATGTCCGATTCATGTAGCGACCTGATGCCAACAACTGGCTCCTGGGACCCAATGAATGGGTAGGCTGGCAGCTCCATCTGCTTGCCAGCTTTGTTGCGTCTCTCCTTCTCGCGGTTATACAGGTCTGTCGCACGGCACGCGATCACGAAGACTACAAGATGGAGAGTATTACCGTGACTTCAGCATCACGCCAGAAATTTAGTGCTCTTTGGACAAAGGTGAACACCGCATACGCCATTGAGTAAGCCCCTGCAAATGCAGTCATTTCTAGATCCCACACGGGATGGATCAACCTCTCCCAACTCGCCGATACCGGACCATTAAAGCATCACTGGTAGGGACGAGACATCCTTGGCCTCCGGACCAGAAGCTTGCGCTCAGCATTCCAAGTGGACAGGACATAGCAATGGCCAGGAAACGGAGCAGGTCGAGGCTAAGGAGCCAGCCCGGGTGCAATGGAGATGTGCTGAATCTGCGTCGAATAAGGCATAATAATGTCCAGCAGAGGGATAATAATACCTGGCGTTGAGAGTTGCATCAGCGAGGATCGGGAGACGGCTATGATGGACTGATGAAGAGGAGAATTACAGAGGCTAGGGCTAGGCCTTCTGATCAATAGCCATTTGTAAGATCGTCTGGCCAGTCTTTACAGTTGGAGAGTACCAGCGAAATAACGAAGCAAACCGTTGATACACGTGCTAAAATTAGCTGAATGTGGCGAGGGATGAGGTGTTCAACTGCCAATCGAAATGTTCATTGAGAGACTTGGATTCTGTCAACATGGTGGGAGCCAATGTTTGCAAGCTGGACCGAACGAGATAGATTGGGGAAGGTTGTCGTCGCGAAACGATAGCTACATAAGGGTATTGGGGTTGCATCTTGGAGATTGATGCGATGGCGCTAGGAGAAATATGCGCCGGGCTGTAGAAGGCCAAAGGCGTGTCACAGCTATTATTTTCAGTAGGCCACGAAGCGCAAGGACAATGTTTCAAATATCAACTTCAACGGCAGGGAAAAGGTGTCCGCAACGATTGCGCGAGAAATAATAGCATCATTTATTATTAACATGACGGCTCTGCTGAAGCATGACATGCGCCCTCTTCCTCAGCTTCGAAACTTGAGGTCTTCAAGCAGTGCTTGAAGTATTTACCTAGTTGATACTGTTGGCAATTGCACCAAAAATTGATCTGTACTCGTACAATCCAGAAGTGAGTTCTTTGATAGAGCGAGGACACCAACAAATCCTTCCACTTAGCCGAATATCGGGTAATTTGTTGGTGTCCTCACTCTATCAAAGAACTCACTTCTGGATGATACGAGTATGGTTGGAAAAGTTGGAAAAAGGTCAGAACTCTGCCGTGAATTCCAACATATCTTTCTCTAAGACTATTTCGCGAGAGCAAAACTAGAGCTAAGATATCTTATATAAGACTATTTCGCGAGAGCGAGATTAGAGCTAAAGTAAATATTTACACTAGATATTTATAATTAAGTAGTCTATACTTTTATAACTATTACACTTATTAATAACATACTCCTTATTATAATGTAGAAGGCCTATAAAGAATGAAAAATGAAAAATGAAAATCCGTTGGTTGACCCCCCGGTCCAAATGGGTTCCCGTATCAAGAGTCTTAAGTTTGGGGTGAAGGGCCCGTTCTCGCTGTTGTTGGGGGTATTAAGTTCGTGTTAGGTTCGATTCCTAATGGCGCTGGTACAATGATGTTGCGGTGTTTCTCATTTTCTGGTAGCGCTATTAGCCTCAGATTTTTAAGATTCTTAACCGGGAATAGTCGTTGGTTCGAATTCCGTGCGATGCATTGATTTGCAAAGCGAAATGTTCGTTGGTTAATTTACCGTCCAGGGCGGACGCCTGTTGGTTGTGGTCGTATTGTTAGAGGTATTGAGTTCGTATTAAGTGCGATTCCTAATGGCGCTGGCATAATGATGTTGCGGTGCTTTTTATTTTCTCCCGCCGGTTCATCTCTTGGCTCAAAGTCTAAACCTATTATAGCTAGTGAGAAGACATGTGTCAAAGCCGGTAAAAGCTTGCTCCCAACAAGCCTTTTCGGGTGGCGTAAGAGTAAAGAACCTTAGGTAGCTTAGCTAGCCAAGATATCAGTCTGAGATCCATCAAACATCTACATGTACACACGGAAAATAACTATACGGTATTATTTATAACAACAACACTGTCAGTAAATTGTTTGATTCATTTCAATAGGCCCCCCCCCAACCTAGAATTAAGACCTGAAACCATTCATGCCCCCTTTCTCCCCCTTACCTGCCCTTTTCTAACGTAAGCATCCCCCCGGCTGAGTCCCTAACCCCGCCCCGATGTTTCCTTCTGCTTACTTGGCTTTTGTCCTCCGCTTTTACCCATCATGTCTTCTCCTGCCTCTCTCTCTCTCATCCTCCATGCCTTCTCATGTTCTCTCCGCCCCTCACCTTCTACGGTGCTACGGCCATCTACATCTCCTCCCATTTCCTCATCCATATCCTGTCCACTACCTTTCGTGTGCCCTACCTTCATTCTGACTGGCTCTGCTGGTCCTTCCTCCTCCTTGCTGCCAAATTCATCCTTCCTCCCAAGCATGATGGTCAAGATGCCAACACACAACAATCAGATAAACTGGCTCTGGCTGTTGCTGCTGTGTGCGCCTTTCGTACCATAGGTGGAGTCGACTGGGCGCTCGTATGTCCTGCTATCTCGCTTGCCTGCGCACCCACTTACTCTCTTGCGCTTATAGCCACTACTCACGCCCTTGTCTCTGCTCATCACACAACAAGCTTCTAACAAAACCCTTCAAGTCGAGTCGCTCGAGAAGGCTCAGCCGGTCGGAACGGTCGCCTACCGTGGACTCTTTTCTTTGACATCAGCCCCGGCCCTTGCTCTTATCCCAGCCGTACTGTCTGCAACTTGGCTTCTACCAGCACCGTATTCAGCATGGCAGATTTGCGCCGGAGTCACTTTCGCCCTCGTCCTAATAGTGGCCTACATGTTGATTCACGAACAAACGGACGAACCGTTGTCAGAGCAGGACGCGGACCGGATACCTTTACCGTCTCCTGCAGCATCATGGCGGGCCTTAGCTGTACTGACCATAATGTTGCTGATTGCGCCCAAAACCTTCTCGCCAACAAAGTTTTCCGAGCCAGTCACCTTGGTTGTCGTTGCGATGCTGAAGTCTGTACAGTGGGTGATGGTTATGGAATTGGTCAGTCTCCCCTGTTTCACTCGGTTGCTTTCTCTGACGGCCTGGATAGGTGCGCAAAGGATTCTTGACGCCCCTTACGACAACTTCGACGTTTGCTGTCAGCACCATACGAACCTTCCATTTGCAAGCTACAACGGGAAGAGCTGGACTTGTTGCTAGCGTCGCCCTCATCAGTCTTTTTCAGACACACAGATTCGTTCAAAAAACGTCCTACAACCGGAGGATACTGTCAGCTATCGGCGGCGTATTCGTGCTGGGATTGGTCCTAAACCAGCCTATGTCTGATAACCGCGCATTGCAAGGGACGTGGATGGGCTCTCTCGTTGCAGGTAACGAACCGCATCCAATCGAATTGCTGGTCAATGAAGCGAATGAAGAGTTCAAGTCCATGGTTGAAGGTCAGTCCAAGACGCTGCCGGATGCTATTGCAGAATACAAGAGAAGATACCGTATGGAACCGCCGCCGGGATTTGATCTCTGGTTCAAGCTTGCCATTGAATCAAAGTGTACGATAGTGGATAACTTCGATACCGTTATGCAGTCTCTGGAACCCTTCTGGGGCATTACCGCAAAAGAGATGCGAGCAAGAGCCGACATGTTTACACAGGTTCCCCTAGCCAAGTGGGCTTTAAGAGGCAAAAAGCCCGTCAAGCTGAAGGACTCGCTGGTGTTGGGGGGTTTCAACGAAGTGCTTGGCGCGTGGTTGGAGCGTTTCAAGGACATTCTTCCTGACGTGGAGATAACCATCAATGGCCTTGCCGAACCCAGAGTGATAGTACCAAATGACAGACTAGATCATCTCATCCGAACATGTCCGAGGGTAGACCCCACAGCAACCGACGACCAACAAAGAAAGCCGCTCGAAATAATGGATCTGGGGAAGGATAAGTCATGGCAAATAGGCACAAGATCATGTCCCGAGAACTCTCCCAGTCGATCTATTTTGCTACCTGCGGAGGAAGAAGGGTTGCAATTCATCAGGAACGTCACCAAAAGCAAAGACGTATGCGAAGCGCCGGAGGCTGCCATGTCCCACGCAATGTTCCTCGCGCCTTACAATTTGAAAGTCACAGATACCCTGGTACCGGTTTTCTCCCATGGTAAACCATCTTCATCTCAGGATATCCTCTACCCCAGTCCGGATTACATTGAGGGTTACCACAAGAGTAATTACAACGAGACCGAGGATCCATTGTGGGAGAATAAAACCAATCAACTGTATTGGACCGGCAGTGACACCGGAGGCTACGCGTCAGGAGACAATTGGCGTCACTTTCACCGCCAACGCTTCGTCGACATGGTCACGAACAGTAACAACGAGATCTCCGTACTCAAGCGTGTCCAGTCTGGTCGGTTCGGCAAATCCACTCGCTGGGAGGAGCGCAAACAAACGATGGCCAGCCTCTCTGACCTTGTACACGTTCATTTCACCTCCATGGATATTTGCGCGGGATCGGCTTGCTTCGAAGAGAAGCAGGCTCTACCTGTCGGGAAGGGAGAGAATAGATCTGCAGGCTACGGTTCGAAATTCCTCTTTGATGTTGACGGCATGGGCCGAACCGAGCGCTACTATCGTCTATTGGGCTCCAGAAGTACTGTCTTCAAGCAGACTATGTATCAAGAGTGGCACGATGACCGCATCGTGCCCTGGGTTCACTTTGTACCGGTCAGCTTGGGCATGCGAGAATTGCCTGAGATATTGAACTTCATGGCGAAAGATGAAAAGGGTCAGGTGATTGCTAAGAACATTGCTGATGCGGGCAGGAGATGGCAGCAGACTGCATTGAGGGAGGAGGATATGGATCTGGCGTTTTTAAGGATTATGCTGGAGTATGCAAGGCTAACAAGCGATGAAAGGGACCAAAGTGGGATGTGTCCCCGGGGTAGGGTAAGAGTCACCGGCAGATGACGACTCGTCTTGCGATTACCATGGAAGAAAGAGGAGTATAGTGGGTGCGTCGGAAGCTTTATACCCTATTTGCTATCATGCCTTGTAAGAATATTAGCGCCGAGCATTTCGAGGCAAGACCAAGTTGAGGCTCTAAGTCTTGAAACCCTTCGTTCTGCCCCATTCAACGAACTCAAGCGTTTCGGCGTCCTATCGAGTGGCAGTCCCAAGACGACAGTCAGGTATAGGTTCGGCCACTCACTGCCACCATGGTCCAAGACTTAAAGTACAAGGACCGTCGTAGAGGTAGCAGCCATGGTAGGCTGCATCAGTAGATTCGCAGTTCGCAACTCCTCTCCAGTCCAGAAGTACGCTTTTTGCGGTAGATTTTGCTTTGAACATGAATCCGTGTTGATGTATGAAAGCGCCACCAGATTTTCAATGACGCGAAAATTGACTCCATCCCCAGCGCAAAGGAAGTTGCGACGCGGACGACCGACGACTACAACCTCACAGACACATAGATTGTTGACGCTCTTGGGTTCGCTGGGTCAGACCTTGCGAGGGATGAACCGATGACCTGACATACAGGGGAAGGGAGACCATGTTTTCGGAGAGCAAGTTGTAAGAGGTGTGAGGGGTATGTGGCTGGGAAGAAGGGAGAGACCTGGCAGCTTTGGTATGGGAACTTGGTTCTACTTCGTTACAGGGCGAGGAGGGAGGGTTTGTTCCAGGTCTGTTGTGCAAATGATAGACTTGGGCAACTTTGAAGGGATGGGAGAGGACAGAAAGTCATCAGAAGAGGGGCAAAGACGATTCTATACGGTGATTGAAACTATGAACATATAGAGCGATGAGTTAAAAAGGTGGATGCACTCAGTCCACCATGTGAAGGCAAAGGGAGATGAAACAAATGTCTAGGGAAGTGAACGCTGCAGACACATAAGTGACAAAAACGCAAAAACATACAGCAGTTAGTATTCGCTGGTCGTCACCGACCCAACTACTAATTAACCGATCTGAGGCTTATCTTTGGCTGAGCGGACGGGAAGCCGAGTTCTCAACAGTCTGTGGCCGTATGTGAAAGAGACCTTTCTATTTAATTATATAAATAAATTACATTCAAGTCTTCGTCTAAACCTCAAATCCTACACCTCTCTTCAAACCTCATCCTTAGGGGAAGAAGACCCTAGGGAAGCTCACAAACGTGAAGGTGAGAGTATGAAAATTTCACCAGTGACCTGACTTGACGGGATCTAAAGCCCAGTGTGTTGAAAGCTGACCGCTGAATGGGAAGGGCGATTTAGAAAATCTATCAGCATTCCAGCTATGGATAGAGAACCCTAAGGAAGCTCTCGAACGTGAAGGTGAGAGCTTGAACATTCCGCTAGTGACCTGACTTGACGGGATCTAAAGCCCAGTGTGTTAAAAGCTGACCTTGAACGTGAAGAGCGATTTAGAAAATCTCTCAACATATCAGCCAGAGAACTCAATCATTCCAAATGACCTTGTACAACGTCTGGTAACCGGAGCAGGAGCAGGCAGTTCAGTCGTCTCCTCTTCCATAGGACAAAACAAGAGGGTTTCTCTCACTGAAAGATGCGAGGGTTGATCAATAAATGCCTGGCAAACTATTGAGCATTGAGGAGTTTCCCCCAAAAGGATGCTAGGATACTCAAGCAAAGGCGTATCCTCGGGATGATCCAAGCAGAGCCGCGTCTGGCAATGTGTCGAGCAAAGCAGGAAACTGGGAGCGCTAAGACCTAAGCGAGAGTACACAAAAGTGAAGTGTGGGCTCATGAAACCCCTCACAACTTCACCCAACTCATACTCGGACACCGGTACAATCAGCCGCCAGCCTTCGAAGATGACACGCCAGGTAATACAGGATCTCTTGCCCTTGTCTAACATGTATGTGCTACTGACGTGAGTTTAGAACCCGATCGTCCTCGATGACGAGGCCATAGAACGCCCTCCGTACACTGGCATCCAGCAGTGGGCCGCGATGAGACAAGCCGATGGCAAAGACCCCACTGCTACCTCCAATCATACGCGTAGCATGTCTCAAGCGTCGTCAACTGCAGAGCCTGCTTCGTCTCCTAGTCCTCAGCACCGCAATGCATCGGCCTACCTTCACCTACCGGTGGCTCAACCACTACGGTCGGAACCCCCACAAGCCGCAACCGATGCACCTCAAGCCCCGGTCCGTTGGCATGTTCCACCCCAGCAGGTCTGCAAGGACGGAGCGACGCCGACCCTCGTCTGTGGTAGATACTCACCTGCCCTGAACGATCCTCCGAAGCAGCCCAGTACGAGAGGAGGCTCAGGACCGTACAAGTGTCCCCGTTGCCACGTCGGATACTCGAGGATCGACAGCGTCAGACAACATTTCCCACACTGCATCGCCTTAAACGGCAATCCTGACTGTGATTCCTGGACCGACGATGATAGTTATGCCGCTGGTGTGGCGGACCGCAGTGCTTCTAGGGTCGAGGGCAGAGTCACACAGAAGGCACGCAAGCCGTCAGTGCAACCCAATCCTCACTTGAAATCGGTATGCTGACTGTAAGAAGGCGTACCAGGGCCACCCATCTTGTGAACCTTGGTATTTCAGAACTGGTCATACGTATCGCCTCGCATGATCATGTGGAATTTGATGGTCTAGAGCCTTCTAGTGGAGAGGAGCAACTGTAAGAAGCACTTCCAAGGATCGTTGATCAATCTGACTCGCCGGTATAGTGGCAACGAGACAAAGGAGGACGAGGACAAGGCATGGGAAAACATAGTGAAGAACTTGGTAAGCGCGGACGATGACTCAATGACGGCTGGTACATGGCTAATTGTCTGTGCAGAAGGAGGAGACGCGTAATGCTCAGGAGATCTCGCCTGAGACACAGGCGTTGATTGGAATGTTCAAGGAGGACGGGATGTGGGACAGCGAACCTTCGGATGAGGCCTGAGGTGGCTGGGTGTTCACATGGGTGGAAGTCGCAGTGGCATCGTACATAAAGTCTACGCATCATTTGAGCACGGTGGAGTGTGACGGCGCGGGACCCATGAGCCGTAGAAGCGCTCGTGTCAGGCATGGAAACATTTCACAGTAATGAGCGTGTACATATTCAAAGCTGGCAGGTTACGACCACCTAATTACATTCTCAGCTTACGATCGAAACACCATTGAGAGCTTCTCTGTGTAACTTCCCTAGTCGGTGAACCTCTGCGGCTCCGACCTACGAAGCTCGCAGAGCCTCCTTCTCCGGATCCTTGGCCTCTTGCAGCTGCTTCTGCCTCGCCCCAACACGCTCGTCGATGAAGTCCAGAAGCTCCCCCTGCCTCTGGCGGAAGGTTTGCTCGCGCAGCTTGAGCATGGCGGAGAGTGATCCGTTCTTCGCCTGCCAGGCCTTTGAAGCGGTGCCGAAGGTCTTCGCGAATTGACGGTTCAGAGCCTTCCTCGTGGCATCCCACCCGTTCTGCTTGCTGAAACCGGCGCTGGGCAGTCTGTGGCTGTCTTGAAGATGCTTGAGGGGTCGGATCTTTCCCAGTGTTTCGATGCGGGTTTGCTGGTATGATCCCCATGGGGTGACGGGATCGTAGAAGCCGAATTGAGCACCGGTGACATCCAACGCGTAATCTTCATCCTCGTTGATGGTGATCTTGAACATGACGTGCTCAGATTTAGAGCTGTCGCTTTCGTGCCCGTCCGGCTCGATGACGACGACCCTATGCAGATTTCAGAGTCAGCATGGCTTTTGGAGGCAGGAACGCAGTTTCTAAGCTAGGTTTGGACAAACACAAGAGCATCCAGCTCTCGAAACATGGTCCTTCGGACACGGTATTGGTACTGACTAGGAAGCAATTACTTCAATGTGTGCTTACCGACGTAGATACTTGACTTTCGGAATCCGAACCTCTGACACTTTGAACGGGACATCTGTGACATGTTAGTCTAACCGGATCACAATTGAGATTTCATCGCCGCCCTCGAGTCTTGGATCGCCGGTCGACGATTGTAATGGGTTTCTGACCTTGGAGCATAGTCTCAACAAGAACTTGCACGTAGTCTTCAGAGCTACCACAATTCATCCAGGCCATAGCAGCCTGCTTGTCTTGATCGCTGTTCAACTGCTCCGAAGGAAATGCGTTGAATATGCTCCGATCCTTGGGCCCCTCTCGCACGTAAAGGGTTTCTTCCTTGGCTTCTAACCCTACGACGTCCAGATCGAAGATGCGCTCGACAAGACGGAAGAACGCGAGCTGTGCTGTCTCCGCCACACGATAAAGAGATTTGCGGGCCTGAGCCTTCTTGCAATCGCTCTTGTGGTACGTCCAATCAGCTTCCTGACACTTCACGCTGCAGTACCATACAGACTCGACGTGTCCTCCTTCGGCATCTGGCGCTTGACGGCAACCATCGCAGATTTTCGTGGCAGCTTCCCTGCAGCGGGCACAAATGTTGATTGTCTCATCTGCTTCTTCTGTAGAGGAATCCATCTTTGATACGCACCCTGTTACACGTGGTCAGGTGCGGAATGTTGTAGTCTTGTATGATAAGAGCGCATGAGGCCTCATCAGTATTTGAGGCGCTTGTTGAAAGTATTATTGTGTTGATCAGCGGGCGGAAGCTGTGGCTGGTTCTGGAAGTTGGTGGTTGATTGTGGTTCAGGACCGAATGAGGCGGTTGCACCAACCCGTAAGACTGTTCGAATGATAGGAGTGGTTGCCCGGATGTCTTGTCTTATCAATCTTCGGAAGCTAGAGATGTGGAAAGGTCAAGGTGTTGACAAACAAACATCACGACGCAGTCACCCCTGGACCATAGCGGGTCCAGAAAAGTTGTTAATGATAACCAACATCAAGACAAGGACATGACTAGGCTGTATTGACTTCAGCATAAGTCTTGCAAGATAGCTACCGTCACAGTAGCATCATAGCAGAGGCACAACTGCTTCCGTAAAAGTCATGCTATAGTCCGCAACTCCAGCAAACAACGTTGCATTTCTTTCACTTCATGGAAGCATCTGGCAGGACTGTTTTGGCGGTGTGCAGCCTGCGGCTACTTTTCAACAAAGGCTTGTGCAATGCAAAGGTGCCCTCTTCCCTGTCAAAGACTCCTTGATGCAAAGCTGCAGCCACCCAGCCATCCTTGTCTCGCAGTATGTGCAACATCCTCCCTATACGCCACAGTATTCTCCTCCTCAATCTTCAGTCTTATTCATTGCTTCCTTTCTTACAGCCTCCATGCTTTTCACTTCTTGGTATGCTTCGTAAATATTTGAGGTTTTCTGCAGGGCGGTTCATTCTGACAGTTGGAGACTGGAGGTTCTCAAGATCCTGAACGTGCCGTTCTAGCCGGGGGTCTGACTACATGCTTCTCTACACACTTAATGCCCAGCTGCATTGACGTCGTCAGCAAAGAGAGAACCCATCTTGTGAAAGGCCTCTGTATGTTCCAACGCATTGAGCCTGGCCATGATGTCCGAAAAACACACTGAGGCACCTGCGTTCCGCAGTCCGTTACTCGTGACCACGGTCCAACCAATAGACACGGTTTCGAAAAAGCAAGAGCGAGGGGCGCATCATAGCAGATCCCAGAATCCCCCGAGACTGCTATTTCAAACGACCAGGTCTAAGCTCAAGCGCTCATTCGAGTGCTGGACAGCCTTACGCTTGTGTAGAGCACAAGGAGCAGAGGCGATGGAAGCCTGAAGGCTTGGACTGCGCCCCTGCGAACCAGCGCTAGTCTGGAAATGGAGGTAGCGCATCGTCAGCAACTCGATGACTGGCCTCTTCAATCACCAAAGCTCTCTCTGACTTTGGCTGGACACGACAGCTCTAGAGATGAGACAGAAAGCCTCAATTGAGCAATTGCCTCGAAAAAAGGATCAATTCCCTGGCATGGCAAGTCGAGCTTGGCCTAGGCTGGACAGCCATCTACGAGGCGCAAGCCTGCCAGGTGCCAATTGGTCTACCTATCTATTACCATCCTGCGCAGTAGCAGAGATGGCAAGGCTACAGACCAATGACATCAGAGCCAGCTGTCAACTGGCTGCGAATTGACCAAGTGCTAATTAGATGAATGCTCGCTTGTGTACAGCAAGGCAATGCCCTCCTCCATAATCCCTCAATTGCCCGGAGCGCTTGCTCTTGCCCAAAGCGAGCGATATGAATCACACATCATGTGCACGGCGAATGGCCGTTTCGGAGGCCTATCAAATCAATTAAAAAGCTGACTCTCCCCTGACTGCTGTTGACAGCCTGTTATCGAATAGTAGCACTGACACAGGCTCTCAGCCTGTTTACTTTTTGGGGTGATCTTCCAAAACATTACTTCCTACAATAATTCAAGAACCAATACCTGTGCAGTACTCCTGCTAGCTCACGGCAATACTTCCACTACCTTCGATCGCCCCAACCCCATCAATGTCTGCCACCACGAATCCTCTCCGCCGTCCCTTCGAGACATTCCATAGAGCACATCGAGGATCCAATGGTCACCACAACTCCTCTGAGGCGAATGTTGGGATACCGTTTCATGGTAGCTGTTCAAGATGCCACCACTTCCACATCAACCACCAATTCGAATTCTCCCTCGACTCTACGGTACACACAAGGCTATTCTGCGAAAGGTGCAACCACCCTATATTTGGATTGGGGAGGGTCTCAACCCAAAATACCCTCGCTTCGGTCGAATCTGGTTCCACATTCACTCCTCGAGCTTGCGTCGATCGACCGGGACAACAACCCGCATCGCAGGTAGAGGCAGTGCCGGGCACTCCAGGACTTGGGCTGTTGACCACGATTACGGAGCGCAGGTCTCCAGCACCCAGTCGGTCTACTTCCAATATCCGCACTCCAACGCCGACGCCGGGGGCTACCTCCCCGGCTGGTGAAGAAGCAGGTGCCGAAACTAGACGGGAAGAACCCGTGGAAAGTCGTGATTTGCCAAACGGTACTGCTCAAGGGGGCCCGGAAGAGCGAGGCTTACAGCCGCAGACTGCGACTCTAAGACGTCTTCGGACAATTGGCCGTCGGTTCAAGCGGCGCTTCCATGCCAAACCAAGGGAGTGGAGATTACCTCGGATAGGGCTACGAATCACTTACGTTCATAGGGCTGACATCGGGAGCGATGCATTTGCTTCGGCCTCCGTAACAGAGGCGTCTTCAGGTCAGGAACGATCAGATAACGCCGAAGAGCTAGTCAACGGAACAGGAGATGATACAGAGGACAGACATGCGCCCCTTCGTGCACGACGGCGCGAGTTAACGCTTGAGAGAGAAAGAGAAGTCGCATCGATTCCCAAGTGCGAGTGCGGTCATGAGTGTCCCTGCATGAGCGGTTCCCATGTTGTCCAAGTCGACAGAGCCGAAACGCCTGAGAATATTTACGTCCCTGGTTACCTCTTTCCCCACCATTATTCATCCACAGGAAGCAGCAACAGCCAACCTTCTCAAAACGGTGCACAAGGACTGGATTTTCTCCACATCGGCGGTCACTTCGACTCACCGCGGAGGTCGTCAAGTGCTGATGAATCAAGCTCCGCTGCGGAAAGTGGTCCGAGACGAATAAGGCTCAGTCAAGGTTCAACACTATGGAGCAATGCAAGCTCTGTCTCCTTACGGGCCAGGCGACCACTTGTTGGTCGAGCTTCTAGCATGCCTGTTGGCACTCGTGCCCAATATCTTGCTGGCGCTCGGACTAGCTCGAATACGAACGGCTCAACCCCAGGCTCTGGCTGGCCTGAGACCGCCAGAGCTCCTGGATCGCTCGACGAGGGAAGCATACTTGGACGTACAAGCCACACGGAATCCTCCCGGAATGGCGAAAGCCAATCGCACCAAAGCTCTATAAGCCTCGCGAATCTCCCTGATCCTCAAGAAGAGGAGCAAATGGTTGACGGTGTGAGCCCTGCGAGCGCCACACCATTGCGGGACGGCGACGAAGTTACTCCAACACCACACAGCGGCATCGGCTTAAACGGGGACTCGAATGGAGTGGCGCCAGTGGGCTCGCATGAGCTGTCAAGTGCTTTACAGGATCTTGGGAATCAAGAAATAACAGCTGATGAGGATCACTCGCCAGAATCTCTAGCTAACGACCGCTCTGGCTGAAAACTATAAATCCTTCCTGGCCTCATTCAGAGTCATTGAAATCGATCTTGCTAGCTCTTGTTCTTTCTTTCGCATCGGCTGTACTGGCTCGCTGCCGACTTACAAACCCAAAATTCAGCCCCTGGATATCCCGAAACGGCGCAATCAATAGAGAAGAAGTCTTCGAAGATATGGCGGGGTCGAGCGAGTAGAAAGGTTCACGCTCGGCTGGTTGTTGCTCTTCGCGTTTACGAATTATCGTTTTCATCTTGTCCCGTTTTCCTTGCATGGCGTTGGTAGAAGTGCTTACAGGTTCCCCAGCGCTGTCGTAGGGTTCTTGTGGGTTTTGTGATTTCATCTTGTGTTCATTGACGTGTATATCTCCGCCATGATGTATGGTCAGATTTAGGGTGGTCTCTTTGTACTTAAGTCTCATGAATGCACAATGTTATGCACTCAGCCCACGACCTGGTCTCAGTAGGCCACAACTATTAGTCCGACATTTTCTATATAAATTTCGTGGGTCGCTGCGAATGGCTCTAAGTTCTTTAGATGGGCTTGCAGATTGACAGTCGCCCTCACTACATCAACGAAACCGCTCATGGACAATGACGAGATTCCCTCTTGCCTTGTCTCATTACTACAGAAAGGCCAATGCAAATCTTCGTTATCAAGGTAAGAGCCATGAGTTGGGTGAGGCTACTTGGGTTTTCCGGGTTGCCCAGTCGTGTTTCAAGTCGTGTCCGTTAGCGATTATTGGAACCTCAGAATGAGATGAGAAGGATGACTAGCTAAGTGAGCCCCATGGGCCGACTATATTGCACATCTACAACGAAAAGCAAGGATAGTGCCGAACAAAGGCCAGACATCAGCTGATATCATTGCTTCCAACGGCGATCAGCAAGAACGAAATGCAGGAGCATGCCATAGAAACGGAATCGCTTGGGGGACCTACTCGGACCTTCCAGCCCTGGGCGGGACCGAAAAGACTGGTGTCATGAGGGCTTGTCCGAATGATTAGCCCGGGTCGAGTATAGTAGCGCCCGCTCAGGCTCGATCTATAGTCAAGGGCAACTCTGGAACGGTTGAAAGAACTTGTAGGAGAAAAATGCATTCACCGACACACGGATACTCGCAGTATCGCCATGCCTGGTTACGCTGGTAGTGCGGTTGAGTATATGATTGGGGACTTGAGAGGATGATAGACCACCTATAACAGGCGACCATGAAAAATGGAGGAGGCAAAACCTTGAGAATACGCCATGATCGTACCACCATCAAGGGGATCTCTCACGTCGAAGAGATGACAGCTTTACGCCGAAAATAGCAGATTGGGGATTTGAGGAGGGCTGATCAATGTTCTTCCGGCCAAGGTGTGTCTTTTGTGGGTAGAGTTTGGAACAAGCTAGCTGCTGATCGGAGGGTCGACCTCGACACCGAAAAGACTTCTAAAAGGTGGTCATTCGGAAGAGATATAGGCTCAAGTCGAAATAACGGGAGCTGTGTTGCCCGGAAGCCTCTTGATCAGCGAGCGCAGGACTATCAAGTCAAAATGTTCATATGAACTCACCAGTCAGAAAATGTGAATTTCGAAGGCCCCTTATTGATCCCGGTCTACTTTGCTAAAATCTAACCTCAACATCATTCACAGAACAACCGTTGAATCCATTATTACTAATACAACCGTCGTAAAGGATACACAGGCTCAGATGCCGCGATAACTTATATCGACCTTCGCAAGCGAGAACGGCGTTTAGGGCAGTGCTCTAAAATTACTTAATGGGATACTTTAAGGTTCAAGGAGTCAGTCCCGGAATCTTTCAGCACGGTTACCGTCAATCTGAAACCATAATCAATCAAGCCAACATTCATGATCCTGCTCTCTCACATCACATCTATTCAACAACATGCAACAACAACAACATTTCTCGCTTTCGAATTCCAATTCCAAAATACAATGTCACGTGTGTGCCTGTGAGTCGGACCGGAAGTCTATTCTCGATATTTCCAATCCAAAATACTGCACGATTGGCACCAGCCTATCAATGATACAACTTATAGGACAAATTTGGGTGCCGTCGTTGCCTGGGAGCTCATTATATGGCCAAAGAGACGGAGCAAGCAAATCGCTCGGTCAGGGATATCGAAAGGAATCCCGTAGGTGAAGCTCACTTGACAAATACCACGGTTCGGAGTCTTGCATGGCACGGCATACATGTCGAAAAAAGAAGCTGGATGAGTGATGTTCGACCCACTCCCTTTCTCTCAATTATAGATGGGTATGCTGAGGCTGGTACGCTGACCCAGCCATTGGAAAAAAGATTCGCGCTGAATTGGACCAGGGACACTCACCGCCCTAATGGGACCTTCCGGCAGCGGCAAGACCACGCTACTGAACGTACTCGCTCATCGGAATCCCGGTGCAAGATTGAATGTCGCGGGCAGCGTATATGTCAACGGCTCCACCATCTCGGATACGGATTTGCAGAGCATGAGCTCCTACGTTGAGCAAGATGACGCCTTGATCGGATCGCTGACGGTGCGAGAAACGCTGGACTTTGCTGCACGTCTATCTTTGCCCAGGTAAATGTTCCTTGGGATCTGGAGGCGGCCCGTGGTCTGATAAGCTCAAGCACAATCCCAGGTCATGAGCGAAGGCGGCGCGTTGACCAGCTCCTGTTTGCGTTCGGGTTGCAAAATCAAGCTCACACCATTGTTGGCACACCCATCCGCAAGGGCATATCCGGCGGGCAGAAGCGACGGCTTTCGATTGCCAGTCAGCTCATCACCGCCCCAAAGATCTTGTTTCTTGATGAGCCTACTAGGTGTGTACATTCTTGGTGCAAAGTCTTTTTTTCCTGGGGCAATGTAGGAGTTGGGAGACATGTTCCGGGAGCAAAAGGCTCCTATCATCCTTTCGAGCTGTCTCATCTCTCGGTTCTTGGCGTTGAAAGGGACGCTGACTTCGAACTCTCCATAGCGGGCTGGACTCGAAAGCAAGTTATGAAGTCATCAAATACCTGAAAAGCATTGTCCGAAAGCAAAGGGTAGGTCGCTTTGGGGGTCCGTTCCCTGCCCATCGACCACTGACAGAAGGATGCAGTTGATCGTCATCGCAAGCATTCATCAACCTTCATCATTGACTTTCGATCTTTTCGATAATCTATTGCTACTGTCAGCTGGCCTGACCTGCTATAATGGCCCACTGCCCGCGATAAAACCTTATTTCGAACGCAGAGGCCTTCCAATGCCTCTATACACTAACCCTGCCGAATTTCTGCTCGATCTTACAAGCAGTGACTTTTCCCAAGATGAGGCAGATGCACAACGCCGACTGGAAAAGCTACATTCGGCTTGGCGAGAGTCGTCCGAGGCACACGCTATCTCAGCATTTGTCGCCGGGCCGTCTTCAGAGAAGGATGTACTCATCGGGAACAAGTCTCGTGCTCCCTTTCTGAACGTCACGCTCGCACTCCTTCACCGCTCATTCATCAAGAGCTACCGAGATGTCGTTGCCTATGGCATTCGATTTGCAATGTACATCGGGCTTGCGGTCATGATGGGAACGGTATGGCTGCGACTTCCGCCAACCCAGTCATCGATAGGACCTTTTACCAACGCAATCTTCTTCGGTTCGGCCTTCATGTCCTTCATGGCCGTCGCATACGTTCCGGCTTTCCTTGAAGACCGTACTACGTTCATCAAAGAACGCGCCAATGGCCTGTATGGCGCTGCTCCATTCATGATTGCAAACTTCCTGATCGGGTTGCCTTACCTATTCCTCATATCCCTCGTATTCTCATTAATAACCTACTTCCTCAACAACTTCCGGCCAACAGCTGGAGCCTTCTTCACATGGGTGATGTGGCTATTTCTGGATCTGCTCGCTGGAGAGTCTCTGGTTGTCCTCATGTCCTCCATCTTCCCGATATTTGTCGTCGCTCTGGCTCTCATCGCGTTCGCAAATGGTCTGTGGATGAGTGTTGGCGGCTTTTTGGTCTCTCCAGAGATCTTGAACCCATTCTGGAAATACGTCTTCCATTATATTGACTATGTAAGTCACCTCTCTGGCTTTCTCCCCGGAAGAGATAAGCTGACCCCTCTCAGCAAGCCTACGTTTTCCGAGGCATGATGGTCAACGAATTCGGCTACCGTGTTTATGACTGCGGCAAAGGATGTCACTGTATGTACCAGAGCGCATTGGCTTCCCAGTGCAAGATTGACGGCCAGGCTGTACTGGAAGAGTATGGGTACCGTACTGGAGACACTGGCAAGTGGGTCGGTATCATGCTGGCGATTATCCTTGTTTATAGACTCATGGGGTGGGCTGTGACACATTTGCGGAAGACATAGAGCGTTCTTAAGACATATTGATTGCATATCCCAAGGTAAATAATCGACACACACCCTCTTACTCTAAGCTCGGCGCTCAAGTATGGCGGCGATCTGGTGAAACCTGTTTTTACAATTTGATGACTTTCTTTTCGAAACAAACTCTCAAGTTCGGACGCCCTGAGCAAGGTGACATCTCTCATGGGCGTCGTGAGTACTGATTGAATTTTTATTCTTCTTGTTCTTTGGAAGAGTAGGTCGTTGATAAGGATCACAAGAGACAGACCTGGAGCGGAATGAAAGGCCAACAGAGTATTGCTCATCGACTGCCATGAAGTCGACCTAGAAAGCTTCTAAGATCCAGTCATTTCCCCCTTCGTTTAGCCAGGATATTTCCCGGCAAGTTCCGCTGCCTTGATAGACTCTGCGTCGAAGCCCGTGGTACCTCCGCGGTACAGAATATCATGTCTGGCATACGGTTCCACACGAACCTCTACCTCATTTCCCTGATGCACAAACTCCGTACTGTTACCATAAAGCACTTTCAAGCCTCGAAGCTGCATGGACACCTGACAAGCACTTCGGCTGCGAACTCAGATCTGTAAAGATCTGGACCCTCGGTGGCAATGGCAGACTACTAAGCCAGAATGTTGTTTCCGAGGCTGCTAACATCTACAGTCTCGCACAAGTCCTGTACAGACTCTCTCGCAATCAAGAGCTCGGAAAAGAAACCCTGGTCACGGCGATGAGCCAAATGGTCCGGAAGTACGCCGATTTGCAGAAACGTGTTCACGGCCCAGTCGCAGCATCCGAGCAGTATTTGGTGGTACGTCGATTCCTGCGAGGATGCTTGGACTCACTCACGGTCCCGAGATCCTCCTCACTGGGGCTACTGGTGCAGTTGGCGCACATGTTCTCGCCCGATTGCTCGACAAAAGCAGAGTGGAAAAAGGGTTCTGGTTGATCAGACGTGGGAGTCCACTCTCACGGCTTCACAGTTCAATGAAAGAGAGGAGACTTTCTGTTATGGATCCGACAAAGCTTTCAGTCCACATTAGGGACCTCAGCCAACCTGATCTGGATCTTGATAAAAGAGATCAGATTGTCCTATTATCGCAAATCACTCATATCATTCACTGTGCTTCGCCGGTTAATTTTCGGCCGGGTCTTCTTTCTTTTGAACCTCATATCGCCGGCGTACGGAACCTTATGTAGATGTCTCCCAAGTGCCGAATCCGCGCGATTTATATTTTGCTCTTCCATCACTTCTGCGATGGCTAGCCCCATGCGAGCTCGAATCCCTGATGCCCCTATCGAACACTTGTCTCTTAGCTCTAAGCTGGGCTATGGCCGTTCAAAGTTGGGTGCTGAGCACGTTATTCAGGCCGCCGTGGATACAGTGTGTGCAAAGGCAACGATACTAAGGATAGGCCAGATAGTCGGTGACCAAAACATGGGATTTGGAATGAAAGGAGATGATTCCAATGATTGTTCGGAGCGGGTTACGAATCGGGACACTGCCTGTCTTGTCTTGGACAGGGACTGTGAATGAGTGGCTACCGGTTGAAACGCTTGCCGAAACCACATTGGAAATCGCTGGCCTTTCAGTCCCTTCGTCCATGGAAACTGGAAAGTCTCCCGAAGGACAACCTACGCAGATGCCTGATAGAGAGGACGAAAACCAAGAACCAGTCGAGGACTGCCTCCGGACCACGGAGCTGGTATACAATACCCGCTCTCCTCATACTCTTTCTTGGACAAACGACTTTCTTCCCACTCTCGCCGCAGGAGGACTCAGATTCGAACGTGTGTCTTTCTCCGAATGGCTCGAACAACTTGAGTCCCGCCCTTCAGAAGCAAGCCAACGTGGAAACGCAGGAAGAAGTAATTATGTTGAAAATACCAACCACAACCCTGCGGTGAAATTACTTTAGTACGAAGACTGGACTTCATGACGACAGCAAAAGTGTGATCTTTGACTGATAAAGCGAAGAGAGACGCTCCTGCATTAACAAGTGCTCCTCATGTCGTAGATAGTGGGCTTGTGGATCTGATGGTCAGCCGTTGGATGAACTGGTGGACAATGGCCGGCAGTCAAGCAGCTCCTTCACGGGGATCCAAGTGAAGACTTTGGCTGTTAGGTGCTGCTCTTGAATGGCAGGTCTAGAGGCAAGAATCAGCTCACAGGCTTCTGCATTCTTTTGTAACTTGTTTGATCGGTGGTGGAATTAACGAAGTGGATTCAGGGATTGACCACGGGGACAACAATGAAGCTTTATATCGAAAGAAATTAGGGTCTTGAACCCTTTTCGAGTATGACCATCCACGGACCGACTGCCTGTCCAAGCGGATTTGCTGAAGTGCAAAATCGAGAGACTGCTAAGATATGAGAGCGATTTAAGAGTTGCGCTCTCGTCGTGAGTAGGATGGCTTTGATGTATATGAATCGTATCAACAGGTTTCCCAGGCTTGTTTCTGTGTGTGTTATTCTCCTAATTACATACTTGAGATGGTCAAGAATCGTCCGAAGCCTCGGAAGCATCTTGTAGATCGGCCCAGGGTACCTGGCGGATAAGATTACAGAGCGGGAGGCGCCGAAGATACTGGACTAGTACCTTACGCTAGGCCTTGAGCTTCGGCAAAGTTGCTCCGTCCAACCACCAGAAAGCCCAGTACAAATCGGCGGCCAGAACTCAATGGACGACACCACCACCACCAACAACGGCGATGAAGCCGATGATCCCGAATCCCACCTTCAGGATGTAGTCAACGATGTGGATCTGGACAGTGCGACGGAAGAAGAGCCCTTGACTCTCGACCCAAGTACGTACTTCCCCTCCTCCATACATTCCCTTCTCTCTCCTCTCTCCTCCACAGAACACCCTCTAACACGCGTGCCTGCAGCGCAAGACCCCTCCCTCGTCGGCCTTCGCGAAATCTCTTCCCTCGCCTCCTGGTCCGTCTCGACCCACAAGCCCTCCTGCGGCGTCGACGCCCTCCGCAACCTCAATCCGAGCCAATTCTGGCAGTCGGACGGTCCGCAGCCGCACTTGCTCACCATACACTTTTTCAAGTTGGTCAAGATTGTCAAGATGAGGGTCTACTTGGATTTTCAGCTGGATGAGAGTTATACGCCTACGAAGATGCAGTTTTGGGGTGGGACTGGGATGTATGATCTTGTGAGTCTCGATCTCGCTCGATCTGGAAGGGGAGGATGCGGACTGATGATGGGGGGGGTGGGATAGGTCTCGTTCTACGAATGGCGTGGTGAAGAGCCGCGGGGCTGGATTGATGTCGATCTTGAGGGCGTCGGTGTGGGTGGCAAGGCTGAGCTGAGGGCATTTGTGGTGCAGGTACGCGTGTTGGAGAACCATCAGAATGGAAAGGATACGCATGTTCGTGGCGTGCAGATCTTCGCGCAGGACGACAAGATTAAAAAGCCGAGAGCCGCAGTGGCTGACGAAGATGGTAAAAACACGAATGGTGTTGAGGGAATTGAGGTTATGGGCATGGAAGAACCGGATTGGATGCAAGATCCCGAAATTCGATGAGACATCGGGGACCAGTTTCTTCTGCTGGAATGGAGATGGATGATCTCCACCCGGAATGTCAGCAAGACAGTCCATGCGCAATGATGACCCACATACCGCACATCGATCCAAGGGTCACTGGCACCTGGAGTCTTGGTGGAACGTTGTCTCTATGGACTGCCATAGGAGCTTTTGCTTCTATCCAGACAAGATCTTGGACAATTCTTGAGCAACGTGATCGCCAACCTGCTTGGTGCTCGACTTTCCTCCAATGTCGCCCGTGCGCACATTGGCATCGATCGTCCGCCGGACCGCCTCCTCTATTGCCTTTGCTTCTTCTGGTTGATTGAAGGAGTATTGAAGCATCATAGCCGTTGATAGGATCATTGCCACGGGGTTGACTTTCTCCTGCCCTGCGATATCAGGAGCCGAGCCTATTTAATCTTATTAGCAACCATCCGAATTCCTCGATCTTTCTACAGCACTTACCGTGTATGGGCTCATAAATCCCACTGACCACACTTTTCCCATCCGGCACCCCATTCAAACTCGCACTGGGCAACAAGCCCAAACTTCCAGGTATCACACTCGCCTCATCGCTTATGATATCCCCAAACAAGTTACTTGTGACAATAACTCCATTCAGGGCCCTTGGATCCTTGACCATCAACATAGCTGCACTATCAATCAAATGATGCCCAAGCTGTAGTTGCGGAAACTCGTTCTTCATAACCTCGCTGACAACCTTCCTCCACAGCCGACTCGTAGCAAGCACGTTGGCCTTATCCAAACTCCACACTTTCTGCGGTGGCTCCGTAGCCATAGCCAAATGCGCAGCTAATCTCGTCACGCGCTCAATTTCCGCCCGTGAGTAGGGTTCGGTATCCCAAGCGTAACCGTCGTTGTTTTCCTCCTCTTTCCGCTCTCCGAAGTATATGCCCCCGGTCAACTCGCGAATGATGGTAAAGTTGACGCCGCGGCAGATGTGCTCTTTGAGAGGGGAGATGGAGGTCAGGGAGTCGGAAGCGAAGTTGCAGGGGCGTAGGTTGCCGAAGGTATTGAGTTCTTTGCGGAGCTTGAGGAGGCCTTGTTCAGGGCGGACGGGGCCGGTGCCATATTTCTTTTATGTGCAGAAGAGGTCAGAGTCTGCTTGGAAGCATGTTGTAGATGGAAGAGAAAGGAAGGCGTACGGGGCCACCTATTGCGCCTAAGAGGACCGCGTCCGCTTTTTTGGCTGCGGCGAGGGCTTCGTCTGTGAGAGGGGAACCGGTGGCGTCGATGGAGGCCTGAAATCATTGTCAGCGGAAACTGCTAGCTGGAAGCATTTCAAGAGCGTAACACACCCCGCCTAGCAGGTGTTCTTGGAAGTCGAATTTGATGTGTGGTCGTTCTTTCTCTACTACGCGAAGAATCTGGATTGATTGGTATGAGCCGACAGTTCTCTTGCCTCGTGGGTAATTGAGCTGGGCGATGGTACCTTCAATGCTTCTGCCGTGACCTACAATGTCCATCGTCAGTCACGGCGTATTTTGAGGTATCTTTGGGGGGGGTTCTACCTCTGGGCCGCAGTAGTCCCCAGCGAAGACGACAATATTGTATGGAGGCATTCTGAGGGTAGATGAATTGGCAGGAATACGGATGGAGCGGGCTGGAAAGTATGGGTGATTTGTGCATCTACGAGAAGGGAATTTGTTGTGTCACGGATTCATACCTCGGAACGCCGTCATCGGAGCCGCCGGCGACACTTCGGGAAATCTTTCGTGTCTGGCTCTTTGGCCCGAAATCTCACCAAGCGAAAATGATGGATACGCAAAGTAGCTTTTCACTTGCATGAAATTGCCAGGGGGATGTCTGACTCTGATGGGTTTTTTTCGATATAGTGACAAGGAAATCAAGAAGTCAGGTGTGCATCACTGAGGGCAATAGCCGCGGCCATCGAAGTTTGATGGTCCTCCGCAATCTGGATTTCGGTATCGTCGTAGGCCCTTTGCAGCGTGACCATAGCGTTTATCATCCCCTCTATGTCAAACGCGGCAAAGCGAATGAAATTCTGCAGCTCCTCCTCCGCAACTTTCACCTCATTAGAACTCAGTCTCAATTTGTACGCCCTTTTTTGGGATTGCTGCAACAGCTCCTTCGCTGTTTTCAGAACCTCCCAGAACATCTGAACTTTCTCTGGATATCCTGAAGCTGCGAGTGGCATATGCATCGTTTGTGGCGACTTTTCGATCTTGGAAAGCCACCAATGTACTGCGGCTTCTTTCCGTGGTTCGCTGTCCACGCCAACGAGATGTACCTGCATATCGCCCTCGTAAATTTCAGATATCCCTTGATCTCCTAGGTCATACCCGTTGTACCAACTCCGCGGTTGGTAGGCTACATGGTCTTGATTCTCCGGTTGATCAAGGACCCACCACATTGCGTCTATGTCGATGTCTTCAGATGTGTCAACATCTGGCCTCGACTGCGGAAACGTGGCGACTTGTGTAAGAAATTTGATGCTCCATTCGCTTACCCGCACGAAGAAGACTCCATAATTGAGGCCGTTCCAGTCTCTGCCAGCGATGAAGTGGATGTCAGGAAAAGAATCTTCCCGTGGCAGGAACATCGTCCATGGGATGTTGTTGTTGATGATGATAGTGTCCGCGTCGAACCAGCTATGAAAAGAGGGTTTAGAACAGGCGGATTTCTTGGAAACTTTGTACCTCTAGGGTGACGAGTTACAGATGGGTCAACACTCACACAATCCAATCCGCTCGTTCATGAGATACTTTTGTCATTTCCGACACCAATAAGGACAGGACATGAAGCGATTTTTCAAGCACGAGCCTGATCCAGCCTGCCTTCCCGCTGAGGTCATGCTTTAAGATGTGGGTTGGGTACCCCCACCTACGACCGTGATCAAGGCGAGTCTCCATGCAGGGCTCAAATATCGGCATGTGTTGGTCTCCAATCATTATGCTTGCCTGCCGGATTCGAGAACCCTTCTCCCAATTCTGCATCATGTTGTCAGGTATGTGTACTTCGACTTCGCCGGTCTTGGAACCAACGGCGTTTTCAACGTCAGACTCGTGCCATTGTGCAGACGTCAAGAGAGAGTGCGACAACAGATGCCGTTCTGGCGGCGTAGACTTGCGGCTCAATAAATAAAGAGTTGAGAGGAAAGAGACGAGGACAAGCCATCTCCCTTTCTTCCTCACCGGGGCAACCATAATATGAAGAGAAAGCTTCTCTCCCAAATTGAGGACCCAGCAGAGATCGCGGCATGGTACCTATATATCTGAGCGTTCCAGCATGAAGTACGTTGACCTATGCAGTCAAGACACTCGCGACACACTTGATACACGAAGCGTCAGTACGAAACAGAAAGATTGAGCTTCTTAGTACGGAGTCCTGACTAGGGGTAGGCTAGCCGTCAGAAGAAATGGCAGTCATCAATATTGGCATCGTCTGAATTTGGTCAATTTATGTCATAAGAAGTGATTGGCGATCGATGTGGGCAGAAGCAGCTACAGCAAATGGTTTCCACGACGAGAAACTTGCTTTCTTTGCTGTTACTGTCGAGATTCAAGGGACTCGTAGACTACGTTTACAGCTGCCACCTTTTCTCGCAGAGAGCCTAGAGGCAAGTTCTGCGGGTGGCACGGTCATGACCGGCCGTGCCTAGCGTCTTCTTTGCGCAGATTTGAAACAGAAGCCTACGACATACATAGTGATCTCATTGGAATTCAACCATATCAAGAGCTGCCGAACGCTTTAATATAAGATAGAAATCCTGATGCGATCTTTGGTTGGAGGCAAACACTCAGGGTTAGGGTTACGAGCATCGGCAATTTTCTCCTGCTGTGGTCATGGAACCGTCATGCATGTCTGTGCCTGCACCTTACTCTGCAGGTCTCTTCATGTCACAGTCTCTAGCTGTATCGCATCTTAAATCTATAATGTCTCCATACACCGCTCCTCTGGTGCCTTCGCCAATTAGCACTGATCTCCCTCCGACTCTGACCTTCCTCTCCAATCCCATTGCCTCCTATTTCAATGCAGCTCCTCCTTACAACAATGTCACTCTGGGGGCACTCCTATTCACCCTACCGCCGCGAACACCGCGATTATTGCTTTTGCAGAGAGGTAGGTGCTTTCGGCGTGCCTTTCCCCTGATCAGTACCGGAATTCAATCGCAAGACAATTTCGGAGAGCCAGAAGCGTATCTTTCTTCCTGAGACATGTCTGCAGCCTCGAATTTTCTGCTCAAAGAGGGAATACTGATGTCGAATTCTCCAACAGCGGGAGGCACGGACCCGAACGCTTTCTCGGACTTCTGGCAAATACCTAGCGGCTCACCTAGACCTTCTGATCCGACAATGCTACATGCCTTGGCCCGGATAATCTTTGAGCAGACAGGTCTACGCCTTGCAAGTGTGGTCACCATGTCTGGTACTGAGATAGAGCCTGCTAGTCGGGAGACTGGACACGCCCAAAGAATGAGAATGCTATTCATGGTCGAAGTCGCTGAGCTGGGACTATTGCAGCTTGATAACTCTCCATTCGAAAAGGACTTGTTATATGGAAGTCAAGGACTCGACATCAATTCCGTACCAGTCGCTTTGAATCTTGGCAAGCATAGACAGCACGTATGGTCGAGTGAGGAAGACCTCAAAGAGTTCATCAATTCAGGCTTGTATCCAATTGAAGAGAGGGCCCAGTATCGTATGATGCTGGAAGCTTTCGGTCTTCACAACCAAAATCTTGCGTACCTCCTCTCTTTGAACCAACGAAGCCAAACTGCCAGCTCGAGTCATGGGTTCCCCATATGAACGGGTAAGACGAGCTGGCATCCATATCTCACCCTCGTCTCTTTATCAGCGCTATGAGATCGACACCAAAGCTTCGAAAGTGACAGGATTTCAAGATCAAAGCGTTAGTCTCGAAACAAGGATATCCGGTAGGAGCCGGATCGCATCACGTCAGCTGACAAAAGTCTTCCGACACCACTAGTGATCCGGCAGCAAGGGTATTCGTCGATCGAAAGAGCATGACCAACGAGTACGGCCGCTTGCCGTACCTCGTCTATCAATGCAGACCAGCAGTAACCAATAACACCCAAATCCAGATGCTGTTCGGAGCTGGCTGTACTCTGTAGACACTCGAGACTACTACAACTTTCCGGATGAGGCAGGTCTTAACTCGGCAGCGAAGAATTCTTTCGAGCGTGACCTGGGGTCGAATATGGTTATGCACGATTATGGGTATGTACGGCCGAAGAACTCAGCAGCCGAACGTCATGAGGGGCAAGTGACATATACAACCGCGGCTTACTATCTTATTCTCCGTTCTCTTACTGCATGCGACAAGGGTTGGACGCATTGTCACGGGTTTCTGCATTTTACATTGTGATAGCTCACTTTGCTGGCGATTGCTAGGGCCGAGACATTGCGAAAAGCGAACGCCACAGAAAGGTCGCTTGATGTTTCCTGCTGCCACGTATGTCCGCGCTAAACTCGATATCGTATCTGAAAATGCGAAAATCTTTCAATCTTTTTGCAGGGAAGTTTAAAAGAGCTACCCGACGCTATTAAGCAGATCATCAACAAGCAATGGCTTCAAGAATGTCTGGAACGAACTTTTCCATTCCGCCAAAAGAGATTCCTCGTTGCCTCGTGCTCACCATGCGAGGGCGTTGGAATGCACGTCCCCGGAATACCTTGGGCTGCATATCTCTTTTGTCCTTTCCAATGTAAATCGATCTCCAAGATCAACGAGTCGGTGCTACCATCATGTTCCATGTATCGCTCCTCAGGTGGCTCTTTGCTTCCACGTCTCTCTTCATCCAAGTCCATACCTGGGGTTGCAAATGTGTAAGATAGCAGCTTCGCATGAAAATGAAAGATCTGACCTGACTGATACCAAGTAGGCTCCTGAGGACAACTGCTGGCCGTCAACATCTCAATGGAACACATTCAACCAGTCTCTCTCTGGAAAACTCATCGCTGATGTCCCACCCGCTTTGCCATGCTACCCTGGCCCAGCATTCAACGCCGAAGCATGTGCTGCAGTTGACGCCGAGCTAACAGAACAGACTTTCGTAGCCGAAAATCCCATCGCACTGTCCTATCCTACGGGCTCATGCCCGCCCATCAACGCAACCGCTGGTTCGTCGTGTACAATTGCGGATCGGCCAACGGACACATGTCCGGATGGCAATCTCACATCGGTGACACATGTTGGATCATGCTCTATTGGGGACCAGCCAAGGTACACGGTCAATGCCACGGAGATTGCAGATGTAACCGCAGGAATCAATTTCGCACGGCAAAAGAACATAAGACTTGTGGTACGAAATACGGGGCATGACCTATTGCGAAGGTGAACTACCTTGCGTGCATCCTTCTCTGAATGCTTTCTGATGCTTTACAGGTCGACAGGCTATGGTAGCTTACAGGTCTGGATACGATATCTAAGGACAGGCATCAAATTTCAAGAAACTTATCAGCAATCCGGTGCCTGTTCCAAATCGAGTTGGAAAGGAAGTGCTTTCGTGATTGGAGGGGGTTATACTTGGGAAGATGTATATAGTGAAGCGGCGAGCAGGAACGTGATCGTTGTCGGCGGTGGCACACCGGTATGTTAGCCCTGGCTTCTTTCTGCCGGCTTCTATCTCATGTGACATTCGGGACCTGATGGAGTCGCAGAGTGTCGGCTGTCTCGGTGGCTGGATGCAAGGCGGAGGGCACAGTCCCGCAACCCATGACTTTGGTCTCGGAGCGGATCAAGTGCTCGAAGCACAAGTTGTGCTAGCATCTGGCAAAGTAGTGACGGCAAACCCTTGCGAAAACTCGGAAATCTTCTTTGCCATTCGTGGTGGGGGCCCCAGCAGCTATGGAATTGTAGTCTCGACGGTTATCAAAGCTTACCCTACAAGGAAAGTCGCTGCTCAGATATTTGGCTTTGCCCCTTTGACTGCGAATGACTCCTCGGCATTCATGGATGCTTTAGCCATCGTCCACCAAAACTACCCAAGATTGTCTGACAGCGGCTTCTCTGGCTACGGCTCCTGGTCAATATACTCTCCAAGTCCGTTAATCGGCAACTATTCTACCGGCTTCATCCACACCATCGCTGTGTTTGGGAAAACAGTCGCGGAGGCAGAAGAGCTCTTCGCTTCAACAGCAGCGCAGTTACAAAAATACAACAACACCAGTCTGTATATGACGACCAGATACCTCTCCTTTCCAACTTATGTCGCCTACTATGACGCACTTTCTGGTATCGTGACTCCAGTTGGACAAACTGCAGCTTTAGGCTCTCGCTTTCTCGACCAAAAAGCTCTGACCGGCAACGCGACCGCACTGAAAGCCATGCTTCAAACCATTGCCGGAACGCCCGAGCAAGCGACATCTAACAACATTGTGTTTGTGGGAGGCGGCCAAGTTTTCACAGATGCTAGCGATCCTTACTCAGGCGTCAATCCCGCCTGGCGCCAAACTTACGTGCATAACATAGTCGCAAGAGGCTGGGCTCCAGGCTCATCGAATGCGACAATCCAAGCGGTCTATGACGATATCACTTACAACAAGACCCAGGCGATGAAAGACCTTGCGCCCAACACAGGGTGCTACATGAACGAGGCTGATCGCTTTGACCCGGACTACTTGCAGGACTTTTATGGAGAGCATGGAGCGAAACTTTCTGAAATCAAGAGGAAGTATGATCCGCGGAGCGTGTTTTATTGTCCGACATGTATTGGTAGTGAGCTTTTCAAAGTGAAGCCTAGTGGGCAGATCTGTTTGTGATGAAGAATGGGGCCTTTGGACTTAATTAGCTTGGATAATGGGGCAACGAAGGCATGGCCGAGTGGCCAATCTTAATTGAGAGAGACATGGGCAGAACATACAAATCTTCTTCCCATCGTAAAACGCCAGTAGTTCGGCGGCCGACCCTCCCTTGTCGCCTACCGACTTCGGCTGCTGTAGCAGGATCGCCCAACGGTCTAAGCTTGACGAGCCGAAAGCCAGCGCTTAAAATTCTCCGATGACAGTAAAGTAAGGCCTTTCTTCGTTCCCTCTCATCGTCGTCATCATCATCGAGCATTTGGTGGTCCCAGTACAATGGACAAGTAATGCCTCTCGCCTTTAGTGACTGAAAGACTTTTCTGGGATAAAGGAGAAGTTTTGCAACGGAGATGCTCGGTGGAGCGCCGAGAGCAGAGACAAGGTGGTTGGTGCAGTGATATGCTGTCCCGACTGCAGAATGAGGCTCTCGCTCGCAGCAATTACAGTTCCATTTGCACTGCGGGTTGCAGAAAGCGTCGCGCGAGTTTCTGGGACCCAGGATAACAGCCAGCGATGGATCGATGCTTTAGGGTTCAAGCTCTCTTCAGAGCCCAAGACATGGCGGCACGATTTGCATCTTTCAATATCTAGTTCTATTCCAATCATTGGCCGAGTTGTCTTTTCTTGGTGTTTCTGTCTACACCGTACTTTCCCGGTAGATATTCACAGTTGACCTCGTTAAGTCGTCAACACGGAAAGAGCAATGGTTTTTAGGGTGCGAGCTTCTGCGGAGCAGTGACGGAAGGGGAACGTCGACCTTAACACCCGCATCAATACCTGTTAGATCCCTGTGTTGTCATTTGCAAACAGTCTTCACTTTCCTTGAAAACTTACACGCCTTGCCGATCCTACAACACCAGTCAATTTGATGCTCTGCTTCTTCTGCACCCGCAGACCCTCTTCTCGTCACTCCTCATCCACGTGTGCATCTTCTGACGTCGACTACCCTGCCCCTAACAGCCAATACAGAAGAGCCGGATCCACTTATGTCGTCCACCACAGGCCCTCCGTCTCCCCTAGGTACGGCAGCACATCTCCCACCAGGCGGACTGATCGCAATCGCCTGGTCCAGCGTCGTCCTCGCAGGCGCTTTCGGTACGTACACGTTCAGAGCGACTCTTTCCTATTCCGGAGCACTTTTTGTGAATTACAAGATATAATCTCGGGGCTTAAGGCTCTTGATACCCATTCGAGTCGTCTCGATGCTCGAGAATTTGACTTGAAGAAGCGATACTGATTCCCGATACTGATCCCAAAATTGTTGTAGTCGTCGCTCGTACTTTGATCCGTATAGTCAAGGCCGAGCGCCTTGGGCGTGATGACTATTGGATCTATCTAGCTTATCTCATCCTTTGCATCAATGCTCTTCTTCAAACGGTTCAGACCCCTTATATCTACCACCTTGTACGGGTGAGAGCAGGATTGGAGCCCACTGGCGAAGGATTTTTGAAGGATGGTAACTCATACCTGCGCTATGAGTTCACGATCATTGGCCTCTTCTGGTCAATACTCTGGAGTGTGAGTGCACATTTCGGAGCAAACTCTCCTTGTTGAACCCTTTGTCTTGAGTCACGAGACATGCCTCGCGGGCAGTGAGCGGGTTTCAAACCCCCAACCTGTCTTATGACCTCGGTGCTTTGTCTCAAAGATGCCATGCTGATACCGAAATGTACAGGTGAAGGCGAGCTTCTTAGCTTTCTATTGGAAAATGTTTGATGGGCTACCGAGGTACAGGAAGTGGTGGATGATGGTCGCGGGTTTTGCCTTCGCCTCGTACGTTGGGTGCTGGATTGCGAGCGCAATGACATGTCACCCGGCCTCTCTCTACTTCACATTCGGTACGGAGGTCTCCCCACGGCGACTAAAGAGGTTACTGATATCATCGACCAGGTCAATGCTACAAGCCAATTGATGTCGAAGGCTCCACCATCTCCATAGCCTACAGCACCACGGTAGACGTTCTCACTGATATCATGAGTAAGTGCATCGTTCACGCTCACGGCCGAATTCCTCAGGGAAATGGCAAAATGCTCATCACTAACCATGCGCTAGTCATTTCTCTTCCGCTGAACCTTTTGTACACCGTTAGGCTTGCACCGAAGCAGAAATTAGGTCTCGCAGCCGTCTTTTCTATCGGTATCATCATCATCTTGGTGGCTATCGCCCGCGCGGTACAGATCTCAAGAAAGGCTTTCGCGGACGGCGTCCTTTTGGCCCTTTGGGGAATCATTGAGTCCACAGTTTGTAAGTACAGAAGTCTCTCCAAACCCAGTCGTAATTCGCTTGACTCAATGCTGCGTGAGAATGTGTCTGATGCTGATCTTTGATTTCTTCTTCTCCGCATCAGCTGTGATAGTAGGATGCCTTCCCCCATTCAAGTCGCTCTTCAAGGGCCGTGGATCCTCCCAGCGCTACAACTCCCCAGTCAACGGCAAGAACTTGTCACGAGACTTACGTCATACTGCCATACGACTTGGCAGTGCTGATACTGGTAACGGTGCTAAGGCAGCACCGCAAGTCATGTCAAAGCCGATTGATGGGGAACCCGATGGTGGCTACGGTGATGGAATTTACGTACCACACGGAGCTATTGGTGTGAGGAGTGATTATGTGAGTTTAACTTGGGGGCGTGAGAGCAGAGGTGACATGACTGATCGATTTGTTTGTAGGAAGTGAGGGGCTATGAGAATCAGCCATGATCTGCTGCCCTAAAGTCTGAAACCCTGCTTGCTAATTGTTGCCTACGAAATCGATAGCTAGAAAATCAGAATCAAAGTAAAAAAATCTAATCCGTACCAGGCTCTATCTGCTGCGGGAAAGAATGATGAGCACTTGAAAGTAGTGGCAGAGGTTCTACTCAACACCTTGTTCATATTCTTCAATGTAGTCTCAAGATATTGCAAGCATATTTCAATAGTGCAGAACAAACTCTCGGAGTCGGTGCTCGTGCTACAACTACAGTCCATCGGAGAAAACCACTGCATGGGCGTACAAATACAAAAAACCTCGCATCCGGCGCTGGGACATAGTTCAACAGGGTACGACGTAGCGTAATTATCTCATTAAGAATATGAGGTTGGCGTTACCCCTAAGCAATGCTCGAAAGGCCACTTTTTCAATCAAGCCATATACGTAGCTCTGCATCAGTGACCCTGGTCATTAAAGATTATAGCTAAGCAGCGCCAAGGTGTGGTTATCTGATGAGAAGTAGATATGTATGGTTCGACTTGACCCCGATCACGCTGTGATGCCGAATTTGGTGATCACATGCGAGAGAAGCAGTCAGACCGCCATGCCTATCATTACTCCGATAAAATTCCCCATACTTGGCGCTGCACTGTGTGCAACAGTGAACTCACAGACGAAAAATGCCCGAGCGTGCACAAATGGTGGCCCAATGGGTTACCACTTGGATGGCAAATGCCTTGATTGTGGTGAGGCGTGTGCATGAGACGGTTGTTCCGGAGAGGGAGGATATTGCCAGATTTGTGGATCGGAGTCAGTAGAAGAAGATGTGGCCGTGGTCGAAAGCGAGGACGAGGACTTGTCGGATATGAGTGAAGAGGATGAGATGACTGTGGACATGGAAAGAGAGGTGTGTCCAAGCTCGAGTGGGGCAACGAAGGCACACGCAATTCGCAATGCGTCCGGATGGCATCCATCTATCGCTATATTTCGACAGTGCCATCGACTGATTTGCCTAGTTTTTCCTACAATACTTCCGAGAACGTGGTGTACGCGAAGTCATCAGAGAAGGAATGGGTTGGGTTTCTCTGGTAATTATATAATGTATGGGAACGGTACAATTAGCGTGTTCCCATACGATACCTCGTCCGCTCCAGCGAGTTTCTCTCAACGCGCGGGGGCCCGGAAATGCTGTTGGCAGAAAGCATGTTGACAGATTGTTGGAGTTGGACGTTAATCGGTGATGGCGAAGGTCACGCGACCACTCTGATCCTCGGTCATCACAGCTCCCGGTACTAGTACTTGCTGGAAGCGGACAGAAATTCAATTGTAGTTCGATTATCCTCTCTTTGTGCTATGATGCTCATCATGACGTGACTTGATTCGGTGAGTGTGGAAAATACAACTACCTACGGAAAGAAAGCTCGAAGTACGGTAGAGATATGCATAGCCGGCGGGCCCCTGGAACCGCGGGTTACATGGCCACGGTGGCCCCCAATCCATCATGACGGCTGAGATGGCGTAGCCGATGAATGGGATGAATATGCCTCCTGAAGCTCTGAACAGTGATGAAAGCGGTTTCACCCACGAGAAGCTTCAAGCGACCAAGTACCTCTTTCGTGGGTTCTTCTCGAAGCTTTTATTAAAGTAGGAATTCAAAAAAAAAGGAAGCAGCAAGGCATCTTACCAACACGAAAAGACAAGAGGTTGGAGTTTGACATTCTCAGAAGCTCCTAACATCATTGGTCCGCGTGATGGTTGTTGCTAAATGCTTAATGCTCGGGTACAACGTACGCTAAAATACGACCCTAAGGTAATGATCCCCCCCGTCTCCTTCATAAGCGGGCCCACAATGTTGGCCGTGCTTTGCATCTCGAAGCTCCAACACCGTCAACCTTTGACGACCCAGCGATTGGTGAGTGTTTCAGACTTGTTCCAACCACATATGGCTGGATGGCTTACCTAGGATTGATCCCCCATGTCTGGCGGCATGCCGTAAATATTTCGAGGCTCAGATGCACAATTATTTATTGGATCACCAACGGGCAACGAACAAATACCCTGCTGCGCCATGCGCCATGTGAAATTGGACCACTTCTCTCATATGCACAGCGGCTCTTGATCAATACTCACATGAGAACCTCTCCCACGCATTGCTCTCCAAGGCTTCGCTGCCCGTGTTTCATGACTGTATCATGAATGCTTTCCCATATGAAGTAATACATACAGCCTTCTCAACCACTTGTCTGCGCTTCATGGCTATTCTTGTCAATTGAGTCTATCAAGAAAGAGACCCTTTCCTCATTAAACTCATAAGCCATATAAGCTCATCACTGGATACCTACCTCTACGCCTACATTGTCATTCATGACCCTGTTACAGCTTGCGCCGGCACTTGACCTCTCTTAACCTCTACAGCAATGGCGATCAAATATCGAGCCGCTCAAATGTCCATTGGCATCGATCAGGTCCCGGCAGATGATGCCAACTTATCGGTACCGGGAGAGATCGCTGCACCTGGACAGAGTACAGTGCCCACAGCCTTCGTGACAGATGCACCGGCTTTCGCCACAAAATCATCCACCACGCTCAGTACTCCCTCATCAACTGCTGCTACGAGCAGTCAAAGCTCCACAGCTGCGGCACCAACCCAGAGCGCAGCTGCGTCTAAGGGTGGAAGTGGACTGAGTCATGGCGACATCGCGGCCATAGTTATTCCGATCGCACTTCTGGCCATACTAATTCCGATCCTTGTTCTATGGTATCTCGACCGTAAAAATCGAATTGCGGCAGAGAAAAGAGCCAGTCACCGAAGTTCAAATGAGGCCATGCTCCAGAAGCATTCGAGTATCCAGAAACCACCGCAGCCAAAAGGTCCCAAACCAGCCCGCCCTGAACGGACACCCAGAAGGAGCGTAGCAGATGCCTCAACACCAGAAACGCGTAACTCACTTGGCCTGTTCAACTTCGAGCTATCGCCTCCATCGACGCCGGGCATGGGATGGATGACGCCCAATCCTAGGTTTAGCATTGCACGAGCGCTTCAACTGCGCCGTTCTCAACCATCCGTCGTTACATCTCAGCCTCGTACTTCACGGGGAGAGTCTGATCGCCCTCGAACGGGAGACTCAGAGCGCTCAGAGCGACGCCAGACAAGGACGAGTATTTTCGACCCACCACCGCCTTATGTCATTGATACTGCGTCGCCCAAATCGGCATCACGTTTTGCTCCTTTGGAGCGGATAGGAACGCTTCAACATGCGGACCGTCCCCATGGACCCACTATGCAGCCGACAATGGCCCCAACGCTGCCTGCCGTCGCTATCACCAACGGCGCTCTTGATGTTCAACAACCAAGGTATACACCCCGCGCATCGAGCGAAATCCTGCAGCTACCGGATGCCTATGGTCGCGTTCATACGCGGTCACCCTCGCCTACTCTGTCCATGCATAATGGCTCTAATTTAAGTCGTCCATTCTCATACACAGCGCCTGAGAGGATCTCAGATGTTTCCGGGCTATCAGACGAGCCGGAGCCATGGAGGAGGATGAGGGAGTCTAATGGATCGTCGGTTATCTCACCTATTGACAGCGACGAGAGCTCCACGATACATCCCCACCAAGTTCTATGAACCTGTATATCAAATCCGGAGTCAGTTTTGCCTATTCGAGGGTTTATCTCGAGCCTTGTAATATGTCTAGTCAGCGAAGGCTCCTAAGACATTTTCTCAGGGCTTGAGATTGAATCTCAAAGGGGGGTTACGGACTCCAAAAATAAGTACGCAGCATGGCGGAATTTTTGAGCTTTCATGATATCCATTGCAGCATCTGAGCGTGTAATATATTGTCACTTTAATGTTTGAAGAATCAAAATAATCAAATTTCACGCAATGCCCCGAGCCCTTTTCTCATGAGACTTACATTGTGTAGCGGCCAGCCAATAGCGATAAGGTGTCTGTATTACATAATCGATCATTCGCTCATGACGAGCAACCTACCACGTCTATAATCGACTGTTGACTTGAGACGTATCATAAAATCCAACCTTTCGACATGAGGAACCTCCTTTTAGATTATTGAGCATACTACCACCAACTAACGAAAACAGATCGACCCAAAGTCTAGGATAAAGTCCTGGCAGGAACGATTTGGTTTGAATTCCATCTCACGCATTGGCTATGGACCGAGTGAAGAATGTGGCCAAGGGAGGTTGGCATCCAAGTTCAGTACGGTCGGAACACAAGCATATCAATCAAGTGGTATGCTGTTCCACTTTCTCGGTTCGGCTCCTGGAGAACGCTGACAATAAATGGATAGGCGGGATGGGTAGGTCACGGCAAAGAACAAAACAGTAGCCTCAAAGCAACAGATCACACCTCTCGCCCTCTCGCATCCCTGAAGGATCCCGACGCGTTCGGTCCACCTCCTAAGAATGTCAATTTCCATGGTGGGGCAGCAGTCCCTGATGCTGCCACGCCTGACCGAAGAGGAATAGGAGCACCATTGCCCGCAGAAGAGATACGAGCGATGGAGGCAGAAGAGCAAAGATCTGCGCAAGCTGTTCAAAAGCCTGCTCCGCCGCCAGTCCCATATCGAGCAAACACAACAGGCTTGTCCACTGCAAGTCTCCCCAAGCCTCCGGTACGGCGACTTGAGAATGGGGAACCATCCGCTACAGCTAGTCCGACTGCAAAGCCAAAACCCTCGCTGCCTCCACGACTACCACCAAGACAGAACTCGCATCCTACAACAAACGCACCTTCACCTCCGCCAGACTACAGCTCCGCTACGCAACAACCTCCTCCTCCTCCTCAAGACCAATATCTCAATCAAGGAGCTTTGGGACGCCTCGGGAAAGCTGGTGTCTCTGTCCCTGGCCTTGGCATAGGTGGGGGGCGGGGAGGACACGGAGGGCAGGGAAGCTCGCAGGCTTCGAACCCATGGCGTAACGAATCCAACTCGAATACACCCTCTACATCCAGCCCAACTATGACTCAAAGCCCATCAATAGGTGGACTCAAATCCCGCTTCGGTGGATTGACCACCTCTCCTACATCCTCCCCATCTGACCAACCGCCGGCAGCCTCCCAAGGTACCTCCTTCGCCCAAAAACAAGCCGCCCTCCACACCGCCTCCCAATTTCGGAACGATCCTTCCTCGATCACTCTCTCCGACGCACGCAGCTCCGCCGCTACAGCCAACAATTTCCGCGAACGACATGGGGAGCAGGTAGCTACGGGCTGGAAAGGGGCGAATGCTTTGAATAAGAAGTACGATGTTGCGAATCGAGTTAATGGGGTTGCAGGCCAGAATGGGAGTGCATCACCAGTAAGAGAAGATGGGCCAATAACGATGCGGGACAACACTGCGAGTCCGGCTGGAGGAGGGAGTATGCCAGCTTCTCCATGGGCGAACGAGCTGAGCCAAAGTGCTTTCAGGAAGCCGCCTCCACCTCCGCCTGTGAGAAGGACCGGTACAGGAAGCAGTGGGACGCCGCCGCCCGTTCCGATGGGGAGCAAACCTAGGACCTGAAATTATACAACATGGAACTTCTCATGAATGATAGACATGACTTATATACCCTAATTGACAATTCTAATGCGATCACCAATCCACTCGCTCCATCTTTGCCAGAGCGTCATGTCCTTGCTGTTCAAGTTGTTCAAGCATCATGTTTATCTTACAATCGGAATACCCCTGGTATCGCCCGTATGCACATACCAAAAACGCCATCAACCGATGACTCTTTTAGCGCATAGACCAAATCCCCCATCTCGGGTTCCGGCCTTCCTTCACCTGACGACAGCGTCCCCATTACCACTTTTCCCCTTCCTCCTCAAAACCCACCCCGTAAACCCACCCGCCTTCATCCCCTTCCTCCTCTCCTCGTTAATCCTCCTCACCTCCTCTGCCCGCATCGGCCCCGGCGCGCCCTGCTGCCTGTCAGCCAGAGCCCCATCTTCCTCACCCCTCCTATACCGATACTCCGGATACGACTCCCCGCGCACCCGCGTCGTCGGAGGCGCGTCGAACCCCTTCGCCGCCGCCGCCGCCGCACCCCCAGAGCCCCGCGTCCCACCCCGCCCCGTCCCCCCTCCCCCGCCCACGCCCCCCGCGCCCCCGACCTCGCCGTACCCCGGCGGCCCGCCCGGCTCCCCGGCCGCGGGCACGTAGCCGTGCGTCTCGCACCCTCCGCCCCGCCAGTCGCTCGTCTGGCAGAAGCACGTCCCGGCTTGCAGTCGGGCGATCCGGGCCGCGTTGTCGCGCTCGAGGTCGGAGAAGCGGGTCGTGGAGGAGAAGCGGGTCGTGTCGGAGGAGAGTTTCCTGGAGGCGCGCTTGGCGCGGGATTTTTGGATGGCGGAGTAGGAGAGGACGGAGGCGGCGATGAGGATGGATGCCATGGGTGGATGGGTGGATGGATGGATGGATGGATGGATGGATGGATGGATGGATGGATGGATGGATGGGTTGGGTGGCGGGTTATCCGAATCTTGGGGAGGGTGTGGCAACGGTGAGGGTAAAGGTGGTGAGGCTTTGGGTTGCTAGGAATAGGTTCGGTGGTGGATACGTCCAGATGAAAAGCGACACGGGGTGCTCTTATGTATTATTTGGGCCCGCCCCATTTCCTTTGATGTCAATAATGACTCCAATTGAGGTCTTCGGAGGCCAAGTCGATGACGGGTCGTAGGGCTGCCAGAGCCCCCTACATTTCGGGTTAGCTCCCGCAGTGATACGTCAACATGACTTCAGCTTCGCGATCATTACCAACACCACCATCGTATTCGCTCCTTGTGTTTATTTTGAAAGGTCTCGGTGCCGTTCGGTAACGCTTCAGTTCGAGATCGAGCGTGGCTTGGGCACCGGGATGTCGGAAATCATAACGCTTTATTAAGTTACTATTGCAGCTGGTGGGTTTAAGACTGGGGGAACTTTTGTGCAACTCGAACCCCAGTGAGACTGTCTCTTTTTTACGCTCGCCATAATCCCTATTCCCTCATGACTTATTTTCATGAGTAGGTGTACGCTCTTGGTATCCCTCTCACGATCCTCTGTCCGCACGTGTGTTTGTGGGGACCCCGCATTACTTGGTGTTGGTTTCCGAGTGGTCTCGGGGTCAATAATGTCATGCTACCATTTGTTCTTCCATCTCCTTCCTTTTATGTCTCGAATCGAAGTATCGTTTTAAGATATCTGCCCTCGTCTCCTGCTCTGGACTTCGGGTATGAGCAGACCACCTGTTGGTCGACGCTTGGGCCCCATCAACTGGGTAGGCCAGGAAATTGTCTTCTCAAAAAGTGTACCACCAGCGTTCCGAAAAGGCATGTGGGAAATACCTTGGTCACGACGGTGGCCTTGCATCATTCGAACAAGCTGCAAATATCATGGGGCTCGTCCCCGCATTCTCTGCTTTATGCATCCGCTGTGCCTATATAAAGTATATCTTTCCTCTCTGCGTCATGCTTCGTCCGTGTCTTCCGCTGCTTCAATACGTCTAAGATGCGGCTTGTTGTTTTACTCTTCCAATCGCTTTGCACAAGTACCCTCGCAGCAGCCCAAGCTTGCCCAGACTACGCCGACTACGCTGCTGCTCCACATGCACCTTTCTCGGGTGGAGTGTATAATCTCTCCTACCAGAGGCCTGCGCCTAGTTGCCGGACCTTCACATCACCAGCTGTCGAAAGCACCATTGCCCGTCTGAACTCAACAATTACAGACCCCGACCTTTCCCGCCTGTTCGAAAACAGCTTTCCCAATACTTTAGACACTGCGATCAAATGGAAAGGGTACGCTGCAGACAACGCAGACGAGGAGTTAACGTTTGTCATTACGGGAGACATGTATACAGTTTTTCACTCAAAGAGTATGCAATATGGCTGATGAGATCCCGAAGAAACGCTATGTGGCTCAGGGACTCGGCCAACCAAATGCAGTCCTACCTCTCTCTCCTCAATACCACCACTGACACCTCTAACTCGTCCAATGACACCATAGCCTCACTCTACCGAGGCGTAATTAATCTGCAATCCCGTTATCTCCTATCAAACCCCTACTGCAACTCCTTCCAGCCACCCTCCGAATCCGGCCTCCCACCCTCTATCAACAGCGCCGCTACCAACGACGTGGTGACCCCATCATACGCCAATACCACGGTCTATGAGTGTAAATACGAGCTCGATTCCCTCGCCGCATTCCTCGAGATCAGCACAGACTACTACATGGCCACCAACGACCTCGCCTTCTTCTCGAAATACAATTGGGTCGCTGCGGTCCAAGCCGTTTTAAACACCGCTCAATCCATGACAATCTCAACCTACGCAGCAAACGGCAGCGTCAACACCCTCCCTTACACTTTCCAACGCCTCACCACCTCCGCCGAAGATACCCTCGCCAACAAGGGCACCGGAAACCCCGTCCACAACGGTACCGGCCTCATCCGCTCCGCCTTCCGACCTTCAGACGACGCATGCATCTACCAATTCTTCATCCCCGCCAACATGATGTTCGCCCACCACCTCAACACCACCTCCGCCCTCCTAACCGCCATGGGCACCACCAACAGCACGGACCTAGCCACCGAACTGACCGCCCTATCCGCCTCCCTCACCGCCGCAATCACCCGGCACGGAATCGTCCCCGACCCCGTCCACGGCGCCGTCTACGCCTACGAAGTCGACGGCTACGGCGGACGCAACGTCATGGACGACGCCAACATCCCCTCCCTCCTCTCCGCGCCCCTCATCCGCTACCTCGCCCAAAACGACTCCGTCTACCAGGCCACCCGCGCACTCTTGCTCCGTGCCGACACCGACCCTTATTTCATGCGCGGCTCCGTCATCGACGCTGTCGGTGGGCCCCACGACGGTCCCGGGTTCGCCTGGCCGATGGCGAGTATCGTGCGCATCTTTACGAGCGGGGATGACGGGGAGGTGGCCGGTTCGTTGAAGGAGCTGGTGGCGTCTACGGATGGTCTTGGTGGGTGGTCGGCTTGCGATGTTTTTCCTTTTTTCTTCCCCGTTGTTCTTCTTTCTTCTTCTTCTTCTTCTTCTTCCTTCTTCCGCGAGAGACTCTACAAAGCTGACCAACCCACTTTCCACCCAACAGGCCTGATCCACGAAAGTATCAACACGTTCGATCAGTCGATTTACACGAGACCGTGGTGAGCTACAACATTGTTCCCCTCCCCCCCCCCCCCCAATTTTCCCCTTTCTCATTTCGTCTTCTGTCGATACCCTTTCGATCCGCCCCGCCCCGCCCCGCACCCGCTGCCATACACACAGTGCCCCACGTGTGGTGTGTATACTGATCGGGTGACTGTACCATATATGTAGGTTTTCCTGGGTAAACGGCCTGTTCGGACAGATGGTTCTGGATCTGGAGACGCGGAAGCCGGAGATTTTGAAACGGAGCTTTCAGTGACGGACGCCGGGGGGGGTCTTAAGGGCGCTACATAGCTGATGTTTTTTTCTTTTGGGAGTTGGGCCGGGGGGGGGGGGGGGGTTTGTTGAAGGCAGTGAATGGGCGCGGTATTTGAGAATAGGGGCAGGGGCAGTGTTGGATGATCCCTTGAATGTTGAAAACATGAGCATGGAATTCGAGGTTTATGAACCGTAAAGCACTCTGATCAGACTGTTTGTGTGTGTTGATCGTCATGATCTCTTGGCTTGTGAGTGGTGAAGGGCATTCGATTTGGAAGCTGTCAGTAGACAGACAACATGGCCACTTTTGCTGGCAGATTGCCTGCATGCATGCAAATCGATGATTAATAGTGTTCATTTGGGGCGAAGTGAGGATCTTTCCGTCATGGTTCTGGGTTTAGATCCCAGGGGTTTTGGAATGATCAAGGTCAGTCACGCAGTTGCGAAAGATTTTCGAAACCCAAGCACTTCGCATGCCTATATACTTGCTATTTGGGGAATCCTTTGACAAACACAATGAAACATATCTGTCTCATAGAACGCCCAGCTCAATATCCTTCATTTGGTCAGCACACATCCCCATTACCGGAGCGCATAGCTGTATCCTTCGCCCCTAACCCGACTTGGGCTGCATCTCCTCCTCTGCTTTCCTCTCTTCCTCGGTCTTGGGCTCGTCCGGCACAACCTCATAGGCCCGCGCGTCCCCATCGACCTCCTTCTTTTCGCTCTGGCCCTTCTTTGGTGACTCAGAACGCTTGGAGCCACCACCGCCGTTCTGCATTTTCTTCGGGGACTCAGAACGCTTCGAGGGGTCGCTCTTCTTTGGTGATTCGGAACGCTTGGGAGCTTCAGCCTTTCCCTTGCTATCCTGTGAGCCCTTCGACTTGGGGCCTTCGCCACCCATCTTTTTCATCTTGTCCTGCAAAGCTTTCAGATCTTCCTGCACAGTATCTTTGACATCTTTTACGCCCTTCTGTGCTGTGGCGGGTAGGTCGCCCGCCGCATCTTTTGCCTTGTTGCTCATATCTTGAGCTCCTTTCTGCGCCTTGGCTGGTAGGTCGCCCGCCGCATCTTTTGCCTTGTTGCTCATATCTTGAGCTCCTTTCTGCGCCTTGGCTGGTAGGTCGCCCGCCGCATCTTTTGCCTTGTTGCTCATATCTTGAGCTGCTTTCTGCGCCTTGGCTGGTAGGTCACCCGCGGCGTCTCTAGCTTTGTCGCTGAGGTCATGTGCACCTTTTTTGGCTTTAGCCCCGAGGTCTTTGGCATTGGACTGTGCCTTCTCGTTGAAGTCCTCGGCACTCTCCTTTACGTCACGCTTGGCGTTCTCAAGCTTCGCCTTCAACTCTGGGGGCGGCTCAGTGTCTCCGCCCTGCCTTCCATCAATGGCTTCGCGAATCTCTCGCTCGATGTCCTTGACAGCGTCTCGGGATGATTCTTTGACATTTTCTTCCTTGGTTGGTTTTGGAGGCTCAGAGTGAGCACGAGCTATGTAGCTGTTGTAGAAATACGTCATGAATAGGTATGCCAAAGGCGCGAGGTACACCAGATTCATCAGGATGGCCAACACTTGCCCAGAGGTATCGAGACAATGGACTCTTTGACTGCCCATCCGATATCTGATCTCTTCCTGTGCCTTTTCGACCTCTGCTGCATGGATGGCATCGATGCCGAACGTTTCGCCTTGGTAGTTCCTCACGTTCTCTGCAAGTCCTTCTTCTCCGGCTGCGCGTAACGCAACTTTCTTGAGCCAGCTTCCCAGGCCTGCTACTGTTGTCGCGCTTGTTAGGGCGCTGCTGAGGGTTGAAGAGACAGTAGAGGCAGTGCTCGGAAGAGCGGTGGAGAGGTTATGTACGTAAAGGTATGCCTCTTCAATCGGGATGTCGTAAGCCACGAAGAGGTGGAGAAAAGCGTAGGAACCACCCAAGACTATCTGAGCAATCTGAAGGAACGTCAAGGTTTGCTTCACGGCTTGGGGGACTCGGATGGTAAGCGCGGAGAGAGTGTAGTAGGTGTACTGAGCATAGTTAGTGATGTCACCCTTCCACTATCAACTGGGTACCTGAGTGCTCACCATGATCGTGTGCAAGAAAGAATTGACAAAGACGAACATCCAAATTGGTGGAGACATGTAACGAATCCCGGCCCACATGCACAGCATAGCGCCAGCATGATGGAACGTTTGAAGTACCGTGCTGTTCTTGCCTTTGGTGAGAATGATTGCGGTATCGAGCATCTCGTAGAATTTCGAAAGGTAGAAAAGCCATCCGTAGAAAGCGAGGCCCTCATTCCAGATCCTGCCCACGTCTGTTGAGTCCGGAATGTCTCCGGCAAGCTTCATAGCTTTATCGGTGAAACTCCAGACGCTCGTGCTGGTATTGTACGTGGTAGCACTGCCAAGTCCGCGTGGACCCTGCATCTTGCAAAGCGCGTCGGCTGCGCCGGCAAGCCCATATTGTCCATCTAGACCAGGCCACGATTGGCGGATCGCATTGAGCATACCAATGAAGGTCCAGCCAGAGTACAATGCGAGGAAGACATTGTGGGCAACGACCAATGCCCAGAAAATGAGTGATTTGCTGAAAGCCCATGGCTTGTGTTTTCTATCCATGTTGATTGTGTTGACATAGCTCACGGTGGTCGTGTAGACCAGGGCGATTGTGATTGGGATGGCGACATGAAGTGCAGTGTTGTAAAGGTCGGTAGGGATGGTAAATGGCCGAGCGAGGGTATGGTCTGACAGTGAGGGACTGAGGGCTTGGGGGTTCTGTCCTGCTCTGTACCACAGTAGGGAGGATGGAGGATGAGTGAAATGTACCGAAGGCGCCGTTGAACTGGCTGAGGGGAGAAGCATCTTGAGCGCTCTTTCCAAGAAGTCAGTCAAAGGGAGATAAGCCCACAGTTGATTTTCTGCAGCTGAGAGGTGCGAAGAAGAGCTATCTGAGGTATGCGTGAAAGTAGCAGGAAGCGGGAAAAGCATCAAGGGTTGACGAATAGGTACGCACTGTTCGCTACCACATTGAGATGTTAGTGCTTACCTGAATGGATAGATAGCTGAAACTTGATCCAGGTGTCGTGTTTTTGTCTCGTTCCTAGGTGATCGTGTGAGGATGACGACGAGTGTGCCGCAGTGTATGAGAAAAACCAGAAAAACACGAACGCGCTTCAACATGCGCCGACGCCGCCAAGGCTTGAGGCTTGGCAACAACACACTTTAGCTTGGCGAGCTTATTATCGCTGGAAAATACCCGCAATAGATCCCTACTGCTGATGAACAATCCACATTCCTTTATACCTATGCATACACCAACACCTCTAGCATTCTACGCCGTGATTGTGGTCGCGCTGTGAGTTCAACCGCTGCGACAATGTTGCTCTACATCGTTTTGGTCGGAGCCAGTGGTGCCGGGAAGCCGCAGTTGAAATATCGTCTCCGAATGAAACCTTTCTTCAAGATCATCACACCCGTACAAGTTCAGGTGTAAGTTGCTCTTGAGGATTGAGCTGACAAGTGATGAGAATAAGGGGAAACCTCCTTTGGGCCTTCATGTCTGAGCCTCTTAAGTCCTGACTCTCCCCCCAATCGTTCTGGTCATGCGATCCTTCATTTTCCTCCCTTGGAATTTCCTGGTGCGTTACTTGAAGATGCAGTCTTATACCTTTGTGATACGTTTGTTTTCCGGAATATTACTTCCGAGCCTCGCTTTTGGTTTGCTGTATGGGACCCGGTCCGCAGAAAGCTAATCCACGTTGTGGATTGTGATGCATCAATTTATGCATCGACCCTTTGTGAGACAACCTTGGACCTTAGCCTGTCAAAAATTCTGTGCCCTCTCAAACATCTACTCAAATGGCTGACCCAAGGAAAAATTCCCTTGCACATCGCGGTCGTCCTCTGTAGGTGACTATGGCGAATATTGACGAAAGCTGCTCACCTGCGATGTTGTTTACCTCCGAGGAGGGTTTTTTTTTGGAATGTTTCCAGGGCACGATGGCCAACGCGATTGCAGTCCTTGCAAAGCTTCGGGGCGTAGGGTCTCATCCATCGGGGCTTACGAGTATGTAGTCGGGACAGGATGGAGGCGACAGCGTGTCTGGGCGTGTTGGCCCGCGCCCCCTTCTGCCGCTGGCGCACGCAGGCCGCTCGTGCGATTCCCTCATGTTTGTTTGAGGGCCTTGTATGAGCATGGTGTTATGTCGCAAGCCAGGATGAGGTTGTTCAGAGTCCCAACTTCTAAGATTGGAACGTTTGAGGCGTTCTGCGTGGCACTAGGTGAGGATAGAGGCGCGGAAGAAGTCGGAGGTGAGGCTGGCCACGGCCCACGGCGAAGGACAGACGCCCTGCTTGAAGCATGAATCACAGGAGCGTCCAAGGACCTTCAAAGTGGTCTGTTGAGGAAGGAGTGGTTGGTAGTTGCACAAGAATAGATGGCACGATTCGACTGTTCAAATGTCTCATTATATTCATATAAATCTATGGGGGCTTTTCAACGACCGGCTGTGCAGACGCTACGTACGGAGCACACAGTTCATTCCTATTCCTTTTCGCCAGACTCGAGCTCTTCCGGCCCAGCTGCGTGTCTATGACCAACAGACTTGTCCTTGTCCTTCCCATTCTCCATTGCTATCTGCTCCTTTCTCTTCTTCAACTCCTGACAAAACTTGCTATTTTCTCGGATTCGATCGCCGTACTTGATAAAGGCAAAAGGTATGATAGACATAGCCAGACTGAGGAAGCCAAGCAAAGTGCTTGCCCATGAAACTCCCAGTGATTTGTACATGGGTGCCGCGGCCAATGGCAGTACCGCTCCAAATATCGAACGGCAGCAACTCGTTGCAGCCATGCCACTCGCAGCGTACACCTCGTAAGCATCAGTGATGTAGTTGAGTAGTGCCATGAAGATGAGCATAAAGCCCATGCCGAATGGCACGCCTGCGAGCATGGGTACGATCCAATGGACGTGAGGAGAAGCGCTCCATCCCAACCAGAAAAGCGATATGACATAGAGCGGGCCACCCAAGCAGGCAAGCGGTAGCCGACGATACTCCTCGATAGAAGCCCAGTTCGCATTGGCTTTCTTAGCTCGTTGGAGAATTGTATCGTACCATAAGAAGATGCCGAGGGCGATGACAGCCCCAACCATGATGGGTAGAAAAGCCAGACCAGCTACCCCAGTATTCATGTGGTAAAGACCCTCGAAAATAATCGGGTACGCCTCGAAGAAGAGGTAGAATATAGCGTATGCGATGGAAAGGTAGAGGCAGGTGAACAGGACGATGGCTTCGTAAACGATCATATGGACTGGTCGCATGAGAGTAACAGTCATCATTTGTCGAGCGCCCTTCTTCTCGAGCTCGATAGCTGCGAATATATTAGGGTTTGCAGACTCCTTCCGCATGCGATTTGCTCTCTTCTTCAGGATGATTGGACCGTAGGTCTCTGGGAGGAGACTGAGGAAGGCGAGCGAGGCTCCAGCGACTATCAAGCCGACCCAGAACGTCCACCGCCACGAGACGACGGAGACAAAGCCTGATATTAGAGGAGCCAACATAGGACCGCACGTCGTGGCCTGAAATTCTTGTCAATTTCGCGGACTATCAGTTCGTGTTTGCCAACTTACAGCCATGAAAATTGCCATTGCTCGCCCTCTGATGACTGGATTGCCAAAAACATCTGCGTATAGACCTCCCACCACAGCTATAGCACTCGAAGCATTGATGCCACATATGAGACGGAATACCAGGAATGCAGGCCAGTTTGGTGCCAAGGCACAGGCCATCGTGAAGAGTGTGAAAACCACGAAGCTGGACAGCATGATGATTCTTCTTCCATATGTCTCACTGAGAGGTCCGAAGATCAATGGTCCAAGTACATATCCAACCAAGAACAGGGATATCGGAAGAACGAGTTGCTGTTCGTCGGTGACGTGGAAATACGGGGCAATGTAGTTGATGGCGTTGCTGGGCAGAGAGGATCCCAGCGTGCTGTTGATGACTGCTACGATTCCCGCGAGTAGGATGTATATTTTCTTCCTCTGGAAGGTTGGATCAATACAAATTCACCATGGTGGGTGGCAAACGTCCATACCATAGGCCAATTGTACGGATTCTCAGGGTCTCCATCAGGGAAGGACACAATGATCCTCTCTTCGTGATCTGGCTTGCCATGTATGTCCTCCTCCTCGATCTTGATACGGTCATCAACTTTCCTGGTGTCTTCCGCGGAAGACGCGGACGATTCATGTGTGCAGTTACCATCTGTGGACGGTCAGTCTCAAATGTGTTCCTAGATTTGGGGGTCTTTCGTACCTGGACCTATGCTGTCAGATTGATCCAGAGCGCTCTCCGAGCTCTTGTCCTCCACATGTATGTCCGAGGAGACTGCAATGTCATGATTAAGGCATTGGAGCCCTTGACCGTATTTAGAACGGCTCATGTTCCCCCAGTGACGCACATTGAAGTTCTTGCCCAGGGATCTCGAGATATATATCGGCGATTCAAAGCCAGAGAAATTGTGGAGAAGAAGATCTTTGAAGCCATGGAAGAGGGAGTCATGGTTACTTTGTTAGTGAGCAACTTTCAGCGTGAGCCGGTCTTGTTGATCGGTTGTTCGGCAGAAGATGGCTTATAATGGGGAAACTTCGGACGAAACGGGAATAAGAAAAAAAGAGGGAACGCGAAGTGCCGAGTTGCCGATCCCTTGCCAATTGCTGTATCAGCTCAGATACCTCGGATGCCTACACAAATTGTTTAGAACGGAAGGCTCAAGTCTCTAAATTGATGCTCTTCCCAAATCTAGCATACAGTTGAACCTTCAATTGCTCCATCTCTTCTCGGATAGTGCTCAATTTCCCCTCGACTGCTGACACAGACTCCTCAATCTGTTCCGTGGACGAGGCAAGCATCTCCTGCACCTCTGGCAGCGGCAATGACACAAAGGTATCGCCAATCTTGTACCTGTAAATCATTTCAATACGGCGAATCCTTCAGCAACTCGGCGCACAACTCACGGGATTTTGTCGTCTTCATCCGCTAGCTCCAACTCGTTCGACAATTCCTCAAGATCCTCCTTGTCCTTCTACAGCTTCCATCAGTAATGCCGACGCCGATGAAAAGCAATGATGTATTCCTTACAGCTTTGACCTTGAGCTCATCCTCCAAAGCCGTTTCACGTTGGTGTAATCTGCTGAATTTGTTGATCTTGTCTTGGTCTTCTCGCCTAACCTCAAGCTCGTCCTTTCCCACTGCCGCCTCGTCCTCTTTTGAAAGCTCGTAACCTATCAGCATTGCCGCCCCCCTGATCCGGAAAGCTTTATTCGTACCATTCGTCGCTGCATGGCTTCCCCGACTTAATCTATCGACTGTCACTAGGCACACTCAGGAGTCCAGCGATCTTCTGATTGCGTTCTGTCCTAAGTGTCTACGGCATTCGGAAATTGAAGCGGTAAAGACCAAAGAATGAATATTCTGATCTTTGCTGATATGGTGATATGTTTATTTTCGTGTCGGCTTGCCGCAAAACGAGATCGGAAGCTGGAATTCTCCGGAAAGGAAGGTGAAGCGAGACTGCCAAGCAACTGTACACTAATTAAAGTATGTGTGCGAGTGCGGCCGGTGACGGAGCGGAAGTCTTCCGCCCATCAATTAAATCACCCTGAGACTCTTGTGGTAAACAATCGCTTCGATCACATCCGGGCTTGCTCTCATGACAGGGAGATCCGAAATAATATCTCCATAAATGTTGCTGTATTGCACGGTCTAGATGTCTCGCAGGAGCGACGCTGACATTGCATTAGCGTTGCATGCTTATCAAAACCGTTATCTTTCCCTCGCTCGCCTCTTCGGCTATAGGGCGAGGTTGGTCTCCAATGGAAGGCCACTGTCGTTGCAACGGCGTTGCGTTAAGGTAAGTAACCGCCACGAGGGATGACGGAGGATTTTAGACCCATTGGAGGTGGGGGTAGTACACTCCTCGTTACATCTTTCCCTGATCTTGTGTTTTCCTTTCTGCTTGCATCCCTTGCATTTTGTTGTACGTCTACACTATGGCGACTCAAGACGAAGAGCGCAAGGCTTCTACAGCCTCAGCACCGAATTACGGTCTAACAAGCGAGGATGATGCCGCAGTTTTGGGTAGGTCAAGATATCAGGGATTACGAGAACATGTGTCTGACACGGGACCCAGCAAAACTTGGGTACAAGCAAGAGTTGCGGCGGAACTTCACTATGATCGAAGTCTTCGGCATTGCCTTCAGTATAATGGGACTCTTACCATCCATTGCTTCGACACTGTCATACTCTATTCCCGCTGGTCCTGTGGGAATGGTTTGGGTTAGTGGAATGATAGTAAATTTATGACGCGAACTTCGAATTGACACCTGTAAGGGATGGTTCCTGTCGTCAGGCTTCATCTTCGTTGTTGGACTCGCTATGGTAGGCTTTCCGCCTTCAACGGATGCCGCTTTTCTAAATGAACATCTCTAGGCTGATCTTGGCTCTGCCATGCCTACATCCGGAGGCTTATACTGGTGGACGCATTTCTTTTCTTCAGCCAAGACACGTAATCCACTCTGCTTCTTAGTCGGCTACAGCAACACGTTGGGTCTCGTAGGTGGCTTATGCTCGATTGACTGTGAGAAAAATGAACTCGCATCTAACTCGAACCCCTTTGCTAATTATCAACAGATGCATTCGCCCTCATGTTCCTCTCGGTCATCGTAGTCGCCCGCGACGGCAATTGGACCCCATCCAATGGAGTCATCTACGCCACGTTCCTGGCTTGTGTTTGCTGCCACGGAATCCTTGCTTCAACAATGTCTAGGATCATGGGCAAGCTGCAGACAGTCTTCGTGTTCGCGAACTTCATCTTGATCTTCGCAACCGTAATAGCCCTGCCCATAGGAGCACGGCACAACCGTAATGATGGTCATTATATATTCGCACAGACAGAGAACTCAACGACATGGCCGACCGGATGGGCCTTCATGCTAGCTTGGCTTAGTCCTATATGGACTATAGGAGGCTTCGACTCCTGTGTACACATGTCCGAGGAGGCAGCTAACGCGACCAAGGCTGTTGTATGTTCAACAATGTGTCTCAAATCTAAATCAATGGACACTGACATCATCTTTGACAGCCTTTTGGCATACTCATGTCCATTGCGTCGTGCTGGTTCTTTGGCTTCATCATCGTTATCGTGCTTGCTGCATGCATCAACCCCGATCTGAGCTCAGTCACTGGATCGAAGTTTGGCCAGCCAATGGCGCAGGCAAGCCAACCTCTCGCTCTCCCTTCTCGGCTTGTACATTGACCAAAGAGATCAGATTTACTTTGACGCCATAGGCAAACACGGCACTCTAGGCCTGATGTCGCTCCTCTTCATTGTCCAATTCCTTATGGGCCTCTCCATCCTCGTAGCGGCCTCCCGTCAAGCCTGGGCCTTTTCCCGCGATGGTGCTCTCCCATTCTCCCGCTTCTTTCGTCCCATCTCGCAAAAGTTCGGTTACATCCCTCTTCGCACGATCTGGGGATCGGTCTTCTTAGCAGCCATCTTAGGTCTGTTATCACTCATCGCGCCAGCGGCTGCCCAGGCGCTGTTCTCGCTGGCGGTGGCGGGAAATAATTTGGCTTGGGGGATACCTATTTTTGCCAGGGTGGTTTGGGGCCAGAAGAAATTCAAGCCGGGACCTTTCTACACCGGGGACAGGTTCTCAATTCCGATTGCTTGGGGGGCTATTACGTTCTTGGTCTTCGGGACGCTGTTGTCCATGTTTCCAGTTGAAGGACCGGATCCTACTCGTAGGTCTTCCCTTCCGCTCTGAGATCATCTGTACCAGTACCTGCGGGGCATCCTCACTCTCCCGCTAATCCCAAATCCTCCGAGTTCCGCATACTAACACCCACTCCCAGCCCAAAACATGAATTACACTGTCGTCATCAACTCCGCCGTTTGGTTCGGCGCCTTGGCCTACTACTACATCGACGCTCGGAAATGGTTCACGGGACCGAAGATCACCATTGATACAGACGACTTGACAGAGGCGCAGCAGCAGGCCATCGCAGAAGACGGGCTCGAGATCAAGGGGCTTGACGATGCGGTCCACGCGAAGGTGAGTGTGGACGGCAGCGGCAGCGGGAGTGGGAGTGGGAGCGATGTCAAAACGGTGTGAGGACATGTCACACACTGGTAGGGAAGGCTTGCCAACAATTTGTGGTTGGTAACCGTGAAGGCTGCGATGACTTTTTACCTAAATCTTTTCCCTGAGTGGCCCAGTCTGCCTCTGGGATATCTGTCAGTTGAACTTCAAGCATCGGCTCGTTCTGAAGTGATGAGGGACTCGAGTCAGGTCTGAACGGTACTTTGTCGTTATTAGTATCAAAACTTGGCTGTCAGAGCAGGGTCCTCTTTTTCTATATCCAAAAAACCGTCAACTCCATTTTGTAAGCTAATGCTACATGTTACATATCCCTTCCATACTGTAAATTTTTTCCCCCTGCTCTTTTTCCCTTCTGTTTGTTTTCTCGCTTGTGTTTTTCTCTCTCTCTCTCTCTGTCTGTTCATTTCGTTTTTTTTGAATTTTTTTGTTTTCCCTGGATCTTTCCATCCGGCATGATACGCACAAAACCAGTCCCCGTGAGCAGCTGCAGAGCGGAGATTGTAAAAAAAAAAAAAAAAAAAACGACCGCCCCTACGCCACGCGCGATTCTCTACATATTTCGCCGTGTCTCAAGTAGCACAGCCTTCATTGCCACGTTCTTTATTCGTTCCAGTCGCGCTTTCTTTCCCTTTGTTTGCTCTCGGTGCATTGGACACTCATGACAGCCCTCCTCTTCCCCACCCTTCTCTTCTCCAAGGGCCTGCTACTTGGCCAGCGGTTCTTCGTACGACTTCGGTCGGATGCCGGGATTCAATCCCGTCGTCCGTGCAGAAGAGATCGCCCCTGTGAAAGGATTGTGTTTTGCGTCCTCGAGTGCTGGTGGATCGCACCTCGCTTATCAAGTTTTGTCTCCGGCGGCTGTGATTCGCACCCCGGTTTGTAATGTCTCCGGCTCCATGGGCGGATCCTGAATGGTATCTTCCTCCGGGGAGCTCCTTCTTGCTTCGGCGCTTTGCTCCTGACGGATCGGGTCCTGTGTGCGACGGTTTCGGGTCGGAGACGCTGGTCTCGTTGGTTGTGATGGATGGATCGGTGGTTGTGTCCATGATGACGTCTCGCGCGTGGGTATAAGGGTCGTGGGCCAAGTATGCGCGACCGTCTGCTCGGTAAGGGCTCGATGTCTCGCTCGAGGAGGAATCCTGAATCGGGTCCGGGTCGTGGGGATGTTGATCGGTGTGATGATTCTGGGGGTAGGTCGTCCGGTGACTTCTGTCGTTACCGGTGTGATCTTTGCCGAGCATAGCGGAGTCTACGGTCTCGACCCTGGCCAATTCCTGGTTCACATGGTATCTCCTCGGTCCGTCCGTGGTTTGTACTGGTGGTGCGTGTTTGGCGATCTTCTTCCTTTTTTGAAACTCAGGTGGTGCATGCATCTCCACGGTTGCACTTGCTGCTTCGCGCACGCATCCGGTATTCGTTGCGCCAAGAAACAGAGGAGCTTCCGCACCTATGGTGTTGGGGCGATGGGTCCACTCTCTGCCGTCTTTATTGTCATCGTCATCGTCATTGACGATATCGCGGTTCCAACCCCAACGTGTGGCTTTTATAGTTGCTGGAAGATAAAGCGCTTGAGGTCGATTGTTGGGGTCTGTGGCGAATGATGATGCTAAGGGTACAACGGGTATGTGTCTCTCCATTGAATGGCTAAACAACCAGGGTGGAGCATCGTCTTTGGGCCAGTCAAATTGCAGTTCTCGCGGGAGTCCGTCGAGTAGTTGTGTGAGTTTGGTCTGCAGAGCGACTAATTCAGGATCAGACATCCAGTCGTTGGTGGCGCTAGTTGCTTTGATGTCATGCATACGCCGTACAAAATCGATTCCCATCTTTTGCAGCATCGGAAGTACGGTCCGCAGTAGCTGCGCTCGTGATTGCTCGCAATGGTTTGTTGAGGGATGATCTTCATGCTTTGGTATGATGTTGAGTTGCAATTTTGGGCTGACAAGGAATTCCACGGATGACCTGCCTGGTCGCGTGACGCTAACATCCGCCCCGACCTGGCCTATTGATTGCTGCACGAGGCCCAACAAGGAGCGAAGTAGCATGCGAGACTCCTTGTCCCTCACGGGAACGTCCGCCTTCCCCTGCAGGTTCTTGATATTTGGAAACCAGGCATTCATAGTGGAGTTGATGCGTTGACTATCAGTCCAGCTTGGTAAATTTGGACAAGCGGCGTTTTGTCGAAGCGTCAGCACATATGCATTGACCTGTGGGACGATACGATCGCTGGATTGGTCTTTGATCGTCATGGGGCAGCCACCCAAACTTGAAGTAGGCTTTGATGTGAGTTGGCATTTCGCTGCTTTGGAGTCGATATGGCTTGAGGAAGACGGGTCTTTCTGGGTTCATTCCTCGCAGCCCCTGCGGGGCCGTGTAGGATCTGAGTGTACCATGTCTCCTGGAACATTCTTGAAGTTGATATGTCCCTTTGTTGCTCATGCTCGCGTAGATCTTCGGTCAAATATCTGTGAAGATCTATCTGAGTGTCTGTTGTCGAGGGGGATGGTCGGTCTGGGTTCAACGGCTGTTGAATTGCGCGCGTGGAAAGCTCGTGGATCGTACTCATTCGTCCTAATCCAGAGTTGTCCGAGTGTGAGATTATCTTCCGAAATTGAGTATGACGCTTTTTCTCAAGGATATTCACAGGAGCTTGAGAATCTGATGAGACATTCCTGTGGATCTGGCACCAAACTGATCGTCTTTGTCGACGCTGAAGCACGATGTCGCTGTTGGTAGCCCTTGAGAGGTTGCTGTGGATGGCCTCCGTAAACATGCTTTGTTTTCCTTTGGAGGCCCTGCTGCAGATGGTCTTCGATGGCTTGCTGTGCGCGGTTTCCGAAATCTTAATGTGTATGTTCCATGAGAGCCAGCTGTTGGTAGTCCTTCAGTGCTTTGCTTGTGGTGTTGCTGGCTGACGTCCCTCCAATCGTGATGATTTGGTACAGGTCCTGTTCCACTCTCATTAGGCGTTGCGCGTCCTAGTAGTGGGTAAGGGAGATGGGGTTCATTGTCGGTATGTTGGTTATCGTCATGCTGCTCTCCTTCTTCAAAAGATTAATTAGGAACAGATGACGGGTTTCAATCATCAGTCACATCATCCACCCGTGGGTCTAAACTTTTTTCCTGTCTGTTAAGTCTCTGATCAATGCTCCTAGTCTTGTAATCCTCGACATCTCCTTGAAAGGAACCGACTTGACTATTCTTTGCCGATCGACCATTCTCGTTCCGACGATTCAATGCCGCGATAAGCTTTCCATGTCCGCGAATTTCCATAGCCTGTCTCATTCTGTCCTTCTTTAATGTCTTCGTGCTCGTTTCGTCACAGTCCTCGGCTGCTAACGTGTGAACGAAGAAGTCAGAGACAAGCTCAAGCGTACATTGAAATGTGGTATGGGGTATTGGGTTAAGGATAATTGAATGGAAATGACACACCATCGGTTGCGATGAATGATTTCTGTTCCGTCACACACACAGGCATGCTTTCTTCAGCCTCTTTTCTGATCTTGGCTTCTGCGTGGAGGCTGAGTACCATCATAGGGACAGACTGATTAGTATTAGCAGTGCCTCAGCTAGGGAAATATACAAGAGACACAGACTGGTTTCAGGTGGGAGTTGCTGTGACAGGCTGGGATCCGTGTAAGAGGTATTACCAGGAGTGTAGAGGGGCTCTTCTGTCCTACTTGACGCTACGGACCTGGGACTGAACGCGGTCCTACCAGCGACGCTGAATAACGATTGCTCAGCTATTGGCGAGTAATCTGGGTGCTGCTTCTGTCGAATGGCTTGCTGTCGTTGTGTAATTGGCATTGGCTCAAGAGCTGGCTGAAGCGGTAAGGCAGTCAACCCACCACCAGCGTGCGATGGAATTATTTGGTCAGTGGGCGAAGTAGACGCCAGTGGGAGTGAAGCGAGAGGGAGTGAAAGCCAATAATTATTCAATTGCGCCAAGTGGACACTGCAGCGCTTTTTGTTCTTGAGGCAGAAGTTGCAGCTCGAAATGGAGCCTTGATTGGAAGACCAACTTTTCTCACATTTCGTATGTTCTAAACGGCAGGTATCACAAGTCTGAAGCTCAGTTAGCTCCGCAGTAAGGATCGTATATTCGTGCGGACCCACTGGTCTGGCTCTCACCCATTCTTGATTTTTTCATTCGTAGGGCTTCTTCATCAGCTATTGTATTGTCTACCTCGCCTTCATCGTCGAGATTGACTTCCCGATCGCAATTACGTTTGAGCCGAAGGCTTCCAGCAGACACCCTTTCACTTCCAACGAACCGGCCCATGTTCTTTTCTCCATGTGCGGACAGGGTCCCGGAGTCGGTCAACCAGTTGAAATGACTTTTTGCTTTCGTGGGAGAGTTCGCAGAGCTGCATGTAGTCCTGGATTGCAAGATCAATAAGAGTGGAGTCCAATCCTGCTAGCATAGGGTCGGCACGAAGGGGTGAGTTCCCTTCATATTGAGGACACTGCTTTGCCGGTGGCCATGGATACACAAGTCCTCCGTCCTAGATCGTGTTAGTAGGCAATAGCCAAGAATTGGGATGTAAGCAAAGTTGATGACTTACAATACCTTTGTGCAGATTCACCGCTCTTCGCTCACCGAAAAAGCGTGAGAACAGCCCAATCCAGTCAAGAGAGATCTCGTGTTGCTCTTGGTCGATTGTCAGGCCGGGTACCGCGCAGTCGTTGAGTCCCGCTCGCACTTGAATCACAAACATCCCTTCGGTCGTTTCAGGTTCGAAGATTTGGATAGGGTAACTCGGCGGGCCCCAACCATCTGACTGGCCGAAGAGTCGTCGCCTTTCGGAAGGTTTGTACTTGTCTGCCTCTCCCATTGGCCCAAGACCCCCCTCTCTCTCTCTCATGTGTCTGAAAATAACGCCCTCATACAAATTCTCCGGGTCGTTCGGATCGTTCGGCCTATGTTGGATCTTGAATACAGCCCTTCCGGGGTCCAGCTCTAATAGCCCTGCGAAGCGGAGCTGAGCTTTGAAATCATACTGTTCGACACGGTCGAGAGGAGCGCGATCCCAGGTGGCCCAGATACCAGCTCTAGAGTGAGAGAAGGTGTCGTATTCAGCATAGTACGTATCTACAATGGCGAGCTCGAGAGGTCAGCATCGTTCAAGATCAAGCTTTTATCTCCGAGACCCAAGGCACTTCGCTATGAGGGATGCTGGAAGGCATCGAATGACTTGAGAGACTGGCCAGCTACGCTCAAACTTTACATTGAGCGAGCGGCCTCGAAACAACAAGACAACAGGCACTTGGCGTAGACAATTTCCCGGTGGTAGGGGCGACGAGGGTATGCGCTAGACAAGGAATACTGACCGCTGATGAAATGTAACGTATTGCTTGGTAGATGCTGTGATTTGAAGACGTCTTCGACCTCAGCCTTGAGTTGCTTGCAGACAGACCTCACGCACGTCCATAGATGGGTAAGGTCATCCTGACTTTTGCAGTTGCGGAAGTTGTCCCTGATCATTCGTAAGATTAAGTCCCATATTTCAAATGGTAGAAAGAGACGGGGAGGCAGGCCTCCTATGTGTTCTGGCATGATGGAAAACGCAGGAGAGGCTTGTGTCGCGGAGACAGAAGTACCAGGAGAAGCTTTAGACACCGTATGGGTTCACGAGGTAGCAAAGTGAAGAAAGTAAAGGCAAGGAACCGTGAGGTGAGAAGAATTGGAAGTGTGGTACAGGGCGAAAAGCGAGCAAACGGGGTGGTGGCGTGAGTGCTCCGTCAACCAGATATATCTTGACGCACTAGGTGACAGCAAATTCGCCCTCGAATCATTGGCAATCTCCTGGCGAAGGAGACATGATGAGAGCTGGCGGTGATGGTGATGATGATGATTCACGAAAGAGGACTGCGAAGGAAGATGAAACCCGGAGGATATGGTTAAGCGGAGAATCATTGATACGACCGACAGCTACTCCAACCAAAGCGCAAGTGTGGGCGTTGTCGTTTGGATCTGATACCACGTCCCTACAGACTTCTCACAATTTGCTGTGCATAAGGCCGGAGATGTACGGATTAACTACCGCATCTAGGTAGCGTGTCGAAACAAAAGGACATGCTTGGCCGGTGGTATCAAACTGTCGACCGATTTGCCAACGTGTCTAGGCGATTGACCATGATCAAATGCAACATAAGTGGCGAGTAGGAAGTGAACGCTCAGGGCGATTCTAACTCGGCGGCACGCAATGGAGATGAAGGATTGAAGATTTTGGGGCAAATGTTAGAAAAGAAAAAAAAAGAAAAAAAAAAAAAAAAAAAAAAAAAAAAACATACAACATAGATTCGCATAGGGTCTGTTTGGAGTTCAAGCATCTCCCACATTGCCAAAGTGCTGCGTGACTCACATGCTAATAAAGTAGCAAGTAATACTCCAAGGTACTAAAGACGGGTTTTCATACCCGGACAGCAGAAGATCTTCCAACACTCTGTGCTACTATACGATCTCAACAATTAATTCTATGAGAACACTTTGTGTTTAAGACCTATAGCATTTCCAATGTACTCCAACTTGGTCAGCAGAGTTTTCCGTAGATTGTATCGTCGTGGTGATGTCGTGAGTTGAACATTTTCCGTGGTCGCTTAGTGTCTAGATATTGGAAAAACCGCCAAGCCTAAGTGGGTATAGTGTCCGAATTAGCACCCGCTGATCTCCGGGGTTGTTTCCAGTGTCCGTCCGTGCCCGACCTGATAATTAGAAACCCTTATACGAGATCAGCGTACGGCTTTTCATCCGTTCTCTCAGGTCTATGAGGTTCCGAGGTGCCTAGAGTCTTAGGTGGGACTAGTGGCTTTTCTAAAGTTTTGAGTAATTCAACGGTTGCGGTGTGCCCAAAACCTCAAAGAAGACTAGTGGCTTTTCTAAAGTTTTGAGTAATTCAACGGTTGCGGTGTGCCTAAAACCTCGAATGGGACTAGTGGCTTTCCTAAAGTTTTGCGTAATTCAACGGTTGCGGTGTGCCCAAAACCTCAAATGAGACTAGTGGCTTTCCTAAAGTTTTGGTAATTCAACGGTTGCGGTGTGCCCAAAACCTCGAATGGGACTAGTGGCTTTCCTAAAGTTTTGCGTAATTCAATGATCACGGCGTGCCCAAAACCTCGAATGGGACTAGTGGATTTCCTAAAGTTTTGAGTAATTCAACGGTTGCGGTGTGCCCAAAACCTCAAATGAGACTAGTGGCTTTCCTAAAGTTTTGAGTAATTCAACGGTTGCGATGTGCCCAAAACCTCGAATGGGACTAGTGGCTTTTCTAAAGTTTTGTATAATTCAACGGTTGAACGGTCTCAAACCCCTCTGGATTTGTCGCATCACATATCAATCCAGATTATAGTACCGATGAACCGGGCTTCCATCTTTCGTGATCCGTCAGCATTACAGCATAGGTTGACCGTAATTCGATCCTGTTCCCGATTGGCACCTGTTATTCGCTCCGTATTCCAGCTACGATCTGGTATCATCTTCCAGAAATACCCCGTCTCGTCCATCTTGAAGGTGTCCGCGGGGTTGAAACTCTGATCAGCCTTACGGGTGTCTTCCATGATATCTCGTGTGCGGTCATTGATATCAGCAGAGCTAGCCTCGTTGTGTCGAGCCTGTAGCTTCAAGTTGTGCCGACTTTGGAAGCCTTGAAGCCATCCTTAGGTCCATTCAGGGCAGAGTTGGCCTTGATAGCAGGGTAGACGGCTCCAAAGATCCGTGGCTCGGCATCGAAGATTCTCGCCAGTGAGAGTGTGTCTGGCTGCCTTATACCGTTGCGCCCACTCAAAGAGAGCCTCTTCTAGGACCTCCCATTTGTCCGCACGTTGACGCTTTGTATCCTTGCAATCTGGCACAGGTCTCTTGTCCAGATATGTGTATTTGACCCCAAGGATTTTGCTGCAGGTGGAGGTATTTAGTTTGTATTAATACTGCTCATTCCACCAACGGCCACAGTCCTCCAGAGTTTTCTTGCTGTTGAGGCCAGTACCAGGCGTGGAGTCGTCATTGTACCATGCTCGTAAGGCCTTGCTTTGACTGTCTTTGATGCTCCGACAAGGCAGTTTTATAGGAGGAAGGATATCAGACATCTTTGGATACAACGGACTCGGCAAAAGGTAGAAGAAGAGCTAACGGACTGGGTTGAAAGGAGAGACTCGGTTATTTGTATGAGGTTTGGTGGATTTCGCAGCTATAGCCAGGTGTCTGTTATGCGGTACCGCTAAAAGCAGGTACTACCGTAATTACCTTACCACTTTACCGCCACCCGCTGCGCCAATCGATGCGCACCGCAGTTTGGAGTACCACTGTCGGCCGAAAACAACCCACACAATAGCGTGTCCGAAGCCAACCCCTGCTCAGCACCAAGTCTATGCCTGCGTCCCTTGGTGACTACATATTCAGCCGGCGTGAGAGGGATCCGTACTTTCTGCGGGCCCATGCATCTGCGGAGGAGACGGGCTGGACTACCGTTGTAGGCAAGCTGAGTTGAGCGGCTGGATCCTCCGTTGAGGAGGCATTGACAAGGAAGGGCATCTCTACCCTCTCAAAGCTGGAGTGCTCGACAGAGATCGAGCATTAGCCAATCGACGCTAGCTTATTGAGTACACCAATCTCTGGAAGCATGGACGTGGATACCGGCGGTAGCGCTTCGTGCACAGCGGGAGAGGGGAGCAAGATCTTGGTGATCGGAGCAGGCTGCACTGGTCTTGCCCTTGCCCATGGTCTGAAAAAGGTAGGCACCCAGATACTGCAAAAGCGCTTGTGATTTATATTCCTAATCTCGTTGCTAGGAATTGAAGTCTCTCGCTAACGGTGAACATAGGCTGGGATTCCTTATGCCGTGTACGAGAGTAGAAGCAACGTTGCCCCACTGAAAAGAGATTGGAATTTTGGCTTGCATTGGTCTGCGCCCGCTCTCCAATCTCTCATCCCCACCGAACTTTGGGCAATGATACAAAGCACCCAGGTGGATCCCCACACACCTACCAAGGACGTTGAGACACTTCGTTTCCACAATGGGAGAACCGGTGAACTCATTCGCGGGGTTGAAGTCGAAAGATTCTATCGCCTACGCCGGAGTAAGCTCCAGGCCTTGTTATCGGAAGGTCTCGATATAGAGTGGGAGAAGGAGATGGTAGATATAATACATTTAGAGGACGAGAAAGGGGTGAAAGCTATATTCGAGGATGGTACTGAAGTCACTGGCTCCATGCTGGTCGGTGCAGATGGTACACGCTCATCTGTTCGATCCCTTCTCGTCGGATGCGATAGTGCAAAGCCAACCCCCATTGACTTTGCTACCACGATGTGCTTCAGCAAGTACTCGCGTGACAGGGCTCTCTTCTTGCGTTCGGCACCACATCATCCATTGTTTCAGACTGCTCCACACCCAGACGGCTATTTCAGCTGGCTAGGACTTCATGATGCTTCGGATACCGATCATCCGGAAAGCTGGGTTTTTCAACATTACATTTCGTTCCCTGAGCCTCGAGAGTTCGAGAACAAGAAGACGGTGGCCGAGCATGTCGCTCACCAAAAAGCAATGGCATCTCAATTCGCCGACCCTTGGAGAAGCTCATTTGAATGGATACCAGATGACACCACGACAGCGTGGTACGGCAAATTGAATCACTGGGATCCAGCGCTACCAGAGCACAAGTGGAATAATCGAGGAGGACTCATTACACTGGCAGGCGACGCTGCACATCCTATGACGTTCCAGCGTGGACAGGGTTTGAATCACGCACTCACTGATTCAGTGAAGCTATGCAAAGCGATTGTGGATTGTTGGCACAGCAGTGAAGGCTTTCTGTGTGGACGGGCGGCTGCGATTGAGGGCTACGAAAAAGAAATGATAGCAAGAGCGAGCGAAGAACTGCGGCTTGGGGAGCTGAACTCGAGAATGTTACACGATTGGGAGCAGGTTCAGCAGAGTCCAACTTTTGGAAAGGGTCTTAGCAGGTAAGGTAGTCACGCCAAGCTCGCCTCTAGTGTCCGTCGGTTGTTCCCTTCTTTGTGGCCGGCTGGTTCACGCTAGCAAAAAGATCGACGCTAGGGGGATAGATTGGTCACGTCGTTGCGGCTCAAGGCTATATTTTCTGACTTCCTGCTTTTCTTCTTACTCTGGTGCGCGCGTAGGTCGATGTGACTGACTCAGGGAGCCAACCTCCTGATACGAGGCCCCTGCTAGCGTGTATAAGCCGGCCACACAAGGCTTAGCGGGCTTAGCTTCGAAATGCCTTCTTGGATCAACGCATTCGTTCAGCACCACAGACGCTCTTGCAACGATCTTGCTCAATCGTTGAGAGTCTGTATGGGACAGCTAACGTCTGCTTGTCTACGGCCGGTCCCTCCAGAATCATCGTGGCTTCTGCTCACGATGTCGGCATGGAACCCTTACTGAGGTAGCCCTTACAGGGCTAGTCATCTGATTTAGAAGAATTCACATAGCAAATAGCAACCTAATGGACGAGCGAGGAATGAGGCGAAATTACCTAGGGGAAGTGACAACATACGATAAGGGTTAGCATTCTAGGCTTAAAGATCTATCTACGTTTGATTTTCGTGTATGTACTATTTAGCGACCTTTGCAAAATCAGGCATGCAGATGCCATTGATATGCGTTTTTATCCCGGTCGCCAGATGAGGATCTTTCGAATTCGGAACGATGGGAGATTGGCCAGTACAGTCTACTTGCAGATCTGCGCTGCAAATGCATTGACCATATCCAGACCAGGCCCACCCCCATCCATGGAGGGGGGAACGCTACTCCAATTTAAATGAATGCAACATGGAAAAATGTCTGGTGATATGTTCCCTTTCATGCTTCCCACAACCCATGCCAGGTGAGCGAAATGGCATCACATTTGACCCCACAAGAAGCGGCCAATTGATACCAGCCTGCCAAAGTCGCAACCTCTGTGGTCTTCCTCGTTGTTTGTAACGTGTCGGTCTTCATCCGGATCATGTCGCAATTCCAAGTATCGAAGCGTCTTTTCCTCGACGATTTCACCATCGTCTTTGCCGCGGTATGGTCATAATGAATGGGTCAGCATTGTCCAGGACTGATGAGTATCAAGCTTTGTTCGGATGTCACAGGCGCTTTGTACCTGAAGGGTGGGTCAGGTTGTCCCGAGATGTCCTCGAAAGCTCTTTAAGTGACATATCGAGCTACGACTAATGGTCTTGGTCTACACATCTACAGAGTTCTAATGGAGGACCCCAATCCGCCCCAAATATACGATTGCTCTTTTCAAGGTAAAAGTGTGGTCACTCCAAACGACGGAGGTTTCTACGCAGGCTCTGTACCGACGCCGTTCTCATTGGTCCATGCTTCTTAGCCGTCAAGGTCTCACTACTCCACTGTGGTTCTATCGCCGCACTCTCCTCGTCCATCAGCGATGGCTATTGATTGCTTGGTGGATCAATCTTATTCAAATCATCCTTTGGGTGATCGGCTCGACGCTGTTTTACATCTTCCAGTGTATACCTCCCGGTCATTACTGGCAACGTATGTATGTCTCGTTCCAGATCCCGCCGCCATCGCCGGTAAGTGGGCAGTGCAACTCCGCTACGCCTGTATTGGTCGCCCTGCCTTTGATCTCTAGCTTGATCTCTGACTTTGGGATTCTGGTCCTACCGGTTACAATTGTTTCGCGGCTTCACATGCGAACATGCAGGGAAATTGGCTTGATCGCAGTATTTTCGCTCGGCTTGCTGTAGGTACCCTAACTGATTACCATGAACAGAATTACGATCAATGACTGACCAAGAACTTTCGTGCATGTATTTGCGAAATCGTTCGAATCTGGCTCGAGGTGACCGTTCCTGCTTTTGAGGACCCCACTTGTAAGTCACACGCGTTTTCCAGATATGACTACACCTTGAAAGACGCTGCTCTAGATGCGAATGTCACGTTTGTTATCTTCACCTTCGCAGAGTGAAACATTGCTATTGCGGCCGCCTGTCTGCCACTTATTGCACCTCAGCGGCGATACCTTATCAACAGATTTCAAACTTATCGAGATAAAGGACCGGGCACTCCCATATCACACTCAAGCCGAGATGGGGCACCAATCCTTCTGAAAACACTCAAGATTCGCGTTAAAGCCAGGGACAGATACACGGCGGTTCACACGAAAGCAATTTCGAGGAGAGGAGAGCGTTAGTCTCATGGACAGAAGCCACATGCGACTTGGAAACGAAATCGACATTGAGTGGGGCCGTTCAAACCAACAGATTGATCAATGATCACTCGGTTTCTACGTGTGTGTTTGTTTGGGGTTGCAGGAAGCTGAAGGAACTCCTTTTTTCATAGCAATCCCAGCACCCAGAGAAACTACAACAATAAGCCAGAGAATCATCACTCTTGACTTCGGGCCCTATATCTCGAGTCTAGTCAATCTTAGCAGATACGTTCTGCGCAGAACCATATCATGCGCAGATTTGGATCAGATCTCGCCCACGAATGCGCCATATTCTCCTTGACAACCGGAGGCAAAAACATATCTGACTCGACGTTCCAGCTCGAGCCCGTCTCTTTTCCGACTTGCGCCCAGAATCGCTCCATGCTTTCCACATTGTGACGATAATTAAGACCAGTTCCTGTCGGCATCGGATACTGACCTGCATCAAGGCTACCCATCTGATTGCCGATGATCATGGAACCTGGGAGCTTGCGAGTCAGCGAAACCAGACGCTTCGTCGCCGTGACCATATCGTCCCAGCCCCAGGAATGCAAGAGCGAAGCCGCGTGGACGATATCCATCTTGCCTTCTACGGCCTCGAGACCTTTGCCGTCCGGTGCCATGGAATCTGCCAGGACATCACCCGAGAGCATTTGGGCATGGAGCTTGTCTCGGTCAAGGAACAGTTCGTAGCCCAGGTCGAGGAATGCGGGCTCGAGATCGAACCCGTACAGCTGTGTCGCCGCTATGCCTTCTTGGAAAACCAAGAAGCGAATCTCTTGACCGAAACAACATCCCGCGTCAACCAACGATGCTCCTGCACGGAGGCGCGGTAGGATACGAGGCCAGTACGGCAGCTTCGGCAAGGTGAAGTCCAGAAATCGGACTTGGCCGATGCATGCATATGACCAGATATCGAAGGCCTTGTCCCGCTACACTGTGCGTCAGCAGAGCTGGAGTGCAAGACGACGTACGTATAGAGGGGTACTCACGATGGCAAGAACGTGGAGCAGCACCCGCTCCGTGGGAATGCCGCTGTAGACCTCGAGCAGCTGCCGTCCCGCGTCGGGGATGGACTCCACGCGCTCCGCGTACCATGCGGGACGCGAGGTGGAATCAATCTGTGACTTTCCGTCAAACGTACTGGGACCGTGGTGCCCCTTTCTTTCCAAAGACATTGTATGGGCATGTGTGCGAGTATTAGGCTGGTATATAGATGAGGCGGAAGAGGCCGGGACTAAGGCCGTAGGTGGGAAGTGGCAGGGTTCCGTCATACGGATCTAGGAGTAGGCTGCGTGCATCTGGCGGTAATATTCCGCCTAGCGAATCTATAGAGAGCAGGCAGGTGCTTGTTGCTACCGAACGTAACATCATTGGATCTTTCAGCATTCGGCAGTCAGTTTAGTGAGGTGATTAGAATGCTCACATGCATTACACGTATTAAATATCCTGACAGCGCAGATCGCCCTCTAAGGCACTTCAAACGAACAGCTGGGTTATTCAGCTCATTGACTAGGCATTGTGTCTGCTTTGCAGATTGAGTCTGCAATGGGAGGACATGCCTGACTTCTTGACCTCTTTCGCATAGAAAGTATTTGTTTTTAAGGGATCCCACAACCGCTTTATAGACACGAACATGATTATAACTTCTGGAGTCAACGACTGATTCATTCACCACCAGATCGCTCGCCAAGATAGCTCATCTAACAGTCAAAAAAACCTTAAGCCTTGCGCGGCAATGTGGGCGACAGACCCTAGCACTTTGGCGCAGACGCTCTAAAGGGCAGCCAGATCATCGAGCGGGATCACATTGTATGATGATTGGGAATAGAACGATTTGCTCAGGCACGAGGAATCAAACATGATACCCTACTTTCAACAGCTGTAGTCACTCAGCTGAGCCGCGCTATCCCATCGATTGGCAGGGCGTAAGAGTCAGGGGCCTGCGTGCCAAGACATTTTACGCCCCATGCGCCAATCGATGGGAAACATCAGCGCAGCGATGCAGACATATAAGCAGCTGTATCAGACCTTGTCAAGTAAACAATACCAATGCTGCAACTGAAATCCCTCCCTGATCTTGCCTATCATCTACCTTGTCGGTTTAACAGACCTCGTGAATCTTCAGCACGGCTAGCTTCAAAGACACAGCCTACCACTGCAAGTACATCGATGATGTACCGAGAGGAGGACTCCTTCCAAGCCTTACGATCGATATCCCTGGTTTTCTCCACGCCGTTATGGGACGTACATATTCCACGACTCGAGCCGGGTGGCCTCCGAGTGCTGAGGAGGACCTCGTAAGGTACTGGAATGGCTTCGAGAGCTTGACTGTAAAATGTTCCACGGCTTGGGGGAATAATCCTGGTGTGCATCTTGTAACTTACCGGCAGTTCTGTAGAGTACTAGGCATCTACCTTGATTGATCCAGTATTTAGCCGGAAGAGACATCGGCATTACTCGTATCGCATATCGTCGACAGTAAGGGATGACGAAGTTGATGAGGAGACCGATTGCCATTGCCTTCTTTTCTTTTTGGGGGGTTGAACCACGCTTCATGGGTGGCCACTTTGGGTACACGCCGTCGCTGGTGGTGTGGACTATGCCTCGAGTGGTGGTGATGCATTGACCACTAATCTTAATCGGGTTAGGGGCCGACGGCACGCCCTGACAGGCCAAGAAGCGTCGGTTAACCTTCCCAACAAGAACTCATCTCGTTTCTCCCACAATTCCAGTTCCTTCTGTAAATTAGTGACCATGGTCAAAAGAAAGATTGGTGCCTTGGAGAAGGTTGATGCGGATTTGTACGAATTCATCCGCCACGACTACCTATGGGCAGACCCGCTTACTCTTATCAACAGGTCGAATCTGCAGTACAAAATAAGACGAGACCCTACGTACGCCCCAATCATCATGTCTATGCCATGTCTGACGCTGACGCTGGATAGTTCGTACAAAGAGGATTTCTTGAACCAATACAGCCAGTATGAGCATCAAAGGGACATATTCCTGCAAGCACCGTCCACCGCGACTGACGACGGCATTGTCTCAATTCGAGACTTGATCGACTTCTTGGCACACGTTGCAGATTGCTATCCACAAGATACGGCTCAATTTCCGCAAGATCTGATGCATATACTCAACACTCACCATGAAGAGCTAGAACCTGAGTTGCGAGAAAAGGTTGTGGGAAGTCTAGTGCTGCTGCGGAGGAAGGACATCATTGACTCTTCAACGTTTGTGTAGTCGTCCCCGCAATACATTAGGGTACAGACTGACGAATTGGCTGTGTAGACTCCTACATACTCTTTTTCCAATCCTCGTCTCCACCCCAAGTAAATCACTACGGACGCTCCTCTTCCAGAAGATCCTCTCCGACCTAAGAACATCAAACGCGAATTCTACGAATCACCGCCTCAACCGTACCATACAGACAGTCCTTTACAACCTACTCACCTCGGACCGCACATCCTCTAAAGGCCTGTGGGCTGTGAAACTTACACGGGAGCTATGGAAGCGCCAGATATGGACAGACTCAAAGGCGGTAGAAATCATGAAAGAAGCTAGTCTGGCGGATAACGAGAAGGTCATAGTGGGAGGGGTACGGTTCTTCCTTGGTGGTGATAAGGAAAGAGAAGAGCTAGAAGATGAGAGCAGTGATGGCGAAGCTGTTGACATGGGTAGGCTAAAGCACCAGATGGCCATCAATAAGAAAAACAAGAAGAAGGCAAGGATGATGGACAATGCTGTCGCGACAGTCAAGAAGAAGGAGAGAAAGAAGAAACAACCACATCCCCTGAACTTCTCCGCCTTTCACCTGCTGCACGACCCGCAAGGCTTTGCGGAAGCTCTGTTCTCCAAGCATCTCCAGAATACAAGGTCGAAACTCAATCTTGAACAGAAGCTTCTGGTGCTACAGCTAGTATCTCGACTTGTCGGATTACACAAGCTCACAGTCATAAGCCTTTATTCTTACTTCCTTAAGTATCTAACGCCTCGCCAACCATCAGTCACATCTTTTCTGGCCTCGCTAGCTCAGGCCACCCATAATCTCGTTCCTCCGGATGTCCTTGAGCCTTTAGTACAGAAGATAGCAAATGAATTCGTTTCTGAAGCGGCGGCAGCTGAAGTCGCATCTGCTGGATTGAATGCCATCAGGGAGATTTGCGTGCGACAGCCTCTGGCTATAAACGACACTCTCCTTCAAGATCTTGTAATGTATAGGAAGAGTAAGGACAAGGGTGTCATGATGGCCGCAAAAGGTTTACTAAGTCTGTATCGAGAAGTTGGGGCAGATATGCTCAAGAAAAGAGATCGAGGAAAAGAGGCAGCCATGGGTCTACGAAGTGGGCAGCGCAAAGAGCAAAGATTCGGCGAAGAAGCCGTAGGTGAGATTGAGGGACTGGAGCTATTGGAGAAGTGGAAAGAAGAAGAGCGACAGCGACAACGAGTCGAGAAGGGCCTTCCCGCCGAGAAAAGATCAGATGAGTCAGAGAGCGAAGATGATGAGGATCCAGGCGATTGGGAAGTCGACGAAGCTGATACTGATGACTCTGGTGGCTGGATCAATGTCGAGAGCGACAAGGAGATTGATATCAGCGATTCAGATGACGATAAGCCAGCTGCTAAGAAGGCCAAGGTTGACTCCGCTATTTCCAAGGTAGACGACGACAAGGAAAACGCAGAAGACCAAGCCGCGGCCACCGCCCTGAAGCTCTCCACCTTAGCGACCACCCGTATTTTAACCCCTGCCGACCTAGCCAAACTTCAGGAACTCCGCCTCTCAGCCAGCATAAACCAACAGCTCCCTGCCTCCCAACGCAAGCGCGCAGCTCAGCAAGCGGCCGCCTTGCAAGCCCGTCACGCCGACGATCCTCTGACAGCCGCTGAGATCGAAGGTCTAGCATCACTCTCCAAGAAATCCACCAAAGCCGACAAGATTGCGTTAGCTAAAGCCGGCAAAGGTGACGAGAGCGTACACCAGAGTACGCAGGCGAAGCGGAAGGAGAAAAAGGAGGCGTTGGGCAAGAGCACGACTAACAGGGAGAAAGCAAGGAAGAAGAACTTTATGATGACGCTGGGGAAAGGGAAGGCGAAGGGGAAGAGAAGTCTGGTTGAGCAGGGGAGAGTCTTGAAGGCGCATGTCGAGCGATCAAAGAGGGGCGGTAAGAGAGGGAATAAGGGGAAGTAGAAGACGATCGGTGACCCTGAGCGGTTTAGTCCGCAATTGCGCAAGGCCCTCCGCTCTATAAAAATTGATGCATATCTGTACTCTCGGGCCTCGAAGCTACTTTGTCCAGCTATCATCAGCATGGCCGGCATAGCACCCTGTCGTAGCGGGGTAAAGAGTCTTCCCAGCCGCCGTCCTGCTAGCTGGACGCCCGTGATGATCGCGCTCGGAAGCCTGCGGCATGCAAGATAAGTTGCTTGAATCGGGTACGTGTGTATGACCCGAACACCTTATCCTCATCCAGCCGTAAGTTGAGCCACCGCACTCGGCCACGTCTCAAGCAAACTTGCCCCTTGTGAGTGAAGCAATCATTTCGCCGATTATAAAATTTATCAATGAAGGGGATTGAGGTAAAGGTTCCTTAAGCTCAGAACAACTATTACCGAGACGAACAGACCGAACGTTTGGCGTTTTACCAAGGTAAAGAAAATGGCTGAAAGCGCCCTCCGATGGCCTGGCAGCGATCACAGGACGAGCAAATGCGGAGGCCGATGTCACAAAGGGCCGCAAAACCATGCGGCTTTTCGGACGCCCTTCGTAAACTCTGGTATTGTTTATTTCCATTGGATCGGGCGCTAAGAGAGCTGTCCCGACAGATGCCTGTTTATCATAAGTTGCGACGTTGGGTATTGATCATCGTCTCGGCTTCGCCTCATCAAAAGGAAGCTGCCAGCCAAGCCTTGGCTTTCACGGCTGTCTCTCATTATGGTCGTGCCTCCAGGGTGCTTAACTCATGTCCCTTTTCAGCGAGTGGTATGCCTTCCGAGGCACTCGACTACGGGCTCGGGCAGGGAAGCCTTGTAATGCCTTCGGTGAAGGCTTGCCCATTTCGCTACGATATCGGAATTTTACCGCAGGATGCGTTGTTATGAGGCATTTCGGCTGGCCTTGCTGTTGTGGCAGCTGGGAGGGACATAAACTGATTGTCATCGAGCTTCCCCAGATCACCACCACCATAAGCAATTTTATTCAAGTATCGCAGGAACTTATACCACTGGTATCGATTTCATGCCCTTTCTCAGATGCCTATCCTCAGAGGAACGGGATCCCAAGCCTGCGACGAGCCTAGGAATTTTCCGTGGGCCTGCTACGATATCGTGCATTTGGTCCATGTCTTTTTCTCCAGTCGGCAAATGGTTATTATATGGTCTTACACTCCTTGGACGATGACAAATAATACTACAGTAGAAGTGTCATTTATGGAAGCTCGGAACGAATCGAAAGCTGTGACAAGCACTCTCGCCCGATGATGCTCAACTTCTCTAGGCATATCAAGAGACACGGAGTGCAAATCCTTTACACCGCGAAATCAGAGCTCATCCTCTGAAGATTCTCTCGCCTCCTCCAATTTCCATGCACTGACAACTCTGCTTGAAGCTCCAGTATGCCTTGCCACTAGGGTTGCAGAAGAAGTTACAGTCCTTCTCTACTTTCTCTCTCAAGGATTCGGATAGACGGACGTCGCATGCTTCATTACATAGATTTTGGGAACAAGACATCTCAGCACACAAGATCTCTTAACAAGCTTGGACACATGAATAGAGACGAAGAGGAGCTGGACAGGCCTGTGCAGTATAGCTTTCGCCTGGAAAAATGGGACTGTCATGCTGTCGCCGACTTCCTTTTGATTCAAATGAACGACATGGATCATTTATTCGATGTGATCTGCAATGCTCGTAGGGAGAAAGAGCTCGTGGAATACGTCAGTTATGATGGGTACTCTCGTTGACAAATACTTTGCTGGTCCGGCTATACGCAGTACTGAGAAGAGCCTCTGAGCTCTCTCTGAATATGTAGGAGATGGAGAAGGACCGAGACACGGCTGCGAACACACAACATGACCACCACAATGGTAACATATCGAGATAATGGGTCTGACAGCGGTGCTAGTGAAGCGTGTGAAGAGGAACTTTGGCTATAGCAAGCATGCAGAGTACACGATGAAAATTGTGGAAATAAAGTATACGACGAGTCTGAACTTTTCAGGTGCTCAGATAGTCAATAAAGATGTATAGCCTTTGTTACGAATCCGTCGTTCTTGCTAGATCGATACCTACACTAATTTTAGGGGTAGGAAAAATCTTCCGACGCAGAAAACACTTCCCATGGATTGATCTTTCACAGCAAAGTCAGCTACAAATGATCGTCCGGTCGCCTTTGAGCCTGCAAAAGTGCTGATTGGGCCAATACTTTGCGGAAGTATAACCCTGAAGGATTGCCTCACGTACTGTCGATCCTTTTGCAGCGTGACTGGGGTGGAGTAAGAACGCATCCCTTCTCTAAAAGTCCTCATCCGATCCCAGTGCTTCGCCTGCTTGGCGGGACTCACAGAAGAAGGTCATTCGCTAAGTGTTTGATGGGGCTATGCAACAAAGCTCTGATCAAGAGACTTGGCAGCCATCCAATTGCCTTTAACTACCACATGGTCGCTGGATAACGCTTCAAGATTAGGTGTACTGGGACCGTATACCGCGATGTCATTGGCGCTGGTCCTAGGCGTACTATCTACGGCCCAAGCCCACGACCACCAGAGGCTCTCGCTATCGACGCACACGTAAATTTTGACCTTGCCGCATGGTTGTAACGGTATCATATCAAATGGTAGCCAAACCCACTGTCAGGCTTCCGTCGACGGAACTGACATTCCGACCATTTTGAATGGTGGAAGTCTTTAGTCAGCCAAAGGAAACCTTTGTGCCTAACAACGGATTAAGTGGAGGACTGAGGGTACCCACAGAATATCGTGCATATTGGAAAGAGCAACCCCGTGAAGGGAGACTGAAGTACAAGCCGCGAGCCCTTCACATAGTGATATTCCACCCCATCTTCAACACATCCTTCTGACATTCGCATGCCAGCTCAGCTTGAGTCTATCTCAACAGACGGTCTTTCTCCAAGTCTGACAGACCTTTCTGACCTTCTTCATACTTCCATGCCGTCATCCTAGACATCTTCGAAGCCTCGACTATGCCTACTCACGAGATACCATGGCCGCAGTGGACGCGAGAAGAGAACATAATTTGCGTCTGGTTCTCCGCCCTAGGCCTCGCGATCCCCGACATTGCACGCATCATCGAATACAAGCTCGGCAGACCAACTCGCCACCCGCGAGGATATTTTCGCCAAATGGACAGGATCAACCAAGAAGAAGCAGAGAGAGGCCGCCCACGGTTGTGCGGTCGTGACATGCTCGACTGGGACAGGGCTGCTGTTGATAACTTCCTCATCCTTCGGACCGATGACACGGACCTGCTCGACCACCTCCTCTGGTTCGGTGAGGAACACCTAGGGCTGCTTCGAACGGTACACCCTGGTATAGCTTCGCTTGACTATTCCTTTGCTGATAGCACCATGGTGGGCAGTACTTGGGCCGAGGCATACCCTTGAACGAAGCCGTGGACGTGGAAGATATGCAATACCAGTGGGCAAGGCTCCTCAGCAGACATCAAAGGTTCTACGGTAATCCAGCTCGTTATGGAGGGGGTGACTTCTTTTGAGGAGCCGCTCTGGGAAGCAGTGAGTTCTCATGGAGCCTCGGTCGACTGGTCCCTTACTGATGGCGTTATGGCGGTGTCGAGACATGCACTGGGACGAAGTTCTGGCCTTGGGGTTCCTGCGGGAGTACCGGGCTCGGTTCGTCGAGCGTCATACTAGCGTTGAAAATTCTACTTTCCGATTCTACGGTGGCAAATAAAACGACGAAGCAATGGAGGATGGCCTTTCGCGCTTAGCAAAATCTAAAAGAATAAAACACTCAGAGACAGAGTATAAAGCCGAGCTCACCGTTTTAAACGTTCATACTATCCTTCAAGACCCCAACAGTCATGTTATTCTCGTCAACGTCTCCGTGCTTGGAGCAAAGCCGTCCGATCCAGGAGCCATTCCCCTCGCATCCACGTATCCACCAACAGCCAGAAGCTCAATAATCTTCAACCGTATGCCTCATCCAGTGCCTCTGGCGGCTCCTACCTTCTAAACGATGAGAATAACCTAAAACGAATGGCAGCCCACTGCTGCACGTATGCACATTCTCATACCCTCTCAGAGGAACCGATTCGTGGACCTTTGTTTTGTTTTCGTCGTCGAACCCGCGTCGGGCCTCGTTGCTAGTTTCCATGCCTATGTTGTAGCGGGGAATCAATCATCGGAAGACGGGCCTCGGGTTTGCATCCTCGCACGCTTTTCCGTTTCGGGTTTTTGTACTGAGCGGCAGATTGGCTGGGAGGCAAAGGGAGACTTCTACTGCTTGATGACATGTGCCTACTGGTGGGGACTGTAGGAACTGATGCCTGGGTTACTTTGCGGGGTTGAGGAGGGTGAAGAGATTCGATCAACGAAAAGCACTGGCGCCGCAATATACCATACACGGAGCGACTTTGCCGGAAGCGAGCTGCTGATCGAACAAACCGTCTGGATGGCGACCGCGTACCTGATTTCGTAGCTACTGGCCCGAGTCGGAGTATTAGGGTGGATTGCAGTATGTACTGCTCGCATCAAGCCTTGTGGCATGTTCGGTATCAACAGCGAAGATAGGTAAGAAGGGAGTGAGTGTCACATCACGGCCTAGATGTGAGAGTTACGAGCTCTTACGCGAATGGGGTCCGATGTTTAAGAAGGTGATGTTGGTGATTTGGCCGTTGAGCACGGGCGTGAGCGTGTAGTATGAGCAATTGAGTATGGGTAGATGAGGTTCTGCATATGATAGAGGTAATGATATGTCATTCGGGATTAGTCGTCGATTAGCAATACCGAATGCCCTCAAAGTGTACCGCAAGGATGAACGTATCACAGAACTGAACCTGGATAATAGACTTAAAGCAAATCGGGTAGAGGTAATAGGGCTTTGACCACTCCTCTTCCTCTGATCCATAAGACAGTTAGTCTACAACAAATAGAGCATGAAAAATCCTTCCTGCAAGCGACGCGCACCCTATACTATTGTCTCCTGTTGAAAAAGCAGCGCTCAGCGAAGCAGGTATTCGTTCTTATGACACATAAATTCCTCAGTTCCTTGCTGTGTCTGGCCAATGGTTGCGTCCGGGCTGCTTCTCCGATCGTGAGTGGCTTTTACTTTCTTGCATTAACGACCGGACATGGTGACAAAGCTCAAGGGTTGGGAGGTCAATTCCCGTCCGCATTGTTTGGGTGTAGAGCTTGTGGCCTTGTATATCTGACAAACAGCTATTGGAACAAGGCTCAGGCGGTAAGCCGGTCGACGATGGTGTTGCTTGAATCGAGAGACGTCCACCCCTGCTCCGAAACCGTATGGTTATAACGCTATGCTTTCCCATGAGGATCCGGCCCGCAACAAAGCAACCAGAGTGATCCTCCCACTCTCGCTACTTACACCGCCAGCGTGAAAGGCAATCTGTCCGTAATCGATCTACCAGTACCACCGATCTTATTTCATCGCTCCCAAATCCCAACCAATGCATCGAAATCCGCCTCCGACAGCTCTTCCGCAAATCGATGGTCGTTTGCCCGGATTCTGCCACGGATCGCAAAAGCGCGGTGCAGGGTCGATTTCGCACTCGAGTCGCCGGTCAGGGTCTGTATCCTGCTCCGTTGGAATATCAGTCGAGCGAGGTGAGGGTTGTAAGCCGGATTGCTGGCGTAGAGCAGCATGGCTTCATCAATGTGGCGTCTGTGAGGCAAGTTAGCAAAGTTTTTGAACGTGTCACGGTAAATCGTACGTTGCGCGCTCGTAGTTTTGGCTCCGTATGAAATGTATAGCCAGCTTGTAGTGCGTCTTGGCTATTCCAGCCGATGAATAACTGTCGGGAATGGCGCCTTGGAAGTATCGCAGGGCGTTCTTGTAGTGTTCTAAGCTCTCGTTGAAGTGGGCCTTGCCGAGGAAACTGGCTTGCTTGTTGGCGACGTTTCCAAGGGCGTATGAGCGCTCGCCTATGCTGCTGACAGTTAGCTACAAACACATCAAGCTCGATGTCGGATGTGAAAGGACTCGCCGTGAGTTCATTTGTCCCATTTGATCATGAGCACTTATGCTGTCCTTCAGAGCCGTCGAGAAGCACAGTTCCGCTTCGTACAAATACTGCGCGTACTTCGGGTCCTTCTCGTCTTGTGCGTTGAGGTAGAGATGCCAACCGAAACTGCAAATCGAGCGGAACGGTAACACGACGAGATTTCCCGAAGGTACGTCAAGACCCCATGGAGAAATAGGAACTGCATCAGGGGCTCTATCAAGAAGTCCGCTTTGCTTCAACTCCTCTCCTTGTACCGTCCAACGGAGTCCGAGCTGTTCCATCTGCCGATCAACGTACTGCGCTGCTTCATCAGGTTTTCCACGCTCAATAGCGATTGCGGCATGCACTCTGTAAATGCTGGCATGATGGGCCCGCGACTTCCCCCACATGAGTTCATGAACTCCAAGCGCTGCCTGTATCTTTACCTCGGCGTCATAGTATCTCGATCGTTCCATGTAGTACCTGCTGAATCTCAGTAAATTCCCAGATCACCATGACCCCTGGGATATGACATACCAAGATGCCTCAACCAGGAGCTGTGCAAATGTGATGGTGGCGCACACTTTTATCATGTGTTCGTTCAAATGGTAGAAGATGTGTTCCAGTCTGGCTATATGAGGGACAAGCTCATCACGTTGGCCCCAAACATTGACCCTGGCGTATTGTACATATCCCTGGAGAGGCGGCATTCGACCTTCAGAATGTCGTTTTTTCAAGTAGTTTTCGTAATCAGTGCCCGATGCAGTAGCCGTTGCGGATTCCTCCTGGTTCACTGTGCGGTCTGGAACAAATAGCATTTGTGGCCACAGTACGGTCAAGGTCTTCACGATTGCGTTGAAAAGTGGGGAGATGAGGCCGTTCGTGTGCGTATCGGCTAGCACACTCGTTTGTATCTCGGGCCTCATCGTAAGTCCCCTGTCTTCTTCATTTCGTTGAATAAGCGACGCCTCCACTAATTCAGCGCAAGCTTCGGTGTGAGCGGCCGCCGTCATCGGGAACTTGAACACAAGATCTTCGTCTTTGGCCGCAAACAGTTGTCTCAGGGGCTCGAAGAAAACTTGGTGAAGGTGTTTAGGGTCCAGAAAAGCCATGACTCGCAAGGTGCTTAAAGCCTCCCGCGAAAGGGTCTCCTTGTGAGTTGCGAGGAAAGGCGACATCTCCTCCGGCGCGTAATCCATTTCTCCTGGCTTGTAATTCATGCTTGGGAAGTCTCTGATGTAACCCAGGTTTAACAAGTCTTTGCCTTGACGGTCGTAATCTGTAAGTGACCTGGTGCACAATCAGACGTAAACATTATAGGAGTCTGTGGACCCACGAAACGTGAGAGATAGACAAGGACTGGAAAGCGACGGTCGTCCAATGAACACAAAGGTTCAGCGGGACTTGGATAAGCGGCAAGCGGCAAGGTATGTTGGACAAGGAGATTCGCACCTTGCGGGGTATGATATTCACGTTAGGGAGTCCTAATGCCGCTCTGTAGTAGGTTTACTACAGGTATTGTTAAAACCAGCTCTGTGTTGCGTGAGTGGGTTGTATTCGAATGGTGAGGAGTTGTACAATGAATGAGGAGAAGTAAATTGATAAAGACATACCTTCCAAAAACAAATCACATGCGTGCCTTGATTTGGTAACGCAAATCCTCCGTCCGCTATCTCGGACTCCACAAGCTTGGTTTTCTAATCCCAACAATCCGAGATCGACTACTTCAGCCGAAAGGTGTTGACGCTCTATTCGATACGTCTAACCGCTGGATAAACTGGTAACTAAGTTAAAGGCACTAGTATATATACGTGTAACCACAGGAGCAGGTTACTTGCCGCTTCATTTGATTGGCTACTTTCCGTGACATTGATTCGCCTGAAAGTCCTTTCTGCCAGAGACGCTGAGAACGGTTCGTCCGTGGGCGGCAAATACACCAGGGACTGGACCGCCGGGAGTCAGGATTTAGAGCGGTGAAGAGATTGAGGGACAATCTTTGCCGATCGGCAATTTGTCCTCTTGTACATGGAACAATAAGACATGATTTGGAGAGCTGGTTGCTGGTCAGTTGTCACTGTATGTAACCAAGATTTAGACTGAGGACCCCATGCCAGTCTGTCTTCCGGCTCTTGAATCATTCTCTAGAAATGAGGTCATATAGTTCCCACTGCCTAAGGTCTTCAGTAAGGCAAGATATCAAGATAGCAGTCAGCCAATCGAAAGTCCAAAGGTGAAAGTGTAAGATCAACGTGTAGAATGATCTCGCAGCTTAGCGTCACAGTGTACCAGTGCAGTGATATGCCACTGGAAAGAAGTCGTCTTCGGCCGATTCATTGCACGGCTGAAGATTTCGCAGCTGTTGCAATCGATCTGCAAAGGCGATCCTGTAAAGATCAACCAACAGCAAAGCTGTGGATCCGACGAGCAGGAAACATTGCGGAGGAACCAGGGACTGCATTGTCAGTCTCGTATTCCGAGCAGTTTTTTACTGTCGCTCCACTACGCACGATAGCCTGCACCCGGACGTCCCAAGGAGACTCTCATAACTGACATGAGATTGGTCGAATGACAATGTGACCTGCTGACTCCTGGTAGGCTCAAATAGTAAAACCCCGCAGTGAGCCCAGATGGATAGACAGCGAGTACAGACTTCGGAGAAAACTCCATGTTGTTATGTTGGAAGACTACCTTACTCTGTGTGTAGCGAAGCCGACTGTAACGTGGTCATGCAGGATAGACTCTCTTCACTTAACAATGGCAAGTTTGCTAAAGACGTAGTCAAGTGACCTGGCTCCGTTTGCCGCTGGACAATTACGCAGCTAACTTGCCCTTCTCCGGTCTTGCAAGTCATTCTGCATGAAAATGGCACTGTTTTCGTATTCGGCAACATTATGGCCCTTTACTCGTTTAGGTGTTTGATCAAGTGACCGCTCGTACTGATTCTTCAGATCGGCTGATCCCAGGCTTCAGTGTTGATAGCGTCTTTCTGCATTGTCGCTCACCTGATACATCGTCCATGATCGAGCGGAAGCTGAAGAGGGAAAGATACATCGAGACTTGATTTCCGGTCTTTTCGTAGTTTTAGGTAAAAGTGCACTCAACTCACGACTTTGATGCATTTGGGTTGTGTGCTGGTAAATGCAAGCCAATATGTTCCTCAGGGAGGTGCCAAAGTGATCGACCATTCTAGGTAGATACCTTCAAAGCTTTGGCAAGCTACAGCGAGTGGGGTTCTGAAGCGGGCATAGACGCCCGGGCCACACGGCCGGCTCCGAGGTGTTTGACTGATTCACCGACCAACCAAGTACTGGCCCCCCGAAGAACACAAGACGCAGCCCCTCTTTACGCCGCCCTTCCTCGGTATCACTCTCTTTTCCTTTTTTTTTTTTTTTTAAAAAGAGGGCATACCTATAGCACCGTCCTCCCCTCAAGGAGAAAGAGTCAACTTGCTCTCCGATCTATTGCTTCGACAGAGTTTCTCAGGCGCCAAGAAGAAATCAAAGCCATGCGCTAATGCAGAGGAATCAATCACTCCCTGCACCATCTATCCTCTCTTGAGAGACCAAGGATGCTTTACTGCATGATCTTGGGCCATCGATGTCCTCGGGTGCTGCTACTATGCCATCGCACCTCCACCAACCGAGTGTAGAAGTCTCTTCAATCTCCACCACCCCCTGGCACATCCTTCTGACAAAAATGAGGATGCATTGTCCCGCGAGAGTGCACCGACTACCTCCTCGCGTCTTTCAAATGTCACCACACGCTAATACTCCCGCTGAGGTCTGGAGCATGACACTCCAATATCTTCGAGAACACAAATCGCAGGAGGACTTGACGTATGTTTGGATAAATGTGCGTCATGTCTGGAAGTTACTCCGAGGCGAAATTGACGAAATCTTCATGGAAGAAGACATGGAGAAGACCTGGCTGTATGCAGACTGTGATGGGTATAATCAACGGATCGTCTTGTCAAACACAATATTTAATTTGATGAGAACGACAAGGGAAGAGCCATTTTCAAGAATGACTTCATCTTCCGCAATCCGTGTGAATCGCCTTTTCGAGGACTATATAGGAAGCTAGGCTATCAGGAAAGCGTTCGTTCTACGCTTAGCTTGTATTCGGCCCATTTGGGTGAGGAGAAGCCTGGGAGCTCTGGCTGGCGTCAATATCCTGAGGAGACATGAGCAAATCTTTGTCGTTCAGGTGAGAGCAGGACTGAATGACACCGCAATCCTAGCTCCAATGATCAACGTTGAGAGAGAGGAGTTCTCCTTTGGGTAGAAGGAAATGTTTACCAGGTTCTTTAGACAGCATTTGGCGGCTGCAAAAGCTGAAAGCTTGGTAGGCCGAACCATCGCAAGCCTTGGCTACGGCAGAGCTCGAGCTGACGTACCTCACTTACCATCGCGAAGTGAAGCTGGAACCGATATATGCAAAGATGGTAGAGCGTTCTTGGCACGGCCCAGAAAGCAGAGCTAGAGCCAGAGCCAGGCCAGAGCCAGAGCCAGAGCCAGAGCGTAAAATAGCAGTCTATCGCTCTTTGAGCCTTGCAGCGCACGTCAGAGACTGGAAAGATATCGTAGACAAAAAGACTGACTGCAATCGTCACCTGCCGAGAACCTCCTTCAGAAACGAGCCACGGACCGGATTGTTCCACCCGGATGACGACGGCGTGCTCATTCGAGATGACCCCGTGGGCTGTATTTCATTCAACACTTACATCCGATCAAGTACTAGTACACCCGGGCCTCCATCCGACGGTAGAGGCAGAACAGACATCGTCGAAAAGACGATCGTCTGAAGCGTGCTCTCGTGGTCCCACGAAGCCCATCTGTGAAAGAGGGGTCTGCCCAGAAGGTGTGTTTTGACGAGGCGTGTGTTCCTACGAGCATCGTTACTGCAAGCTCGAGATAAGCCAAGGTGGAGGGACAATTTCCGAGGAATTGGTTGGGCCTCATCCGAAGTTGTCTCATAGTACTGTCGCTACTTTCTATGAATCGTATTTTTTAGCTTGAATAGTGGAGTTTTCAGCCCCTTGGTGACTCGGGCCGATGGGTAAATTACAAATTCATACCCCAAAACCTTGGATTCTTACAAATTCATACCCCTAATTACATTTTCATACCCCAATGGGGTATGAATCGGTAATTTGCCATTCCTTGGGGTATGAAAATGTAATTTACCATAGTGCGTTGAGGCTATAAAGATAGGGCCGAGGGGCGTTAGATCTTCGGGGGCTCTAAATCAACTCAGGGGTTACGAAATTAGCCCGGATAGGCCCCGGGAGCCCCGAACTGAAGACCTCTAGGGTTCGCTATGCAACTCGTCGAAACCTCGTTAAATCCCTAATTCACCCTAACCCGCGATAAAATTAGGGGTTGATTTCTAGAGGATCCTTAGGGCTCTCGGGGCTCTCAAGGCTTCTCTAGGGGCGTTAGACGCCGGGAACCCCGAGACGTTATTTCATAAATTACATTTTCATACCCCAAGGAATGGCAAATTAGAATATACCCCAGATTTGGTGGGGGTTGATTAATTGGGTTGAATTTGTAATTTGCCCAGGCGCGATATCCAACAGCGACGTCATCACGATCGCAATTGAGCCGGTAGTGTAGAGGAAAGAGAGAATTAATGATGCTCATCACTCACGGGAATGGTGCAGCGATGGCGGGGGGGCGATGGGCTTGATGGTGAGAGAGGTTGGCAGATACGCGGGCGAGGCTAAGGTTTTCAGAGCTGAGGACCGTCCAGATGGCATACGAGGATAAGGTTTTTTTAACAGCTATTATGTTAGGTTCAGAGATGAGCACTACATATGAGTACCTAGGAGAGGTCCCGTAAGCGCCGTGGGTTGGGCAGGCTAGCTGGACGGTATTCCAATATTGTATTCTACATGTGGAGAGACATCAGGTGTTGGCGGGACAAGTGCGTTGCGGTATGAGGGTCCGTGGAAAGAGATTGGATGACAGAAAGCATTTACGGTTCCAGAAGGAAACAGATTTTAGGCCTCATGTCCGAAAGAAGGGTTTCACAAATCGTCGTTACTATGTCACTAATGTCCATAAATTTTATCGTCCTTGGTTCCCTCCCTCCTAGTTCCTCAACGCCTTACTTTATCCCCGGTACGCCTGGAGTTTTGCCCATCAACAGCCCAGACTCCTCGCTACGTCACCTTCTTCCCCACCCATCCGTCTCGACCCTCCTGATACTTCCAATAACCTCTACCCCTTCCAATTCCTGTCTTCTCCTGCCTCCATCTCTCGCTTTTCCCCTATCCGCAAGCTCGATTTCTATCCTCCTGCTCTCCCGGCTTCGACTCCTAGGCGCATCATGACTCTGTTGCCCTTGCTGGTTGACCATGCGGTATTGATCCCTTCCTCGTGCATGTTCGTCGACGATGTGATATTCAGGCCTTTGAGTTGGATGCTGGACGATCAAATCTTGGATTTCAGGCTTCTCAATAGGGTAACCATTCGCTTGGAGTTGCGGCAGATTCGACAGCGAGGATCGAATGGGTGAGTCATAGCGAGTGTTCACGATGCCTGGGATATCGCCATCGATATAACTATTGTTCGCAGGTATGTAGGTACGTTCGCCCAAGGGTGAAAGTCCATCTGATGACCCGAATCTTGGGTCCACGGACGCTTCTTCCGTCACTGAATCCATCGGCGGTAGAGGTGGAGGATTCGCATCCTGGTCACCGTATAGGTCGCTATTCCTATTTCCATATGAACTTCGCACCGCTCGTGGTAGATTCCTCAGTGTGACTACTGTGCTTCTTCTATCTGCATTGCCAGGCCAGTCGATTTTGAAAGTTGATTGGCCATTGTCCGGGTTTTGCTGCTTCGCGTCCTCCTGCTGGAGCAGCAGCCGTAACAATTGCTGCCGCTGTAGCTCGGATTCCGGCATCATAGCATCCGTCGATTCTGAGTGGTATCGATGCATCGCATCCCTCGCTCTTACAATATGGATCTTCCGGAAAGTGAGGAGGGCAATGGTAGTATATGTGAGGGTCGATATTGTAGAGAGAACGAGAGCGACTATAGATGAAGAAGTCCACTGTAGAGATTTTTCGTGTGTGGAGAGGCTGTAGAGAATATTGATGAGGCCAAGGACGGATGAGGATAGGCAAGGCACGAAAATAATATCGAGCTGGAATATCCAGGAGCGGCAAATAAGAGCGGTGACGAAAGAGAGGACGTAGCCGAGGACGAGGAGGACGATGGCAGTGATAGTGGCGGATTTTGAGCTGATAGTGAGGGAGGCATTTTGCTTGAAGGCGGAGGGGAATATGAGGAAGCTGGAGACGGTCAGCTTGGGTTCCAGATCTGGAGTTGAGCATAAAAACATACCCAATCATGATCAAGAGCGCCGATAAAGTAGCAGCTGCTCTCCAGTACCATAGCGTTTGGTCTTTCTCATTGTAAAGGTCTATCAATGTCCGCCGCGGCCTCCACTGAGGCAGTGATGGTTGTCCCATGCTGGGAGCTCCGCCGGATTTGAAGGCAGCGCGTGCCACGAGGAGGGAAGTCAACAAGAAGGGGAATGGATTGAAGAAAAAGAAGTCGCGCAAAGACACAGGTCGTTACGGCCAATCGCACACCATCAGCGAGCTTGAAGTGGTTGAACCGGCTCTATATGCGCACCAGTAAGCACTGTGGGGAAGCTTCCGCAATGCACGACTGAAGCCGTCTATACGGACCGATCAAAGGAAAGAAATTGAGAAAGCAAAATGACGGACGAGATGGAGAGTACGAGAAGGCCATTGCCTGATATTTCTCAGCAGTGTCGGCTGGCAGTGCTAGCAAGGTGTAAGCACCGTCTTTCCCTGGTGTGTAACTATGCTTATTGCGTAGCCAGCTGAGAACAGGGCGATGCGGGAAAGGCGATGGCGCGCGGAGACGGAGACCAATTGAAACGGCCGCTCCTACTGCAACCACCAGGACATTGATGAATCGAAGGAGCTGTCCCATACTTTATACGACAACCTACTCACATACAGTATCATCGTGCTGCTGTAATTGAGTGATAAGTTTACGTCGGACAGTCGTTAGATTGGTATACTCTAGAGGTAAGGGTTGCCTACTCGTACCAATGACCTCGGCACCATCGGAGGGAACCATCATGATTGACCCACATTAGTACAAACCATAAAAATATGTACCTATGGCTCTTCGCCTTTTACAAATTTCCAGATCCCAATAAACGGTCCAAAGGCACGTGCAGTACCGTGTGTCATGCATTTGCTGGGACATGAAACGGTCCATCGGATTCACGTAGGATTCCTGCATTCTACACAGCCTTGAAATTGAAGCAATCCTTTAATTACTTCCAGTATTTAAAATAAGCGCAATTTGACCTTGCATATTTGCATGCATTGCTATGATTGATGACGGATCAGGTACTAGCATTAGTGAGAGGAGCTCAGTAATGGGGTATGCGCTGCAAGAGTATTAATAATATTAATGCCAGCGTTCTAGCGCCTGGGGTCCTAAAATGCAGAATGACAGCGTAATCCACTCAAGGCGCCGCCAAAGCGCCACCACGACATCACAATTTGCACAGGCCTCTCCAGGCCTCTCTCTCGGACTCTTCTACGCAACTTGCATGGCCTCAAGTGACGACTCCGATACACTGCCTGTCTCAGAAAGTTCGGCGAGCTGCTGCTTATAAACCTTCAAGATGTTGGAGGAACGACCGGTCGGACAAAAGGTAACCTCGAATCCACCACCAGAAGGGATGATGAAAGTAGACGTTTGGTCATCGAAAGCTATGCTTCAGGTTAGCTCGAGCAATTTGTAAGAGGTGAAGCTTGTTTAGAACACGTACCGTAGCTGTAAGCGTCCGGACAGACTGACTTCGCCGCTGTACTGTAGCTGCTTGGCTTGCAAACATTTGGACTATCGTAGCTGCCTGTGCAACAGTCTGCCGCTTGGCTATACTTCGCGCAGGCAGAAAAGCAAGGGTCGAAACCAGGCCTCTGGATGTTAGTGTCGGGGTACGAATAGACACCATCAAAGGGCACGGTGGGGATGTTCACTTGCAAATCCCAGGGACACCAGGATGCGACATCAGATACACTCACAGACTCATCGAGAGGGATAGGAAACGATGAGTTTGTGCCAGAGTTCGAATCCGACGTATCACCCTGAGCGGTGAGCAGGGCAGCTGTGCCAATGCAGATAGGGTTTGTCAAGTTAGGAGGTATTTTGGTCAGAGAAGAATTATCAGACTCAGGGTATAGCGATACGATCGCTAAAGGAAGGTTGTAGCCGTCGACGAGTGAAATATCGTAGAATGTCTGACCACTTGAGGTTGCGAGCGTAAATTCGGCCAGGGTCACCGGTGTTTCGCCCTACTACAGATGAGTATTTCCCACCCACTAATGATAAGAATCGGCGCATACGGTTGCCTTGCAACCGATAATACCACCGCAATCCCCAGTCCCGCATGCGCTACCACCACCGTTGTTTCCACCGGCATTGGCTGGTCCTGTCCCTTGAGAATTGAAGCTGCAATTCGTTCGGCCCCAAACCCGACCTTGCCAGTCTGCACCAACAGTGAGGTTCATCTGTTGCCCGGTTTGAAGCTCGAAGCCTCCAGATGACGGTGGAGTCCCAGCTTGAGTGACTATCCCGGGGTATATGGTCTCCGAACATAGACTCCGAACTACCAAAGGCACGGTCTCAGCTCGGCGACTGACGTAGGCTAGGGGCGGACGCTTCATGTGGTGAAGTGCGTTGGTGGTGTCGAGTAGAACCAAGAAGCGCAATATCCGTCGTAAAACGGGGAGTCGTGTCCCAGCAATTGAGCGCGACATCCGTACAGAGGGGTTGCGGAGGACGGCCATCCAGGGCTCTGGCCGATTAGATTTATGTCCAGGTGCTGGGCAAGGTACCAGTATAGTGCCGGAGATGGTGCAATGGCCACCCAAAGATACGGAGGGGAGGAAGCGCCAGCGCTCGTGATGGTATTGTAAGTATATCAGGCTGTCAAGTCACAAGTCGTTAAAGGAGAGATAAGACCAGCTCGGAGCTGAGAGATGGCCAGCACCGTAAAAAGGTAATCGCAAAGAAGGTGTTTTGGTAAGGATATCCAGCGCCGACTCGAGAAGAGATGATCCTGACTGGGGACGACCTGAGACTTGCCCTGCAAACCCTGCATCGTTCCTGGCAAAAGACATGGCGACTTAAGAGCGAGCAGGGCAAAAGCACGAGTAAAGGAGGAAGGAGCTGCTGCGAGATGAGTAAGGGAAATCTGATGCCTCGCGCCAAGACCAAGCATCTTGGCATTGGCATGTCGTCTTGAGAGCCTTTCGAATGCAAGTCCAAACAAGAAATGCACAGAACAACTTCTTCTGACAATGTAATTCCCAGGATCTTCATTTCAGCGATCATCGCCTGTCGCTCCATTGGAACGTCAATCGCTCAAAGAATCAATGAGCAGACACAGCAAACGGCTTCATAGATTGCGATGAAAGGTGACAAGTTTGACTTGTCTTACCGCAGGGTTTTCGAGGGTCATCGAGCGATGGGTCTCCTTACGTATGCGCCATTGGAGTCGAACAGAAGCATCGTCTCGTGCTTTGAACCATTCTCACAACATTTTCTCATAGTGATAGGCTCTGCTGATGGTATGATGACACCACGTGCTCTTGACTTTGTGCGTATGATTTTCAAAAGACATTTCAGGGTACTCGATCGCGTACGAGCATCTCGCAATTGAATGGGTAAAGAATGCTATTGATTAGGCGGTACATTAATTTTAAGGTGCCAACGGACCCCAACAGAGATGCTATAGATATGTACAACTTTGAATGCTCAGGTGCCTCGCGGCTAGCCCGGTGGTATCAATTCAAGAGCCGGGCTGGCAGATGACCTCCAATCAACGACTCCAGCATGCGCATAATAGCAGACTCCTTCGGCATACCAGCTACTTCAAGTCACTCATCGTCTAGCACCAATCCCCAACAAGCGATCAATCATCGTCACAGTGCGAAAGCGAGGGCCGCAGCGGCAAGAGCAACTCCTCCAAAAGATCCAGCAATGTGGTTGGCTCCTCCAGCGAAATGGGTTGGTGTGGGTGAACCGGTGGTCACGCCGCTTGTTGCATTCATCGCGACACTGCTGACGAGGAGGGATGGGCAAGGTGAGGTCGCCATGGGCGGTGCGCTGCGAGTGATCATTTTGTCTGGCGCAGCTGAAGGGCAGGAGGTGCCGCAAGGAGCCACGACGGTGGAGAGAGACTAGACACATGTTAACCTGTGCTCTGGGAATCCCAGGACAATGGAAGGGGCAGAGAAGCTTTATGTACCTGCGTGTTGGCGCTGACAGCCGCGAGCGCGAGAGCAGCGAGGTAGAGCTTCATGGTGCTTGTGGGTATGGTATAGAGCGGACGTCTGAGTGAGAGCAGTGATTGAAAGAGCGTTGAACTGACAGCGAGAATGAAAGATTGACTTGGTAGTATTCAGACTCTATGGAAGAGCAGGAGCATGAGCAGGAAGAATGAGAAGAGAAGGGGGAGAAAGGTAAGCCCCATGCAGGTCCAGGGAAAAAGCTAACGGTCTTGCAGATCGGAATGAAAAGCAGAAAACAAACCAAATGAGACCATCATTTTGACTTTTTCTTTCATGGACGCACAAATCTCAAACACGACTTCCCCTGCATACTGCACGCGGTCTTTGCCGCACGTATCTATGTACCAAGTGTTGTTGTACAATTGTTGTGGAAATTGATCGGCGCCAAAAGTTACTGCAAGCATCGTCGGGACCATGAATATCCCGACTGAAAGGGGCAAATGTGGCTTGAACCGTGCCGCTTGAAAAGGGAATGGTGATATCCGAATGTCCGGGGAAATGACGCTTTCTACTCTTTCAAGTTAGAACAAGGACGGCGCTCGAATGCATCTCACCCCATACAGTTTAGGGGCGCAAGAAGGCAAAGTTAGTTCATGTTCTTAGCCCTATCATTTTTCTCCTCATTCCAATGCGCTATTGTTTTTCATTTCCACCGCGCATTCTTGTTCGTTGTTGACCCTGCAGTCTGCAGCACCGACATTCCGTCTCATCATGTGCGCTTTACCCTTATGTTTACCCTTGTCTTTACTAGCTCGCTTCCAGCGCGAGCCTGCTTTCGTAGAAGCTAGCTCCGTCACCCAAGTCTTCTCTCATCTCTCCAATATCCCCTCCCCTCTTTCTTCTTACTCCACCTTCAACTCTCTTGTCTCTCCACAGCAAACAGCTTCATACCACCATTCTCTTTACATTCTTTCTCTTTCCCTAACACCAGCGCCCTCAATTGCTTATCAGAAGCTATGAAGACTACATTCGCCGTTGCAGCATTCGCGGCTCTCGCTGCTGCCAGCCCCGTTTCTCAAACGTGAGTCACCAAACGGGTGCCATTCTCCTCGAAGGACCGCTCTCTAATGCTCCTGCAGTGGCTCCTTCTTGAAGAAGATCCGGCAAACCGCCCCAGCGATCACTGACGCCGACATCCTCAACTATGCTCTTACCCTCGAGCATCTCGAAGACACTTTCTACCAAGAGGGTCTCAAGAACTTCACCGAATCCGACTTCGCAACGGCCGGCTTCGACTCGACTTTCTACGCCAACCTAAAGGAAGTCTCATCAGACGAAATGACCCACGTTGCCTTCTTGACCGCTGCTCTCGAAAAGGCTGGCGCAACCCCAGTGGCTGCCTGCACGTACAACTTTGGCGTCACTGATGTCAAAAGCTTCATCGCGACTGCATCCATCCTTGAGGGCGTGGGTGTCAGCGCCTACCTCGGTGCTGCAGCAGATATCATGAGTGCAGCCTACTTGACCGCAGCTGGCTCCATCTTGACCGTGGAGTCCCGTCATTCTTCTTACATCCGTGCTTCGCTCGGAGAGAGCCCGTTCCCATCTCCATTCGATGTGCCCTTGACTCTGGATGAGGTGTACACGCTTGCTGCTCCGTTCATCGTGTCTTGCCCATCAAGCAACCCAACTCTGCCAGTCAAGGCAAGTCATATTCAGAAGCACTGAGCTGCGAGGATGATAACTAATGCGATTTTCTCAGGCTTTCCCAATGCTTACTTCCTCGCCCAAGAATGGCAACATCACCGCTGGCTCCGAGATCACCCTCTTGACCCCTGGCTCCGTTGTCACCGCTGCCGACGGATCCTCGCAAATCTATGGTGCTTTTATCACAGTTACTGGCCCAGTCTTTGCTCCGTAAGTCTTTCCGCTATCCCGGACATTCTTTTCAGAGATTTAATTCATCTCACAGCGCAACCGCCGTCGATGGAGGTTTCACCCTCACCGTCCCGACCGCACCGAACGGCACCGCACCCATATCTGGCCAGACTTACGTTGTCCTGACCGGCTGCAATACCACCGTCACTGATGACACCGTCGCTGCCGGTCCTGCTGCCTTTGAGGTTGGTCCTTTGTAAAACTCGACTAGTGATCAGTGTGGCCTGAGCAGGGGATCCGGAGAGTAGTGTGGAGTGGTGTGGAGAGATGGATAATTTGCCTGATCTAATCCAAAAAGGATGCCGTTCCATTGTACATATTGCGGTATCACACAGGTTGAGATGAGAGGGAACGTACTATGCATAGCTGATTAATTAATTATAATCACTGAAACCGCTCTCATGGCTCCGCAACGCATACACACTCCAGACCACATGCTATCGCGAACACCAACGTCCATCACTACTCTCTCCTCCCTGACCTAATTCCCTAGCTCACATCTGGCAGTAGTGCGCCTCGGTTGCTTCGCCCTGCTCCCCCTTTTCCATCATGTCCTCTGACTTTGACCCCTGCGTCCAATGTCCCGACGCCCGACTCTGATCAAGGCTAAGGTACATCAAAAAAAACACACTTTGGCGCCATGGAAGACGGCTGCAGATTCGCGCTAGTGCCCCAGGGAATTACATTGTGATTTCAAATTCGAGCCAAAGGAGACGCAAGAAATTCGCTACCCCATCCGTCAGCGTTGCCCCACGGCCATGGGAACTCTCCTGATGGGTTGTAGAGTAGGTATTGACCCCCCCTCCGTGAACACTTTTCCCATTCAGCGGCTCCGAGAGTGGTCGCCCGTCTTGAGCACAGCGCCGGGGCACTCAGGGGAGCCGATCTCACTTAGGGTACTTGGGCGTCTCTGCGATCAGAACGTCAGATCTCGCCGCTGATGTGTGTCTTTGCCGGATGTGGAAGGTGCAGGCAGGCGCAGAGTCTCAAGAGCAGGCCTGCCCGTAACTGCAGTTTATGCGTCTCTTTGGTACGGTCGAGCGTTCGTTGAGCAGGGACGGGTCTCCTGTCTCATGGCGTCGAAATGCATATGTGCTCTGATCGGACCGAACGTTAGATTATTTCAAACTATGTATCTTTTGAATCGGCTCAGGGTCCTGGGATTGTTTCCGCTATGCTTGGTGGTGTGTTCGAGCTTGCCGTTCTACTCTCTTTCCATTCCCCTCATAGAACATGTACCTATCATAGAACATATACCCACCGGACCTCTTCATTGCTTCGGGTTCCCGCATCAAGACAAACAGTCAAGAACCCCGCTCTTCCTCCTCGAGCAAGCATCGTACACGCACTCAATCAACCATTCTCAATCTTTCCCACCCAACAACACCCTCTCCCACTTTCCCCCTCCACTCAAGTCCTCAAGCCACGGACTCCCCGTGCACCATCCGCGACTCCCCCAACGCCCGAGCCTACCCCTGATACCGCTCACCCGAACCCCAGCAAAATCGACCCGCCCACCCCACAGCCACCCATGCTCCCACTACCCAACCCACACAGGCCGACCGGACCCATCTCACGAACCGAGCCATTCTCTTCCCTTCCTCCAAACGACACCAACCCCAATCCCATCCAGATCCAATGCCAAACCGACGAAGACGAAGAGTCCCCCGTCGGCCGCGTGTGAATCAAGTCGAGTACTAGACCACCCAGGCCGTAAACCCGGCCAGCACCATCCCTCCCCCGAGCGACACCCCATCCAACGCGACCAATATCCCGCCTCGAAACTCGACGCAACAGCTTCCAAATCGACCTGCCGCGAAGACAGACCCCTTCCCAATCAATCAATCGACGTGTCGATCCCATAAACCAGACCGTCGCCAAAGCCACCGCCCGCCACGCACACGTGCAAGGACGGCCCCCCCTTCGATCCTCGCGCCGTAGACGCAGGCACCCGGGCACGGCATCCGTCAATATCGACTGGTGCGCACACGGGCTCCACGGGCTCTATTCCCGTCCATACTTTACGACGACGAAATCGGTTCCGGGGTCGGACGGGCATATTTCGCGGCCGTGTGAGAGATCCGTCCGCGATGGGCGACCGGGGTCGTACAGTACGGACCTTTTGGTACGGGGGGGGGATACGACCGTGCGGTCGACGGCACTCAATGGCCATAGGACCCCGATTTGCTCTGACCGATTATGAAAATCCGTGGGCGTGTGCCTGGGTCGCGGAGTTGGGGATTCGATCACCCACCCGACGGACGGGGTTTGGGGGAGACAAACAAACAAACAAATTAAACCATGCCGGTGACGACTCTTACGTCAAACGTGCCCGTGACTGGATTTTTTCCTGGCTCCCGGCGGTGAGTTGGGGGATGGGCGTAGATTTGCGCAGCGTGCTCGGTCGTCCGGAGCGGATGGTCGAGATGGGACAAAGGTCGCAGGTGGAGGCGCTGGGTCGGTCGGTCGGTCGGTCGGTTCGAGACGCGGCCGTTTGTTCGAGAATGGGATGGGTGGTCCGTGGGCTGCGGAGGTTTATGGGGTTGGTCATGTGACTCCCGGGGGAAGGGGTTCCGGTGGACTACCTACTTTGCGGAGGTGAGAGGGCAAGAAGATGAAGGGAGGTGAGGATGGAGACTGCGGGGGCACCGGGGTAGGTGGTCAGATGGTCACGGCGGGGGTGTTGACGACACTCGGGGGTAAATGCATCAAACGACTGCTGGTACTGCCGGTACGAAGGAAGGGAAATGAAACTCATATCAGATGAAAGGCAAAAGCCTTGCTGATAATGTAAACAATTCATGCTTGCTAGAAGAATCTCGCCTGCCGAGTCTACCGACCCGCGTTTGTAGCATCATCGAGGTTTGGGGAATATACAAACATTGCTTCAACCTCCTTTTCCAAATCCTGTAGCTCCAGAATGCTCCTAATGACTTTATGTGGCGCAGCTAATGTTCCGACCTTTCTCCATTTGTAGCCGTGGCCATGTTCTCGTTGTGCGCGTGACCAAATCTCTCACCTGAAGCGAGCGGTGCAGCGGCCCATGACTTCACCTTGGCAGACGAGCTCGGCGTTGAATTCCGAGCCGTCGAGGGCGAGGAGGATGTCAAAGTAGACACCTGCAGTGTGTCGTTAGCGTCGGTGCCTACAGCCGAGAAGGAGAGCAACTAGTTTTGGGGACGACTTACGGTAGAAGGTTCCCTGTGGGGTGTCCATGCGCTCGAAATCTTTCTCGAGATTCTTGCGCGAGAGGTCTGATGTCAGGGTCACAACTTCCTTGATGCCTGCCAAAAAGTTAAACCATGCGTCCAGCGAGAGCAAACCAGGGGGGGAAGGCTCACGAGGATCCTTGGTGTATTCCGGACAAACGTCCTCATCGCACGCATACAAAATATCCTCGTACATCAAGGTCGCCCCGGGCGCCACTTGTCTGAAGAAGCTGACCTTCACTGGCTCTCCGATCTTGACCCTCTGTCCCTTCTGCACGAAGATCTGCCGCGTATACTTGCATCGATCTTTGCCGTCCAAACTTGGTACACGGTATTGTTCAGGGTGATGGCCCTCTTTGAAAGGTTGCAGGGTGGCCATGAGATAGTGGCGGCGAGCTACACGGGAAGTGATGACGCGCTCGGTGATACCGGCTGTGACGGCGCCTTTGACGATAGCAGCGACTGAGTCCATAGGGCGGACGACCTTGGCTTGGAATTGTGGGGGTACGTGGAGTTTGATTTGTTGGAAGAGGTATTCGGAAGCACCGAAGCCGCCGACGACAAGGACGTTCTAAAGGAGACAGATTTAGTACAGATTTGGCAACGAGGGGTGTACAGAGAGAGCTTACTTGGAGTATTCTGTTCTGGGCTTGAATCGCGATGATTTGGTTGCGGACCAACTCCAATATGCGGTTGACAACGGGCTCAAAACATTGCAGGATCTCCTCGTTTGTAAATGTCATGTAGCCTTCTTCGATACCGGCTTCTGGGAATTCGGCTTCGATTCCAACATCAACAGCCCATTTTTGACCATTGTTGCGGAAGTCTGCTTTTATTCTGTTTTCAAAGTCCATAATACACTTCGCGTAGACCTTGCCGGCAGTCTTCGATCCGTCTGGCAACTTCATCTTACGAATTTTTGCTCGGAGGATGTTGCTGAAGTTTCGGTTTAGTGCTGTTGATCCGCACGAGTCTCCAGACCCAGCTGTACATTCTGCGACTGTAAAAGGCGTCTCTTCCTCTACCTCGTAAGCGATCAAGTCCACGGTGCCTCCTCCGCAATCAACGATGAGGACAGCATCTCTTATCTTCAGGTTAAGAAGGCCAGTCTTTGAACAGAACATCGCAGCCGCCTCCGGTTCTGTAATCAGAGTGAGCCTATTGTCGTTCTCATCCCGCAGGAAGCCAGCTTGTATGGCAGCAGCACGAGTCGCAGCCTTGCCGGCATCGTTCCAGATAGCAGGGACAGTAAGGAAATATCGGATGTTGCGTTCTTCTCTGTTGAACACTTCGCCCAGGGTCTTTTGTAGTTGGTTTCGCATGGCCTGCCGTAATTTAAAGAGATAATCTGCCGCAACATCGATCTCTGACTTTCCGGGGGGAAGAGGTGGGAGGTTGATGGGATCGATGTAGGTATTCCCGGAAAGCATAAGCTGTAGCTTGAACCATTCCACCTTTTGCACACCTGGTTTTGGGTATCCAGTAGGAGCAAGCGCATCAGCTATATCTGGGCCCCAGCCAACGACTTTTTGGTATTGATCATAGTACAGCACCGTCGGTATCTGCATCTGTCAGCGCGGAATGGAGCTGACTGTTCGGCGTTGAATCATACCTTTTGTTTGGTCTGATTGCCCGCACCAGGCCATTCTGTGATGATGTCTTCTTTCGCCTCTGTATTAGTCGCAAACGCAAACGCGACGCCGGAAAAGGTGGTGCCCTAAAAAGAGTCAGATGAGAGCGGAGGGCCAACTCAAGGCTGGAATGCGTACAAAATCGATGCCAACGATGAGTTGCGCCTTGCTTCTTCCCGCACCTTCGACCTCGACCGCTTGTCCTCGACCGCCATACTGGCCCAGAGTAGGTTGAGGCGCACCCATGCCCTGGCCTTGACCGTACCCACCTCCATATCCTGGTGGTTGCGGAGTGCCTCCTAAGGCTGGATGGCCCTGCGGGTACGCCCCTGTATTGATGGGAGGTGGATGATGGGCGACCTGCTGTTGAGGAGGCATAGGACTTTGCGCTCTGGGAGCGTTGGGATTGTATGTATAACTCGGAGGGCGGCCAAGCCCGGTCTGGGCGGGATTCATGGGGAGACTGGCGGTTGAAGAAGTGCTGCCTGGGGGTGTATGAGCAACCAGGCCGTTAGTGGCTGTGGGAGCAAGGGTGGTTGTGCTCGGCTGTTGAGGGAGAGAAACGTTTCCGGTTCTAGAAGTTGTGCGCTTGGAACCAAAGCCGCCAAAATTTTTGAATCGTGAATTCATCAAGTCCATACAATGAAGAAAAAGAAAAAGAAGAAGAAGAAGAATGATGTGAGAGTGATGTGAGGCAATTGGAGAGCAGGTTGCAAACAAATAGAAGGCACAGTCAGATCTTTGGGGGGGGGTAAGGTAGTTCAAGTAGTTGGTACCTTTTTAGTGCAAAGAAGGCTGAAGTGGGATGAGATTTGGGGCTGTTCTTTAGAGCGAAGGAGAAGAGCGGGAGCAAGATGATTAAAATGCACAAAATCTAAGGTATCTTAGTTGACGGCTCACTAGCGCCATACCCAGGCCGCTAGGTTGTAGGCGGTGCTTCCTGGAACGTGGAACGTGGAACGCTGTTACTCTAATAGCAACCCCCAGTAGGCGGAGCTGTTGGAACTTGGCATCGGGATCGCGTTAGCATCTGCCTTGCTATGACTGCGAGACAGGATTGGAAGCTCTCATTATTATCATCGTTGTGTTGGAGATCTTCACGACGGAATCCTGTAAAGAGTTCTAGCCTTCAATCCTACACTGTACTCCGCAGGTGTCTTGTTGACATTACAGTGTGGGGGATAAGGCAGGCATCAAGTCATGATTACATTTCATCTTCATCACCTTTTAACTGATATCCTCTATTGTCAGATCAGCCGCTGAATTGATTTGATCAACGACATTTCACCGAGGAATTGGAAAGACTTCTCCTTTGATGTGCCATATCTGGTGTTGATGCTTGCGCCAAGTGAATGAATTCTATAAACGAATTGAGACAAGTGCGCGTACCATAATGCCATGCTCGAGACAACGCCGCTGCATTGACAGACCTTTTGATCCTGGCAGATTGATATTTCTTCGATTCTTGGATACCTAGGCTGTGTCTACAAATGAATCGGCCATGGCAGGACTGCAGCCACCAGTGGTATCTACATACCGATACTCACCTCTCAAAGATAAAGCTAGGCTTATCAGACTTTGAATTCTACTGCCTAGGATAGATCAGCACAATTTACGAAGAGTCATCAGCACTTTTGGGTTGACAGAGGGAAACGAGTCGGTATACGAAGCTCTCTCTTACACAGGGAGATCAACGAGATGATGCCATCTACTAGCCGTACCTGGGGGTACCGAAGAAGAAATGTCATGGTCATGGGAAACAATAATGCCTAACTCTTTCCAAGAAATGTTTACAGTCCCAAGGTAAGTTTCTGCAAGACCAATGGCCTTCAATTTCTTTACATTTCTTTACAATGCTGATATCTCAACAACGAATCAAGTCCGGAAGAGACGTAGCCTGCGTTGGAAACCTCGAGAAGTGAGTGGCGGCCTACTACTCTACTCCTGTTAACGATTTACCGCTTTGCTGACACCACGGCTCAAACCCTCCAGTAAATTCGTATCGAAACAATGTCACACTAAACGAGCTGAATGAGCAATAGTATCTACAGTGGGTCTCCATATTGAAGACGTTGTATGTACTTGATGACTAAATCAATCCAGGCCTGGAAGTTCTTGCTTTCATTCCCCTGTCCCAGCACGCGGCATGACTTAAAAGTAAGTCACGCCCTTGGGTACCTTACTCGTACAGTGACTAAGCCCTACGGTAGTGCGGCTTCAACGATTCATGTGCTTACTTGGCTGATTCTCTACACCGAGGTGATCTTCATTTCTCCAAGTAAAACCGGGTGACCAATTGGACGATTTCCTTTATATCTTTAACCATGCCCTTGCTGCTGCGAGAGACTCGGCCCCCTTGTCGCTGTCAATCGAAATTCCGAAGAGCCATGTCATTGACATAGCACTCACATCAAAGCAGTCTCCGGAGTAAATAGCCCAAGCAGGACGACCCAGGAGCCTAGCATGCTCCGCGTGTAAGCAGCGTTAGATCAAGGTAAATGAGTGCACTTGGTCGGTTGACGCTTGCCATTGTCACTGGTGACTAACATGGCTGAAGTGCGATCTTGCCAGTCCAGCTTGCTCACAGTGCATGAAATCCAAATGGACCTACCCAGGCTACGCTTCTCCTAAGCTCGGATTCTGGGACGAAATCGTGGGCAATCAGTCAGCGACATGGACCCGCTACTACCCGTGCAGGCGGACCCGGTGCAGTCTCAGATGTGGCTCGACACCTGGCCCACTTCAACCAGCAGCAAGCTTTTCTCAACATACACGTTTCGGATTCTCCATCGACTCGCCTGGCATCATTCCTGATAGCGCATCTCAGTCCAGAAAGCTATGGTAGCTATAACTTGGAATCTCTAAGCGGCCACTTTGTCGTCCACATTCCCTCTCGAATCGGCCATAACGCAAGCTTGATCGAGTACAGTCGATCCGATAGGACTGATAAAGAGACGAATCGGGGGCTTCGGCAGCGCGCTCACGAACTACACACAGATCTGGATCCGTCTTCCCTCGAACATTTCTCGTTAGAGAGCCTGCAGCTGGAATGGTGTAGTTCGAACGCCGAGACATTAGCAAGGACATATGGCGTTATCGCTGCCACAAATTATGTGTGCATCCTTTCGGCAAATGTCATTCTCATAGATCGCCTTATTCAATGACGGGCGAGGTGCTCTTGCCTAACAAACAGCTTTCCACAGAAGAGTTTGCATTGAGAGACTTTTTGCGTGCCAGCTACGCGTAGTGGAAGGCACCTTCTCCGGCCTTTGGACACAGTAAACACGCAGACATGATGTGGAGTGCGTCTTTTGAGTCTGTCGTGGACTGGGCTGCCAAGACATTTACGAGCAGATCGCACTTTTCCCGCCATGCAGTCATCTTCAAGTAGGTCGTTGCCTAATATATCGAGACCCAACCCGCATCAGAAAGAGATCTAGCTGACCTCTATGTAGGATCATCCTCAAGATTCCATAACGTCGCGCCCCTGGGGGCGGATCCTCTTCCTGGCTCTGTCCAGGCCCAGCTGAACATCATAACGTGGACTATTCCAACGAGAAAGTTTCCATTTATTGTGGGACGCGGGTCACGACTTCGGGCAATATTAGAGAGCCCCTTTTACCTCCCTAGAAGAGGCATCACGCGATGGGGTCTCGAAATGCGGGAATCGTAAATAAATTGGGGATGCGAGTTAAAGTTAGGCTATGCGAAGCAGCCAGTCCGGTACGAGTAAGAGTAATTCTCATGCTACTCTACCGAGTACAGCCACAACTTTCACCGAACAGCTTCTTGTTCTTCATTCCATGTTCTCACCATCATGACCGGATACAAAATCTCCTTCCCTTTTAATGTCAAGGCTATTTCAGCCGCAATTTTTGAACACGAGTTCCTTCCCAGTGCTCTGATTAGAATATACAAAGGGCCAATGTAGCTGGTCAGTCTGTGCGGTTTATCCAATAGAGAGGCGAGTTACGCACGTGCTAACCAAGACTGACGCTTGAAACACTTTTGGGCGCTCGCTTCACCGGTCTGTTGCGGAGGACACTTCGTACTATCCCGCCGCTGATGATTTGCATATACTAGAAAGACGGATACTCATGGCCTAGGGAGCCCGTATACATATCCCTTCAGTATCAGAAAGCATCGCCAACCGGATGTCTCCACGCACCGTTGTTTTTCTCATCATCACCTCCTCATCCGGCTCTCCCACAAAATCGGCTAGAATGTAGAAGACCACACCTAAGGACAGATCCATAACAAAAGCCTCGGCAGCTCGAACAAAAGGATGAACTTCGATCACGAATGTAATAGGTTTGCTGACCTCTGGATGGTGGGACGGCTTGCATAACAAAACGGTGGGGCAAAGCTGAGCACATTCTTTGTCCAACGGCGCACGGATATTATAATAAGCACTAGGGCTCGCTCGTATGCTCCAATCCTAGCTCTCATTGGTAGGATTCGATAAGATTCGCTGGGGGGTCTCGTTGAATGAGTATATATCAACACAGATTCCTCAATATTGACTTCACATCAAAATTAAGCCACTGTCTCGTCTCCTTGAGAATTTTGTCGAAAACACCTCGTATATCATGTGCAACCTTTTTTATTTTAGTGCTATGCTTCTAGCAGTCACTGCAACCCCAGCTCATTCAGATTGAGACCCCCCTGTGGTTGACCTTGGATATGTCGTCCAGCGCGCGACTACTTTCAACGTAGGCTTCCTTTGCTCGGAGCTGCCAGTGATCTTTCTCCTGACAGATTTTGCGTTATGTAGCATACAAGTGGCGTCTACAATTTCTCAAATATCCGTTACGCTCAGCCACCCATTGGGGAGCTTCGCTTCCAAGCTGCTCGAAGCCCCGAGACAAATCGCACCATCCAGACCGGAGCAGACGGTCACATCTGTTATCAAGCAATCCCAAACTGGTTCAATTCAGTCCCGGCCATGACACCTCAGCTCTTGGGTGGGGAAGTTAACTCGACCTTCGTTCACGCGTCCGAGCATGCAGAACCCCTTTCATCTGCACACGTACCTCCTCCAATGCCTCAAGAATCCGAAGACTGCTTGTTCTTAGACGTCCATGTCCCCAAGAAACCCTTAAGTGACAGACATGACGGTGATGGTGCAGCGGTGATCGTTTGGATCCATGGCGGCGGACTGACCCTTGGGTGGAAGAATCAGAATTACGACCCAGCTGGGCTGTTGGCACAAAGTGTGCTTCAGCCGGCCTTTGAAGAGTACGGAAGCGATGGAACAGTGCAGACTTTTTGACGTCACGGAGTGGGGAAGAAGGTCGATCCGGCTTCGGCGGAGAGGTGCGATTTTTGGTTCGAAAGCGCTTACAGGTGATCAGTCCTTGAGATTTCGAGAAAGCGTCAGAGCTGAAAGGGGGGTTGGGGCGGACGATGAGCGGGACTGAGTGAGGTATTGTGGTTGGAAACTTGGATGGTGGGAGTGTCTAGGAGTTGGGGAGTTGGCCAGATAGTGAGATGGATGTGGTGATGGATTCGTAACTATAGATGTTTGTGGGACAGTTGGATCTCAACCACGCACCATCATTCGGCTAACTCGTGGGTCCAAGAGGGCTAGGTAGCGTAGAGATGGGAGCGCGAGCTTCAGGTTGATCGCCCTCTGTGGCCTCAAGATGCCAGGATGGCCGAGTTGCGAGGATTTCAGACGTGTGCTTGGATCTGTAGGCTATGTTGGAAAAAGATGATCGAGGGTTGAGTTGGGTAGCGGTGTTGATGTATTGACAAGACAACGGTGGAAGTGTGGACGAATGACGGCTGGGGAACACGGGGCAGTAGTCTGGTTTCAGACGGCTTGTCACCTCGGATTGGGTGATGCGGTCGGGCTTTCGAAAAGCACGCTTCATGGCCAAAAGACATGGTTCATCAAATGTAGTGCGCGCTAACATCAGCTTTACACTAGATTCTGGGTCTTTTCTTTGCAATCCAATGCGAGGTTCTGTAAACATTCTGTAGCATGCTCTCTGGATTTTGGATATACCCCACTCCACCATTTCTAATTTCACGCTTCTCAATATCAAAGCCCATTTTCTCAACGAGTGTCAGCACTTCTTCGTCCGTCAACTCGAAAGCTCCCGGCTCTTCGATCCCGGTCTTTTCTCGCGGCCCTTCAGCCCTCTTTGAGTGACATTCCTCCGATGGTGCTCTGTCCGCAAAATGCCATAGCAAGGGCCCCAAATTGATCCATAATCCACCATCTTGCAAGCAATTACGTATAGTCTCAATATATCTGATAAGATTCGGAGCCGTATCGATGAAAAATACCGTAACCACAGCATTGAACATATCCTTATGTTCCTCGTCTCCATACAGAACTACGAAATCAGCAGCCGTCATACTCATCCGATCAGCAGCGTTCGCCGTCGTATGCCCGAAATCATCCTCAAGCGCACTGCCAGGATGCACATCCGGCACCTTTACCTTCTTCAACTGATGTTCCCTACTCACCACGTTGGAAAAGTCGAGCGCAAATGGATACAAATCGAACTGCTGTCCCTTGACTGTATGATTCAGCACCCAATTCGACGCAATAAGTTGATGGTAGGAAATCTCATTGCCCTCAACCGTGTATCCTCTTCGACAGAGTTCAAACACTAGACGCCCCAAGCCTGCGCCGGGGACTAAGATCTTTACATCGTGCTTGGAAGGAGAATGCCAGAAAGCTCTGACGACGTCCTGGATCACAGGCTCATAGCAGGCTTTGCGTTCGGCGGCGCCTTCGTGCGACCAGTCGCGGTACAGTTGGCGGATCGTGGAGCGCGCTTTGTCGATGTCTGAAGGCTTGGCTGTGTTTCGCCAGTCGATCAGCCTCTGAGCCTCATTCTCGTCAGCGCTTCCGAAGCTAGAGGATGCGGGCGTCTCGAGACCAGTGGTAGACTTGAGGTCATCGACGCCGAAGGACAAGAGGGCTGTATTCATCATTTCGGAAGCGATTTCGGCGTTGGCATCGATAGCGTCATCGACGTGGTCGAAGACTGAGAGGAGGTTGAAGGGTGGGGCGGCGAGCATTTGCCACTGGGAGGTGGGTAGAGCGTAGAAATTTTGTCGGCGGCGGTGCGTCACATTGTAATGGGCTATCTTTCGGTATTGGCTGTGTAACATGGATGAGCTTGGTTGAAGGCAGGGTGACTTTTCTAGATAGCAAAAGTAACACGACACACGACCGAAACCAAGAACTTGTTCAGACATGACATGATTAATGTAATGAAGATATACGAGAAAGCCACAAACGGATAAAATATTGAAGCAGCAGATACCCAAACCCTCTGTGGCGGCAATGGACTTACCGGAAGGAGTCGAGAGCAGCGAAAAGAACTCGTCGCTCTTCTGGGTCCGAAAATGGACTTGGTACTTCAGACTCATGAGCCATGTTCAAATCAAATCCCATAACAGCTGCTTACAATAGACGAATGGAGAACGAGGAAGAGAGCGGAGAAGATCTAAGTAGCGATTTGCCCTCTTCAGAGCACTAATTTAGGGCGTAGGGCTGAGGGCCAAGGGCTGTTGACGACATGCCTTTACAGAACCCAAACAAAGGCGCCCCTTTAGAATGATTGACAGTGTCTAGCATATGATACCTGACGTCTGGCATGCCCCTCATCATGTCCGCATCTTCAGATGCCCCATCCCTTCCGCAATCGCCGTCAGAACCAACAGCAACCGCCGCGACCTCGGCATCGCCTACGCTCCACTTCCAGCAGCTATCCGTCCCTCTTCCTCTCTCGCCGCACACGACCCTCCACGTACAGATCACACCCCTCCAGACATCCACAATGGTCTTCCTGACCACCACAGATCCATCCTCCAGTTCCTCCCTTAGTGCCCTCGGATCATTCGTCTACTCTATGCCCAACGTACCCTCGCCCTCTACCTACTTCCAAATCTCCCTCCCAATTCGACAACGTGGCTGACATGGGCTGGCGTTCTAGCGATTACAACCCTCTGAGCCCCTCAGCACACCTCTCTATGCAGTCCCTGGAAGCATTGACTTCGCAACAAGAGTAGCTAAGATACTCGCGAGAAGAACGGGGTTGCCTGCATATGTGGGCTGTAGTGCTGTCTTTGGGAGCTCGGTCATTGAGGAGGAGATGGCGGCTGTGCGGGCTGCGGTCGAGGGTGTCATGGGGGTATTGGGTGAGGGCAAGCGGTGAGCATTGACCGCGACTTGTCGTCCCAGAAAGCAGAGGGGGTGATGGCAGGCACACCTGTTTGAATCAAAGGATCCAACGGCTCGAGAATTGAGCTAGAGGCTGCGGAAGCATTGGTGCGGCTTGAGTACCACCTTCAAGAGGATCTGTCAATGGACGAGATCCGAGAGCGCCCAAACGAGATTTAACGCCTATGAGAAGTTGGAGCACACTCAAGCAAGACGAACAGAAGATGCCAAAAGTCCTCTGGAGAGGAGAAAATTGTGCTGCGAGATTGTGGTCGCGATTGTGCTCCGTTCCTGTGTTACCAAGTTTGGAAAACTGCGATTTAGCTGCCAGTAAATTGAGCTATGGACTTCGCAAGGTACCACCCGAGTGCGAGCTTAATACGGGTCACTATTACGGTCAGATGCTTATTTTGCGGCAATAAACTTGTGCTTCTGCTCTTTGTCACTTCTTCTCATTGGAAATATGTACAATGTTGATATACTTTGATTCGCGCCACCTTTCTTGCCCCTGCAGACAACATAGTCCTTTTTTGACCCTATGAAAACGCACGCACTCCGGATTGTCTATGAGCAACACAAGGTAGTCTTCAAGGTTAAACGCTCCCCTTGTCATCCTTGCCGCTATCCTTCGTTGTCCCTCTGGGGGTGCGTTTTGGCTGCTTCTTTCTGCAAGACCTCGTTGCTTCGTCGGATCGGTCGCGCTCGATTCACTACTATCATCGAGGATCTCAGTCGGCATTCTACTTGTCGCTTATCTTGTGCGAGGTTTTTTAGCCTTCGGATCAGCCTTGGGATTCTGAGGGGGCTCGTCGAGCTTTCGCTTCCCAAGCTGCTTGTCCGATGGTTGGGCCTTAGGTGGTGCTGGCTTTGGCTTCGTGGTTGTCGGCCCGGTCTCATCGTTTGCTGGCTTTGGCTTATGTGTTTTATCAGTGTCGGAAGACGCAGACCGTAGTAGCTTCGGAGCGGTCAGACCTCTCACGTATGGCAAAGCGCCGATGAAGCCTCAAGCACCTTCATCCTGTGCTTACCCAGACTCGTCATCATCTGCTACCTCTATCACCTCAGCAACATAGTACCGAGAGATACCGCCAGTCCATCTGCCCCTTGACCTCAGCCTCGGTGCCTCAACCGTGTTGCCTCTAGCCGCCCACAGGATTCTGAGCTGCTCTTGCAGCATGCTCCACTGAGAGAAATAATTATCTCCCAGATTCGTCTGCACGGGCTCTTGTCCAGTTAAAAATAAGAATTCCTGCACTGTGTTCGCAAGAGCACGTTGCAGTAGGGCTTCCTCTCGAGGATCTAGTGGCTGATCGTGGCGAGAGTCAAAGGGGTCTATGAGGCTGCTGGATTCGCTGCCTTCGTCGTCGGTATCATCTCCAGAGGCTGGGTCACGGATGTGAGTCTCTTGAACGGCTTCGTCACCATCTTTTTCGTCAGTCGAGCTGTCATCGTCTCCGCTAGCTGTTGCAACCGGATCCGAAGGCCCTGCATTTGCAGTCCCCAAGCTCGGTCTTGCAACGGTCCCGCCCGTTCCAGCCGTCCTCTTAATCTTGTCGATACGTTCTTTGCGAGAAGGAGCTTCGCTTATCTTGTCCTCGTTCAGCCCGAGCAAGGCGTAGTTCGCCTTTTGTTCAGAGGTTAGGTCTTGATCCGTGGCTAGATTTCTAGCTCTCTGCTCAGGTGTGCGGAGTGCGTCCATGAAAGTAGTTTGCCTGTCTCTGCCCTTCTTCGCGACCCAGCTGATAAGTCCGGCTCTAGTTCGGGCATTGCTCGCCCGCTTCGACAGAGCTCGCCTGTCAAACGTTGGGACCTTCCTCCCACCAGGCGCGTCTTTTGTCCACTCGCGTGCCTCGATATCAGACAAGGTGAGGCGGTCGTCGGACCTCATCCACGACTCTATTCTCAATCCCTCGACCTTGGAAGATATAGTCAGAGGGATCCGGAAGTTTCGGATCGGGTTTCCTGCGTAATCGAGGACGACACGCCCTTTGTACTTCATCACTCCGATTTCATATGTTGGGTTAACCCAAGGGTTTGGGCGCTCCCAGAGAGTGATGTTGTTAGGCCAAAACCGCCGGTCGCCCATGTCCCATGCTATCTGGGTGCTCTCCACGGCGGTGATATCCATGGGATGGTTGCCAGTTTCCGGCTGCCCGTTGACTGCAATCTGGTCAGCCTGATTCTTCCAAGAGCTTCACAACAACAAACCGTATCTGAGGCCTCCCCTCATACTCCCCTTCCTCAACAACTTCTTCCACATCTCGTGGTGGTACACAGGCGTCTTCTCTTCGCCACCATCTTCGTCGTCGTCTTCATCCTCGCTGCTCGCGTCTTCAGCTGCGTTGTCGTCCGCTCCTGGTCCTCTGTTAGGGAACGGGGCCGCACTCTGGCTCCCTTGAGCGCTCGTCACTGCTTCCCCTGTTCAAGACAATGCGGTTAGCTACGGGTCATCGTTGATGTTGCCAAATTCGGTCCGGATCAAAACCTACCTGAAGCTCGTCGCGCGGCTCTGAGTGCGCGAGCAGCAGCGTTCGCCTGTGTTGAAGGCCCTGGTCCATCCATGCTTTGAGGTCTCGATGTGACGAGAACCGTGACTTGGAAGGGATGTTGGCCTGGTGCGAGTCTCGACCGGGTAAGTAGCGACGGCAAGTAAGAGACAACCTTGTGTCAGTGTGGAAGGATCTTGACTTGGTAGGAGTCCCGACTGAGTAAGGAGGTATCTGCAGATGGCAAGTAGCAGAGAATGTTGTGTGGACAAGGCCGATTATGGAAGGTCTTGAAGGTGGTATGTAGAAGAGAGTATGGTGTCGAGTCGGAAATTTATACCCATGCCGGACGCAGAGATTCACTCGCCGAACATGGTGTGAATATATACGTCGTGAATATATATGTATAACGTGATGGAGACGTTAACACAAGCCGGAGCTGTGACGCTAAAACTATAAGTGATGGAACGGTGCCGTGACATGAAAAATAAGCAGCGACATGGAGACTAATAATGACAAAAACGGTGGAAAGTGACAATGGGATTTAACAACGACGAAGACTGCATTATGTGACAACGAGAACAAGCCGTGACACCAGAAACACACAATGACAAAGTGTCGTTGCATTTGTATCGTGGTTTGCTTTGACAAAGTGTAAAACAGTGATAACCATGGGTTATTTATACCATACTATGCACCACAGTAGTGACATTGTTACTTCACAATAGCCAGCTCATGTATTCCTTTTCAAGACAACAACCAGAGAAGTAATTTATTAATGAATTTACAGCCACCACAGCAGTGACATTGTTACTTCACAATAGCCAGCTCATGTATTCCTTTTCAAGAAATCAACCAGTGAAGTAATTTTTTAATTATGGATTTACAGCCACCACAGCAGTGACATTGATACTTCACAATAACCAGCTGATGTATTCCTTTTCAAGACAACAACCAGAGAAGTAATTTTTTAATGAATTTACAGCCACCACAGCAGTGACATTGATACTTCACAATAACCAACTCATGTATTCCTTTTCAAGAAATCAACCAGTGAAGGAATTTTTTAAATGAATTTACAGCCACCACAGCAGTGACATTGATACTTCACAATAACCAGCTGATGTATTCCTTTCTAGGACAACAACCAGAGAAGTGAAAATCACTACAAGCTACTGTCACTGCATGTTCTCAACTGCCAGGCTTCGCAGCCCTCGGTACTAGTGTCATGGTCTTGAGTCTATATCAACGCATAGTAACACCTCATGCATTTGAGGAGATTGATCCTCATTGTCTTTACGCTATGTACCCCCTTTCTAGCCCACAGCTAGCAGAGAAGTGACAATGATAGAACAATGTCATTGCGTGGCATTATCTCAGGCCGGCAGCCCACACTCTGGTGGTCGTTAGAGTACGGTTGGATAAGTTTTCATGCACTGCAGCGTGCTTGGGGCTGGCAATCTATGCAATGAGGAGATTGATGTTCAATGCCGTTGCGTCTCGCGTCCCTTTGTTGGCTGACATGACAATAGGCTGAGAAGTGGTGCTTGTGGGTTTGTGTCACTATGTGATGGTAGCGGAGTGTAAGCCGGTGGGCTGCGAAGAGTGGTGGTGGTGGGGGAGTGTCGATGCGTTGTGTCGCATTTTGGGCTGATGGCCCGTGCTGTGATGGTTTTGGAATGAAATGTTGTTGTATTTTTAGCTTCTGGGGGGGTTGTAGACTGTGCAATGGGAGTATTTCATTATCATTGCATTTTGTACCTCGCTTGAGCTGGGAATATGTGTAATGATGGCATTTTGAACCCTTAGTCATTATAGTTTAAAACTTGTTTGAATTGGGGATATACGCAATGGTGACATGTTCGATCCATTGTTTGCGTTTTGTGTCTTATCTGGGCTCAGGGTCTACACAAGGGTGACGTTTCATACCCTTTGTCACTGCATGTCATGTCTCATTTGGGTTGGTAGTCCCGGAAGCTTGAGGACGATTTTTCCGCTCAATGTCACTTCTCTTCTTGAATCATCGATGAGGTTGGCAACACGCAAAAGAGTATATCAGACAGGTGGCTAGAGTTCAGTTTTCGCTTGTTAGTTGAACAATTGTTGTGAACGTTTCGAGAAAGGACATTCTACTGATAAAGGAGTAGATTAAGAACGCAACATGGCCAATTTTTCTATAGGTTAAACTTGAACGGGCATCTGAAAGCAGGGAAGGCACACTCTGCTCTAAATTCGCGGGGAAATCGTCTTCTGTTAAAGAGTGAGCCAATTGGCTTACGGCATGCTTTGTTGGTTCGTATCAGTCTGCGATAGAATAGGCATCTACGGTAATGCCAATGATTATTGAATTCGAAGCTGATAGCAAGCCGAGGGCTTGCAGTATCTATATAAAACGACTCGGACTATACTCCATGTAGCTCTTGGGCGCCAAGCTCTCCGCTTAGTTATCATTCTTCTCAAATGAAACAGAGGGAGTGCTATCATGATACTCAGTGTCCTTAAAGTCGTCGTCACAATCCTTCTCAGAATCTCCCTCAGAACCCTCCTCTTCACTCGTTGGATCTCTCCGACCCAGTCGGCCCACGGTAGGCTTGAAACGAGAATTACACCAAGTATCCCTCACCGATCGCCAGCTTCCATCTGGCCCAAGGTAGGCGGTGCTCCCGTGCGTGGCATCCATGTATCTACCAAAAATCTCACCCTCGCTGTCTCTCTCCTCACCGCCCACCTGCGTCCGCCAATCGTAGGCCCAGCGACCAATACCACCAGTCCATGCGCGAAGCTTGAAGAGAAACGGTGTCTCTTCTGCTGGCCTCTGTGACTTCCAGATGGGAGCAAATTGCGCCTGCAGCGCGTTCCATTGTGAAGAGTAGCTTTTGGTGGTAGCGGTGGGCTTCGGGTTTTGTCCAGTGAGCTTTTTGAAATGCTCGACCGTTTCTTCGAGGGCGTCTCTGAGGATATATGCCTCTTTGCACGTTTGGGGCACGTCGTCACGTGAGTCTGGCAGAGGTTGCGTTGGTGCTGGGGGCGTGGGAGGAGCTGGAGATGGGCGACGATGACGAGATGGTCGAGAGGTAAGTGAGACAGTGCAGGCAGGATCGGAAACTGTGTTGGGAGAGCTAGCATTCACACTTGCACTCGATCCAGCAGCTGCGTTTATAGAAACCCTCTTGCTGAGCTCCTTGAGAGTAGCGAGTTGATCGGGCGTCAGATCCCGATCGGTGGCCCGATTACTCGCTCTCTGCGCCGCCGTACGGAGCGAATCCATGTACGCTCTGGCCGCGAGTTTGGCGGCCTCATTGCGCGGGCGAAACGTGACGAGTCCCGACTTCGACCTGAAGGCGTTCGTTCGATCCGTCAGATCTCCCCGTCTCTGCAATGGCTGCCGACCGCTCGGCGTGTTCCGTGTCCGGAGTCTGGCGAGGATGTCGTCAATGCGCAGACGGTGGATGTCCTGTCGGATCCAGGTCTCGAGTCGGAAGCCTTTGACGGCGGAGGAGATTGTGAGGGGCAGATTCCGGAAGGCTCTGATGGGGTTTCCGGCGTAGTCGAGCATCAGCCGCCCGTTGAAGAGCAGATAGCCAATGGGGTAGGTTGGGGCTGATTTGGGGGACTCAGACCACAGGGTGAGGATTGGGGCTCTGTGAGCTCGAGTGGAACTCCAGTCACGCTGGCCTGGGTGGAAAGATGTGATGTCCATGGGACCGATACCATGGTCTGGCGGCTCGTAGGCTGTGATAGGGTCAGCGCATCCTTTGGAGTAGGAGAGTTGGGAGATATGTACTTACTGTAGGCCCCTTGGCTGCTCATCAAGTGCACCAAGCGATTGTAGATCTCATGGTGGAAGACTGGTTGTTTTCCCCGTTCGCTTTGCGCTGACCCTGTCTCGGTGACCTGGTCTTCGTCTTCGTCTTCGCTGTCTCCGTCTTCTTCTCCTTCTTCTTCCACCAAGTCAACAATCTCTTCATCACGTCGGTCTCCTCCTTTCCCTGTTCAAGAAAACAATGTTAACGCTGTTTCATTAGGGTTGAATGGGAGGGGAGCTACCGTCGCTCGTAGCATTGACACAGTCTATCGAGGCGGTGTTGTTGTTACGGCGGGAAGACTGCATGATCCTCTTCATTACCTGCGGTGAGACATTTGATCCAATAGCTTTCCTTGCAGATGCAGGCATCTTGGCCAAGTTGTCACATATTTGTCTGAATAAGATGTAGTGAGATAGAGTGAGCAGGAGTCAGATAGATTGAACTAGATGGATCAAATCCGAAATAGCAAGGTGAAGTGATGCGGTCTTGGGAAATGCTTACGGTCGAGATTTCAGCATGCAAAAAAGTAGATTTGAGAAGTCAAATTCTGATGATCATGCACGTGTGCTCCTCGGACTGATTGGCTTCGAAGAAGATGGAAATGTTGGTGTACTTACCAAGTGTGGAGGAGTCTAAACAAGGACCAGGGAGCCACAACTATAGCTTTCTGATTGCTGCTTTGCGTGACTGCTATCACTGTGCTTCACAGACTGCGTATGGGTCACTCCTTTGTCTCGATCCACCGAAAGCGTTTTCCTTCACGGATTGTATTAGCTTCCGGTACTCCTTCACTCCGCGTGTGCAGTCAAACAACTTCAACTCAAATCGCTATACTCCGGCATACATGTCCATGTCTGGAGACGATTGTTTCCTCGTTGTGTTCTCTAGACGTTTCGCTCTAGGTGAGGAATCCATGTGACCTACTTATATATTTATATAGCCCAGTACGCCCTGTTGTTTGATCAGGTATATGGCTATCGTTCTGCACTAATCATGAATTTAGGAACGACTTAGCCAGGCCGCCTTTGCGTTCCCAGTGTCGTCGAAGCCATTGTTGGAACCTAATTACCTTAAATGGAGATGCCGTCCAATTGCCAATGGACTTCCATTGATTCATTCACTGGCTGCTCAATGCTTACACTTTACTGCATGAAAGCATTCATGATATTGCTCCATTCACTTCGCACATCATATTGTGTCTCACGTGAAAGGCCAGAAATATCCTGTTGTCACTTCTGCTCGATCGCTTCGTCCACTATGCATGGATGGCTAGGGTAGAAGTAGAGGCTGGTAACCATGTGAGTGCAAGAGCTCTCTTTGCACAAATGTAGCCTGATGATCCCGATCTACCTTTGATGAGCAGTGGACAAGCATCTAGCACTGCAACGTGCATCGTGAAGGGTGACCGATTCATTCTCATAATGGAACAGGCGTAGAAGGTAAAGCTTGCAGTCTCCTGAACCCGAATCAACATCTAAGCGGAAATCTCTTTGCATTTTTTACAGCTCGTAAATATCGCGTAGAGCCTAATTGTCACACCGCCACTGAAGCACACCACTGTCTGACTGGATAGGTGCGTTTGCTGAGCTCCATGAAAATAATGAAGTCCCTGGTAGGTTGATTCCATTCGACGGATTCGGTCAACCTTGCAATGACGATCTTGATAGGGCATTGTCCGCAGAAATTATGAGGCCTGATGGTAACGACAACACGGAGTCCAGAACGAAGACCGCGACAGGCGCATTGCTTAGGGACACCAGACAAAAAGACGGCATAACGTTGCAAGAAATGAAGAACGAACCATCGCCATTCCTTTTGCGGTTCACCGAGGGAAAGCCGGTTTATAAAAGCACTGGCGCTTATAGTGGAAACAAGCCATGCGAGATCACGAATGTCACAATAGAAATCATCCAGCGGCCATGATTGCAAGAGAAGTCACTTACTGCAACTGCGGAAGGCACGTTTGCGGCAATAGTATGATTGGGGATTTTAGAACGCATGTCGCTATATGCAAAAGGTGTTTTCCATGGCCTGTGGTAAGTGAATTCCCGTATCGATCGCCTACTCCCGGGGTGTAATGCATAAACAGCTTTGCAGATGTTTTGGTAGACTCTATCGTGATGTTGACTTGCCAAAGACAAGAGCATAGGGTGGCGGATAGAGTAAAGCAGAAGGCGCTCATAGCCATACTTCTTGGAATTGTGTGCGCTGGAGGTTCAGTCCAGATCCCCTGGCTTGGAACAACAAATCAAGTTTCGTAGGCGGATGTCGACGGAAAAGTCGGACCAGGTAGCTGATGACATGAACATGACGCTGGTTAGCATTGATCATCTAAAAGCAGCATCATATGCTCTTGCAACGTGGTATTGTCTCCGATGACCGGTATTTTCTGTACTAGTAAAGGCGGACACCGGCGTTTCTTCCTTCCAGAACCCTCCTCGCACCCAACAGTATCTACCGATTACTCTTCGCTACCCGCTCCAGTTCATCCTTCTTTTTAATCGCATAGCTGTTGCTGCTTCCCTTCGCCGCATTGATCAACTCCTCAGCCAGACACTCAGCTACGCTCTTGACATTCCGGAAAGCTGCCTCGCGGGCACCGATTGTAAGGAGAGCAATGGCTTGGTTGACACGGCGCAAGGGGGAGACATCGACGGCTTGACGACGAACAGTACCGGCTGAGCCGATACGGGTGGAGTCTTCGCGGGGGCCGCAGTTGACGATGGCGTCGACGGCGATTTGGATGGGATTTTGGTCGGTCATTATGTGAATCTGTATGAAATCAGGTGTCAGATAACGGTCGCTGAGATGTAGGAGGAGCCAATGTAGATTTATGAGGGTGGGGAGAAAGTCAGGCTCACGATTTCGAAAGCATGAGCAACGATGCGGACAGCCATCAGCTTCTTGCCGTTGTTGCGGCCGTTCATCATGAGAGAGTTGGTGAGGCGCTCGATGATGGGGCAGTTGGCCTTTCGGAAGCGCTTGACGGCATAGCGGCCAGCGGAGTGGGAGATGTAGACAGGGGAGCGGATCTGGATGTAGTCGCTGTGGGAGAAGATCTAGTGAGCCAAAACCCTCGCCAGCCAGCCGTCCGGTTAAGGAAGGAACACCCAAGCCCAAGGTATCTGCTGCTCTCTGCCCTCGCAATCTTTAGGCGCCAGATAGGGTACTCACGTCAATGAGATATCTCGGACTTCGACATCCTCGTACGACCACTTGTTGAAGAGCTTGATAGAGCCAATTTCTTCGGTGACGTCTTTGGGCAAGACCATATACCCGCTGGGGTTTTCGACCTCGACCTCGGCGGTATCAGACATGCTGGGCGACTGTTGTTGATGTCGTTGTGTTGCTTCAAGTCTGGGAGTGTGGTCGAAAGCATTTCGAACTTCGCTTAGCGGAGGTGTGGGCACTAGGATGCTTTTGGCACTAGCACGGATCTTGTAATCTTATCTTTTGCCTCGGCATCTTCGACAACGACTATTGTTTCTTCCTACCACGGGATGACCGAAGGGTTTTAGAAGCCACAATGGCGGAACCTCTTCTTCTTATTCTACATAGCCATTAATCTATATACCCGAGCTCTATAGATCAACATCGCTGCCCGTAATGCCCAGCCCGACGCTCATAAGACCGCCCCCAGCGGACACGTCGAAGTCCGCGATGGAGAACGTCCTCGAGCTCATTACCCTTAGAGACATTGGCCCGGTAAGGACTGCAATTGCTCGACGCTAGAGTGGGACTAATCAATGCTATCTAGGACATTTTCACCAACGCTCGGTAAGACTGTTCATGCTCCCCTGTTCCCCTGGTCCGCGCGCGTCCCTTCGGTGCGCTGACATGACATGACCAGCGAGCTATGGCACCCTCCAGGCGCTCGCGGTGTCTACGGTGGCGCTGTAATAGCTCAATGCCTCGCTGCAGCGCAACATACTGTCCCGCCTCCTTCTCCAGCAAACGACAACGCAGTGTTTCTTATTCACAGCATGCATTGCTACTTCGTGCTTGCTGGGGACTCGACAATACCAATTCTGTACCACGTAGAGAGAGTAAGAGAAGGGAGAAGCTTCGTCACAAGAACAGTACAAGCTAGGCAGAGGGGAAAGTGCATCTTCACTACAACATTGAGCTTTATGCGTGAGGGTAGTGGCGGGGAAATAACGGTCGATCATGGCTGGGATATGCCTGAGGGCGTGAGAGAGGGACTGGAGCAGATATTGCAAGAAGAGGATGATGCTAAGGATAAGGAAAGTGCGTCTAACGGAGTGGAGGCGGAAGGTCCTTTCGTCTCGAAGAGACTAGGCATAATCAATAGTAGGTAGTCGTCTTGCTTGGCCTCAGCATGGAGGGAACGGGAACTCAAAGCTGACAATGTTTTCCATCAGATAGCTCACCCTACCCACACCACCGTAAACCACAAGCTTGGATACAATGCCGCGGCGCCATTTCTCCATCCGGCGGCCAGCACGCCCATCTCTCAGCCCTCGCTTACATGTCCGACAGCTGGTTTATCGGCACGGTCTCTCGGGCTCATCATCTCATGCGCGAAAACCATACTCTCTACAACAGGACCTTCCCACAACATCAGGATAGCCCTTCTTCAAAACGGCAGACTGAATCAGAGGCCAGGAAATCATCCAAGAACACATTCGAGACACCCAAACGCTCGATTGGTATGATGGTAAGCTTGGATCATACGATTTACTTCCACCGGCCGAGGGAGGTCAAGGCCGATGAGTGGATGTGTACCGAGATGGAGACGCCGTGGTCGGGCGAGGGGAGAGGGCTGGTGATGCAGAGGATTTGGAATAAGGAGGGGAGATTGTTGGCTACTTGTGTACAAGAGGTAAGCCTTGCACCAATCCGTACATATCGTCCATTGCTGTGCCAAATTGGCTGACATAGACGTGTAGGGTTTGGTGCGTTTGCAACAAGAAGATCCTTTGCCGAAAAGCAAGCTGTAATCGTCTTCCATCTCCGCAAATGTCCTTTTGGCGGCTCCGAGTTTTTAACACCTTGAGAAAATAAAACGTCCGTACAGATCTCGATAGTATACATGTCTAGATCGCACATGACAGATCCTCAGCCGTACGAGTTCGCTAAGCCCGCCAGCGCTGGTCCCCCTGCTCGTAACTGCATCAGGCTATACGCCTAGAGAGCGATCTAGACAGCAAAAACTGCAATGTTGACAGCAGCTGCGCTCGTCTTGCTCGATGCAGTTGCACAATCTGGCTGGCTAGGAATCTTGACTCGTCGCCTAGTTGCTGACGTGTTCTCAAGCACGCCTGGGTCTGCGGGCTCGATGAGTTCGCAAGATCGACTCGCTGGCGGGGGTCATGGAGTTGATTGTTGGGATTGGGCGAGTGCTGTTCTTACATGACTGATCTTCTAGTGCGGGGAGCGGGTATTGATGCGGAGGAAAGGATCGCCTGGGTACAATCTTGGTGTTACGGCATGAAATTTATGAAATATGACCGCTTGCACGGGACTTCTATTTTGGCAGAAATGCCAGCTGAATGCGAGGGTAAAACGTTGGACGTGAGGAACCTGATGCATGGGAGGGGACTTTACGGAGATTGTCAGACTGTCGTCCCCGTCTCTCTGTGATTATAGTAGACTCTTCTAAGAAGTGCCCTACTATCGTTCAGCCCTCTAGCTACAGCTGTCGAAGAACGGCAGACACCTTTTCCCCGCCTGTGTTGGCCGGACTATCCACGGCAAGCATCAGCTCAAACTTCGAGGCCTGGATGCGTCATGTTGATACGCGCTCGTGCACACCTTTGTCCGGAAGCTCACTCACGCCAACGCCACTCCTGTGAGCTTGGGAAGCAGCCTCTTCTCCATCTCGGGCAACGCTTCAAATACCGCCGCGGCCTTCTCTTCGTCAGCATCTGCGACGATGACAAGCTCCTCCAATGAGGCCGGCAGCAAGTCCGCCAGGGTTTGTGTGCCCGAGAGGTCGTTGTGCTTGTCGCTCGCAATGAGAGCGTAATCGACTCGTAGCTTCTTCAGCACCGGAAATCCTCGGAAGTTGCAAACATGCGACAGAGTTTCAAGGCTAGGAAATTCGGCCTGGCCGGTGAAGGTAAGGTCCAGGTGCCGGAGAGTATTGCTTGTATACTCTTGAAGAATATTAACGAGTAATAGTGGTTTCCACTCCGCATAATGACCTCTGTACCGTAAATGTTGATAGGTGAATCTCCGGAGCGATCGAGCGTTGCTCAAGAAGCCCGCAAGGATTCTCGAAGCGAACACACTCCCTACAATAATGATCTCTGTGGCTGCGACATCAATAAATTTTGGAGTCGGTGGCCAGATGCCGACATAATCCGGGTAGAACATATTCGACACTCGAATGGTTTCGATCGAGGGCAAAGCAGACAGTAGGACAAGATCTCGGATGCGAGCACTGTCCAATGTATCGCCAGTAGGTGAAACGTCAACTCGGGCGAGCTTGCTGAAGGCTTGAGACGATTTGGCATCCGACGGCACCTTGGATTGCACCTGCTGGATTTTGTAGATCATTTTTCGGACATTGCTATACAGGAATAAGCGCTGGGTGACATTGAGGGTCTGCAGGTTCGGAAACAACGTCAGTAGCAGCGCGATAGCTGCATCGGGGTTGCCGCGCTGTATCTCGCTTTCCGGGTCGGCTGGCTCTTCCGGGTCGGCTGGCCTCTCTCGCCGCAGATATGGACACTGGGTTATCACGTCATGGATCCTTTGGGTACAGCGCTGGGCAACCTGTAATGATACGGTATCAGGATCGAGATAGTACGGGCTTTGCATAGGCTTGATGCTCCAGGAGCGAAGGTTGATCACGCCGGGGTAATGAGCGATGCGAGGTTCGAGCAGCACGTCTTGAAGGAGCACAAAAGGATGGATCACAGTTTGATCTTCAGGGGCGGCATCGTCGAAAGTGATGGTGGTGTATTTGTCTTTGAAGTTTCTATGCTGCTTGATCCTTTTTTCGGCTGATCCATGTATTCTCTTGCAGCATGCTGAAAGGCTCTCCAAGTCATCTGGGTCTGTGAGGTCAACAACTTGAGAGAGTAGCTCGTTGGGAAGACCTAAAATCGTTGCCATGTTAAGGGAAAGAGTGTGAAGGTTTCTGAAGATGAGCATCTCAGAGCTTACTCGTGGATTCCAGAAGTGAGTTACTTGATAGAGCGAGGACACCAATAGATATTTCAACTCAGCGGCATGTCGCTAGTGGTATCATTTGGTGTCCTCGCTCTATCAAGTAACTCACTTCTGGAATCCACGAGTAAGAAATTGTCGTATTGCTGATAATGTTTGGACATTCCTTGCTGGCATCTGTGGTATATCTACGCAGGAAGGTTCTGAAAAGTGGAATGAATTCAATGGTTTGAAAAGATCTACGGAGAGAGTGAAAAGTTTGTGGGATTTGTCTAGTTTTGAACTTGGACGCCATCAAGTTTGCTACATGATTGCTTTCTGCGAAGAGCAGATTGCACATGCAGCATACCGCAACAGGCTGATTATATTCTAGCTCGGCATACATCCTGACTACATCTAACATGTTCCTAGAACTTTGAGCTTCTAATTGAGCACATGCAATCCGCCAACTGCCATGGCCAAGGTCTCGGTGCTCTGTCATGCACTGGCGCATTCATCTACCAGCCGTCCACCCTTTGAAGGCCGCTCTTACAGGTGACGATGGTGGTGTCAATGGAGGGGAGCCGTGGTGGTAATCAACCTGCCCGACGACCAGTATCGCTGGGGGTTGAGGTCTATGGAGGCCAATCAAGGTGCTCACGTAGTCGAGCTCATACGAAGTCTGACCAGTCTCGGCTGGATCAGGCGAGGTTCTATTGTTTCCAGGGATCTGAAGTCCTTTCCTGAGCTGATGTGTGATCGACGGGAAGCTTTTGCGGACTTATATACCTCCAACAATGTCGTCTTTCGAGCGGATTCCGGAAGGTTGAACCAAGGAGGTGGTGCAAGTCTTTTCTTTCTCCATCCCCGCTTAGAAATCTGATGAGATTAGTGAGAGCCGAGAAAACGAGGGACAGTCGATCTCACCGTCGGGTCCGCTAGCTTCGGGTGCGAGTACCTTATGTGGGAAGGCCTCAAGTTTCTACTGTTACAGTGATGGCTTCCGCACACGGTGCTCCCAGCTGAGGCTATCGTTTCTTTGGACTCGAGATTGGTTCTCATGTGAAGAGTTGGGCAGCTAGAAAAGTGTCCAACCAGCCAATGAATAACTCACTCGTGTTGATCCGTTCCCATCCAGGGGATTGCTTCCCTTTCTTTTCAACATCGTGCTTTTTGATCCAAAGAGATGGTCAATGCACCAAGCGTTCAGGCTACAGTCCGCTAGACTGAGCAGTTCCGAGCTTCTCCATCAAGCTTTCCTTTCGTTGCCCAGCAAGGATCTAATGCATCACAACCAGTCTTAGTCAGGAGTATGTAACATGTAATTTGAATAGTCGTAATGAGTAAAGGAGGCACCATAGCTCCCTCGAAATCTTAATCAGAGCGTTCAAAACATTAGGATACTAGAGGGCACGTTCGATATGCTCGCATCCCACCTTGTCATAGTGCGATCGGACTGTTGAACGAGTCCCGAGGTCGACTTCGAAGCTAACCGTATTCAGACATTTACCGTATGCGTAAGGCTGATTGAAGAGCGCGTCCCGCCGCGTTGGAGCAACGAGTACGACTGAACAACGCTGCCTCACCCAAAATCAAAATGCAGAAAAATTGGAGCTGTAGGAGCTGATTGGTCCGCCCCAATGTAGCCGGATCATGTTGCTTACGTGGCGTGCGTGGACACTAGTACTATTCTGCTGCTTTCGACTCATACTTCGACTCATACATTTCCCATTCGTCGGAGCGTGCTCTTCCTTTCCAAATTATATATCTTGTTCTTCATCGCGCTCTCCCTCCGAGTTTCTTGATCGAGACTACGTTCCAGATGTAGAATCTACAATGACAGAGTCCAACGTGATGAATGATACCCTCCCGGAAAGCCTCCGCATCCTTTGCTTCGGTGACTCCTTGACAGCCGGCTACACAAGTTATGGTTGGGAATTGTATCCATACGCTGACCACCTCCGTGTGGCACTCCAACATATGCTGTCGACGTCGGACATCGAGGTCGATGCCGCAGGACTTTCTGGGGATCAGGTTCGAGGAAGCTACTTGCCGCGTATCGAAGCTAAGTGTGCAAATACTGAGTCACCTTACGATTGGATCGTAGTCATGGGAGGAACGAATGACCTAGCTTGGGGCCAACAGCCAGATTCGATTTATGAGGGACTGAGTGAGCACTCCCAGCCACTGTCCTCTTAATCCCGCTACCTTCCTATCCTTATTTGGTTGAACATCTCCTCGTCATGTACTCCTCGCCCGCTTCAAGGCAGTACGAGTGCTAATTAGATCATTGCAGAGAAAGTGTGGAAGGTGGCATTGGACACCGGAGCAAATGTGCTTGCGCTGAACGTACTAGAAGCCGAGGGCTCAGGCGACAGAGAGAACTCGAAGCGGAATTCCCTGAACAATATGATTGCCAACCATCATCAAGAGAGATAGTACGTCCGTTGGTGCTTTACCAGCCTTCTCTGACGGACCATATTCTAAGCTCCTTGCTTTCGTGCTCGTAAAGGCTGACCATACCATTCAATAGTTATTCCTTCGATCTCTACAGCGCGATCCGATACACAGGTATTGACAAGGATTTACGCAAAAAGCTCTGGGATGACGGACTGCATCTCACATCCGAAGGCTACAAGGTTATGGGCGATGTCATCGCTGTTCGAATGTTTGAGCTTCTGAAGATGACCCAGCAGCCGAAGAACATTGGCCCTATACGCGATTGATTAGTTTGACAGACCACGAGAAGACACTTATCTTCATTTCAAACGCTCTAAATTCTGGAAATTGCATATCGTTGTGCCATTCCTCGCTTATCTGAGGGTGCATTCTTCACGCCACTACCAATTCCACTTTACGCGGTTGCTTCTGACGCGTCGAACCATTTGAAGTCGCGATATTCTCCAACATCTCTCTACGTCCGCATTGAGCGCTTGCTGTACTTATCCTCGCCCTATTTTGTTAATTAGCTCGAGCCAACGATGATCACATATAGCGTTGCAGCATTACTGCTGGCTTACCTGAGAGCAGTGCAAGCTCAAGCGACAATTTGCCTGGCAACGTATGGGGGGGTGGCAACAAGGTACATCTCCAGGGCTACAGAGCTCAAGCAATTCTTCCTTGAGCTTCCGAGCAGTTGGTCGTGCATACCCCAGCGCCCAAGCTTGCCTAGCAGATATTTTGAGATCGTGCTAACGTCGTGTGAGTCAGCGTACCTCCGCCAGGACGAAGCTTTACCGTCCAAGTCAGCCCATTATCAAGTCCATTCGATAATGGAGATCCTGGCTCGGGCTACCTCGACTCGGCCGGCCATCTTGAAGCACGTTGCCAAAAAGCGTCAACCTTTACCCTGAGTAGCGGGTTCCTATACTCAGGAGGTGATCAAGTATCTGTTGCGCCAGGGGTGCCGTTCATGCTTTTCAGGGCGTCTGAGTACGTGGAAGCGATAGATAGCATCTTCGCGGTAGACGAAGCAAGAGGAACAATCGTTTGGAACAATGAGGCTTTTTCAGGCGGCACAGCCAGATTCTGTGCTGATCCAGCTGGCGCTCTCTATGGAGTATTCTTGGGCCCTCTGCCAGGAAATTGTACGGCCACTGAGCTAAGAGTTCAAGATCGTAAGTTGGTCAAGACGAGCCCGTGGCCACCGGAGATCTGCATTGTTCTCGCTGACCACTGATCTGTCTTCCTTAACAGCTGCCCCTTGTCCAAACTTGCCAAGCCCTCTAGTCATGCCTACGTATTTCGGCATCAATCAAACATCCCCGGTGGGACCAACGGCCAGCCTGAGTGGACCACGGAGGCAACCACAGCCGCAACTACAGCCACCTCCAGCCGGCTCTTCCTCGGATCTCAATATTTCATCGACTGCGTCATCTCTACTTTACAGCCCATCTTCGAGTCTGGGCAATTCTTCTAGCACTGTTCCCATCCCCCCTTTAGCTTCCAGCAACTCTTCCGCCATCTCTTCGATTTCCAGTACCTCACCCAGTGTGTTTTCGAGTTCTGTCACCTCTAGGGGCTCTTTCATCGCTTTCACCACATTTACCCTGAAAAGTGCCAGCACTACGTTGGTGTCGAGTTCCAGCACCACGCCAGCATCGAGCTTCAGAGACCCAATCGCGCAAGCCAGTTCTATTATTTCTCAGGACAGACTCACGGTATGGTGCACTGAGGTACTTGGGTATACTGTTCCTCCCCAAATCACCGTCACCATCGTCTCAAATGTCTCAGCTACGTCCCTTGTGACTACAAGACCAACCGACGATACGACGACAAATTTTGCGACCCTGACTTCGACTGCAACTCAAAGCATACCCTCTTTTAATATCACAATATCAACAACACCCACTGTTACCGCTACCGTCACTACCACGGATGAGGTTGTGGTATTTGCAAGTACTACAGTTGTAGGCCCGTCACTCGGTGCTAAAAAGCGTGGTCTGCCATATATGCCCGGGAAACCATATCCTGTCGATGAACAGCAACCGCGACTTATAGGGGCCAGCTATAACGCGGCATCAGCCGGTAGCAATAAGACATTAGCTAGTAGCGGTACTTTACCTACCAGCAGCTATGTCTTATTAACCAACAGTTACGCAACAGCGGTGAGCAATCATGCACCATCAGCAAGCAATTATACGTCGCTAGTCAGCAGCTATGCAACGTCAATTAGGAGCAACGCAACAGCTAGCTTGAACGCAACGGCCAGAATCAATGCAACATCAGCCATCAGTAATTCAACAGGATTGAGAACCATCACGACACCAGTGGTCCTGCAGACCTTTAATCCTAGCGTTATCAACGCAGCATGCTCCCAGAACATCGCCATGCCGACGCCTCTCCCCAGTGTCACGACTTTCATAACCACCACCTTTATCTATACACACTACATCGAGCAACCGTACGCAACACTGAACACAACCTACATCATAGCCACCGACACCACCATCAACAATGGCAACTACTCCACAACAGTGACCGGGACTCCAGTAACGAACGACATCACAGATGCGGCCACAGCAACCTCAACAATCACATCGACCATCGTCGTATTCCCCAGCAACGTTCCCGCCCTGATCCTTACCTCCGCCGTCCCCTTGGGCCCCTTCAGTGCAGGCGGCGCCCCGCCACCAGACATAGACGACGCAGCCTACGAGCTCACCCTGCCCTTCCAAATGCGCATGTTCGACCACTCCTCTGAAATCGTATGGGTCTCAACCAACGGAGTTCGTCCCCCCCACACTCCCACCACATCCACCCGCCCTCCCTCCTCCACTAACCACTCCCCCCCCCCACCAGATCCTCTCCCTCGACAACGGCACCCGCGAATACGACAACGAATGCCTCCCCTCCATCGGCAACGAAGACTACCCCGACGACCCCGTGCCCCCCTACTCCGCCTTCCCCTACTGGGACGACACGTACATCTACGCCGGCCAGCCCCAGGGCATCTACTACCAGTACGGCCACGGGCCCACGAACAACATCACCAGCGCGCAGGCCGGCGCCGCGCCCGCCACCAACGTCACCTTCGAGTACTACCTCAGCCACTGCTGCGGCAACGGCGACGGCGGCAACGAGAAGTATTACCACTACACCGTCTTTTACGACAGCTTGAGCCCCGGCATCTTCACCTATCGGTATTATCAGATCAGCGCGGACGGGGCTAGCGCTACGGTCGGGATGCAGGATTATGGTGCGTGCGTGCGCTTTCTTTCTTTCTTCTTTCTTTCTTTCTTTCTTTCTTTCTTTCTCCCCCTTCATCTCACGTTCCACCCCCCCCCCTTCTCCGCCCAACATTTTCTACCACGTCCAACGTTTCCCCCCCGTTCCCACATCGCTGACGTGTGGGTTTTTGCGCCGTGTGCAACAGTCGCCGACACGGCACTGACGTATTCCTGCAACGAGGCCATCGTCACGCCGGGTCTGGAGGTCGTGCTCAATTCCATCATCGGGACCGTGCAGCATCGGAATTTTTCGGTGGCTGGTTCGTGAGTGAGTCGGGAGTGGAGGGGTGGAGGGGTGGAGGTGGGGGAAGTGGTGGAGGTGGTGAGGGGGAAGTGGGTGTGGTTGGGGAGGGAGGTTTTGTGGGAAGGGTAGCTGAGTGCAGTGTGATTGGGAGCAAAGGGGGCAGCAATGATTTCATGACTTTCATCCATTTTCCTGGAAAGAAGAAAAGAAAAGAAAAGGGATGTTAACTTTCTTCTGGACAGTTTAGAATAATCATAAGGGTTTCTTTCCGGACGGAACTTTTTCCGTAGTCGTACTTTGATCCATCGATACAAGCATTTCGTCCATATTGCCATTTAAACCCCCTTCCCCTTCTACGCAACCGCTCCCATCCATCCTCAAACTCTTTGCCGCCGAAACATCTATTCGCAGCCCACAAACGGAACGACTTCCCCCCTGCCCCCCCTCTCTCCCCCCTCTCTACCACCTCATGCCCCTCCGTCCAAACAGCTGCACCAGCCCCGTAGCCAAGAATTTCTTTCCCAGCACCCTCAACCCTCCGAACCGCTTCACCACCTCCGCGCCGTACCCATCTCTGATGCTCCGAAAGTTCGGCCCAGAGCCTTCATGGGCCGGCTGTACGGCCTCGACGTCGGACTCCGCCCGGAGCTTCTCGTGCATGCGCCGAGGAGCACGGGAGAGGTTTGCTCGCGGGGGCGGGTGTAGTGGTTGAATTTCACCGAGTCGCCCCGTTTTGGCGCTTCGCACGGCGCGCTCTTTCTGCGCTTCTTCTGCGCTTCTTCTTCTTCTTCTTCTTCTTCTCTCCGAGGTACGGGTTGGCCAGTCTGTCACGAGTCCGGAGTCGATGGAAACGTCACTCGTATCTGGAAGACCGGCCGTCCGGCTCGTGTCGGGGTCGCCGCCTTGACTTTCGGTAAGGTTTCGGAGATGGAGGGGGCATGGTTCGTCTGCTCTAGGAACGTCATGGAGGGTGTTGGGCTTCCTTCCTTCCTTTCTGCCGAACGGACAAGGCGTTGCATCCTTCCAGTACCTTAGCGTTCTCAGCTTCTGCGGAAGACCGGACACCGCGGCTGCTGGAGAGAGCAGATGGGTTTTTGTTTTGCTTGGAAAGTGGCACGCCTTTCGTTTTGATGTCGGTGATGGATCGCAAAGGTCTGTGTGAGCTCCCTGATAGACTTCATGATCGTGACACCAGGGGGGATTGCTGACGCTGAGGCGAAGGAATCAAGTGCGAGTCTCGATGGTAGTGAATTAAAACTCGGTGGTGCCAAGGGGGGAGGTCTGCGGGCGTGTGGATTGCTGTGCCGGTGTTAGTATGGAAGTGAGAAGGGTTGGATAGACTCGGAGTTTGCTGATGAGATAAGAACTCTCTTTAAAATCTACGGTCGTCTGCGTGAGTGATGGGGTAGCCGATGGAGGAAAAGCTCACGATGAGTTTCTGGCACCGGAAAGGGCGGTGATGAGGGGCTTCTCGAGCAGCAGGCCTTTCAAGTTCGTTGATGGGCTTTGACTGTAAACAGATTGGGTCGGATACCTGGGAGTTTGGAGCCGAAAGCACAGTGGGGCGGGTGAACGGAGTTCTGCTTGCTAAGATGAGGTGCAAAGACTCCAGATTAGACGCACGGCTGATGAGTAGGAAGTGACGGAGTCTGAGGGGATATTGTTTTGGTTTTTTTGCTTCGACTTGTCCAGAGATACCCGTTTGTGCCTCTTGGGAACGTAAAGGCTGCCAAATTGATGATGGTTGGTATGGGAGAGAGATAGTCTGAGGTATAAGTGTGGAGGTCGGAAAGTCTGGAATGAAGATTATCGGATATCCTATATTTACAATCGGACCTTTGACGCTAAGTCTTGTCTATCTTTCTTCGCGCTTGGAAGTTCGACAAGCGACTACTCAGCATGTAAACTCTGGTATTGCATGCACGTCCATCTGTCCCCTTCTCGTCTGTTGGGCGTGCTAGTCTCTGCAATCGCATTGCAAACTGGCGTTAGACACACAGAATGTCTCGATGGACACGATTATTGCTCCCCTTCATGGCCCCCAACATCCTCAGAAGCTCATCCTGCAATCCCTATTTCCGTATCTTGGAATCTCCAAATGTACCCGTACCCAGTGGCGTATTTCTCTTGAGCATGCTCCCCAGCCACAGCACCAAAGTCTGTTCCATCATCTTCCGCGCATCCAACCGGCGAACAAATCCCTCAGTTGGAAGGGAGCACGGAGTCAGCCCTTGACCGCCTCTGATCTTCCTTGCATTCTTGTCCAGCCGCGGTCCATCGACCTTCTCCCGAGCCGGAAAGAGCATCCGCTGCCACCACCTCAAAGTCGGCGATGACTGTGTGGGCCCATCCCTGCTCTTCAGACAGACCTCGAGATCCCTCCAAGCCTAGGTCCGACCTCTCCCGTCTCCCAGTAACAGTTCGATCTCTCTCGCCTTCATCTCGTATTGCATCAGCAAGGGCAGCATCCAGCAGAGTACCCCATCGGTCAAGAGAAGCATTGCCAGTGCTGCTGGAGATGACCGATTGCGGAGGGTAGATCCGTGGTGATGAAGAGGGCCATGTCGTGCCTCAGGAGAGGTAGGGTAAAGTCAAGGGTAGGAAGAGCTGTCAAAAGCAGAGGGCGAGGGAGGAGTTGAGGAGGGAAGACTTCGGTGCAACAAGGTTCGTTGCAGTCTGAGTGAGGCAGTCAGCAGTTGCTCCATCTCGAAAGGGAATATGCTGAGGAATAGAAGGAGGATATAACCACCTCGCAGAACGTGCTTGTAATCCCCTTGACGGTACGGACGGAGAGAGACCCAAGAGGATCTGGCAAGCACTGTGGCTCCTACCAAGTCGCACTCATCTCCGGGCGGGTTGCCGCAGGCGAAGGTCATGCCACCCTGAGGCTTTGGCAGCTTCCGTGAGGTGCTGGCTGCCATTCTTGGCATGATGCGTGTGGCGGCCGTGTCTGCGATTTTGGAGACTGGGGGTTGCTGCTGACTGCTGTGCCTGATGTCCGTCTAGGCGACATGATCGGGTGCCTGTAGTCTAGAATTGAGCACAGAGCTCAGACCACGGGTCTCATGGATAAATGCCACCGAGTTGCCCAGTTCTGTGTGCCCTGTTGTAGGTAACCATGGAGTTTTCTCCCAATCTTTCACTAGGGGTTCGGGTACGTTGTGGCCGTGGAACGTGTAATGTGTCAAGCGAGAACACGAATAGAGATTGACCTGTGAATGGAGTACATGTTAGGTTGGGAAACATCTACAAAATAAAAGGAATGCAGAAACGTCACGATGGCAGCACACTAGGGACTTGAGCATGCAGAGCAACTTTTGATTTCTTTGCTAATGCTATCTTATGATGTCTAGTTCATCTTCGAACATCCATGCTATCGTAACATCCGTCTAAGCAGTGCTCATTTCCCACAGAGCAGAGAAGTGTCACCAGCAGCTTGAGTCCATCTCGAAACCAGTGTCTCCCTCACACCGTCAGGTCCTAAGATATGTATCTAGGACTAGAGTAGATAAGTCAGTTCAATAGCATCGTGATTATGGTCCAAAAGGGGGAAGACGTACAGAGTGCTTGACCTCGCCGACCTTGTTGCTAGCAGCGTCCTTCGCGGCTGAGGCACGGGTGCCTGCAGATTGGTCGGAGTCCTCTGCAATATCTGTATTCTTGGTTAGGCGGTGTGCATAATTTGAGGTTGCAGAAGCATCTCGACGTACTCTTGTTTCCCTCCTTGCTAGCCTGCTCGGTGGTGCCCTTGACGGATTCGCTGGCGGAGTTGAAGGTACTCTGGGCGGTGTCAGAGGCAGATTTGGCCATGTTCCTGATGAAGGAGTCAGCGAAAGATTAGAAATGGAGGTCTTGCTGATGGAACGTACGATGCGGCGTCCATTTTGAGTGGTTGAAAGTGATTGGGGTTTGGATTGGAATAAGTTTTGTGGTTTGGGATTTGCTTGAGGATGTGTGAGAGTTTGGATGTTGTGAAAGAGAAAGAAAAAATTGGCATTGAGGGGGACCTTTTATTTACTCGGCCGTACCTTACCCCGCGCACGTCACGACACGAGTGGGACGACACAAAAGTGGGGTCTTGGCGGGCTAATTGGGCCCCCGTGACCGATTTTCAGGGTCTTACGCCACAATAATAATGGCGCAAGTAGCCACCACCAATGAAAATGAGGAAAGTGCAGGCGGGGGCGGAGTCGCCCGAGATTTGAGGGGAAGTGTGACATACTTCTCTGTTTTACTTTATGAAAAGGCATGACGAGGAATGCATCTTTTTTCCAATATATGTGACGTGGACCTCGGCCTTCTTTTTCATTCTTCGTCTTTCTTTCTTTCTTCCTTTCTTTTCTTTCTTTTCTTTTCTTTCTTTTTCTTTTTCTTTCCTTTCCTCTTTACGCTAAGCCTGCCCAACAATTCCTCTTCCTTCCGCCGCTTAGACAATCCAATAGAGTAGTATTACGAATCTTGTCCCTTCAGAAGCTTGTCTCTCGTACAATGACGACACCCATGGCTTGCAATTAATGACTGTGACGTGTGACGTGTGATACAGGGTCCTGGGTGATGATCTTCAGGCTCCACTGTCTGTCTCCACAGTCTTTGATAGGAGGGTCAAAGATGAAACTTTGTAATAGCGTACAGCCCTACACGTCTCCATACTGAAAACCACGTCACAGGGAACCGTAGCCAAAATCACATCGGCCAAGAAAGTGTGGAAAGCTTGGCGGCTTGTAAAAGAATTTTGTCGAGGCGAGTCGGAAGGGCGCAGGAGTCAAGCACCAAGCACAGAACCAAAAGATGGTACTCCAATGAGACGTTCACTGCAATGTCTCGTGCACCCGAACTAACACCGTCTCCGCTGCTTGATCCCGCATCCTATCCGGTATCTTCTTCTGTATCAACGCCGGCCAGAGGCCCAATTGCACCTTGCCGCCTACTGCGTGCCCATCTCCTTCACATTGCACTGACCGCTGCTCAAGGGATCATCTGGAAAAATCATCGGAAGAACAAGTCATCCTTCCTCAGCGGTACCAGCCCCCTTAGCTTCAGAGCGTTAAGAAAGACCTGGTCCGGATTTCTGCGCAAGGTTCGCATGCCTGCGACGCTGCAATTGGGAAATGTTTCTAACTATGTAGAAGGTACTGTGCCGCTCGGATGGATATCCTGCCTAAAAAGGACGTCACTGGCCTTTTGTGAGGTCTGCTCATGCAGCCGAGGTGAGACTAGACTCGTCAATATCCTACAGCTTAGTGACTGTGATACCTCGACTGACCTGCAGCGACAGTTTGTTCATATCGCTGCATCAAGATGGATCTGTCTGACAATTCCGGTGGCAGTGGGATGTGCTGTCCCTTGACGACCCATTCCTTCAGCGCAACTGCTATGAGTGCCCGCAGGAAGGTCAGCAAAGTCGTATCAGATTCTACTCGCGCATCAGGCCGTTCCTCCAGGACGGCTTTGACATTATCCACTCCGTAAATCAAACCGCACAAGTTGATCCGAGACACGGAATGGCCAAATCTAGATATATGGGGCCGCTGATTGTACTTCGTGTCCGCTGTATGAAGAAGCGTTGCGGCTGCCTTAATAATCAGTTTGAAGATCGACTTGTTCGGCAGTTGACGAGATAGGCGGTTTAATTTGATCGCGCCGCACTTTCATGCCTCTTATGCCGTGTTCACCGGCCTCCTCCCCACTGTCACTCGTTGGTGAAGAGCAGGCTGAAGATGTCATCACATCGCGGTTCCCAAGTCGCCCGGGTTCGTATAGAACGGTTGGAGCTCGGCTAAAAGAGCGATTAAAAGGTTTGGACGACACACCAGCGGTATTATGTGATGGGCGAGGGAGTGTGATATGTGACCGAAATGTGGTGGCGAAACTGCTGACTAAGCAACTTTATTAACTGTCGATTACTTCTCGCCCCCTTACAGTCTCAGGCTCCTAATTACAGAGTAAAGAACCCAGCGAACAAAGTACGCCGCCTGGTATTATTTGGCTATGGATTTGTTTCATGCTCGCTCCAACGATGACTCAATTGCCACATGAAGAAGTTTCTTTCAAACAGAGAGTTGGCATCAGTCTGTTGCTTTACTCTCTACTTCAACTGATGCAAAGTCAGCCAGCTGTGATGCTTTTCCAGCCTCTGCTTGCAGAAAGTCGGCTATCAGGAGATATATCGATCTCTCAGACGTCTCAGAATCTCGTTTTGAGGGTCACCTTTTCCATTGCTGACCTCATTCAGCAACTGCAACAGCTCAAAGTGAGGCGGTCTTTCTTCCTCCAGAGGCATTTTCCTCTCTTTGCAACAACGGGCGCAACCACACACACCACCGATTTGAGCCGTTAGTCTCAGACGTCTGTCCTTTTCTAACGGAATGTTAGGGATATATGACACGCTGATCTCCTCGCCCTCTTTGATATCTGGTTTCGCAACCACTGTCACTGGACCGCCTTGGTCGTAGGCTGGCCATTCGGCGGAAGGATCGCAGTCGTGATTGAACATGCAGAACAGCGGGGAGATGGCACAGTATACCACGTCGCCTTCTTTGTTGACAAACATGTTGTTTTCAATCCGTAGAATAAGCGTCTGCAACGCCCACGAATCAAAGCGCATATCTTTGAAGACATCGATGCCGAATGTCTGCAGGATTCTAATTGGAGCCACGACATTGTCGTGGAATTTGAAGATTGAACTTGTCCTCTTTTCATAGTTGATCTTTAAGCTCCCGACGCAGGCCACTGGAGGAAGAAGATATCGGAGTCAGCATTGCCTTTTCGGAAGAAGGTTTCAAGCTTTGAGCTCCGCCCTTGGAGTACGCGCTGATCTGATGCCTCTCATGGCTAGAGCTCCAAGTGGGAAAGTAAAGTTCGGACTCTGAAAAGACGTACCTTTGAGGGGTTTTGCATTTTGTTGTACAGCCGTGGCCAGTATCTTCATCAACATAAGCGGGACCATGTCATTAGAGGACTGGTCTGCATCTTTGCTAGCACGATAAAGCCACTCAAAGTCTTTATCACATAGAACCCGATGGTAAGTGTTGACGGCTTCGGTCTTACATGATTCGCTGCAAAACTTGTTTTTGCAACAATTCATAAAGACAATCTCACGGCTAACTGGCTTAGAGCAAGCCCAGCAGTCATCCTTACCCTGAACATTGAAAACAGTGAAGGCCGACCTATCCGTCACGATTAGTTCATCTCGTGTAATATCCTGCCGAGCAAAAACACCAAGGTTATCGCTTGTTGTGCCGCCCAGAGAGCTTGGGCCCAGCGTGGCGTTTCTCGAAGCTGCCTCAAATTTGGTTTTGGCTTTCTTCATTGCTTTGTTTCCGCGTCCAAGTTCCTCAGGATTGATCCAAGGGTAAGCGACTCGTTGAACGCCACCTTGTTTGGTTGATCGTTGCATGTACCCCGGCTTTTGGTCCCGAGCCGGAATCGGCTGCTCCATAGATCTTGATCTTTCTTTCGCCTGCGAGCATAGTTTCTGTAATTCTTCGGACGTACCGCCGAGCACTACCGCCTCATCGAGGACCTGAATCGCGTCGTGGTATGCTCTGACACAGAGCAGAGCCGAAGCCATGACCAGGAAAGCCTGCTGCTGCAGCGATTTGGCAATGGAGACGTTACCGGCATCACATTGTCTAGTAACTCCTGTGTCTAATTTCCCAATAATGCCTGCCAGAGCAGCGCTGACCTTGCACGGTAAGCTGTCCTTGTCAAGGTCCCAATATACATCTTTGGTGTCGAAGACACCTAGAAAGGAGTCTAGCAGAAGACGGCCTTTGTATGCATCTGAAACCGCGAGCTCTCCGTAACCGAGCTCCCTAAAGTGACGGCCCCGATCGATCCACATCTTTGGATTGTAAGGGTCCAGACGGATTCCCCGACAGTGCGCTATCAGGACCTTTCCCAGACGCGTCCGAAGGACCTCCTGCGACGGATTAGTCGTGTATTCGCGTGGCATACAAACTTGCACTACATCTTCAATCTGCGGAGGACCATCAATGCTAGTCTGTTTCCACTCTTGACCGAACACAAAAGGCGCGTCCAGGAGCGCTCGAAGGTAAGCTTGCTCTCCGGGTTCCTTGGCAGCGATGTCGTCTACGCGGTCACGCGGATCAGCCGAGCTCTTCACCGGGTGGCCGAGAACGTACCTAGGTCGGCTTCTTCGTACCTGGTGGTACATTCTGGCCGCCATCTCAGTTGACATCGCGAGCTGGATGGAAAGAACCCCAACTATGACTCCGTCCGACGAAGCAGGGATCTAGGAATCAGAGAATCCCAGGTGGGTTCGGGAAGGCTAGAGAAATCGGAACGTTAGTCAGCCATGCGGGACGACGAATCCGGCCTTGATGTACGAAAGTACACGGAAGGGATGGATGCGGGGTGGGTCAGTTTGGGAGGATAACTGACGACTCATGAACCCTACGGCTAGAATTTGACATTCAAGAATCCATACATTTTGTACAAGTCGCCACGCGCAATACCCCTGAGTTGAATATCATCGCTTGTAGACGGCTTCAAATACTCCCACACGCATACATAGTACGAAGAATCGACAGCCACCCCTTCGCGTCTTGCTCGCGATCTCGCCTTTCTCAAACGCCTGCAGATCCCTCACGATATATTTCGTCCGCGCTGGCTCATGACTCGTGACTTGCTCCCATCTCCACAATCACACGTCTGTAAAAGCGTGCGTGGACTTATCCTGCGTAACGCGAGATGAAAAACGTATTCGAGTGATCTTTAGGGAAGGAGTTCCTGCCCGGGTAGGTACCCGATGGACCCTGGGGATATTTGAGAGCAACCGGAGTCGCAGTTCTGTTGTTCGGTGGAGTCGGTATGATTGTGTCGAAAGATCGCCGGGCGTGAACAGCATCGTTGGATTTTAGATGCGAAAGCTGACGTATGAGACGGGGCGACTTGGTACATCTACCCGTACCTGTTCAGTTGAATATGAGATTTAGTCATGAGTGTAATGTTTGATAATATATCTGTATTGGTATTCATTTTGCAAATCAAACAATATTAACTTTGTAAGCGAATCATTTTTATCAATTTCTGAATGAAAAAACGTGTGCACTGCATATTCTCGTAATTAAGAACTTTAGCAATACAAAAAAAATAAAATTAAATTTTTAAAAATTATAAGAATTATTTTAAAGAGTGAAATCTTATCGGGTAGTACGTCCAGGTATATTACGAGGTAGGGGCTGAGTCTGCTTTTAGTGAAATCTGGCTGTGATTGCTGCACTTGTCGCATCAGCCATACTCACGTGTAAACAATGTATTTCTCTAATCTTTTATGTATAATAAAGCTGTTGCGCCAAAAAATTTTAGAACTCGCTCGAATAGTGTTTTCCCCAATGGAACTTTCTGCAAGCGGCCAATCTATTCGCTCGGTTACATCCCAACTTTACAGAGTCTTTGATCAGTATTGATAGTAGAAGATTTTTTACTCTTTTTCTTCTCCTGCGCATGGGACGGTGTAATAATGAGGTTGATATGGAAAGAAATTGATAGGGGCTGTCAAGCGCCTGTATTCGCTTAGGTTTCGATGTTGGTAACCAAAATGTAGGGGTTTAATACAGTTTAGGGCGGCAGTGAGCGTATTGCGGCACTAACACGCCTAGAAAGAGAAGTCCAGCCGCCAGGGTTTGCTTTCCGTCTCCCACGGCGTGTGTGGGGTTTCCCGTTCTTGTCTCTTCCCCATTATTGTTTCAGCATGATAGCGGCGTCTTTCTAACACCTTTCTCATTCTCGCGTTGAGGCAAACCTTTGCTGTCATCTTAGAAATACTTGAGTAATTGATTGACGTTATCTCACCTACTGTCGCCCCATCCCTATCTTTCCAGAAGAACAAAAAACATCTCACCCACCCATTAACCATGGCACCCCACAGCACCTCCGATCCAACCCTGGATCCCTACTCCACCATTCTTTCCTATGGCTTCCAACCCTCCGCCACACAAACCAAGTCCCTCCACAATCCCGCCCTCCTCCACCGCTCCCTCGCTCACCGACCCGACACCGTAACCCACGCCTCAGGCATCCACCTCACCCTCTCCTCCGGCCGCACCATCATCGACGCCTGCGGCGGCGCCGCCGTCTCCTGCATCGGCCAGAACAACGACGAGGTCCTCGCCGCCGCCCTGCAGCAGATGCGAACCGTAAGCTACGTGCACACGGGCGCCTACACGACGTCCTCGGCCGAAGACCTCGCCTCCGTCATCCTCGACGTCGGCGCTCCGTACGGGCTCGAGAAGGCCTTCTTCGTCGGCAGCGGCAGCGAAGCCATGGACGCGGCGATGAAGCTCGCGCGGCAGTTCTTCTACGAGGGCGGACGGCCCGAGCGTAGGCATTTCGTGGCCAGGAGGCAGAGCTATCATGGCGCTACCCTCGGCGCCATGTCCCTGTCCAGTAATCTCGCGAGGAAGGTGCCGTATGAGCCGCTCTTGTTGAGTAACGTGAGCCATGTCGGCCCCGCGTATGCGTATCAGTATCAACGTGCAGAGGAGTCGGAGGAGCAGTATGTCATGCGCCTCGCTGAAGAATTGGATGGTGAGTTTCAGCGTCTGGGGCCTGAGACCGTCATCGCGTTCGTCGCCGAACCAATCGTCGGCGCAACGTCCGGATGCGTGCCTGCTCCCTCTGGCTATTTCCGCGCCGTGAGGGAGGTATGCGATAGGTATGGCGTTTTGCTGATTCTGGACGAGGTGATGTGCGGGATGGGCCGCTGCGGCTCTTATTTCGCTTTTGAGCAACAGGCCGTGGTGCCGGATATCATGACCATGGGTAAGGGATTAGGCGGCGGTTATGCGCCGATTGCGGGTGTGTTGGTTGGTCGGAAGGTGGTCAAGGGGTTGAGAGATGGGACGGGGATGTTCAATCACGGGCATACGTATCAAGCCCATCCATTGAGTTGCGCGAGTGCACTGGCTGTGCAGAAGATCATCAAGAGAGACGGTCTAGTCGAGCGGTGCAGAGACAGGGGTCTGTTTCTCGAGAGGGAACTACGTGAGGCTTTAGAGGGTAGGAAATACGTAGGCGATGTCCGGGGCCGGGGCCTCTTTTGGGGCATCGAGTTTGTGCAGAACAAAGAAACGAAGAGGAGCTTTGAGCCGAAGACCGAATTTGGGTATAGGGTGCAGAGGAAGGCTTTTGATCTAGGAGTTGCTCTCTATCCTGGGGCAGCAACTGTCGACGGGGTCAGGGGTGATCATGTGTTGATTGCTCCGCCTTATACTGTCACAGAAGCAGAGTTGAAGACGATTGTGCAGGTTTTAAGGGAGGCTTATGATGCTGTAGAGCGGGGTGTTGATGAAGTAAGTTGACATAGGAATTGGGAAAATTGTTGAGAAGATGTTGGATGAAGGGGGGTTCTACCCGTGGACTTTGGATACGAGCGGTTTGTTACCTCCACGTCCTCTAAAGTACGCTCTCATACTCTTGAAATTTTTGTTGGTCAAAATTTGATCTTACGAGAATAGGGAAAGATGCGATTACTATCCTCGGATTATATTCAAGCGAATTGCCAACGTTGCAAATCCATGATCGTTTCAAATCTCTACATCAGATATATGCCCTATATTTGATGAGCGGGTCTTCGCCCAAATCTTATCACTCGAGCGTATGGCATCAAGAGGAATCAGTCCTTGTGAGGCTTCGGAGCCTTGCTCCTCGGCACAGTGTCCAAACCGCCCGAAGACTTCACGAAGAAAATATCGCCCGGACCCATCCTGGAATTGTACTTGGGGCCACCTCCATACTCGAAAACGAAATTGAGTGGGAATCCGTGGTCAAAGGGCGCAGCGCCGTCAATCTCATCGATCTCTTCATCGCTCAGTTCGATACCCAACGCCTCGATGTTGCTCTTCAGATGCTCTATCTTGCGCCCACCGACGATCGGGAAGACATACGGCGACTTGTGCCTCACGTACGCCAATGCGATGCTGGTGATCAGGGTTCCCTTTTCCTTTGCGAGTTTGTCGAGAGCTGCGGAGACTTTCTTCCCATTTTCGGATTGGCCAACCTTGCGACCTTCCTCCTTCTTCTCGTAATCTTCCGGGCTCATGAACGCGCCTCGGCCGAGTGCGCCCCATGGAGCCAAAGCCATCCCTTCGGACTCGCACATGGGGATGATGTCGCGCTCAAAGTCGCGCACTGCAGCGTTCCATAGGCCCTGGTAGACGCTGAACTGGGTAAGACCTTGCTGGCGGGCATACTCGTTCGCTTTGCTGACGATCCAAGCGGGTGTGTCGCTGATCCCCAGGTAGAGCACTTTCCCGGAAGCCACGACGTGATGCAGCGCTTTCATGATCTCGGGGATCGAAGTGGTAAAATCCCACCAGTGAATGTACAGTAAGTCGATGTAACTCGTCCGAAGCTTCTTCAAGCTAGCCTCAAGGGAGACGCGCAGGCTCTTGGAGGAGTTACCTAGGTAGTTCGATTTTATCGTCACGGGCTCGGACGGATAAGGGGACGTGAATTTGGTCGCGAGGACGATCTGGTCGCGGTTCCGCCGCGACTCCATCCACTCCCCGAGCCACTTCTCGGTCTCCTCGCCTTGGTAGTTGTTGGCCGTGTCGATGAAATTGCCCCCGTTCTCGAAAAAGTGGTCGAGCATGCCGAACGAGGTTTCCTTGTTGCACTCGCCCAGGAAGCCCGACCAGGCCTCGCCGAAGTTCATGGCCCCGAGACATAACGGGGATACCCGCACACCTGCCGTGGGAGCGAGGATGCGTTGGTGGCCGAGGAGGCTCTTGGGTTTGGGGGCCGGTTGGTGAGCTAGGGTCGCTGCCATTTTTGTCTTGGATGTTTGACTGGTATGGATTTGCGGGGAATTTCCCCACGGGAAGGGGCAGCGCTTCTTTTCTACTTTCGTTCGTTGACCGAATTTCTTGGCATTGATTGCTCGATACTCGTATCTACTCGCCCTTAAATCCGATAAATCCGGCGTAACATCGAAATGCCTAAGTTCTAATTACGTCGCGTAAGGGAGTAGATGAGGATGGGTTTTAGGGCATGTCACACCGAAAACTCACCCCGAACCCACCGCAATCCGAAACCCCCTTTAAAAAACCGTATCCTACACTTTATTAATTTAATTTTTTCATCTATTTACTTATCATACTATCTTAAAACGACGGATTATGAGGTTTCGGATTTATCGGATTTTAGAGCGTATATCCGGGTAGATATGAGTAAGCGCATACTTAGTTTCATGAGGAAACGCGAAATACTAGGAAATGCGAAATTTTTAGATCCGATAAGTCCGGTCCAACACTCAAATGCCTACTTCTCACCAAAATTCTATGACAACTCCGCACAATAAGGATGAAAAAATCTGGTTCCTTCTTGCTACCAAGGCTTCTATATCGGAGAACCCATTCACCGTTTTCAGGCCTTATCGGTCTACCATTTCGTGAAAATCGTACCTCTACTACCTCTTCTTCTACTACCTCTTCTTCTACTATCTCTTCTTCTACTACCTTACCTCTTCCACCTCTTCCACTGCTTTTACCCCTTTTCACCTTACTGTAGTTGCTGCGATAAAGGCTGCGGTGAAGCCTTCGGGGTATCGAATGCTACTTAGATACATATGTCGCCAGATAAAAACAGGCCACGTCTGAGTCTAAGGCAGGGACACCTACTATGCCAGGCCTACAGGCGGCGACTATGGTACCGTAGCAATGGTCATTATGGTAGACTATGGTAGTAGGCCATTTGAATAAGTGGTAGTGGTAGCTAGTAGTAGCCATCTAAGTCGGATTTATCGGATTTAAAAAATTCGCATTTCCTAGTATTTCGCGTTTCCTCATGAAACTAAGTATTTCGACATTGATGCTCACGCTTATCAAGCAACCCTCTCGAGCCTCTATCATACAATATCGGACCTAGATACACCATTCACGCGATCGGATTTCACGCTTATACCGGACATACCAAACGCACAAAAAGTTGTTGAGAAGAGACCGAGAATGCGCGTGGAGCTCGTGAATACGAATGTGGTTTACTCCAGCCTTTACGGGTAGCGTGTCTTGGCTTTGGCTCCTGTATCTTCACTACTCGCTGCTGTGCATCTGATGGGCCCCGTCGACGTCGCACCTGCTTGGGGAGCGCCTACCGCTTGCCCTCCGACCTCTTCTTCACTGCCAGAGACCTCTGCTGGTGCCTTGGTCGCCGAGGCCGACTGTCTGATCAACGAAGCATACACGCTTTCATGGTGCGCCCGAACGAGAGGCGCTCGATCGACGAAGAGGGAAAGTGACAGGGCCGCGTGATGGGCCTCGACGACGTTGTCGGTTGTGAGGCATTGCTATACAGTCCACATAGGATAATATGCTAGTCTGGAGGTTTGTATAACTTCAAAGACAGTTGGGTTACTAGAGGATCGGTGACGGCCGGTGGACTCGTAGGAATGTGTATGGAACGGGGGATATGCGAAGATGCCGAGCTTCGAATTCAATTCTGCACAGCCCAAATGCTTGCCGGTCTTGAGGATGTACCAGCGCCATTTGAGGCCTCATTCTCGCAGTCAGAATACCGCAAAGATGCCTTCGGCCGAGTCTCTTGACGGGTAAGCTCTCGATCAGAGTCGTTCGCTTGCATAGCAACGTTCATGTGCCCGGCCACCTCACTCAGTGAGCGGTAGGTTCTCGTGGTAGAAGCATTTCTCGGTCTGTTGATAGCTGGGTTGCGTACTATCACCACTGTTCCCGATCGAGGTGTAATGACAAGCGGAAGACGCTGGCTGCGCAAGATGAGTGTTATGGCGAGCAGACTTGTTTTCCATTGGCTTGCCGGCAAGCTGAAAGTCTTCTCCTCAGAATGGTCTCTTGGCACCAGGATGGAGTGGGGCGCTTATTTGGGTCCAGAGATTTTATGGCCACAATGGCTGGAGCCGTGCCATCTTGCCTTGGATGGTTACTGTCCGAGGGTCGGATCGAGGTGCTGGACGACTCAGTGTGTTGAGACTCTCGCGGATTCGATTGTTGATGCACTTGTGTCAACTCTTCCTCCCCAGGCATGAACGGCTTGGACTGAAGCGGGTAGTCTGCAGATTTCCTAGTCCCGAACCTCATTTATGTGAGTCCTTCAACGGTTTCCTGTAATACTGTGGTAGTGCATTCGGCACCACTACCACCAACCAGCTTGCATGTTTTTCATGACGATTGAGGTCGTATGCTTGCCTCTGTCTCAGCGTTCTAGGCCAGATTATGAAGCAACAAACTATGCTTATGTAAAACAGCCTTTGGCTGGATGGTCGCAAGCAACAGTACTCTTCAGCGGAACGCCTGATCGCGTATGCCACTGCATAAGTGTTTCACCGCTTCACGCCCAGCTGATGCTGGAAGGTCATCCACAAGCGACAACGAACTTCATTTGGCTCCATCCTTCTGACTAGCTTGTTGCACATTACACTCCTTTTCAAAGACGGCTCATAACGTTGCATCCCCACTCATCTCATCCTTCCGCGCCTTCTCATCCCTTTCAAACGCCAAATATTCTTTCTGCAGACCCGTCAACGTATGCAGATTTCTCCAGAACTGTTCTTCATTTTCTCTGTTTTGCAAAGGTTGCCGGCTGCCTATTCTGGGGTCGTCCTGACAAGGGCATCTTCCTGGTATTTCTCTCATTCGACCGCCTCCGTCGTCTACGTGGGCGTATCTTGTCAGCCAGGAGAGGAGAGAAAGAGGAGATAAAGAAGGGGGTGGAGGAGGGTATTTGACCTTCTTTGATATACCGGATGTGGAGACCGCGCTCCTTGGGTGGGTCACGGGCGTAGGAATAGAAGGTGTGCTCTTATGGCATCGAAATTTGTTTAGCGATGGAGTGTTAAAAGAGGAGGCCTCGGGATTCGAGGGGAGGTTGGCGGATGTTTTGTGGGGTGAAAGTGGGGAAAAGGCCGTTTCGCCTCATGTTTGTCAAACGCAGCTGGCTGCCCCGCTCGATAGGTCACGGGACGCAATGCCAGCTGTTCTCGATGTCTCCAGCGATCACGTCTTATTAGGAGAGATCAAGGATCCAGATCTCCCTTGCCTACCAACACACATAGCGTTAATTGCATAACCGCCCGCCCAAAGATCGAACAATCGAGCCTTGAAAGGATACCGATCGACATCGACAATGACATCGACTGAGTCGTCCTCCATTTCAAATTAGTCCTGTGAACACTGCAGATAGGATGACGAAAGCACTGATCGTGGCAGTGGACATTGTGTTCGAAAAAAGAGTGAGCCTGAGTGCAGATTCCCGTGTGAACACATCTCGAATCATCTGCGTTCCGGACAGACCGACGACGCGGATGTCAACTGTTTGCCCTACGCCATATCTTCGTGTTCGGTGAACGGCTCTAAAGCAGGACATTCCTGGCTTCAAGCGCGGAAATTCAAAGATACATCCTTACCAACACCACTGAGATACCCACCTCTATCATCGAAGACACAGGCATTGCTTACTCGTGATGCCGCCCGTGACATATCTAGACCGGTGGTGATGTCAAAAGTCGTGCTGTTTTTGTGGAGAACACCGATGACGTAAGTTTTGTCAGGTATATGCACGCATCAGACACATCGCAGATGCAGGACTCCGAGGCTGACGGGGTGAGTTTGACTGCACTTACAGCTATTCCGATGACGCGGAAGCTGTACGTCATGTGGCTCACTTGGAAGCAACTTTTTTCCCTAAATGGAGCCCTGTACTCCAGATGGTGACCATGATGGCAGCGTAAGTCTGGGTCAAACAGATGCTTCAGAGCGATTGAAATCTCAGCTTGACATGGTTTTCATTTTAACTCTCCCTACGCGTTTCCACCTCATCCGGCCGCGAAGCAACCGGCATCATATTGACTTCTGCCTCCAACTCAGCCTTCTCGTCTGTCGTGAGGTCACTCTTGGCCTTGTCGATCTTGACAAAGCCCACTAGCAGAAGCAAAGACACCCCCGCACAGCCAACACCAAACCAACACGCCACCTTGTAGCTTTCCTTGAGCCCAAGATGGGATGTAGCAGTGGCAACAATATCAGCGAACCCGAGAAAGACGCTGATGCCTAGGAAGACGAGGCAGTTAATCAAAGCGCCTGCAAGACCCTGTCTCTTCCTAGGCATGCTTGTCGTTATGAAGATGTTGCTGACGCTGTAGGTTATGTCGACGCCCACGGTTGCGCCGATCATGGCGGGAAAGATGTAGGCCCAGTAGTTGGGGTTCTCGGGCATTATGGCGAACATCAGGACACAAACAACGTAGCCAGTGGCTGAGATTATCATCAGGGCTGTTCCTGGTAGTAGATGAAGCAGAAAGCCGCCCGCCGTTGCGAGGAAGATGCCGCCTGCAGCCATTGGCGTATACCATGCCGTTGTCTGTAAGGAAGTCGCATGCAATACTTTCTCAATACTAGACTTGGGGTCAGCGTAGGAACTAGCCGGGGGTTGATGAGTACACACTAGAAGCTAGCATAGAAGAGGTATATTCCAAATACGCCGTATGAGAAGAACAGCGCAACCACAAGCGCCTTCATATGCTTGACCTTGAATAGATCGAAAGGTAATAGAGGCATTTTTGCAATCCACCCCTCAACGTAAATGGCTCCACCTAGAAATAGACAGCCCAAGACAAAGGTCACGTAAATGTAAGGTGTGTTCCAACCATCAGGAGCATGTGAGCTATCAGTAATAGCGAAGACAACCAACAACAGCCCTGGGACGATCGTAAAGACTCCCAGCCAGTCCATTTTGACTTCATAAGCCTGCCTCTCATAACGATCGGACGGTATCGTTAAAAAGGCAATGGAGCTAATCAGAAACAGTAATATCGATCCAATCCAAAAATACCAACCCCAAGGTAGATACTGTCCACTTAGTCCACCAAAAAAAATACCCGTGAAAAAGCCTATTGGCGAACAAGCCCCATAAAGACTGAACACCAGGTTTTTCCTCGGCCCTGGGCGATAGATGCTTCCTAGCAGCATGACCCCAGCAGGTAAAAACGCAGCAGGTCCAAGACCCTGAAGTGCGCGGCAGAAGTTTAGCATGAGGTAATTGCGGCTGAAGCCTCCTATCAAAGACCAAAGGAAGAACCAGATCATCCCGAACATGAAGACGGTGCAGCCACCGTAGATGTCGGCGAGGCGGCCGAAGGGAAGTAAGAAAGCCCCCGTGATCAGAGAGAATACGTTCGCGGGCCACGTTTGTGATTGGGCAGGGATGTCGAGAGCGGTTGCCAGGGTCGGTAGGATCACGTTGAAACCACTGACGAAATATTCCTACCGACATGGTGAGTGGCGGGTGTTGACATAGACTTGGGCCAGGAATACTACTTACTGCCATAATCATGGATGCCAACAGTGAGAAGCAAAAGCCAAACTCTGTCCATACGGTTTTGAACTTGGCAGGTCTTTGCCTGCCAAGCCGCTCGATGCGGGCTTGCATGCCTTCCCCTTCTTCAACCCCTGCTGGATCCTTCGGTGGGCTAACACTGAATGCTACCTCGCTGGGTGCGGTCATTGCACCCGTATTTGTCTAATAAGAGCGTCAAAAACGCAAATGTGGGGTAATGGGTACAATAAAACTTGAGTGTGTCTATCGGACTCAAAGATAGACTGCTCTCGGTGACAGACTGATAGAAGGATGGAAGAGGCAAGAGATTAAGCGAGGTTAGGACCACCCGCCGGCAAATTGACGCCTTTTTTATGACAAAAGCGCTCTAAAACCCACCAATCGGTGTAGGTATGATGATTTCGGTAATCAGCCGACGTAAAAACCTCGAAAAGAGTTTTTTCATCTTCTAGCAAGCATTTCAAGACCGAACGCCATGTTATTGGTATTGAACCACTGACACACGTACTACCAGGAAGGTGAAATGACGTAATTTTTTGAAGCGTGTCGTGCTCATCATTCTCTAGACTTGCAAAATCTTGCAATTTTCTTGGCTAGCAAAAGGCCGAGCTAACTGTAAATGGATAAACTTTCCGGCGAATGATGATCATGATTGTCTTAATGAGGGGGGAAATCGTAGAAGAATGTGTTTCCTATGCGACTGGACATTATATTCATAGAATACGGTCTACTTCAGGAGATCACTGTTAACTCGGTTTAGGGTACTGTTGCCAAGCAATGTCACGTGCTGGCATTTCGCCGCTAGTGCGCCAAACGCGTCTATGATTCTTGACGCACAGTGACACACAATCGTCCCACCAGTCTTTCTCTATCACCACACGTTCCTCAGCTCCCTCAAAGCTTCTATGGTCTTAATGCCTGGCATGACACAATCTGAGTTTTCGATCTTAGACTCACTGACTAGTCGTCAAAGCAGGAGAAGGTCGTAATGATTACTACGGCCCCAACACTCAGGGATACTGATTTCAATCTGCAGCTAGCTCACGTCTTGCTGTATCCCTAGTCTATTGTTAAAGAGTTGAAACTCGAAGTATGCTATTCTAGCCGAAGCATAGTCGAGACCGCGCCAGTCACTCCCTTTGGCAGCTTGTTCGACGTCCCAACAGACCAAAATCTCCAGTCTCCCTCCTGGCGAGGGAAATTTGATTAAGCTCCTGTGAGTAAACATGGCACGACCAAAGACCAAGAAAGCTCAGAAGACTATCAACGACTCAGCTCCCCTGCCCACAGCTCCAACTGAGTAAGTCTTCTATTTGAATTTCTTAACCCTTCCGGAGGGCTTCTTCAACGCTCCGAGCGTTCCATACATCGTAGTCGTGCAAATGTTGTCAAACCGCTGTCATCTAGAATCAATGAACTTACCCATCATTAGGTCTGAACTTCCAAGGTTCCCTCTCAACCGTATGCCGGTGGAACTAGTTCACATGATCTTTAGCTACCTCACACCGACTCAAGTAGCTAGTATACGATTTATGAGCAAGATGCTCGCTGCAATCGGCCTCGAGTACATCGCTACAACGGTCACACTCACACTCAAAGAGGACAGCTTCGACCGACTACTGGAGATAGCTTACCATCCTGTCATCAACAAGTTTGTGCACAGCCTGCATTACGAGCACGACTTCTTTACGGATTTAGAACGAACAGAATGGGAGCGTAACATCAAAACGCCAGAATTTATGGCCGTTCGAAAACGGTGTTCCGGCATTCCAGTTCCCACCTTCAATGCTAGCCAACGGGCCTGGCGAGCTTATCATCGCGGGTGTGGTGCTATCAAAGCTTGTAACACGTACGGCAAAAAACGACTAGATCAGGCTTTCTCGACCTATCAAAACTATTGCGCAGAACAGGACCGCGCTTGGCGATCGGACTTTTTTTCTAGCAAATTGACGGATGCACTTCAGCATCTTCCAAACTTGAGAACAATCTACATGCCAAAGCACGGCAATTATTCCCGCTATCAAAAAGAAATTGCCCAACTTCTCAATGGCGCCTTTTACGATCAGCCATCCATTGAATCGGATAGTGTTGCTGTTACTCGCTCACTACTGCTTGCGGTGGATGAAGCCATTCACGGAGGTCAAAACGTGAACACTCAAGCCGGCAGCGCTGGTAGTGAACCTGCTCGGAAGGCAAGTAGCCGGGATTCACGCAATGCCAATTACAACGCTCCGACAGCCAGCAACCAGGTCAGTGCTAGTCTAGGTGGCAGGACACCGAATGGCGGCTATCTACGAGGAAATGATTCAGAAGGCAGCAACCAGCGTGTTCTTCGAGTCGGTAACTTTATCTTTGGGTCCTTCAATTGGAGACTCCTCTTGGAGGGCGATAAGGTCTTTGTAGCCATGAAGAGAAGCATATCTCACCTCACCAAACTCGGCATACATCTTCTCGACGATTGTTGGATCAAAGAGACCAGGCCACATTTCGCATCCCCAAGCGACATGGAAGCTCAAAGACAATGTTTGATCAAAGGACGTTTCCCCGAATTTATGAATTCGGCGCCTGGTCTCGAAGGGCTAAGCCTCTCCATCGGTCCAAACAATTTTTGCCGTCTAATGGTTGTCGTCGGCTTGTGCCACTGGCCTTTTTGAAGACGGTTCGCTTTCAAGGTTTCAGAGTCGGTATTCATAGCCTAGAGGGATTCTGTTCGAGACACTCTTCCACGCTTTCCAACCTCTCACTAGGGGATCTTGAAGTGGATGAATCATCGTCACATCCAGGAAAAGCCTCTTCCTACACAGTGTTTACCACGATTCGTGAGACCACGAAGCTAAAAGAAGCCAGCGTGTATGGGGTCTTCGATCTAATATCGCAGCTCTGGAACATGGATGACCATAGAGATGTCCGTCGCGCAAGTGGGACGCTGATCGGACGATACCTCGTGGGTGAAGGGGGCGATAGCAGCCTCGAGGATTACTTGAAGGAGGAGCGCTCAAGGATTGCCGAGCAGGAAGGGGAATCTTTAGTCAGCGACATCGACGCGTCACATATGAACGTGTGGACAAGTGAGAGTGAGGATTCTTTGAGCGAAAGCGACGGCTACGTAGGAACGGGAGCTCGATTATGACCATGACCATGGCAGGCCTGACTATGGGTGTCCAGATAGTCTGAGCGCGGCCGGGTGTCTACTGTTGTACAAAAAGGTCGCGAAGCATACATAGCTGAAAAAACCCAAGCCTTTCCGTGGCTTCAACGGAGCATTACTCAATCCAGCCTTCAGGTTTACAAAACAACCTCTGTGCACTTGGCGACTGGGTTTCCTTGAAATACTGCTACACGTTGTTTTCTGACCAAAGCATCTCCTACTCTCTTCATCATTATAGATCGACAGACAGGGAACGAACAAAGCAGTATTATCCAACATGGCGGATGCTTTTTCGAGTCTAGGTTCAGCGCTAAGAAGGACAGGGGCTTCAAAGGCGCGTTTCCCACGCGCCGCTGAAAATTCGACGTGTCAAACATCCTCGCCCATCCTTCGACGAACATTCAGCTTCGCCAATGGACCTTCAAACTCTTTCCTCTGTACTACCGCCTCCCAGGCCCAGCCTCCTCGGCTTGCCACTCGAGCTCCGTAACGAAATCTACCGCAACCTCCTCTCCACCGGCCGCAATCGAATCGATCTCGGTCTCGGCCGCGCCCGTTACAGCCTCCAAACGGCCGTCTTGGCCACCAATCGCCAAATCCACGACGAAGCCACCGCAGTCCTGCGCGAGAACAGGTTCATCAACATCGTCACGTCATGGACGTCCTTCAAACAGGACATCCTCGTGCAAGGCAAATTCCCCATCATCGCCGAAGGCGACGACAGATCCCCGTCCCCGGAGTCCCACATGCTCGTGGCACTGGACTTCATGGGCGACGTGGACACCTCGCGCCTGTACGCCTACGTCACCTGCCTGGCCGATCTGCCCCATCTCTGCCGACTGCTCTTCTACGCCAGCAGTCTGAGCCCGAACTTCAGCAGCTTGCTGCACGTCACGCTCGCGATCCGGGACCCGCAGGGGCGGGCGGAGAAGACGGTCGTCCCGAAGGCGCTGCAGGAGGCGCTGATGATGCCGTTTGCGGTTTTGAAGGGCCTGCACGGTTTGACGATCAAAGGGGCCAGGAACAAGGCGGTGGAGAAAGAGCTGAGGAAGGCGATGGGCGTCCCTAATCCCACGGCGGCTGATTACCTCGAGGCGGCGGCAGGGCTCAAAGATGCCGGTAATGCTGCCTTCAAGGCGGGGGACTACGCGCTGAGCATTCGAATCTACATCCAGGCTTACGAAGCGATGCATTTCATCGTGGAAGGCAAACGCTTTGCCATCATGCTGGACGGCTACTTCGCCTCTAACCCGCTGACCGGAGGCCGCTTCGACGGCCAGCGCGGCGACTTGGTCCGCCACCACCTAGGCTCGCAGCTAAGCTGGAACATCCTGGCCGCGTACCTGAAGATGGAAGATTGGGAGCAGGCGTACTTCTGGGGCGAGAGAGCCATTTCGGACATCGAGTATGCGGACGTGCAGCAGAGCATACTGGATGGGACGCCGAATCTTGTCACCGGTGCCGAAAAAGCAAAGGTCTATTGGAGGATGGCGGTGGCGAGTCAGGCGTTGGATAGGAAGCAGGTCTGGGCTAGGAGTCTGATGAAGGCGTACATGTTTGCGCCGCAGGACAAGATCATCGGGCGCGAGATGGAGGCGTTGGAGAAACGGTTGCAAAGGCAGGAGTTGGATCTTCAAGACCTTAAATCTTGAAAGGGATACATGGCGCCTCTCGCTTCCTATCTTGAGCAGTGTCATTGCTTCGCGAATTCAACGCAACGAACGGAACTGTTTCAGAGCTATCACGAGTGTCTCGTTCGGATTCACAATCGCATTGAAATATAGTGAGGATGGGGGGTTTAAATGTATGCTTGCTGCTGGCCTGCGTTAAATATAGAAGGTTAAACATCACCGCAATTGATCAAAATGTGATACCGTCATACTCCGTAATGTGCGCGAGAAGACTTGTCATTGATGCGGGTCGAAGCCAGATTGTACGTCTCGATCACTTGGATACACTAGCGAGTCAAATCGCGATGGGTGTGAGCGGTTGGGTCTCGTTTATGAAGTCGGCATTGAACTAAAGCTACTTTTATAATCCAACGCGCGCGTACAATTTTTAAGGAAAAGTTTATTGTGAGCGCCGGCAGTGTCGTTGAGTGCGTCAATCCCTGCGCTACTCGCATCGATGCGTGAAGTTATTGCGCCGCGATCTGGTCATGCATGCACCATGGTATAAGAATGGCCGGTGAGAGTCTTGGACCCAGGGGACGTTCTCGGGGCCTTAAGGATCGAATCGGGGGTTTCTGGGCCGCGCTGGATGCTGTCACATATTCAGCTGCCGTCGCACCCATCATCTTCGAATGTTGGATCCGTGGGGAAGTCCTCGCTGGGAGGAAGGTTTCTTCGCGCGGACGGTCCGGTTCATTGATCTGAACCCGGCACCAGGCTCCTGACTTCTGCATCCATCCATTAGGTAGAGCAGGGTTTGTATTAGAGTTGAAGCAGCTGGCAGGTGGTAGAGGGTGGTTTTTAAAGAAGCGCGGACCTGCAAATGTTTACTGTAATATTTTTTCGGAAGATTATATCAAGCTGAGTACGACACCATTGTAGGTACATGACGCTGAGTATAAGAATAAAAGCCAGGGACTGTCAACTCGCTCCGATGTCAAGGCCCCGCAGCATCCACGTAGGATCTGGCGATGGGTGAATGTGAGAGCTTGGTCCATCTAAAGATGTCAGACCAATGTTTTCCACTCTGGCTTAGCCTTGGCTTGTGAAAGGGATCGTATGCTTTGAAGTGAGTCCGAGGGGTCGCAGCTAGGGCATGTAACACCAAGCTCGAGTTGGAGTTGAGGTAGAAGCGTCGGAGTATGTTCAAGGAAGTCGTGCTTGGCCTTGAGTCTGATCCCAAAGGGATAGGGTATTGAACTGCACGGCTAGCAGCCAATTTCGGGGAAGTGCCGCCGCCGACTGGGTGTAGGTAAGGCCCTGAAGGGCATAAAGCCCCTTCATCCTCTCACGCACCGTGAACTACTTCGCTTCCCAATCTTCACCCATTGTTATCTCTGTAGAAGGCCTCCATGTCGCTATGCACCTTCAACCACATATCCCCAATGATGTTCTGCCCCTCCGCCTCAACCCTATTGTAGTCCATCCAATACTTTTCATGCAACGCCGCAGCGCCCATCGCATACTCCTTGATCGACGGATACGTCGAGGTCCACTTGTAATACACATTCGTCCACGGCATAGGCCCGTCCCACCGATGTGCATAATTCAGCAAATTCTGATCCGGGAAGTTAGGGTCGAAAGAGTTCTCTCGTTCCATGATAGAGGTGTAGTATTCAAAGATTTCCTGCGAAGGCTTGAAGACCATGAAACCGGAGCACATCCATTCGAGCGAAGGGTCGGGCGGGTATTTGTGCACACGGTCGGTTTGCTGGGCTTGCCCTGCTAACATGAAGGAAGAGGGCAGCGGCGCTGCCTCTTTCTTGTTGTCCACTTCCTTCTTCGGTCGCTGAATTCTTGTGCCTTCGTCCTCAAAAATCGCGTCCAGGCGCCGCGTGATGAACATGTCTGCGTCCATGTATAGCATCTTCTCGTATTCGGTCTGCTGAAAGACTCGCAGTTTTGTCATTATGCCCTGGTATTGTCGTTTTGTGTCAAGCCATTCCGGATCGCTAATGCCGTCCACCACCACAACTTTTGCACCATCCTTTTCAAGTCTTGCGCGCTTTGATTGGGAAACTTCACTGGAGGCGACGACGATGAATGGGATGGATGTGTTTGATCGAGTCTCAGGCTGATGCATAAGTTGATAGCCGAGAACGCGCGTGGCTGGTTAAAGTTAGTGGTTCAAGAAGATTAAGTTGTTCGGTCGGTGCGACACACCCACGAAATAATCGTCCTCATCATCCGTGGTCATTCCTTGTGCTTCGTCGCCGCGGTTCGTGCCAGTGTGGGCCTCGAGGAAAGCAACGAACGCTCTTCTGGGCTCGTTCGGTACTGCCGGAGCAGAGGACATGGCGACATTGACTGCTGAGGTCTCGGCTATTGCAGATGGAGAGCCATTGTCCGCAGTAATCTTTCCTGTTTCTTGCTCGTTCCCAGGTGTAGATATGGTAGCATCGGATGTGGGCTTGTCACCAGAAAGTTGTACGAGCGAGCCATTTGAGGCTGCTGTGGCATCTCGAGGATTATAGAGCGTGAGAAGTATGATGAAGATCACTGCAAGAATGGCGCCGGTAGTGAGAATGCGGTGCGAAGTCAGTTGGGATACCGGCGACAGCATGGTGCGTGGAGACAGCAACCTCGGAGTACATGCTGGTGGATGGTATGCTCTACACATACAACGTCAGCCAGGAATGAAGTGACCACGGGCTGTGAGCGCCCGTAGCCTATGTCGGCTTCCATGTCCAGGAGCGTCGGAAGTATCGTGTTGGCCCCTGAAATTAGTCGGTAGGGCGGTGAGGGGTGTCCAACAGTTTCAACGATGCTGGGATTCCCCATGAGCGGCAAAGCCGCGAAAACCGTAATGAAACGCCCAGCTATTTTCCGACTTCTACAGAATAAGGGCCTCGAGCGTTTCGCCGAGAGCGTTGGTTTCGCTGCCGCCAGGATCGAGACTTCACACGAGAGTGTTGCGGAAATCAAAGTACCAAGGGCTATTCGTGTCGTATTTCGACTCGTATCAAATCTGGTGGGTAGATGAAAGTCCACCATGCAATGGGCGAATGCTTAACGCCGATGTATGTGTACACGAATGCCCGTATCCAAACAAAAATAAAAGCCGTAGTAGCATCGAATGTCTGTGATAGACTGAGTGTGACAGGAACCTGTAACACTCATCGACTCCATTCTGCATCCTTCCTCTATCACTGGCGGACTGCCACGTTTTCTGACCATGGTAGCCATCTGCGCATGCAAGGGACCATGTTAGCCTTCCGAACCGCAGGCACTGCCGTCGAGTGCTGAAATGGGAGGGGCCGAGGCTCTCGGGGTCACATTGTTGTATGGGTAGTGCCGACATTCTAGCTGTTTACCCTCTTGCTGATGATGGTCGTTGCCCTCTGCTCATTCTTTGGCGTCCTCGATTGCTTCTTTCAATGATATCCCTGCTGCTGGTCCTCGGCCTGCTTGTCTCCTTGTCCAGCCTTTTGCTGCTGCTCTTTGGCCTGCTTTGTCTGCTTTGCCTGCTGCTCCTTTTTCTCTTTCTCCTCCTGCTGCTTCTTTTCCTCCTCTTCTTCCTCCTTCTTCTTCTCCTCTTTGGCTTTCGCTTGCTCTTTCTGTTGCGCCTCATGTCTCTCGGCCTCCGCCTTGGCATTGGACGCTCTGCTCAGCGCAGCATCAACCAAGAGCGTAGCTTCCTTCAATTCCTTTTGCTGAAATGGTTCCTCGTAGACCAAGCGCTCGAGTCTCTTAGAAGTCTCTTTCAATTCGTCACCCAGCTCTGGATGCTTGTTGAAGACCTGCTGCACGACGATGTCTGCCGTCGTATACTCCGTTGCGTTGTGCAAAGCCTGCTTTGCGGTCCTTAGGTTTGCCCAGAAGCCTTTGATGTTGCTGTGTAGTGTCAAGTTGGCAAGCGGTATGTTGACCTTCTCTGGCTCGTTCTCCACGATATCCAGCCAATGTCCCATCAGTGGGTATTTGTGCTCGACGCCAGGAAAATGGATCAACATGTCTCCCATTTTTGTCTCCGGTTCTTTATCCGGCCCCTGAGCGAAAGTATTGTACCACAGTCGAGGCTGATAGACTGCATGTTCTTTGTAGCCTTCCTGATCCAGCACCCATCTCATTGCGTCTTGTTCCATGTTAGGTATGGGGACTCCGAGAGGTACGTCAGGCCTTAGGAGCGGAAGTGCTGTGGCTTGAATGAGGAAGTTGACGCTCCATTCGTTGATACGCATCATGAAGAGGCCGCAGTTGAAGCTGTGCCAATCTTTGTTGCCAAGGAAGTGGATGTCATTGAAATCTTCTCGTGGGGGCAGGAATATGGACCAGGGAATGTTCTCGTTGAGAATGATGGTGTCAGCGTCGAACCATCTGCATCATCGTGTTAACGTTTCTTCAAGCCAACTGAAAAATGTGCCTCCTCTACATACACAATCCATTCGGCCCGCTTGCCAATGGGTTTTGTCAATTCCGCTATGATAATTGATTGCAGGTAGAGTAGCTTTCCAAACACCTACAAGACCACTCATCAGTTTTCCAGCGTCCATGTTATATGGAGGATCTCGTATGGGATCGTACCAGCACCTCCCATTTGCCGTGCCCAATTATGTCTTCTCTCAAAATATGACTCGGATATCCCCACTTTTCCGCATGCTTGAGGTGCGTCCTCACAGATCGCTCGTACACCGCGTTCGCTCCCATCTGATGGGCGGTATCCTCACTGCTGAATAACATGCACGCTTGACGTATTCTTGCGCCACCTTCGAGGGTGCTGTCGAAGATGTCACGTTGGTCGGCCAAGTCCTTGGTATCTTCTATCGCTAGGGCGATTGAGGACCAGGGATTCGATGGCTTGGAGGGTGGAACTGTGGAAGATGAGTCCCAGGAAGTCGGTGTGTGGAAGAAGAAGAAAAAGAAGAAGATTGGTATTGCACAGAACATGAGGGCGGCCAAGTGCTTCGGCGACGTGCCGAGCATACCGGCACCCAACATCTGGGGCAGAGACGGCAGCGCGATCCTGAACGAGAGAATATTCGCAAAGAAGGAGTAGAGGATGAAAGAGTGTCTGCGCGCCGTCGTCGGCGAACCTGGAGGACCAGCATATTCTGTCAGCCCTGGGCGACAGGGGGTGGTCTCGCGCCGCTATTAGGTCAATTCCATGTATGAAACTCTCCGGCAAATACCGACTAAGTAAAATTCCCCCCAGGCACTAGTCGGCAGTACCTGCCTAAACCTTACCGCTAAGAATAGGTCGATTGTCAGGGGAAATAAGCGCCGACGCGGAAGCCGGTCGCAGCTTAACATTAATACAGCACGGGAGAGCACGTTTCAATAATGGCCTCAAATTGCCTACCATACTCCAGCAATTCATCATCGAACAGTCCATCAATTTTAATCGTTCCAAGTAGACTTTATATAAAGAATGTCAAGCTGGACCTGGCGTCGATGAGCATCCATTAGTATTCATCGATTCCGATTCCTCTTGGCCCGAAATCTGGAGCCCGACGCAGCTATCGTGGTCGATGTTATGAATCAATCATAAATTTTTGAAAGGCCTACCCTACCAGAGATATTGCCTCCGGCAGATGGGGGTTTTCGTTTTTGCATTAACTGCAGGGCACTTTGGCATGCGGATTTTTAGAAGGGGCAATGCTCAACTTGCCACTTGAACACGAGTCCCGTGACTGACAGAGAAGGTCAAGGAGGGGGACTTCCATGAGTTGTTCACCAAAGCGAGGCAAGATTGGTGAGCTCTTTGTTATGTTGTTCAAGGAGATTCACGATGTGAGTGCAACATGTTTCGTATGCCATGACTTCTGTAATTCTGTTCTAGCACTGCGTCAAGCAGACTCTGATGTCTGATGTCCTATGTCGTTGACCGCGCCATCTCACTGACCGTACGGGGGCGCTGTTCTCCGTCTTCCAAAGCCAAGAGAAGCCCAATGTCATTTTTTGGTGAAATCATAATTATGCCATACAGCAGGGGGCATCCCAACATGCGCGGGCGTTCTAAAAAGCCAGGCATCCTCAGCGGCAAGCATTGCAACGTCCTCGGCAGTCCCCTGCGCCACTCTCATGAACAACCGCAATGTGGGGCTCCCCTCAACAACAGCATTTTGACCGCGTTTGACGATCATAACAAGAGAATCCCACAGCTCTTTGGGGTGGGTCTTAACCTCCCCATATCCGACGAAACCTTTCTCTCTTTGCTTCTTGAGATTGGCAAGGTCAGCAACTCTGACTGCCCCGCGGAGACTTTGTGTTGTCACGAGAATCCCGCAGAGCGATTCATCATCCAATATTGCCATACTGTCTTCCTGCTCAGCAACAAATGGCTTCCCGAGCACAACGTCATCTTCGGAAATACTAGGACCAAGCTACCCCAGTCAGCACAGCAATTATCAGTCAGACGAAGAGACGGATAATACCAGATTCTTGACTCTTGCAATCATCGCCTTATCACTATGCTCGATATCAAGCATTGGGTAAATTGTAACTTCTGCGAGGTCCTGCCCTACCATCTCTCCAACTTTTTTACACAAACTCTTGTGGTTGGGGTCCGTCGCCTCTTCGACCGCTTGCTTTTGGACCATCTCAACGAAGTGTCTTTTCTCAGCAGCCATGCTGCTTATCCTCTCAGCCTGATTCAGACCTTCCTTTTCAATCAGTTCGCGCGCGCGAGCCTCAGTCTCTGCGCCCTTCGCACGGCTCGACGTGGCCGCCTCAGCTAGAACATCTAGATGATCAGGGCTGGCGTTCTTGCCGATGAAACTGGAAGAGCTCTTGTTAATCGAGTCTCTCAACTGGGGCTGGATAGGACTTGAGGACCTCGAAGCTCTTGATGTCTCTGGGGAGGGCGAATGGGGTGCAGATTGGTTCTGTTCCAATTCATTCTTGTCCTTCTGTTTTCCGCGAGCGGTAGCACTTTTTGGGAAGGCTTCAGGCACTGGAGGAGTACGCCCCGTGAAGAAAGCGGACCTGGAAAACATCGTGTGGGATACAGAAAGAAAAGATGAAAAGAACGGTGTTCTGTGAGCTGAGAGTGCAGACTACCTTTTGTAAGTTCCTTACCTAGATCGACCAGAGCCGGACTGCCTAATTCTAGGACCCGATCTCGGGCAGTTAATACAGTTCCAAGCAAGGCAGCTTGCGCAAGACCAAGGTCCCAGTACCAACAGCCATGTTGGGCAAACTCTTGGAGCGGAATCAACTTCCCGAGCACCGAATATAGAGCTGTCGATTGTGCCGATTGTCCTTCAAGTCTAGTCTTGTCGAGTCTTTTCGGATCACGATGCATGGCCGATTGATTGTCTTCCGAAGCAGAGCAGCAACAAGTCCGTTCAAAGAGCGCACCCGCATTTCTCCTCGTCTGTCCTCGATACTACGGGATCGTGTCGTCCTTGATTCATTGTTGGAAGCAATGATTCTCGTTGATGCACCCGAATTCGGGTTATGAAGTCAAAGCAACTTGGACCGGACGCGAGAAAAAATTTGCAACTAGCCAGTAGAATCGTAATTTTTGAACGAAACAAGTATCTTGACAGTCGAACTCGCTCTGCTCTTCATTTGTCAACGATAAAACGCCCAGAGAGGCGTCATCACCATCCGAGATCGAGTTGGCTCGTACTTCGGTTCTGGCGACAATCAAAGAATTCCACGAGGAAAATATCGCTAATATCACTTATACTGGTTTATTTCTGAAGCGAATATCCGCAAATTGAATCTACCATAGTGAAACACGAGATCTAGGAGGCGGCCTGTATATCTTCATCCGGGCCAATCCGCGCTATAATTACTTGGACTTGGAGCGGCATGCTTGGGATGACAGATTCCTGTTCTATGTTTTTTCCACGCGATCAACTACTACCTATATTAATTGACTGTCGGAGTAGAAGCGGGACGGGTTTTGCTCATCGTTACGATTAGACCAAAAGGTGATTACTAGTAGTCCGTCACTAAACAGTGACTTATACTAGTTGTAGCACTACGTTGCAGTGGTATAGGTAGTCGGAAGGGGCATCCTGTGGGGTCTTCTTTGCTAGCCATATGTAGTATAGCTTGCTTGGCTGGATCCTTAAGATCCTTCGTCTTCTTCCATGGTACTTTAGAATCTAAGAAACGTTCCAAGAGATCACTGTTGTATTCTAGTCTATTAATACTTGTTCATCAGCCTGCGAAGACGTCATTCTCTGCCGCCCCGCTATTCTCTCAAAAGACCTCACTCACAACCCCCCTGTAAACTTTCACACATCTCATTCTTCCTTTTACACCGTCTTCTTCCTCTTCGTCGATTCGCTGCACAAAGCCTGTCGCACGCTTCTCGAGTCCTAGTCCTTACCCTCACCGAAATCCCATTTCCCGGACAGATACTGTCACTGCTGCTTCTCGTTCTGTTTTTAGTTTATCTGGCAGCGCCGTTAGTCTCAGGGTTCAATATAACGCTCTCAACCGGGAACATGCGACGCATTGATTTGCGAAGCGAAATGTTTGTTGGCTGGCTTACCGTCCGGGGTGGACGCTGCTGGCCCTGGAACCAGGGTGGTGCTAATTGCCACTTGACCACGGGAGTTACCGGCAAAAAGTCATCCCCAACTAAAATTATTATTCTGTACCTACGCTATACCCCCCTATCTCCTCACTCCAAGTCCACAGTCTTACAAATACGACTGAAAACCCAAATACTCACGCTTCGGATTCGAAACCGGGCCAAGTAAGCGATATATCCCCAATTCAACCTCCAAATGCTGGCCCTGGAACCAGGGTGGTGCTAATTGCCACTTGACCACGGGAGTTACCGGCAAAAAGTCATTCCGAACTGAAATCATGTCCAGTGCCCACACCGTCCGGGGTGGACGCCTGTTGGCTGTGGTCGTATTATTGTTGGAAGGGATTTAGTTTGTTTTAGGTTCGATTCCTAATGGGGCTATCTTTACTATCTGGCAGCGCCATTAGTCTCAGGTTTTCAAGTTCTGAACCGAAATTTAATTTGCGAAGCGAAATGTTCGTTCGTTGGCTTACCGTCCGGGGTAGACACCTGTTGTTTGTGGTCGTGGGAGGGGATTGATTTCTTTCTGGCAAATCCATCACCTCGATTTATTTTTCCTGTCCCTTCACGATGCCCGTAAACGTCCGTTTCGTTTCGTACATTCTTTTGGCAGCCATAGCCCTCACCACCATTGCCAAACTCGCTCATTTTCATGCCACCAAGTCATATCAACCATCCGATTTGCTGTCCGACTCTCGGCAAACAGCACCACTTGCAAACGCTACTAAAGTGAATCCGCCGGCCAAACAAGAAGATGAAGCCGCTCAGTCTCCCTTTGCATTCGTGGCTTTTCTGGCAGACAACTGGCAGCACAAGGAGTTCGACGATGATAACGAGGACATCTATTTCTACTCCACGCGCGTCATGGGCTACCAGCTGATGCACAACCTGGAAACTCGCTCCAACACCTCGATTCCCTTCGTCGTCCTGACCACGAAAGGCGTCTCGGAGCGGAAACGTGCCCGACTTCGAAAAGACGGCGCCGTGGTGATCGTCGTTGAGGATGTCCCGTTGCCGGATTGGTTCTCGATCGGCAACCCCTTCTGGGTCGACGTCATGACGAAACTGCGCGTGTTCCAGCAGACGCAGTACGAGAAGATCCTCCTCCTCGACGCGGACGTCTTGCCCGTGCGCCGACTCGATGGCGTGTTCCAGGATCCGGCCACGGAAGTGGTCGCGCCGCTGCAGGATAAGAAGAGAGAGGGCGACAAGATACCGCTTCCACCTACCTACATGTTTGCAGGCATGACGAACGGCGGTGGTCGGGAACACGACTCCGAAACGGAGGAAAAGTACTATGGGTCCATGGCGAAATACGGCGAGCTCGAGCAGGTGAATGCCGGCTTTCTCCTCGCGGCCCCTTCGCAGGAGATGTACGATTACTACACGTCGGTGCTGCACGAGGAAGGTCGCTTCGACCCTGCGCAGCCGGAGCAGAATCTGCTGATCGAGGCGCACCGGCTCGACGGGCCCCTGCCGTGGAAGAGCATCCGGTACGATTGGGTCATCAACAGCCCCAATTTCCAAGACTACGAGCACGGCGTGCACGCGGTGCATGAGAAGCTGTGGAAGGGCGAACACAGGATCGAGGAGTTTGGCCTGAAAGATCTGGCGGCGCTCTGGGATAAGGCCAGGGGGGAGATGGAAGGGTATTATCGCGCGCTGGACGATCCCTCGCCGACTACACGGCGCGTTAAGGCGGAGGATGGATGAGGGGGTTAAGATATCTGGATGGGCTGATGATGAATTCGTAGGGCTATCAGGACGGCGCATACGAGGTGCATGTGGAGCCTCAAATGCAAAGACAAGACTGCACGGCGTGAAGGACGCCGGGTCCGAGGGCGGAGAGTCGGAATAAGCTGAGGCACAAAGTCGAAGGCTTGAAGGAGGCCACGTGTAGGGATGGCATGCGAAAGACTGCAGCCACTCCAAGTGCGGCGAGAAAGTATTGTGCGCTTGAGCGCCGGCAGTGAGCAGCTGTTGTTTTTAAGATGCATCTGAGCTAGGCAACCGAGTCGAATTTGGAGAAGCAACATCGTCGTCGGGCGATGGAGAGTTCAACAAGAGCTCCGGCGACCATTAGGTCACGATAAGCTGTAGACAATCTACCTACCCACACCGATAATCCTTGCGCAGAAGGGCCTTCTCCTTCGTAGCAGACGAACCCTGTCTGTATGTCTTACCCGGCGAGTTTTTGATTTTTAGATTATCAAAACTGCTGCACTATTATCTTACACTGATAGTGGATAGTCGGTTTCGATTTTTAATATTCTAGTACACCAGGTAGTCGATGCAGTTTCGATATCCAAATCCAGTAGTTGATGCGGTTCAAGCCTGAAAACACTTTCAACCATCGCCAGCTCTAGATCATGCGACGGGTATGACATGAACGAGAGCGGATGCGTGTACCTTTCCAATCAATAATTACGGATCTGTGTGACTCGCTTGTCATTGATGAAGAGTGTCGCTGACGCTCGCAAAGCTTGGTAAAGCATTGGCCATGCGGTTCGCTGAGTACCTACCCCTATTTTCGTAATCATTGGGAAACTAGAAAATTAGCATTAAGGCTAGCACCCCCCTCACCCAAAATCCTACTATAGATATGCCCACCACATTATTATTCTTATAACTCTCTCTATACCTCGCTATCGTTAAATTAAGGCTAGAATTACTCGCTAATATAGAATTCTTAATATTTCTTTTATCGAGCTTTCTACTAATATATAGAAGACCTTTAAAATATCGTTTCCTTTATTATTCGATATCTATAAAAATTATATTTAATATTATATCGTTAATAGATTTACTATCGCCTCTATTACTTTTATTAAAAATATTAAAAAGAGTATTATATATCGTATTATCGATAATATCTTTATCTTTAATACTTATATAGCGCTTACTATAATTAAAAAAGAGCGATTATTTAAGATATCTTAAGTAGTAAGAATCGAATTAAGAGTTTTTATCGAGAGTAAGTCGTAGTTATATTTAGATGAGATATAATATAAACTCTTCGATTAATTCGATCTTATTATAAGCGTATTTATAATCTTAAAAACTTTATACTTTATAAAGATTAATAGAAAAAGTCTTTATTATAAGACCTTAAAACGCTTATAAATCTATTATAATTAATACTTTTTAAAGATTAGTAAGTTTACTTATAATATACTTATCTTTCTAAATAAGAGCGCTATTAATAAATATATAATATAAAGAAAGCGAGGCTATATAATCTTCGAAATTCGATTTATAATTTAAATCTTAGTTAAATATTTTAAGCGTTATAGCGTCTTGCCGATATACTATTTAGATAAAATTCTTTACTATTATATTTATTAGAGTAATATTAATAATATTTATTTTAAGTAATTTCTTAGAAACGAAGTCTTCCCTTAATATAATCTATTTTCTAATCTAAAGTTAGTTATTATTATAAATAATTACTTTATATATTATATCGCTAACGTTAGATATATATATAAAAATAAAGATATTATACTCTTATATTTACTTCTTTATTTATCGAACTTTAATTTTATTAAAGAGTTCTTTTTAATTTTTAAGATTTAATTAAAGAGATATTTTAAGCTAGTAAAGAGTATATTTGTCACGGTACGCCAAGGCCTCCTCCAGAGCCACCAGCCAATTGGGCCTAGCGTGGCTTGGCACCGCACATATCTGCCCTGCGGGCACATAGAATAATCAACATCTTTTACACCACACATCAAATCATGACATAGTCACATTGTCTCCTGACAACATGGTAGCAACACCTGAAGATCATTCAACAGGCGTCTATTAAGTTATTTCGCTCCCACACCAGTTGCCTACTCCTCCCCTAGGACCCCACCTACCTCAACACCAAGTACGCTCCTACACCAGTACTCACAGTCCCACGAGTCGCTACACGACCCCACCGTCCACTAAGCGATCCTTTCAATAGGCCAGTCGCTATGCCTCTCAACAGCAGCGCCGATCCCTGGCTTCTCAGCAGAGCAAGTCCGCTCCATTACTAAGCTCATAGAAGACGTGCTCGACAAGGCACTCGACAAGCACTTTGGCCCACTGCCGCCACAGCAAAAGCAGTCAATGATGCCAAAGCCGGCACAGCAAGAGCAGGAACGGAAGCATAGGCCATTGCAACAGCCAAATTTGGAGAAATCTACGGAGAAGACTATGGAGAAGAACAAGAGCACGGGCACCAGCAGCCCTATTCAAGCGGGCACACTCTCCACAATCCCACACCAGGCCACTATGCAGAATTGCGGAGATCCTTCCCCTCGCCTCAGCAGTACTCCACTTTCTACCTCGCTTCTCGCCTCTCTTCTCGCCTCTCAACTCGCCCCCCTCTCGCCTCTCCGCTCGCTCATTCGATTCGCGAAGGATATGGAGGCTATAGGCAAGGATAGGTGCATGGATATATGGACGGCGCATGCTTAATGTAGCTATCCAGAGTGCAGCCACGAGGACGTGTCTTTTTTCATTCTTTGTGGGCATGTTGTCACGGTACGCCAAGGCCTCCTCCAGAGCCACCAGCCAATTGGGCCTAGCGTGGCTTGGCACCGCACATATCTGCCCTGCGGCACATAGAATAATCAACATCTTTTACACCACACATCAAATTATGACATAGTCACATTGTCTCCTGACAATATTATTTAGATAATACTTAAAGCTAGCTATATAGGCGTATAATATAAAGATTTATACTAAAAACTACTTCGTCTATATTAATATATCGATAAACGATTATAAGAAGAAGAAAGAAGAGTTATTTAAGAAAGATAAGGGCTATTATTCGAGTAGCGAGAAAATTTAAAAAATAGAGTTTTAAGCTTTATCTTAGCGTAGTTCGAGAAAAAAAATTAATTAATATTACTATATTAAAATACTATTAATTCTCTTAATTTTTTTATTAACTTATAGCGTATATTTAACTTATAATTTTATACTATTTAAATAATTTAAACTATATAATAATTAATTAATTTAAATATATTAAATATTTAATATTTTTATAGCTTTTACGAGGCCGGCGCTAATAATCGATTATTAAATCTTATTTTCTAAATTTCGATATATAGCTATTTAAATCTCCTTCTTCTTATTCTTCTTCTTATTTATCTTTTTACTACTTCTATTTATAATCTTATTTTTTAATAAAATAACTTCGATAAAAGCATTTAAAGAAGTATATAATCGATAATCTACCTCTATAGAGATAATAGTATAAAGTTATAATACCTCTATAAAGTTCTTTATCTCGTCCCTTAATCGTATAATTATTCCTCTTAGAACCTCTATCTCTTTTTATTTAAAAGACGATAATTAATATATTTACTTTAATATATAAAATTTCGCTTTAATCTTTTCTAGAGCCTCTATAAAGGTCGCTTCTTTATTAAGATTTCTCTAAATTTATTAAATAAAATAAGCCCTCCGCAGTTTATCTATATTACCCTCTACTTAAATTAGATTATTAAATAGCTAAGACGCTTTAAAGAACGATTAATTAGCTATATCTAGACGAGATAATAGTTTAATTAAATTAAATAAGTAAGGCTAAATAAGTTGAGTCTAAATATACGCGTACTACTATAAAAGAAAGATTTAAGATTATTAAAGTATAGACTAATAAAGCGAATAATTCTAATATTACTACTGCTGAAATTACTATTATTAATATAAGTTATACTACTATTATTAAAGATCTTATATTAATAAGAATAAGATATCTAATCTATTAAATAATATACTAATTAATATAGTAATAGAAGTAAAAGTAGAGGTATTAATAATCGTATAAACTTTCTTTTTAATTAACTAGATTTCTTTATTAATAGCCTTTATCTATATAACTTAATTCTATTAAATTCTTAATTACTTCTATATTCTTACTAGCGGATTTATAGTAATAATATTAGATTTCTTCTTTATAATCTTATTTTATCTAGTAATTTAAGCGCTAGTATGTTACGAGCGTACCCTTGACACACCACTCAGCCCTATGGCTAGGGGCCTTGGCGGAGGCATCTCCTACTATATCATGCCTCCTTCCTACATACATAGTTCGGTAGCCTTATTATCCTTGATCTACCTCACCCATACTGGTATCGCACCTATGCTGGTCCTGACATTATAATAAGGCTCCTTCGTATACCCGGCGAAGAGAAATGCAATCGGACACACTCCATTCGAATTAGCGGACGAATTCAAAGAAATGCGCTGGCAGGGGCTTTGTCAAGACGCCTTAAATGGATGAGACATCGTATCCCTGGGTAAGCCCACCAGACGGGTAACTCGATTTCATAGCGAATCGGACTCGGCAAACAGTGGTCGAGGGATAAATAAGGCATTGGACCATTCGTACGGCTAGCGAATCGAAAGAAATCACCAACACCCCCACACTCACAGTGAGCCTGCTACAATGGCAGCAAACGTACGACCTCTTCACTGAGCATGTCGACAACACACATAGTGAGCCTGCTACAATGGCGACGGGAACAGACCCGGCAACACGATTACGATCCGACCTCTTCACTGAGCATGTCGACAACACACATAGTGAGCCTGCTACCAAATGGCATTCAAATTCTTATCACCTACCTTCCTACCAAACCCTACGAATCGACAAGGAGATGGAACGGAGGATGGATTCTTGATGGCAAGAGCATGGGAGACACAGGGCAAATCTACAGTGAAGCTCCCAGGCCAGGCTGCCAAAAGGTGTTGGAGGTGAATGCATGCGTTGGATTTTCTTCAATTCTACCGAAGGACTTGATGGCAAGAGCATGGGAGACACAGGGCAAATCTACAGTGAAGCTCCCAAGCCAGGCTGCCAATAGGTGTTGGAGGATGACACATGCATGCGTTGGATTTTCTTCAGTTCTACCGATGGACTTGATGGCAAGAGCATGGGAGACGCAGGGCAAATCTACAGTGAAGCTCCCAGGCCAGGCTGCCAGTAGGTGTTGAAGGCGAAAAAAAGTGGAGGACTATGACAAGACGACTGGGCAAGGAGAAGAACTCGGAGAATCTTGCTGGCACGCAGGCAAGACATGGCCAATATCTCCAGGATCTCTGCAGGACAATGTGGGTATGGCAGGCATGGATGGCACAGTCAAGACCAGCATGCGATCCGATGTTTTCGACTACTACCACTACACCTCGGCAAATCTTCTCCGGTCGAGGCCTACACGGACTATGGATGTTTGGAGACACAGGGCAAGCAATGGGCGTGCATCTCCGGTCTACCAGCCATGGGGGCCATGGCTATTGAGAGGGGGGGTAGTGTTACGAGCGTACCCTTGACACACCACTCAGCCCTATGGCTAGCGGGCCTTGGCGGAGGCATCTCCTACTATATCATGCCTCCTTCCCACATACATAGTTCGGTAGCCTTATTATCCTCGTTCTACCTCACCCATACTGGTATCGCACCTATGCTGGTCCTGCATTAGTAAGTAAATAATATAATTTTTAAAATTTATTATTAATAATAAAATTTTTTTTAAATAATTAAATTTATTATAAAATTTTAATTTTATAATTTTATTTTTTTTAAAATTAAATTTTTTTTTTTTTTTTTTTTTTTTAAAAAAAAATTTATTTAAATAAAAAAAAAAAAAAAAAAAAATTTTTTTTTTTTTTTTAATTTAGAATTATCTAATATAATATCGAAGTTATTTAAAGAGATATTTTAGTCGATAGTACTACTTTTTTTCTATTTCTTCGAGAAAGACTCTTTCATAATAAAAATTTCTAATTTAAAGAAATCTTATTTAAGATTATAGATATATATAATTCTTATAATAACTCCCTTTCTCTTTTCTTTAATTAATTATTATTTTACTAAATTATTAATATCCTTCTACTTAGTAATATCGCTATATTAACTATTTATAACCTTAATATTTTCTAAGAACGAAAGCGTAATAATAGCGTTCTAAAGGATTATCTTATAGTCTTTCTTTTTTATCTTCTATTTAACCTCTTAAATAATCTTTAAATTAAACTCGTAAAAATCGAATTATTTAAAAATAGTAAAACAGGCGCGTACCTCCTTCTCTTTTTATAGAATATTTATATTAATTAAATAGATTGATAATTTTATAAAAAAATTAATAGGCTGGAATAAAACGATAGAAGGAGGGCTTTATTTGATTATATTAGGCTTATCGATAAGAAGAAAAGATTTCTTCGTCGACTTAGGTTTTAAAGTAAATTTCTTTAATTTATATCCCTCTTTAGTAATATCGATAACGATTACGGCGGCTTTCTTATTAAATCTATTAGAGGGTCGCTTATTTCGTGTATTAATAGCCATATTTGGCGATAGCGAGGTGTGGGGAGGGTTATAAGAATAATAATATGGTGGGCATATCTACAGTAGGATTTTGGGTGAGGGGGGTGCTAGCCTCAATGCTAATTTTCTAGTTTCCCAATGATTACGAAAATAGGGGTAGTACAGGCAGAAGCGAAGGATGACGCTGCTTCGGATGCCGCTTTCGTTGAGCAGTCATGGATTCAACGGATTGCTATTTGATTCTATTGGTTTATTCTTGCTATCGAGTCTGTGTCTGCTGAACGCCTGAGTCATTCAGGCTTCGTCTCGGTGCACCCCAGCAGATCATGCCGCTCTGCTTCGTCTGGAGACTGGATTTTTCGATTCCAATCCGAGAGGACCACCTCGACATCCCAATGTCGTCAAAGTCCGAGCAGGGCCGACGACGTTGCAGGGGTAAATTCCTTGTCCGCCTCCTGCTTCCTCTCGCGCACGCACCGCGCACACTCACACCTCTTACCGATGTATCCTTCCACCCTGCCCCTCCTCTCCGCCTCAGACAACGACGCCAACGTGTACGACACGCATATCTCCTCGCCTTCTTCAATATCCCTCAGCGCAACCACATTGACCGGGCCTCCGATACCGCCGTCTTGCGCCTCCCATGCGGCGGCCGGATCGCAGTCGTGGTTGAAAATGCTGAGCAGCGGACTGACGCCGACGTCTAGACTTTTGCCGACGAGGGCGATCTGCTTGTTGTTTTGGATCCGCAGGAAGAGCGTCTGCAGGGCCCAGGGGTCGAAGCGTGGGTCTGTGAATATGTCGACGCCCATGGTCTGCAGGACATGCGCGGGACCGATGATGTTCTCCTGCACACTGAACGGTGAGGGGATCTGGGTGTCGTAGTCTGCCTTTAAGGCTGCGACGCAGGGTACCTTTAGGGGTTTGACCTTTTGCTGCACGGCTGTCGCGAGCACCTTCAGCATAACGAGGGGAACGCCGTCGTTCTCCGGATTCGTCGCGCCGCCCGACTGGTAGATTTCGGAAAAGTCTTTCCCGCAGAGGATCTTGTGGTAGGAGCTCAGGGCGTCGGCTTTGCACTCTTCGCTGCAAAAGCCGATACTGCAGCAGCCAGCGGCGATGCCTTTACCAAACAGGGTGAGACAGCAAGCTCCGCAGTGGTCGGCCGCGCAGTAGTTGTTCTTGCAGCTATTGTGACCGCAGTTTCCACCCGGAGCAACGTTTCGGACCGCGAAGATGGACTTGTTCCGCAGGATCTGCTCGCCTTTGCGGATCTTTTGTGTCGCGAAGACTCCGAGGTTCTCATTTGATTCACCGCTTCCTAGCGAGCTGGGAGCGACGGCGGCGTTGTGCGATGCGTCCTTGAACTTTGCCTTGAGCCTCTTCGTCGCTGCGCTGCTACGATCAATCTCGCCCGCGACGATCCAAGGGTATGCGGTTCGATGCACTTGCCCTCTCATTGCTGCGGTCTCGGTGGCGGTGGTATCTTGGAGCTGCTCCCACAAGATTCGCTTGCGCTCTTGCAGTCTCTCTCGAGTCTCTTTGAGCAAGATAGTGAAAGACGGTTCGTTGGGAATTCCTTCCAGATAATGCTCGAGAGTGTAAACCGCATCCTCGTACGCTTCGAGACAGTTAAGACCTTGGACCACGAGAAGAGTGGCCTGTCTGTAACCGGAGGCCATCTGATCAATGATGTCATCATTACTTCCTTTACTCCTGCCGTGTGAGTCCAGAAACGCCATCATCACGCTCGCTGCCACACTATCTCTATGTCCCGTGTTGTTTTCCACTGCCAGATTCAACTCCTTGACCAGAAGACAGGCTCTGTACGCATCTGCGACGGCAAGCTCGGCGTACCCTAAAGCCAACAGCGTTGCGGCGCGTCCGATCCAGGCACTGGGGAGGTAAGGATGCAGGCGGATCTCGCGGTGGTCGCCGATCAGGGCTTTCTTGAGGTACGCATTCGGCACCATCTATCCCACTCAGCAGTCAGCGTTTGCCGTCAGAGGGTGTACGGAAGGCTCACTCACGGATTCAGGAATCTTCCATGCATCGAATCTGCTGGTGGCTTTCCATGGCTCGGTGAGCACGGCTGGGGAGCCCAATAGGTTCTTGAGGTGAGGTTGACAATTGGGCTCGTCGGCGGCGACGACGTCTAGAGTTTTTGTCTTCGCCGACTCCTTCACGGCGTTGAGCATTTCGTTCAAGCACGGCCCTGGAGTGCTGTTAGGATTGAGCTTTGAACCATTGTGAGGGAGATGAGAGCACCGTAAAGCTTTTCCATGTCTTTCTTGGAGACCTTTGAGCTTTTGGCCGCCATCTTGTGATTCGGTCCGTGAGGCCAGTGCTGAGTCCTGACTCGAGTCACGAGGCGAGTTTTGCCGAGAGGATGGTCGAGACTGCGTGGTTGGAGCTCTGACGGTGGATGTAAATGGTTGGCGAGTGTGTTGTTTGAAGGAAATTCATTTCAGCGATCGCTGTTTCAGAACCCGAGGAGATTTCATTGACAATCAACGCCTCGAGGTTGAGGCTGGGCCAAGTGAGGTAAAGATTGGGGTATGAACTCAGTTCCCAGCCTTTCCAGCGCAGTCCTTGGACTTTGGACTATGTGACACGGAGACAGGACTCCTTGATGAAGAGACACGACATGTAAAGATTAGGAATTGATCACTTCAATCCATGTGCGATCTCTGCTGGCTGAAAACGCATTCTCTGCATGCAACAGAGTCTCTGTCCCGGTGGACGGTCTGTTTCCCATGCTTCGACCTGCAAACCCCCTCACGAAGAAAAGAAGAAGAAAAAAGAAAAAGAACCACCACCGCCACAACCCACAGCCCCAGCACGCAAGCAGTAAGTAAGTAAGTAAGTAAGTAAGTAAGTTTTTAAAAAATAAGAAACAAAAAGACACGTCCATCCATCCACCCACCCACCCCCCTCCCTCAACCAACCCTCTCCACAACCCCAACCCCCACATCCACCACCACCACCGCCCGAATCAACCGCTCCACAACCCCGTACGCGCCCAGATACGGCACCACCACCACCCCCCGGCCCCGATCCAAACGTCCCGGCCGCCACAATCCCGCCTCCTTGCAACCGCACCAGCTCATCCTTCACGCCCTGCGCCTCCGTCGGGCCCACATCGCCCTCCCACGCCTCCCGTGAGCGGTGCGTCCGGACGGGGGCGTGGAAGATTCGGAGCAGCTGATGCGGTGGGTTTTTGTATGCGCGCTGGGGAGGGAGGGATGAGGTCATTTTTTGGGGGGGTTTGTTTTGGGAGGGAGGGAGGGTTTTGGGGAGGGATCGGCTCACGCGTAGGATGAGAGCGTAGGTCAGAGTTTGGTCGGCGAGGGTGGCGCCGAGGTGGGACATGATGGGGAGGTGGCGGCGGCGGTCGATAGTGAAGGGGCGGTAGGCGGGCAGGTTGCCGAATCGGAGGTGTTGCTCCACTGTGGAGGGATGAGTTTCGGGGTCTGTGGGGTAGAGGAGGATGGGCGGTGGTCCCTGGAAAGCCCGGGGGGGAGGATGACATGCTGACTGTTGGGGTTTTGCTAGAGAGGGATAAGCTGTCGCGAGGTGCGGATGCGGGTGAGCGATGGGTTGGGGTGGATTCTGTGGAGGTTGTTGTTGCGGTGTTGGCGACATTGTTGATGAGCTTCCGGGGTGGGGCGGAGACGTACTGCGTTGGCTGGAGACGAGCTGGAGGACGAGAACAGACCGAGTGGTATTGTAGAGCTGGTGGTCTTGGGGGGTTTTGATGTAAAGGCTGGAAGCCAGTAGAGGTTGTGGTTGTGGTTGGGATGGAGAAGTTTATAGAGTGAGATGAAGACCTTGGTAGGTTAGCAATCGGTATGTCCACGCCTCTGATAGCTTAGAGGGTATCTAATTCATAATAGGTTCGATTCCTATCGGCGCTGATACAATAATATGATTATTTTTTATTTTCTGGCAGCGCCAATACTGCAGTACTGCCGTTGTATCTTCCCCAAAGGTCGTGGGGTTCGAATCCAGTTATATCTAATCTAGCTTGAGTGTAGCAGCAGAAATGTTGTCCTTGTCGTGCGGGGGCACGTATCTATAGTTGCGGTCGAGCTTAGAGGGTATTTGATTCATAATAGGTTCGATTCCTAATGGCGCTGGTACAATGGTGTTGCGGTGCTTCTTATTTTCTAGAGTGAGATAATAACCTTGGTAGGTTAGCAATCGGTATGTCCACACCTCTGATCGAAAAAGAATCATCCGGAACAGCTGTGGACAAATTCGCTTATTAAGCGAGTAAACGAAGGTCTTGTCACTGTGACTTAGTAGAAGGACAACGGTGGACAGGCGACAACTCGGAACATCTAAAGATGCTCTGCAGCATGCTCTGTGAATTTGTTGGCCCAATCGATTGCATTGCCTGCCAATAGCCAGCTTTCTGACTTGCTATTTTTGACCAAACACTACGGCAACTGTGCGAATGTATAGTGCTGCAGAGGCTAGCAACTATTCAGAGCTCTGTGAAACCGTCAACCAAATCCCTCTCGAGTAGTCATCGCTTCCCCGCCTTCCATTCCGCCATCCAAGCCTTGACAAAGGTAGCCTCATCCATTTGTGTGTCCGCTACCGGAGCCGGCGGCAAGGTCGCTGTTGTCTCGTTGGGAAACAACCCATTCTCATCCCAATGGTGCACGGCTCCCTCGATCAGTATAAATGGCTCATCAGTCGTACTCGTCCTAGGCTTTGCTTCAGGCGCGTGGGGCGTCGCGCCTCTCCAGGGATCATCTTCCCCATCGATGAAGGCTAATCTGTCATAGCTAATGTTATACCCACCATACGCATTGATGATAGCCGTGTCGGATGGAGTGGTGATGTTGAAAGCGTCACGGCAGATGATGGACTCATACTGTAGGGTGATGGTACGTGAGATGAGAGGGAGTTGATCCTTGGGGACGCCAGAGCCTGTTTGGAGGAATCCCCACTGGCTGCAATATTGATACGGCCAGCTTCTCCATGTCTGAGTGATATCGTCCAAGGCGTAGAAGGAGGCATTGTGTGTTGTATAGCATTCATTCGTTGTCTGCCCCCCAGCAATGCAGGGCTGGACGAGGGTCGTGTTAACGTAACTGATAAAATTAAGCATTTGCGTCGTGAGGGTTGCAGATTGAGGAGCGTAGCCGCCTGCTGCCACTAGTTGCTTGACTGTGCTTGTTAGGTTTGCTGGGACCGGTTGGAGGGTGCTGTTGGCTGTGATGTTGCCGCAATACTGCGAGAAAGAAGGGTCATTGACGGCGGGGTCCCAATTGCGGCCTTGCCAGCCTCCTATCCCTGAGCTGAGTGCGTTGGCAAAATCATCATTGTATCTAATTGCCATTAGTAAAGCGTCCAAGCCTGCGACAATGTTTCTCGAGTGGGAATTTGCCAATGAGGCCGACGAGCGAAGTTTCTAGGCGCAACCTCTTCTGTACAAGGCTCATCGCAAGCGGCTCAAAGGTCCACAATCTGCGCTCCGGCCACAACGAGAAGCAGATTAATCAAATAGAGAACGTACTGAATATCTTGCAGGCCGAAGGACGTCTTGAGCTCCTTGATCAGTCCTCTGGTGTTATTCTTCCCAAGTAATATATTGTCGACAATATTCGTAAGCTTCTGTGTAGCCAGAATGCAGTCAGGCGGTCCATACTCCCGTACTGGCTCGTAGTACTCCCAGAAGTCATAGATTGCCTTGGTCACGCCAGAAGATGAAATTGCCCCTGAAACTGATCAATACCATGTTCTTCACCAACCCTCCCTCTCCCCAACAAAGTACTCACCGTAATAGGTATCCGGATACGTCTTCCTCAGAAAAGCGACAAAGGCCCCCGCATAACTGCCCCCATACGCAATGTAAGGTGTATGGGGAGCTGTAAGCTTCTGGTCTTCCAATCCCTCAAATACGACATTCCTTGCAAAAAACGCTGTATCAGCCAGCGCCTGCTGCGTCGTCAAGAACCTCAAGTTCTCCGTGCTCAAATCTGGCGTTGGGAAACTAGTCCCGTAATAGCGATGCTCAAGCACCACGGCAATGCCACCCGTCGCTTCAGCAAGCTGATGTGCGATCCCTTTCTGTAAATAGGGGAGACGGTCTGTGGCGTCGTCTTCGCCGGATTCGAGCACTATGACGGGCTGAAGTACGCGGATTTTGGAGTCAGCATTGCTTGTTCGAGGCAGGTAATGGATTTACGAGACAGGTCTCGGGGGTAGAAAAGTCCTCTTGCTCCCCAAAATATGTCTTGTGACTCAAGTTCAATACCACATAGGAAGGATCAACTCCGAAATGTACGTACCCCACCCGGTTTGTAGTATGTGGCGTCGAAGAAGTAGCGCAGATTGAACTTCCCAGAAGAGTGAGGCTCATACATAGATTCATTATGAAAGTGATCGATGGGAACCGAGAGGTTATAGGCGGGGTAGAGAGTTGAAGGGTCAACATCTCTTTTGGAGAGGATCTGGCGGCGGGAGAGATTGGGAGCGACGCCGGATCTGAGAGAGGAAATGGGCTGGGAGGCAGATTTTGCGGTGGCAAGGGGAAGGAGGGAGAGCAGGAGGGTGGGGACGTTCAAATGCATGATGTGATGATAGAGCGAAGTAGGATATAATGAAGATGGAAACCTTAGAGCCGCAGATTTCGTAATGTCATGCGAAAGAATAGAGACTTCATCCAAGAGACAGAAGGATTGAAAGGATTGGTAAATGGGATGCGCAAAAAGAGAGACATCCTTTGTGCTACCTACGTTATGTAGTAAACGGTGGATGTGGGGATCACCGTCACCGTGCATGATGCGGTCCCTCCTACTCAATAGGGAAGGTGAGATCGCAGTCGCGGGACGCTCCTGCAGCGGCCATCTCCACTACGCGAGAGGACCTACCTAGATAAGTCTTAGGCCTTGTGTAAGGTTGCATGATAGGAGAAGAGCTGATCGGGTTTCTGCGACAGCTATGCTATGTAGATGAATGAAGAAGGTCGGCTCGAGTCGACGGCGGAGAAGTGGCAATGGTCTGTCCTTGATCTAGACTATGAAATTTTCTGAAATATAGGACCGAAGCACCAAGCCAAGCTCTCGCCTGGTCATTTTACATGGTAAGCCTGGTCAGTATCCAAGACCCGACACGTTCCGACTGCGTAGGGGCGCTGGGGGAGGGGGACTTGCCATGACATAACAACACAGGTCGAGCGAAAGTGTGATTGGCAGCGTTGACAGAAATACACAGGGGAGGGTGAAAAACCTGCTCACTTTGCGCCGAGAAGAGGAGGCGAGGGAGAAGGGATTGGTTCTGTATTTACATTTGATGCTTCTTCTGAAGGATCGAAAGTTTAGGTCGGAAAGGCATTGCGCGAATTTGATATTTGCATGAAGAGAGATTTGAGTTGGCAATTCTTTTGCATATCTATTTGAATCTATTACCCGATTCTCGGTCCGACAAAGGAAAGGTACATTACTACGTCTAATCCTCTCTCTCAATCAATTTCAGTAGAAAGCCAAGGCAAACCCTAGCCCTTCCGCTTGGCGAAAGCCTTTAGAAGCATGCATGCCACAGATCCCTATCGCAAGCTGAGAAGCAAAAACCGAAACCCCAAAACCGAAAGAGATCCTTTTATCGCCCTTGTTGCGCAGGCCTACCATCCAGAGACACCCTCTTGCGGTCCAGTCTCCTATTCACAGCCCCCAGCACAACCTTCAGAATCCCGTCCGCATTCAATCCTGTACTTCCACCATCTTGACTCTTCCAAGGTACCGTATCAACGATATCTCTTCCCCCACACAGCGGCGCGATCCCATCATCGAGTTCTTGCAGCGCCTCTGCTGCGCCGCTCTCTTCGCCGACCTGGAAGAATTGGATACCGACTTGCCACGGTGGCGCGTCAAGTTTGTCAAGCTTCTTGACGTAAGAGATGATGACGGATTCGGGATCATCGGTTGGGACGCCGTCGGTGATGACGATGATGTTGAGGGGTTTCACGGCGTCCATGTTGGATTTCTTGGCTTCGCACTCCCTGAGGTAAGGCTTTAGGATCGCGTTCAGCTTGGTACCAATAGGTGTTCCACCTCCAGGCTTGACCGTGTCGAATATACGCTGGACCTCATTTGGACGAGTGATATTCTGGTAGCTTTGTGAGTCGGGGGCGTTGAGGAAGTAGATGTCGATGCCGTCTTTGTCATGGGCGGTACATATCGGCGCGATGGATGCGATGGCGAGGGAAGTCTCGCGCCATGAACGGCCAGCCATGGAGCCAGAGTCATCGATTAGGAAGACGGTGTCGAAAGTGGAGAGAAATGCGTAAGGATTGTCCGTTGAGGCTGCGACAGTGGTTGCTGGTGGGGAATAGCTTGGTGGTGGCTCCGAATTACTTGATGCGAAGGGATTTGCTACTGTTGCAGGTTGTGCTGGCTGATTGTCAGTGATCATCCTAGTTGGAAAGATGCGAGGAGCGTACCTGGACGACGGGTGGCAGGAGCTGGGGTGCTGGTTGCAGCAATTGGACTTTGTGTCACCGAGGTGGGGATCGAACGCTTTGATGATTTGGACATGGTTGAGAATGTTCTTTCAAGAGTGGAAGTCTTGCGAGACCCTTTTTTAAATAAGTTGAATGGCATATTGCTGTGTTGGGAGAAGCGATTTGTAGAAGGTATAGAGGCAGGATGGCATGATGATGTTTCATAGAGGAAAGGCATGATTGGCTGCTGGTACCGAGATCGGGATAAAGGGCAGGCGTGGTCAAAGTGTTACAGTTTCGGAAGTAGACTTGATTTGCTCAGAAGCAAGAAGGCAGGCAGCGTTTGAGAACGGAAGGAACAGCTGAATTTATTGGTGCTTGAGGCTGCTTCTCTGTCTTGATGGCAAACACAAATCTGCACGCGTTGATGCCTACTTATATGAAACGTGTAGAGCCCATGATGTCTGGTCATGCCAGCGATAGAACACAGCATCATGACGGCAATGCCTACTCATATCTGCCCCATAGATAGCCTAAGGGCCAAGTAACTCCTCATCGGAGCTGTATGTGGATCTTGTGTATCAGATTCGCCTTCACATAGCCTCTTTTGCCATGATTGTTGTGGGACTGGTGGAGTTCTGTCTGCAGGAAAATGGCGGGCAAGGCTGAGGCTCGGGCGGAGGGTAAAACCAAGCCATGACGAGGCTGTGAACTCAACCAATGAAATCGCTATAACCCAGAAGCACTGCCGCATCCTTTCCTCTTCGGGATTAGTCTCATCCTCTAATCTGCTGCCTTACGACTTACGAGGTACCTCGAGACGGATGGGCATTCCTGCCGCAGGAACGGAGAGATGAAAGCCGCTCGACCGAATATCAACATCGTGAACTCCGCTCATGGATAGCAGCGGCTCATACCATCAAGGCGAGATGAGCAGTTAAAGGCAGTGCAGAGTAACCGGTTGATGACCTCTATTGGTCTTACAGTATTACATGCTCACAGTATCTGAGTAGAGGGTGGCGCGGCATCGGCTTGCTCCGACCAAACGCCTGAATAGTAGGCAGATGAGTGCTCATGTGCCTTCAGGCGGTGGCCGTACAGCTCCGCGCATTCAAAGTGCATACACAGGCGTCCAGTCCCTCTTCACTGCCGTATACATCGCCTTGGTATCCCGATGAGCTCGACAACCCCTACCATGGAACCTTTCGCCTGCATTGGCCCATGTACCTCCTGTGGGGTTCTCTAGCCAGCTCTCCTTGCTCTTATCCTCCTTCCAACATCCAGAACATATGCCGACCTGGAAAGAAGGGCGAAGTCGCTCCAAAACAGGCATCAACCTAGTGCGTGCGCCGCAGTGAGTGTGGTTGTCGTCGATTTGATACGAAGGGCACTCCTTGAGCTTAGCTATGATATCGTTGAGGTTACCATTGTAAGGCTCGAGCTCTTCAGGCGCAGGGTCAAAGGCGCTTTCAATCCGTAGTGTTCTTCCTTTGCGACAGAGGAAGCGAATAATCTCGCCCAGTTGATATGCGTCACATTGAGGCGATGAACTGTAGCCGAGCCTGCACTGAGTCTGCTTGGAGATATAGAGGTTGATGAAATGTTTTTGAATGGAACTCAGAGTGTCCAAGACGTAGTCGCGTCGACAGGCAAGCTCTTCTGTCCGCTGGTCAGCGCCATCTGTCAAGCTCCATTCGGTAACGCACCTTCGACGCCACCGGGTAGAATCCACCATAGAGCATCCTCTCCTTCCCGCTCTTCATCTTCGGTACTGTTCTGCCTTTTTGAAGCCTCGACGATCAGAGCCGCGCTACATTGACGTACCCAATCCGGAAACCCGAAAAACAAACCGGCCAACAACCTTTGGCGATTCTCAAGCTCAATCTCTTGAGTCGTAGCGGACTTCCGATCTTTGAGGAGTGTGATTTCCAATCCCTGCCGTATCAAGTATTCCGCGATAGTATTTGAGCAAGCGAACCTGTCGGCCACGATGGAAAGTAGTGCTATGAGATTGACGGAATGTGCGCGTAGGACTGGCCAGCTTGTAGAAGGATCGTGCAAAATCTTGAAGAAAAGCCTGACGACCGTGCCGGTTGAGATGCAACCCTCGGGGAGAGCGCCTACATCCGAAACGACGGCTTTCGGGAGTTCTGATGCGGGTATGGCTGCGGAATCATTGTATTGCCTCGTGAGGTCCTGAAGTCTCGCCTCGATAGCGATGCCTTCGCTGAATTTGACAGGATCTAGCAGCACGTTGAAATATTCGGAGGCACTGTGTAGCACATCTCTCGAACATCGATAGCAGTGATCAGTACACGTGGTGGGGTCTTTGATTTGTATAAGGATGTCGCCGTCATTGGAGATGACCACGGTAGAGGGGTTCGCTTCGGAAAAGGGCGCTGGAGCTTTTGTTGCGGCCCTTCTGCCTTGAGGCATGATGTTGACTGTGAGCTATCGGATTGACAGTGGACTTCTCGGTTGCCTCCCTGACATGGAGAAGATGCCAGGGAGTGAGGATAGTCGGTGGTCGGCTTTGCTGTAAGGACTAAGGAGAATAGGTGGTGAGCACTCCGGCAGTATAGGGCAATAGCTGAGCGATGCCGAACGCACTCCACGCCATCCTGTCACCAATAGCACGGACCGGAAAGAGATTGATGAAATAACAAGCCATAATGGAAGATTGTAGAGCTTGAGTTGAAGAGGCGGAAAGATCGACTGGTGAGCCTACAGGGCTGACCAATCAGATTGACTGCATTTCCTGCTGACCTCGGAGTACCGTTTTGAATTCCTCGTCCCTCATCAATCCTCGAAGTAAACCCCATCACCTACACCCCGAGCTAGAGCACTATAGGATCTTCACTGTTACTACCTTCCTTCAATACTATGGTAATGCGTGCATGCTAGCTATTCAACTACTCCAGCTAGCTAGGTTGACAGGCTAAGAATGACGAATGATGCACCAGCTTCTTGCCGGCTATGCCAGCTTTTAAATCCACTCATTAATGGCTTTTCCGAACAAAACCCCCTGGCCAAGAGAGCTGCAGAACGAAGCAGCCATCTTCGATCAGAGAATGGCTGTCAAAAGCGCCATTTTCGCCACAATCACCGGCCACACAATGCAAAGCCCTCAGTGGTCATGGAGGAGCGCTGTTCACGCTGTTCATGCAGGCGACGATGAACCCATACTTCGCATTTTTGTCAGGATATCTTCAGCATTGGCGCTCTTCGCGGGATATGCCATGCCAACTCCTTCTTCGCTACTGCTATCGCTCACCTTCTCTTCGGAGGAGGCAGTTTTGGGCTTCATCAATGGCCAGTGACCTTCTTTCTCATTATATCGCATTGCGAGGAAGGCGATGATGACTGCAATCCAATAGAAGTTGTACGAGAGGACAGAGCCGTAAGTTGCACTGTTTTCCCAACCGAAGAGGGCGTTGAAAATTCCCCATCCTCCGCCACCGTTAACCTCGGCATTGCAGCACTATTTTCTTTTGTCAGCGACGTGAATTTGATCGAAGGTCATGATTCGAGACTAGGATTACTGACGTTGACATGCCAGACGCTTTGACGAATATCGTAGCTTCCCGGACCAGACCCAGTCCCCGCTGCGTCACCGCCAGTGAGCGAATTCCACTAGGGATTGGTTAGCCCCAGGATTACTTTGTATCAATGAGCGGATACCGAGGCTTACCTTGTGCATCTGGAAGTCCCAGACAGCTTTGGAGAACAGGCCGGCAGCGACCAGGTATAAGAAGCAAGTTGAGATGATCAGGAAGGTCTGAATCGGAGCGAAGTTGCCTCCTCTGGATCCGATCAGTTACTTCCTATTGAATCTCACGCTGTGTGTGGACTTACCTATAGATGAAGTATCCGACCAAGCAACCAGACCCGATGCCAGTGACCACTGGCAGGGGAAAGGAGACAGCAGGAAGACCCAGGCTCACGCCTCCAATGAAGACCACAGCCTCGAGACCTTCACGAAGAACGGTGATGAAGGGCAAGATGAACAAAGCGTACTTCTCACACCAGAGCTTGAAGCGGACTCGGAGAGTGCCACGTCGCTTGGTGCTGTCCTTGACTTCGAGCGCTTTGGCGAGCTTGACACGCCACTTGTCCTGGAGTTTGGACACGCGGAGAAGGGCAGCACCCATGATGGAGATGACGAGGGATGCGAAGATGCTGAAAGATCCCTCCCAGATGTCCTCGGTGCCTGACCACTTGTCTTTGCCCAGGCCGTAGAAGGCTCCAATCAGGCCAGCGCCAACGACGATGCAAATGACTAGACCCAGGATCGTGCCAAGCCATACCTGGGTTCGGATCAGCTAGGATGAAGGCAATTGAAGCAGGATAGCGACTATGGCAAAGACTTACCTGACGCCTGAGTCTCTTGTATGTGACGGGATCACTGTCATGGCCCAGAGTTTGCTTCAGGAAGGCCAACAAAACCGAGACAATAATGCTGGTCTCCAGTGTCTCACGGAAACAGATGAAGAAGACTGGTAATGTCAAACAGCATCAGCATTGCCTTCACTTTCCAGGACCTGAAAGGAGTGGGGGGCTCACTCGGGACAGCAAATACGTTGACCGTCATGGTGAAAGATTGCGACCGGTCAATGGACTTGGAAGTACTCGAAATAAGGTATGGAAAATATTTTCTTTCTATCTTACACACTCTTTGGCCTTTGAAGGAGGAATATGTGACGGGAGAAGAAAGTCGGTAGGGCAGGTTTTTATCAGATCAGATTGATAAGGGCAAGCAGCAGCCAAATTTTTATCAGATCCGCTTCTTAGCGCAATAACCCCCACAATGACTCGGAGATGAATTAGCCCCAGCTTGGAAGATGGGTTTGATTGGCTCTTTCTTTTTCTTTCTTTTTTCTTTAATTCCTTTCGGCCTCAAGTCCCTGTGTTGTGTTGTTGATGTTAAGCTGAAGTAATTGTGTGTGGGGTTGGAGGGTGATGACTGCTGATTTCCGATGTCGGTGTGTGTTCACGCAATCGAAATAGAGTCCGGGCCGGTAAGTTAAGTGTGACGGAATGTCCCACTCTCCTAAATTCCCTTCAATTGAACTCTTGACTTTATTTTTTTTAATCCCACTCAACTTAGCGCAGGGGCAAGATCACCCGACGTGAACCTTCACTGTGATTGGCTCTCTCTCTCTCTCTGACTTCTGCTGTCTATGGTTTCCTTAATCATCAGCACGAGACATTCTTCTGACTATCACTGTCTACTCGCCTGAAGAACCTGGGCTACAATCTCCACTCTACAGAGGCCTTCACCTTCGCCTTCGCTATACTATTCTCTATACTCTACTATCCTTTTCCCTTCCGATTGACCCTCGGCCAAGAAATCGACCCGGTTGACTATTGGGCCCAGACATACAGTTCTAACTCGTCATACAGCTGGCTCGACTTGGCGTCTCGAAACAGAAAGTGGGTGCCAATATTTCGAACCCTTGGAGCCATCAATGCCAGTCCGTGTCTTGTCCTCCAACCATTGGCTGCACCCCGCAGACATTTCTTTATCTGATCCGCCTGACACCTTGCTAGACTGCAGGACCAAGACTCTGCCATCCCATCATCACACCACCTCCGAGCTTCTGCACTTTGGCAGGAAAGCTTCACCGCTTCAGTATCCCCTGGTCACGGCCATTTGTCATCTTTACCGGGCTCCGAAGGCGCAATCCAGCTCGTCCACGAGCGCCGATCCCTCAAATCTCGAGCAGGATCGTCATCTCTCACGTCAGAACGTTGTAACGAATACGGATTCAGGATCCACGCTAACGAAAGATTATCAGATCGACAATTCCCATCTTATCAGATCTTTTGATAACATCTTTGAACGCAGATAATCAGCAGCAGAAGTTAAGGGAGCGAATAGTACCTTGGGCTTGAAAACATCACGAGCACTGGGAGTCGGCTTGTAATTAACAAGCCTTCCTCTCTGCATCTACAGCTACTGTGAGCATCGAATCCACTCGCTCCTCAAATCCCAAACCTCGTCATGTTCTCTTCGTCTAGCATTCTTCTCCTCTGCTTTGGATGGCTAGCCCACGCGGCCACAGTCACATACGACTTCAACATCACTTGGGTCACCGCCAACCCTGATGGCCTTCTCAACCGACCGCTCATCGGAATCAATGGCCAATGGCCTGTACCATACATCACTGCAACTGTGGGAGACCGCGTTGTGGTCAATGTACTCAACCAACTCGGCAACGAGTCCACGAGTCTGCACTTCCATGGTATTTACCAGAATGGGTCTACGGAAATGGATGGTGTTACCGGCGTGAGCCAGTGTCCCATTCAACCAGGAGGATCGTTCACATACAACTTCACGGTAAGTCATTCCAACACGACCATGAATGCTAACGCTAACTGTTCTGAAGATTGATCAGCCAGGTACATACTGGTATCACTCACACGAGACTGCCCAGTATCCTGATGGTCTTCGTGGACCGTTGATCGTCAATGATCCCAATTCTCCTTACAAGGGGCAGTACGATGAGGAGATGGTGTTGACCGTGTCAGACTGGTATCACGACGAAATACCGAAGCTCATGAAGAGTTTTATCAGTGTGACCAACCCAACGGGGGCTGAGCCAATACCAAAATCTGCCCTCATGAATGACACCTACAACCTCACAACGCCAATCGAGCCTGGAAAGACTTACATGTTCCGCATTATCAACGTAGGCGCCTTTGCCGGTCAATACTTCTGGTTCGAAGGCCACACTATGACGATCGTGGAAGTTGACGGCATCTATACCGAGGCTGCCGAAGCCGACTTGATCTATATCACTGCAGCACAGCGTTACAGCGTTCTCGTCACAATGAAGAACGATACCTCTACCAACTACGCCTACGTTGGAAGCATGGATCAGGTAAGCATTAAGTAGCTTATGACCGGGCCCAGGACTGACTGCCATAAAGAGTTTGTTCGACACGGTTCCTGCATCCCTCAATCCAAACGGCACTGGCTGGCTCGTCTACGACGATACAGCACCTTTGCCCGCGCCTGCTCTTCTTGACACATTCAACGAGTTCGACGACTTCACGCTAATTCCAACAGACGGTGAAGAGCTCCTCGGCCCAGTCGACTACTCTTTCAACCTTGACCTGAAGATGGACAACCTAGGGGACGGAGCCAACTAGTATGCATTCTCCGGTTCCAACGAGGTATACCGCAACTGACTTGCTTTCCTAGTGCATTCTTCAACGATATAACCTATGTCCGCCCCAAAGTCCCAACCCTCTACACTGCTCTCTCCGCTGGCGACCTCGCGAACAACGCCACCATCTATGGCATCAACTCCAATCCCTACATCCTAGAGCATAACGACGTTATAGAGATCATCCTCAACAACAACGACACAGGCAAACACCCCTTCCATCTCCACGGCCACGCTTTCCAAGCCGCCGCACGCTCAGACAAAGATGCCGGTAAATACGTTGGAAACGAGACGTTCGCAGCGGTGCCAATGAGGCGGGATACTTTTATGGTGCGGCCGATGGGAAACATCGTCCTAAGGTTCAGAGCGGACAATCCTGATACGTCTCCCTTCCCCTGCCCCTTCCCATCTCCTATCAATCCCCCAGCTAACCCGAGACCTTGCACGCATCTGGTTCTTCCACTGCCACATCGAATGGCACCTCGCCTCCGGCCTCATCGCCACCATGATCGAAGCCCCCGCCCTCCTCCAAACCACCCTATCCATCCCTCCCTCCCACCTCGACGTCTGCACCGCCCAGAACATCCCCACCGTCGGCAACGCGGCCGGCAACACCGTCGACCCGCTCGACCTGACCGGCGCCCCGGAGCCCCCCCGCCCCCTGCCGGCCGGGTTCACGGCCAAGGGCATCGTGGCCTTGGTCTGCAGCTGTCTGAGCGCTTTTGCGGGCATCGCCGTCATTTCTTGGTTGGTGCTCCTTCCTTCCCTCCTCCTTACATTGTTCCGGACTGCGGGGTGCTGATGGCGGTGCGGTGTGTTAGGTACGGCGCGGGTGAGATCGGCAAGCAGGTGCCGAGCAAAGGGACCGAGGAGGCTGTCGCGGCTGCGGGGGTCGAAGATGAGATTGGTGGCGATGTCGTTGGGGAGTGAAGGTTGTTGGAGTCGGGGCTTCGATTGGCTTGGCTTGGTTTGGTTTGCTTCTCTGAGAGAGGGGGAGGGTCTCATGATGTGGCGTTGAATTCTGGTCGATACTTCAGAGTGTGGTAGGTAGATAGCTTGTGCACATGGGAAAGAAAAGCGTTTATGAATGGATTGTGCTCTTAACTCTGATTAATAATAGACAGTGCTCTGATGAAGTAAACAATGGAATGTGCTCTTAATAGACAGTGCTCTGATGAAGTAATTAATGGAATGTGCTCTTAACGTCAACTAATAGACGGTGCTCTGATGAAGTAATCAATAGAATGTGCTCTTAACTCTGATTAATAGACGGTGCAGTGCTCTGATGAAGTAGTTAATAGAATGTGCTCTTAACTCTGATTAATAGACGGTGCTCTGATGAAGTAATTAATAGAATCTGATCTTAACTCTGATTAGTAGACAGTGCAGTGCTCTGATGAAGTAGTTAATAGAATCTGTCTTAACTCTGATAATAGACAGTGCAGTGCTCTGATGAAGTAATTAGTGGATTATACTCTTAACTCTGATTAATAGACAGTGCTCCTGACGAAGTAGTTAGGGGAATGTGCTCTTAATAGACAGTACTCTGATAAAGTAATTAGTGGATAGACAGTGCTCTGATGAAGTAAACAATGGAATGTGCTCTTGACGCTGATTAATAGACAGTGCTCTGATGAAGTAATTAATGGAATGTGCTCTTAATAGACAGTGCCTTGATGGAGTAGTTAATGGATTGTACTCTTAACTCTGATAATAGACGGTGCAGTGCTCTGATGAAGTAATTAAGAGACTGTGCTTTTAACTCTCATCAATAGACAGTGCCCTGATGAAGTAATTAATGGAATCTGCTCTTGATAGACGGTGCTCTTGATGAAGTAATTAATAGAATCTGATCTTGACGGTGCTCTGATGGAGTAGTTAGTGAAATGTGATCTTAACTCTGATAATAGACAGTGCAGTGCTCTGAAGTAATTAGTGGAATGTGCTCTTAATAGACAGTGCTCTGATAAAGTAATTAAGAGAATGTGCTCTCGACGCTAATCAATAGACAGTGCTCTTGTGAAGTAATCCCTTCCACCTCCATCGAACACAAACGCGCTATGCGATATCAAGACAGACCCTCCCACTCTCTCCCTCCCACTCTCTCTCTCCCTCTCACTCACTCCCTCAAAGCCAACACCAACAACGCCGCCTCAACCAACGATCCGGGCTATCATGCCATCCATCCTTAATCCCATCATTACCTCATCCCACCCCCCATGCGTCTGATATCCCCGCCCCCGATTGTCTCGGTCTGGCCACCATCGCCTCAATCGGCAGGCTTCCGGGGCGAGACGAAGCGAGTGCCGATGCGCGGTTGTGGGAAGGCGTGGCTGAGGTGCTCGGGCGTCGGTGTCCGGGTGGCATTGGGCCGTGCTGTGCCCTCATTTTTGGCCCGGTCTTCGTCGCCGTTGCTGTTGAGACCTTTTCCTTTCCCGTCGTTCTCTTCCTCTTCCTCCTCTATTTCTTCCAGGTCTTCCAGACCCGCTCCCTCGTCATCTGCCTCTTCGGCTCCCTCATCGACTTCCTTGTCATCTTCCCCCTTAACCGTCTTCCCCATCTCATCTATGAGGATCGAGTCCCTCCTACCACCACCGCCAATACTGATAGCCTTTGAACTCCTCTTCGAAAAATATCCACTGTCCACACTGCCGTGTCTTTCATCGTTCAGACCTCCACCATCTCCCATCTCTTCACCCGCTCCTCCCCGTTGCGCGAGCATATCCCGTAGCATTTCAAAATCTTCGCCGCGGTCGACGAGCTTGAGTCGCTGGTAGTCTTTCCAGTCGTCGAGTTGGTCCGAGGTGGGGATGTGGAGGGCGTGAAGGAGAGACAGTTGGGTTGGGAGGCGGGAGAGGGTGAATGCTGTTTGCCAGGTGTTGGGTTGAGAGAGATGGACGGAGAAGGAGAGGATGCGGTAGCTGTGGCAATCTCTGGTATTAGCGGGGCTCCCCTTGGAGGGACGGGAAACGTGCAGGCCATCATATCTCAATCCAGCCTTTGGCGCAATCTTGCTCCTCAATTTCCAGCTTCTGAGCACTCGCACGACTTTCTCTTCTGGATCTGCGCGCAGCATCGTCTTCGTGAGCCTGAACACCCCGGGATCGCTCACCGCGGCTTTGTATGTGATCTCACCGTCTCGCCCGAGGTCTATCTCGCAGCTGCCTGTCAGGACGATGGCGTAGGCGCCGTTTTCGTTGGCGGTGATGCCGTGAGAGGTCTCGTCGACGATGCCGTCGCGGTACGCAGCTGCAGGCTTGAGCCACCAGCTGTTCAGGATGTTAGGTAAGGGCTTCATAGGGATAATGGTGAGGGAGGACGTACTCGCCGACCTCAAAGCCGAGGTGACCGAAGGCGTGTGCTCGAGATGGCTTCGGTGCTCCCTCAACAGACCAAGCCGATTTCGACTCCTGTGGTATTGTTATTCAAACAACGCAGGTGTATTGGGACTTGCCGTACATCGTCCGGTACACGTCCATCTTTCCAGCTCATCTTCCTCACTCCCTCCATTCTCCCTCCTGGACCGTAGAGATCAGCCCTGAGGTATTTCAACGGTCCCAGCTCGTTTTCCCATTTTGTGATCAAGTCTCCTGCATGTACCAGTACATCCATTGGCCAGCAAACATTCCTTGTGGCTGCCATGAGCATTAGCGCTTTTTCGATACGGCAATAGCGGAGGATCTCCAGTGTCATTGGGACTGCATCAAGGGTTTTGAAGATGGATTGTAGGCAGACAATGTCAGATTGGTTTAGCTTGGGTTCCTTGGCGAGGCGTGGGACGAGGGTGTCACGGATGTAGTGGGAGTGTCGACGTAACTCTTCTCGAAGCGAAGCTCCCTTTCGCGATGAAAGTCTCATTGTGAGAGGTATGCCGCGGGCTTTCGTGTTGGAACACTATGCTGTGAATGTGAGAGAGCATTGTCAGTGCATATGGACGCGGGGAAGTATTCCATGAAGTGTCCCATGACAAGGAAGGTGCGATGCTCGAAGATCTGTGTAACATTGCTCAGGTGTCATTGTAGGCTATCTGGAATAACGCTGCTTGCCACCAACTTATTGGAAGCGAGGGCATTGTGGAACTGCCCCAAGCCTGCTCTTTCGGACCCTCGCGGAACCATGGAACAGAAAATCAAACCTCGGTTGTATCAGTTGTTCTTGCGTCTCCTGCCCCTAGCCCGTGACCCCAGACCACAAATCTTACGCCTTCGTTTTCCGCCAAAGATCCCTATCCCTCAGAACTCTTGAAGCTTTAGCATAAGCCGCGCTCTCATGGCACTCTATTGCCCAGCCAGAGCCGACTCCGAGTTCAACCTTTCCATTATCGATTGGGTTGATTAGGCGGGTTAGGCGGGTTAGGCGGGTTGGGTGGGGGGAGCGGTGGTAAAGGTATGTTCGGCGGTGGACCGGATGGACTCATGTATCGTGGGGGTGGTTTTGGCAGATCTTTTGGGTTCTGGGGTGTTGATGTAGGCATGGTTCTTTCAATTCAAGCTTCGCGATCTTGTTCTTTGTGAAGCTCTTGATGGAGGCAAGAGGTAGCTGTTTATTGAGAAGAGGATTTCTGGGAGATTCAAGGCTGTGCCATCATCTCTTATAGACGCCATGTTCGTAGGAATTCTCGTGAGATCGGAGACGCATTGGCATCGTCCGGCGCAGGCGTCCACAAGATATCGTGAGGTTTGCATCGCCTCAGTACTTTAGCAATCAAAGGTCCGTCCGGAAGATGCAGTGGAAGAGAGATTGCCTGATACAGGGTCTGATGATCTGAGGCCTCGGTAAGATTTGGATAGGAGGCCAGGGAACTAGATGCCTTGGTGTTGAGGGAAAGGTACGTAGCCGTTTTCAAGCCAGCACCCTGGTTAATGCTTTATATTAGCACCAAGCTACGAAATACGCGTGTAGTACGACTATCTTATCCAGGCTCCAGGGATAACAGGCCAATTTGAAGTTATGAACTAAGCGTAGTCCGACTATTCGCTCCGCTTATAGTAGTCCGCAACTCAAAGACGCACTAGTCTCAAAGACGCGTTTTTTCGCGATTTGACACCCTATATTATAATTCACCATTATTCCACCACACTATATCTATATCTTATTCTAAGTAAGAGGAACTCGTCTAAAAGGCTATTGATAAGTATAAGGACGGTTATTTTTATAGCGCTATAGCGGCCGTAGAGTATTATAATCTTAAACCGCGACGAATATAAAGACGGCTTCGGAGATAAGCTTTTAGAAGTACTTAAATATCTATTTATATACGTCTTATTACGGCTTAAGAATAGTCGCTATATAACTATATTAATCGTCTAAATAATATCGAGTATTTACTTTAACTAAATTACATTTAGAATACTATTAAGTATATTCTTAAAATCGCTTCGAATTTATATTATTTCTCTAAATTACTTAATAAAGATTAAACTATATAATTTATAAAATAATATCTTAAATATTATAAATAAAAGTAAAAATCTTTTAGTATTAAGTATAAGAATATATATAATATTAAAAGTATACGCGTAGCGTATAAGAAATTTTGATAAGACTATAAAGAGAAGGATATATAATATTAAGATATTTGAAATATAAATAAGACTAGCTTTCGAATTAACTGTAAAATCGTTTATTATATTATTACTTTAAATAAAAGTAAGTCTCTATAATTCGTAGATCTAGATAATTATAATTATATAAGTAAAGGCTCATGAATTAAATTCATGAAGTTGGATTTTTCATTTTTCTAAGTCAAATAAAGTTGGATTTTTCTAAGTTAAATCGAATTTTAGCCCTAGCCCTAAGTATAAATCAAACTCTAATCGCTTGCTATGCGTTTTTAACCTACTTCTATCACTACGAAATTAATAAAGAAGGTAAAAGCCCTAACCCTAAGTTAAATCGGACTCTACTTACTTTCTATACGGCAAATAACTTACTTCTATTATTATAGATCTCTGACTAATTACGTCCTTATCTGAGGAAGAAGTATCTACTTAATAATCTTATTTTTGATACACCTTATTAGCCGAGTGAGTTATCTTCTTAATAGATCGCCTAGAACTATAATTGATAGGCCGACCTTACTAATAACTCGGCTTAGGGTTATATATAGTTGATTATGGGTAAAGACCTCGGGGTATAGGTATAGGCCGATTTGCTGTAATGATTGGCTCTAGAACTTATTAATCGTCATGCTAAAGGCCAATTAAATTAGGAATTAGATGCGTCAAAAGGGAGCATATAGATTATTCGAATTAGGCGGAGCTAGAGGGATACGTAGTATATAGTATCATTTATCGTTATATTCGCCTTTAAAAATATAATAATTAAGTGTCTTAGACTTAATATATTTAACTTATAGACGTGTCTTATTATATAGATCTATACGCTACTCTAAATTCCTTAACAATATTGCTATATAATTCTATTTTAACTTCAAATAATAAGGTGAAAGCGAGGCTAATTTAAAGGCATTTATTATTTCAGTGAATAGAAGAAAGCTATCTTCCTTATTAATAACTTAATTTCTACTATTATAAATAATCTTAGCTCTAGGAAATTTATTAAGAACTTAACTATTAAACTAGGCGATATTCTTATTAAGGGTGTAAAGAATCGCCTTAGATGTATAGAAATTAGCTATTCGATATAGGCTAAGGTTACTATAAATAGTATTAATCAGCTAAGTAATAAAGTTATCTAATAGCCACTCGATAGACTAATTAATAGCTTCTTATCCTTCGAAGCTTGTTGAGGTATTATTACCTATATCTAATAGCCTTTAAGCGAATTCCTTTATATTAGTCCGGCCTTAATTAGTAAGATTAGAGTTTTGAAGCCTTATATTTTCTATTAGTCTAAGGATTTAAATATAATTTTAAAGATAGAACGCCCTTAACGTAGCCCGAGCGATGTGACCTAACTTAGCACCCTTAATGATTGGAAGGATTTGACGGAAGTTATCGTAGAAGTATATGACTATGCTATTAAAAGAAGTAAGGTTCTTTCGAATATCTTAGAGTATACGATTAACGGTCTTAATATCGTAGCGGTTTTATATAGAGATCTTATTCTAGAAAATAAGCTCGGTCGCCTTTAATAACTAAGCTAAATTAGACTCTATCGATATATTGTAATTAAACTAAGTAATAGTATTAAGGGAGATCTTAAAGCGAGAATAAGCGATAGTGCCACCTTAAAGGAGAATAGAGGCGATATTAGATAAAACTATAGTAATAGCTATCTTAGAGTTATTTCGTACTCTTCGCAATATAATATTCTAAAGTATAGTCTTACTAATATCTCTATAGTTATTAAGAAAGAAGAGTTAACTATTAGAATAAGAGATCGCGTTCTAAATAGCGTCAGTTATAGTAATTTAATTATTATTAAAACTTGTCTATATCTAATCTTAGATATTAATTCGATAGCTACGTGCTTCGCGTAGAAGTCGATTCTAATTATTAATATAATATTATTTATAGTCTCGCTAGATCGCGGATAGATTAAAGCCGGTAATAAGGCTGATGTCCTTTATAGAGCTGGTGTTATTTTTCTTTAAGCGGATTTGAATTAAATGAAGGTAGAAGTCTTCGACGACGGCTTGTTTATATTGCGTATCGTCTGATAGAGGAAGAGTATAATACTAAGTCTGAAGGATATGAATAAGGTTATTAGATAATCTAAATAAAGAATAATAAGTGTTAGTTAAGAAATGTACGCAAAGTGCGAATAAAGAATTAAATCATTTATAGGTAAAAAAAGGAAAAATACGCCTAGCGCGAAAAGTTTTGGTGGCTAAAAAAAGAACACTATACCAAAAAAAGTCGCGATGTTTTAAAATTATCGTTAGCGCGGTAATCTTCTTATTCTACAGCTTAAAGTACTTTTAACTTATTAAAGAAATTACTAAGAAAAATATATTTAGCGCGAAAAGTTTTGATATATAAAAAAAGAAATATTATATCAAAAAAGTCGTAATATTTCAATATCACTATTAGCGCGGTAAGCTAATTATGCTACGCTTGAAGTATTTCTATTTAATAAAGAAGAAATTGCTCATATATCTTAATTTATAATTATTTCATAGATCTAGAGGATTACCAAGCTTACATTACAGTAGAATCATTATAAAGAGACCCCGTAAGGCGTATCCTCCCTATTAGGCCGCTACTTCATTCAATACTTAATTTCATTCAACGTTATCGTAAAGTAAGCCTTTTATTATATAGGTATTATAGTAGAAAGAAAGAATATTATCGTCTACCGTGCGTAAGTCTTCGAAGAATACAAGATTCGATATATTTAGAAGAAGATACCGTAGATAGAAGAGCTTTCTAGCGTTCGGATTAATGTAGTATATCCTTTTAATAATACCCCTACGCCTCTAATATGAACTTTATTCGAATATACCTCGCTTATTCTTTTTTTAGATATATTATATTAATAGATCGGTATAGAAGAGGTCTTCTATTTATCTTCCCTGCCGACGCCGTTAATTTAGTTGGAAGAAGGCTGTTAGCTTAATCTGGCGTTTATATTCTATATCGATTATATGGGATAGGTTATTATCGTTATTAAATATTATATTCTATTAATTCGAAAGATAGATAAACAATCGTTTAATAGAAGGATTATAATTATATAATTTAAAGCTAAAAATCCTTTAATAGGCTTTCGTAGAGCTTATTTATCGTATATCTTAATACTCTTAAATCTCGTTTATCTAGTTTAACCCTATATCGTCTTAATCTATATTACCTTTACGCTCTATCTAAAGATTAATTTAATCGCTATTCTTATGAACATACTTAAAGATATATTTATAGGCTTTAACGTTGGCGTAGATCTCTATATTGATGTGAGCGTTATACTTAGTCGATAAATAAAAACTATAGAGTATTATCTAGCAATTCTACTTAAATTCATCATCTAATATCTTAGTAGGCCTACGCCGACGGTATATGGGGTACTCGAAGTCTGATTTAAAGACGGTATGGTCGCTGAAGTTCTTCGGAAACTACTTACTATATACGTTCTTATCTAAGTCCCAGTAAGGTAGAATAGTATCTATTCTACTAATAGTATATTGGCTGCAGTTCCTATAGAGTATATACCTAATAACGATCGTATAGAGATTAAGAAATAGATTTTAATTAGGAATCTCAGTATTAACAGCGACGTCTACCTCAGCGGCGCTAAAGAATCGGTCTTTAGGGTGTAAAATGATAAGGATATAGATATGCGGTAGGCCTCGTTTTTAAAATTTAATGGTGTAGGTATAGGCCGGAACTCGACCTATTGCCCGCAAAGTCAGTTAGGGTTAAGGCTAATCGACATTTCAATCGACCATACTTCGCCCTTATGGGGGTGAAAAAAATTTAGACAATACCGTAGGGCTAACCGATAGGAATTACGGCGTGTGATAAATTAAACTATGCTAGAAGTACCTCTAGGGACTATAATCTACACTAATCGCCTGATTAATATACCGCCTAAGAGGCTACTTTACTAAATGAAATAGAGGAGAGCTACTATACTATAATAGGAGGTAAGAAGAATAAGAGTATATCTAGCACCTTCCCCTTTAGAATATCGTTTATAAGAGCCTTCAGCTTTAGTCTAAATACTCTAGTAATCAGATTAAGTCGATCAGTAGCGCGTTCGCCGAATAGAAGATTTTTGATAATCTCGATTTATTTTGAGTTATAGGTGAAAGTTATAAAGAGGTTCGGTTGGCTAAACTTGATGGATAGGGTAATAGTATTCTAATAGAGTTATTTTATAAATTATAGGCCTTTTTAATAAAAGAAAGGAAGAATAATACATTATTTACCAGCCTAATCACCTATAATAACTCTACCGACGTAAGCATCGATAACTACTTAATAGATATCGATCTGAATAGTCTTCTAATTTACCTTTAGTTAATAAAGTTTATTACTTTCGATAGTTATATAGGTATCGTAGATGAAATATTATAGTAGTCGATCGCAGTAAAGAAGGCGGTTAAATTTGCCGGGACGACTCTATATTATATATCTATAAAATATTAGTGATCGATAGAATAGAAGGAATAAATGGAATAGATCTATAATATGAGATAAGCGTCACTCGTATAGAACCACCTTATTCGATAATTCCTCTAACTCATAAAACGGCTTCGCCGTTTTTGCTTCGCTGAGTAAGAAGGCTCCTACCCAATATAATACCTATATTGAGTATATTATTATACTATGACTATTCGTCGAATGGGAAGATAAAAGAATAGCGTAAGAGTATGTAGGCTGGATGCTAATATGAAATACTAAATCTCTTATTACTTCGAGCCTCTATTAATATATCCCTAGCCTTAGATATGTCTAGTGGGTTATCGATATTACCCTCTTAGGCGATAGCGACTTTATCTAAAGTAAAACGATTGTAGGTGCGTGGATTATAATACCGTAAGTTCTTATAAAGTAGCTTATAGCCCCGTATATTTGAATTGGCCTTTAGCCTTTTAGATATCGATTTGAGGGCGTTAATATAGAAATTAATACTTTTAAGATTTATAGCTATTTTGCGATAAAGCGTTTAATTAATACGATTATAGTAGTTATGTCTAGTAAAGTTAGTATAGGAAACGCGGTCGGAAGAAAGTTATACCGTATTATGGACTAATCTTAAATACTATTTATAATATAGATTTGACTAAAGACCGATTTTTCGCTCTCTGGAGGCGCTAGGGTAGGTATATAAGTAGTAATTGCTCCCTAGATTTTGTATATGTACGGGGCGACCGAATAATTAATAGTAATCTGCTATGAGGTTATAAAGATCGTATTATTATATTAAACGCTGTAACGGCGGAATTCTTTGTTATTATTAGTAAGATTCGAGGTCCCTGGCGTCAAAGAGTGGAGGATTTAATTAATGGTATACTCGCTGGGATTAATTGGATCGTTTGTGCTCGTTTCGACGCCCTTATGGCCTTATTCTATATCGTCTATCTCGTCTATTTTAGGTGTATCGACTTCAGTCTTTCCGCTGTCGCAGCATCACTTGGTTATCTCATCTTTCTATAACGCCGCACCGCAGTGGTCGTAAATCTGGTTTATAAGACCCAAATCATGTCGTATAGGCTCTATGGTATATGGGTGACGCGCGGTGTAGCTGGCAAGCCTTGCTGGAGGCTGAGTAGGACCCAAATAAGGGCTGAAAGGTGGGCTGGAAGGACGTGGGCTGTCGAAATCGTTGTTAAAGAAGTCTGGTGGTAGGTCTCGTAATAGAGGGTCTTCGATAGTATCTTCCTCTCGTTTAGGAGCTTCTTCTTGACGATGTTTAGGATCTAACACGCGTTGAGAGGCTTTAAAATAGGGTGATGAAGAACGGGTAGAGGAGGAAGACGCGTCTTGGGAGGTAGCATCGCTGGGTTGGAAGGCACTACCGCTGGCTTGGGAGGAGTATGTAGGGGAGGACGTATTCGTTCGGGCTCTTTTAAAGAGCCTTTCAACGCGTTGATGAGCAGTAGTAGGTAGTTGGGCTCGCTTGCGGCCTCGATTGCCAGCAGTAGCGGATTCGCCGAGGGGTGGCCTGGCTGGAGGCGTTAGTAGGGGCTCTAAGAGGCGGGTAAAAGGGGTGTACGTGCCTGAAGCGTTTAGTAACGTTTCCGCGAGGGGTATCGAGGATGATTGTGTTCATATTGGTGGAATTGATAGAATTGATAGAATGATAGAAGAATAATAGTTACACAAACAAACAGGTGGAAGGATTATCCGATCCCGGACGCGTTTCGTGTAACTATATTTAAATACTACTTCGCTCCACCAATAATAGGCCAAACTTCATAATTTTTACAGCGTTAGAAAGCGCAAAGCGAGCTCTACAATTTAAGGAATTATAAAGTAACTATATATATCGCAAGCTGAGTACTTCAAAGTGTAAAACTTCTACACACAAATTTTTAATAAGGGAGCTTAAGAGGGCTAGCGGGCTAACTCAGCCGGTCTAACTAAAGAGCGTAATAACCCTAAATTTATAATTAACTACACATACAAATTCAAGGTTTTCAAGCTCAGCCCTACCTTATTCTTTTATATATACTAATTATATTTATAGAATATATTAGCGTCGTAGATTAAAGTATACCTTTATTCGTAATTTTAAAAAATATTTATATTCTATATAAATAGAATAAAAACGACTTATCTTCGAATACTATATTAGTCGTTTTATTTACTAGATATTTAAATAATCGACTAGTATATAACTAGCTACTATATTTTAATATATTTTCTTATTATCGTTAAGTAAGAGAATAGAGAGTCTTAATTCTAAACGACTTCGAATCTTATTATATCTATAAATTTCATATATTTATCTAGCAATTAAAGATCGACTTATTTATACTTCTCTTATATTCTATATATATTATATAGTTATTAGATATAGAATACTTTTAATCATTTAAATATTATTATACGAAGACTATAGATTTAGCTATACGTTTTAAGAGTAGCGACTTTAATAAACTTAACTTTCTCGTAGTATTTAATTAAATAAGAACTTAAACCTTTACGTCTAGTATTATATATTCGATCTTTTAAAAGACTAATTTTATATTTTATAATTCTAAAGTAATACTCGAAAAATTAGAAATCTAGCACCTGCGCTATAACTCTAAACGAGTCTATATCTCTTATACTTATTAGAATTTCTTATAAAGTCGAAGACGTTATTAAATACGATTAATGATTTAAAGAATTACTTACTACTTAGACTTTTATTATTCTAAAAAGTATATAATAGCTATTAACTCGATTTATAAAAAGAATCTATTATTAATAACTACTTGAGATAAATTATCGAGCGAGATGTTACGGAGAATCCTTCACATAGGGCCACTAGTACCAATTAGGCCTTAGCGCGCCTCCTCCGCACATATGTGCCTGCAGACCACATAGATTAATAGAATAACTTTACACCACACCAATATTATGATATTAAGAACTATTCCTTAACAAATGGTAGCAACACCTGAAGATCACTCAACAGGAGTCTATTGATTTTATTCGCTCATCCATAGTGCTGGCCAGTCACGCTACGCCTCTACCTACCTCAACATCCATATCGCTCACCTATCAGCACTCAGCCCGTCACGCAGAGTCACTACACGCAAGCAGTCAACACTACCCCCATCGCTCATCTATCAGCACTCAGCCCGTCACGCAGAGTCACTACACGCAAGCACACAAGCAAGTGAACCTTTCAATAGGCCATCACTATGTCTACTTCCAGCCCACTCATCCCCGGCATCTCGAACGATCAGCTTCAGGGCATAATGGCTCTATTTCAAGGCATACTAAGAACTGAAATGGCCATATTCAGAACTGAAATAAGAACTGAAATGGGCATGCTAAGGACTGAAATGAATCAACTACGCAATGAGTTTCGTCAGCAAGCCACTCAGCCAGTCACTCAGCCAGTCACTCAGTCAGCCACTCAGCCAGCTACTCAGCCAGTCACTCAGTCGATCACTCAGCCAGAGCACCCAGTTGAACAAGAGGAGGAAACACTACAGGCAATTGCGGAGAACACTGCGGAGAACACTGCGGAGAAACCAAGCGGCAACAAGGCCACCATCGTCAAAGACATGGCTCAGCTCTCCACGATCCCGCGTCAAATCATCACTCAGCAAGCGGAGAACACCACTACGATTTGGCCTACTATCTCCACATGCCTGGGCAATATCACATTATGGTACATCACTGCAATGAGCACACAAGAGAAGGATCTACTGCGTCGATCACAGCCAATTGGGCCTCTGCAGGAGGACATCAGACAATACATATTTGGACGAATTGAAACCGTCTGATGTCTTGCTCTGACAGTCATTTCATTATTCAAAGGTTTTCACTGCGGCAGGAGATTTCATGGGATTCACACCACTAATTGGCACGGTGTCTCCATTTCTTTCCGGCATTCGAAAAATCATGCATGCATACTTCTTGCCATGAGGACATGGCCTTTCTCTGTTTTTTGTGGGCACTTGTTACGGAGAATCCTTCACATAGGGCCACTAGTACCAATTAGGCCTTAGCGCGCCTCCTCCGCACATATGTGCCTGCAGACCACATAGATTAATAGAATAACTTTACACCACACCAATATTATGATATTAAGAACTATTCCTTAACACGAGATATTAAGACTATTTATAAAGAGATCGTAGTTAAGCGAGTATATAAGATACTTTCTAAGATAATTATTTAGAAGAGAAAATAGATATTAATAGATTAAATATATAAATCTCTAATTATAATAGAAGAAATAGTTATAGAAAAGGCGGAGAAGACTTTAAAGCGAGCTATTTGGGCTAAGGAAATTTAGTAAGAAAAGATTAATAAGACTATTAAGACTTATATCTAAAAGCTAGATTATAATCTATAAAAGCTAGTATATATATATTAAGACGTATTTATTAGAATTTAAATTATAGAATAAGATCTATATAGAATTAGAAAGGAATAATAGATTTTCGCGTCTTTGAGACTAGTGCGTCTTTGAGTTGAGGACTACTATGAGCGGAGCGAATAGTCGGACTACGACTAAGGTCTCTTCTCCAAATCAACGCATAAAGCGACGAGATTGATGAAAAGAAAGCGTCTCTAAAATGAAAATTAGGAAGAGCATCAAAAATTGCGCGAATGAGGTACCCGAAGGCAACTCAATGACTTTTGCCTCCGCCATGTGCAATGCAGGGCTCAAATCATGAGCGAAGGCCTTCTTGATGGCCCAGCTCCTCATAAGGTAAGTATGAGTGGGAAAACGAAGGGTCTCGGACAGAGGGTTATACGGTACTACAATATGCAAGAAGATCCTTAGTGCCACGCTAAAATTCTCACCTCTGTCACCCGCTGTTCGCTTGAACCACTACCTGGTAGGTGAGTGAATTTGCGACTGCATTTGGTGGGATGAGGTCAAGGTGCCGCTCACATCAACCATATGAAGCGCACTCACTCACCTACAATGGATGAGCCAGAGCTTCCTACCTCGCCTCGCAAGAAGCTAAAGCTTGAAGAGCCTGCCTTCCACGCGGAAGTCGCAGATACCGTCACGGAAGCACCATCAATTCCACTGGTCATGGCAGGCATTCCTTACGATCACCTAGCTACGACAAACGATCAGCTCAGCAAACCGACCATCATAAGCTCTGCGGAATTGCCTACCTCATCCGAAACACCTACTACACTAAATACTCTAAAAGCTGCCCGCAACTCCGAACGCCCAATTGCTACGCCAGAATACCAGGTAGAGGAGTCGCACGACCACTCAGAAGCCCCAGGCGATTTGCTCAGCAAACAGATTACGAACGTGTCGGAATCACTATCAGCAATGACGGATGCAGCGAATGCGCTAGATGATCACTACAGCAAGGAGGCTGCCTGCGGCATTACCGAGTTTGTCAGTCCTGATCTGCTTGGCTTCAGTGGCATTCTGAAGAAGAGGTACGACTTCTCGATCGCTACCATTGATTACCTATCTAACCTAGATAGATACACCGACTTCCTCGTCAACGAGATCCTGCCTTCTGGTGAAGTTGTCCACCTCGACAATCTCAAAGCTCCTCGGAAGCCATCCACAAACACCGGGCCGTCGAAAAATTCCGGCCAGGTATCATCAGCGGATACTATGAAGCGCAAAACAGAGATTCCAGCAATCATCGCGACACAAGCTAACACCGAGCAAGAGCGACCTGGGCCAGCGCCTACACCTAAATCCAACGACAAGAAGCAAACCATTCCACATCCAGACACTTTCAAACCAGAGCAGCCTACCACCAAGCTCAAAGAGGATCTATCAATGACCGAAGCACCGCAGGCCATACCCCAGAGTATGCAAGACTTCAATAAATATGAGCTAGCACCTGCTCCTCCTGTTGACGATCACGAGAAAATCTCACCACACAAGCGCATTCCGCCTCCAGCACCTTCTGTTCCTCTAAGTATGCAAGACCTAGATGGCAATAAGCCAGAGCCGAAACAAGAGAAGCCGTCTCGTCGGAAAGAGAAGGTACACATTAGGCAAACAAGTCAAGGGTGGGTAGAGTTCGACAAGGGAAAAGAGGACGAGACCAAGAAGCGCAAGGCCGAAGAGGATGCAGCGGCCGGAGTGCGGCGGGAGGACTTTACCAAGATGGAAGACATCAAGCCAGAAGAGACTGCAGATGTGCCCGAACCTAATCAGCCGACTTCAGAGCAAGTGCCAAAAGCGAGCACCCAAGCATCATGGCAAGCTTTTGCTGGCAGTGCGCCCAGTAGCAGCTTTCAAGTTAGTAGTCAAGCAACTCAACGTGATGTCTTACTGACCTTGATACAGCTTCAGCCCGAGGACAAGAATACTCTGCTATCCTACTTCAGTTCCGATGTCGTTGACAAGATAATCGCTCTGTACGACCGCATTGTCGATTCGCCAAATCGCAAAACAAGGGACTATGGCATGGTCACGTCAGGAGTCATCGATCGCCAGATACGCACTAATATACATCAAGACATCAGAAGAATGTTCAATTCTCGACTTGAAACAATGACCGACAATGATGGCGCCATGATGATCACAGCGATGGCTGCGAACCCCACTTTTTACGCTAGAACCCCTATGAATACCAATCCGCGAAATAACGACCGTGGCAACCACCGAGGAAATACCCGAGGCAGTGCTCGAGCCAACGGTCGACGCAATGATGATCGTTCAAGTACGCAAGCTTCTAGTGGTGCCAAAGGCAAACCCAGTTGGGAAGACCTCGGCGGCCAGTATCTACATTTTTCTCTTTACAAGGAAAACAAGGACACCATGGAGGGGATCTCATGGTTGTCAAAGCAAGTACGGATGAATCCTAGGTCTTTCCAGTTCGCAGGAACCAAGGATCGACGTGCAGTCACCGTTCAACGAGTCAGTGTAGATCGTGTATCTGTCAACGCCATGATCGCAGCTGGCCGGACGTTAAGAAACGCACATATTGGGAACTTTGAATACCGACCGCATCCGTTACAGCTTGGCGAGTTGACTGGCAACGAGTTTGTTATAACCTTACGGGATTGCGATTTCCATGACCCTGTCCCGCTGGAATCCAAACTCATTCTCGAAGGAGCTCAGGCGATTGTTAGCGAAGCAATCAAAAATCTGAGCGAAAGGGGCTTTGTCAACTACTACGGTCTGCAGCGCTTCGGCACCTTCTCTATCGGCACCGAAATCGTGGGCCTCAAGATGCTCCAAGGTGATTTCAAAGGTGCCGTCGACGCCATTCTCGACTACAGTCCAGCTTCCCTGGCCGCCGCCCAAAACCCCGTATCCGGGAACACGGACAAGGTCTCAATGGACGATAGAGCTCGTGCGCATGCACTGCATTCTTACAGGACCACGAACAGAAACGGTCAAGCCCTTCTCGAACTGCCACGCAGGTATTCAGCCGAATTAAGTATCATTCGTCACCTTACAGGCAAGTCGGACCATCGCGAAGACTACCTAGGAGCTCTCCAGACAATATCGCGAAATCTGCGCCTCATGTACGTCCACGCTTATCAGTCTCTGGTCTGGAATACAGTCGCCTCGGAACGCTGGAAGCGTTTCGGCTCGTCTGTAGTCGAGGGCGATCTCGTGCTCGTCGACGACCATGCCGACAAAAGTGAAGGTGTCACCAAAGGCGAAGATGTTGACGTTGATGGGGAAGCCATCGTGCTTCCTGCTACTGACGATCGTGCAACTAACCCGGACGACGTCTTTGAGCGCGCTCGAGCCTTGACTCAGGAGGAAGCCGAAAGTGGGAAGTATAACATCTTCGATATCGTCTTACCAACTCCGGGCTTCGACATAATCTACCCTTCAAACGGGATCGGGAAGTTCTACGAGGAATTCATGGCCAGCGAGAGAGGCGGTGGCTTGGATCCGTATGACATGCGAAGACAGTGGAAGGACATCAGCCTGAGCGGGAGCTATCGCAAAGTCCTCGCTCGCCCGGGCAAGGACTTCTCGTTTGAGATCAAGACCTACAAGAACGAGGACGAGCAGTTTGTCTTGACAGATTTAGATCGCCTAGGGCTGGGACCAAGACCGCAGAGGAATGGAGTTCCCAGACGTGAACAAGACAATCACGCACATCAGGACACCGCTGCTGGATCTTTGACTGATACTAAGCAAAAGAGCGGACCCGCGCAGGAGGACGACGTCTCCAAGATGGAGCAGGGCAACAGTGACGCTCCCAACAGCAATGACACCAGAAACCTGACCAGGATCAAGACCGCATCTCAAGAAAGCGAGGACATGGAGCAGGGCGGCGTTAGTCTCCCCGGCGGTGCTTACCGCGACTACAAGATCGCTGTCATTCTGAAGCTGCAACTTGGCTCCAGCCAGTACGCTACCATGGCCCTGAGGGAGCTGATGAAAGCGGGTGGTGTCAAGACTTATAAAGCTGATTACAGTGGCGGCCGATGAGCAGCATATTTCGTTGTGAGCTTGACGATTCTGATAGTATACCAGACTCGTTGAATGTCAACATTGGCTTGGGTATGAACGGTGCATATACGATTAGCACATCTGGCGGTTGGCATAGCATGGTCTAAGCTCATATAGCGCGGCCTCATGGCATGATCTCTACGAGCTGACTCACGCACGATGTGGAAAGCATGATTGATGGTCATGTTCTGGGATACCCTTCCCCTCGTCAGATTCATTTCATAGCATGGCACAGCAAAGTAGAGCACAATAGCCGAAACCATTCCTGTCAAGCTCTCAAAAGTCGTGAGTATGAGAAGATGATTCATGCGGTCGCTGCGAAATCTGGAAGCCTGCAGTTGATCGCACAACGTTACAATTGCAAAACTCACCGCTCCGTCACGGATGTCTGTTCCTACCACCTCGACAAACTATCATCCCACATGTATACCCGACCAACCCTCTCACCTCATGCCTACCCATCCATACCCTGAGCACTCTGTTCGAAATAATCACTCACCTCCCGCGCGACCACATCCGCCATTGAATCTTCCATCAATCAGCTCACGGTCGAATACCTAACCCACGTTCTCATTCCACTGAATCCAAACCCTGCACGCAACGTCTGAACTATCCACTCCACACCGCGACTCGGAGCCCGTAACGTCTTTTCTGCCCCTATCTCATCCATCCATCCATCCATCCATCCATCCATCCATCCATCCATCAAGACTTTCAACAAGGCATCGAATCCCACACCCTCTCATCCCAGCCGCTCCCCTTCACAGCCCCAATCTTCGACTCCCGAACAGGAGACCACCTTCGCCGCCAACGTCCGAATAGGGTCAACGGTTTGCGGAAAAGGTCGGCCAAGGAGGATGGGACGGGATGGGACGGGGGGCGGGGGGTGATTGGTTGGAGAGGAGGCTCCTGTTGGAATGGATGGGTGGATGGATGGATGGATGGATGGATGGATGGATGGCTGTGCGTGAGCGACTGGTCGACTAGTTTACCTTATCTGAGTCTAGAGTCGCCAGACTAAGAGAGCAAGAGTGAGGCAAGCTCCTCGGACGAGTCTGAGGAAGAAGTTGGCCCCGGATGGATGCGCTCTCTCTCTCTCTCTCTCTCTCTCTCAACCCGAGCTCCCCGGCCCCGGCTCGCATTGTCCAGCATGACGGGACGGCTGTGATGGGAACGTGTCCGTCGCGGATGACATCACCACGGGGAAGCAAAATCCACAGCGCCTCCGCAAACTGCAAAGGACTCCCTGTTCGACGACGTACCTAGGCTGCTTCTAACGAGGGAGCGGACTGACCCTCGCCCCCTTCCCCCTGCAATACGCCTTCACCAACCCACACCTCGCTCACGCCAACGCTATCCCTACGCCCTTCCACCCATCCACGCTCCTGATCCCCCTCCGTCGAGCTCTTGCGCGATGCCTGCCGTCAAGGGGCTCGCTCGTTTCATCGGGGCGGCGGTGAAGGCGGTGGGGGTGGGTTGGTGCGAGGGCGTGCACGGAGAGGGGGCGGGAGGAGGAGGGTGCGTGGAGCGGGAGTGGGAAGGGCGCCCGTGTGAGTATTCGCGGCGGCGAGGGTTTCCGGGTGCGTTTTGTTGGCCGGGTGGGCAGGTGGGAAGGGGATGGTTGTCGGATGGGTGTGTGAGTTCTTGTGTTTTGCTAGCTACTGGGCTCTTTTTCGTCGACTTTCGGTGAGTGACGAGGCTTGTTGGAGGTGTTTTGTGTGAATGGGCCTCGTTGGGGGGTTTTGGTTTGGGTTGTCGTTCTTATGATGTAGATTCGTATTTTTCTTCTTTGTCTGCTTTGTCATTTGAGCGCTCTCTACGACGCTGAATCATTGGGTTGTTTCTCTTCTTTACTCCCACTGGGGGGATTTTCTTTGCGTATCCATCACTTGAGCTAGTTCGTCGCTAAAAAGTCTTCCCAACTCCCTTCCTCCCAATCTTCCCTCGAGCCTCGTGACCTACCAAGCGTGTAATCACATAGCAATGCGTCAAGGTTGGCGCAGAATCAAAGGAGCAGATGGGAGTTGTTTGGCCGTATTATAATAGTGTACGTGTTAGATACAAAAGTCCTGTACATAAAGCGTATGTGAGGCAAGAAACACTTTTAGCACCATGATTATTTTTGTCGCATCGAGTTCGAGACTAGACCGTCCGCTGACCTTACCTGGGCCATTTTCAGTCACTGCAATTGCCCCAGAGCGGCTGGCACCAATTCGCCGCTCCACAGAAATCCACCGTGCTACCTAGTTCGACAACCCATGATTAGCCTCATGTGCCTTGGGTGCATGCGGGCGCGCTCGTGGCCCGTCACGCAGCGACTGAATGATTGACTTACCACAGTAGTTGCTCCCGCTGCAACACAGCCCGTCCCCGCACTTAGCATTCACAATCGGTCCGCACGTCAGGCCCATGCCCGCCGTTGTTGGAGGACCGGAAGGCAGAGGCGGTGCCGTACGGTTGGTCGCGCAGTCGCCGAATCCGACCTGGCAGGTGTCGGCGCCGCAGTAGAGATCTTGGCTCTCGATGTTGTTCTTTGGGCCGCAATGACCACCGGAACTGCAGCAGCGGTAGTAGTATCCTGGCTCGTTGGGATCAGGAGGCACGCCAGCGCCCGGACAAGAGACGCCGCCTACGGCGTGACCGCAGACGTCGATGTTTGGGACTGTCGAGACGTAGGAGGGAGGAGCCACCAATGCTGAGGGGAGAGAGGATGATGTCGAGGAAGCGAAGTATGCTGGAGTGGCTAGGGATGCACAGCTAGATCCAGGGCCGGAAAATTGCTTTTGACAGGTTGTCGGATCGCACCAGGCAGGACCGGTGTCACACTACAGCAGAGGAGAAGTTAGGCACTGCCGTGGCTGTCTATGGACGGTTTGGAAGGCATTAGATTGCTTACCCAGCCATGATCGCTACCTGTGCACAGATATTCGTCAGCAATTTCCCGAAGATGTTGGCACTCGAGGGAAGAGCGTTGTCAGCATACAGCAATCTCCTGGTGCACACGTTTGATTTCCATACTGAGGACCACAATTCTGACCGAATGACAGGGATAGAAGGCAGAGGGTTATCAAGATTATGGAACGCATCTTGCACAGCAATCGTCGAAGGTGATTTGTACAACAGTATGTGATGAGGCAAGAGCAAAGAGGGTAGAGTACCAATCTTCGAAGGTGTTTTGTATGTGATGCGGCAAGAGCGAAGAGGGTAGAGTACAGGAAGGTCTGAAAGCGGGGAAGCAACGAGATACAGGAAGTACTCACCCTCAGGGGTACAGGGGGAGGATTGAAGAAGAAGCCAATTGGTGTAGGAGAAGATGCGTAAGAGCACGAGTGTGATGTTATTGCGCCCATGGCGTGCCTGCTAGACTACATTTCTGGCTCAGAGACAGGAAGACTAATCTTAGAATGCTTGAGCACAGGGCCTTTTCCCATTTCCCTTTCCCTTTCAATTTTCAATTCTTAGCTAATTTCGAATTTGAACATGGGTGCTGTGTTATTCATATGCGCCCTTCCGAAAAAGAAACCCTGCTCTCAAAAGAAAGAAGAGGAAGCAGCTCGAAAATAAAGTAGGAAGCGTCGAGAAGGAAACAAATTACGAAGAAGTTCTGCTAACTCAAAAGGGTTTGAGACCCTTCGGCTTCGGCCCGGATGACTAAGTCGATCTTCTCCATCTCCCGTCAGGCAAAATTAATAAGGTAAAGAAGTTCCACTAAGTTATCCATCTCGCGTCAATAGAGGAGCCTCTCATGGTATGATTTTTGCTTGCTTGCATCGCTGTTGCTTGCTGTCTACCCACTGCCTGGTCAAGTCTAGCTAATTCTCTAAAACAGCGACATCGAGAGCGGAAGTCTTACATCAATGACTCATAACGATACCATCCAAGACGGAAGGAGGATATAAAGCCATCTCCGTCCCCACCTGATGCGACATGTCCCTGGACGCGCCGTTTCCACGAGTGCTATCCTTCCACTTAAGCCCATCTTCTCTCTCTACCAACCTCTGCTCTTCCTATCAAGAAGTCGGTCCACATCGCCGAGCCTGTCCGCCAGGAGGAAGAAGAAAACGCTCCTACGCTACCACCAAGTCTTGCCAAAACCAAGCACTGTTGACATCAGTAAGAGCAACCAATGCGAGCCGCTGCCCTCGACCAAACTCATGGACAGAGCTGCTCTTGGCCAGGAGACACACGAGCTCTTACCTGCTTTGCCCCAAGAAGCTCCAGGTTCCGTTGAAGAGTCCTCTGAACCCCTAGCTCCATCCAAATTAGCGCCAAACCTCGACGCTGAACACCATCATACCGACAAGCACCCTGCTATTACCGTTAAATCCGTTGCCAAGAGCTCCGCATCCTTTAAAGTCAAGAAAGAGGAAAAGGAGGAAAAGCGGAAGGCATCAAAGGTTCTGGAAAGTGGTTGGACAATCCTAAACCCGGCTTTCAGCCCTGAACATTATCGAAGAAGACATCTTGTTTCTGATAACAAAATGCACTCCTACATCCAATTCATCACAACGCCTACGTCCGACACCCCTGGCACGGCTCTGTTCCTACACTTCGACGATAAACGATACATCATCGGAAATGTGCATGAAGGTCTACAACGAGCCAGTCTGCAGATGGGAACGCGGGTGTCTAGTACTAAAGACATAATCCTCACTGGGAGGACGGAATGGCAGTCGAACGGAGGTTTGCTGGGAATGATTTTGACCCTTGCGGATGCCGCAAAGGCAAGCGCTCTATCGAAGGCGGAAACGGCCAGGTTGAAGCTCGAGATTTATAAGAGAAAGACAGAAGAGGAAGAACGTCGAAGAAGGAAGAAAAAACTTGATCCGAAGCCAGATACCAGTCCAACTTGGGCGACCCCTACGCCGCCAAGCACTCAACTGGTGGAGGAAGACCCAACATTGAGACTTCACGGCGGACCCAATCTTACTCACACGCTCGCTACCGCCAGATCATTCATCTTCAGAAAGGGCACGCCGATCAAAGTTTTTGAACACATTGGAGAGCAAGACGTAGTGAACGCTGCGGAGCGAGATTGGAAACCCACCTGGTCCGACCGCAGAATCCAAGTATGGGCCATGCCAATTATCCCGTCAAGTGTCTCCGAGATCAATGAGGGCCCAAAGCCAGATTCGCCTCGGAAACGGAGCCTGGGTGAATTCATGACAGGGGAACGTCCTATCGATAAAGAGGCCTTGGACCAGTGGTCTGTCCACCCAATACCGCCAGAGGGCCGGGAAGAACAGAATCAACGGACTCGGGAATTTGCTGTCTCACAGATGTTCTCCTCGGCATGGAGTAATGACAACCTGATTGAGATGCCACTACGAGAAGTTAAGATGCCGGCATCGCTGCTCGTTCGAGACCGAGTGACGAAAGAGTTGACGAGGTATGAAGGTCCAAGGCCTGATGGTACCGCCCCTGTGCCAGACATCAACGTGTTGGTCCGCCAAGCCTGGCCTGGGGCTCTGATTGATCAACTCCCTCCCACAAAACGGTCTTCGACCGCAATGTCATACATTATTCGAAACCATAAAATGAGGGGGAGATTCAGGCCTGCTGCTGCTGAAGAAAGGAATGTACCGCCAGGACCTTTATGGGCAGCCCTCACGTCAGGCTCTTCGGTGCAGTCAAGCGATGGTGTCACCGTCACACCCGACATGGTCTTAGAACCCAGCAAAGAGGGATCTGGCATTGCGGTGGTCGACCTGCCATCCAGAGAATACGTCCATGATCTTGTCCACAGAGCAGAGTGGAGGGCTGAGAAGGTTATGCGCGGTGTTGTGGCAGTGATCTGGATTCTCGGCCCAGGTGTCGTAGAAGACCAGACACTGCTCAAATTCATCGAGGGGCATTCAGGAATCCAGCATATTATCTCATCTCCTGAACAATGCCCAGACTACCTTTCCATGACTTCAGCAGCGTCCATGGCCATCCGGCACAACCAAATCGACCCTGCACGATATGCCGTACCAGTGCATAGCAATGCTGTCCCACCAACGTCGAGCAAACCGTCCGATGCTAAAGGGACGTCGGTCCAAGCGTTATCCAAGTTTTGTCAACCCGCTAGGAGGGGTCTTAAATTACAGCTTGAACCCAACTTTAGTATCTCAAAGGAAGCAGTGGTGCCTATCCTCAACACAGCACTTGTTGTGCGGGAGACCTCTCATTATGCCCTTAAGCTATCAAAGGTTGCCAGGCAAGAGATCAGTTCGCCTGCGGTTCAGGCGGAAACACTCAGTCAGAACCTCCCTAGCCCCGATGCTGAGATCACATGCTTGGGTACTGGCTCAGCATTGCCGTCTCAGCATCGCAATGTCTCTGCCACTCTCTTACGAGTGCCTGGCTGCGGATCGTATTTGATGGATTGTGGCGAGAACACGCTTGGACAGCTGAAACGGATGTACACAGCGCCTCAACTCGCGGAGCTCTTACGGGATCTTAAGCTTATATGGATCAGCCATCTACATGCTGACCATCATCTTGGGTTGACTTCTGTAATCAAGGCTTGGTACGAAGAAGTCCATGGCAAGGACGAGGTGAAGCGCCGAAGGCCAACGATAATGGAAATGCTAAATCCAGCCAAGCTTCTGGAGGACGGCAAGCGGCTTTTTGTTGTTGGACACGAAAATATGAAGAGATGGTTGGAAGAATACTCGTCTGTCGAAGATTTTGGATATGACCAACTTGTGCCGCTGGTCTCGTATCCCATCAACACCCGAGCTATCGATATTTGCAGCCTTGAGTGGAATGGCACCGATGTTGGATTCCAGGTCTCGAAAGACCCCAAGGTGTATGTCTAACCTGCCACCTGTTCTTCTTCAGGCTTCCTCGCTCCTGCAAGGAAATATTGGTTGACATGTGATGTACAGTAAATCCGCTATTCGCAGAGCTACTGGCCTCTCCAATCTGGTCAGTTGTGGCGTCTCCCACTGTTACGGCTCCCAGGCCGTCTCCCTCACCTTCCCCACTGGCTTCAAGTTCTCCTACAGCGGCGATTGCCGTCCCTCAAGAGCTTTTACGGAGATTGGAAAGCACTCTACTGTCCTTTTGCACGAATCAACCTTCGATGACGAGCTCAAAAGCGATGCGATAGCCAAGAAGCATAGTACCGCCAGCGAGGCCATCGGCGTTGGCGTTGCGATGGGAGCGCGGAGAGTGATTTTGACCCATTTCAGTCAGCGGTATCAGAATATTCCCAGTATCAGTAGTCTGGACACTCGTAGAGTCAAGTTGGAAGATGCAGAAGATGTCGAGGATCCGTCGGCGGGTATGGATCAGCCCGTTGAGGAGTCAAGCCACCCAGTCAGACCCCAAGCTACGATCGACAACATCTTAGACAGTTTAGATGAGAAGCCATCACAAGCTCATACCGAGCCTCAACCGCAAACACAGGACCCCCCACACCCCAGTGCACTAGGTCTGCGGTCAGCATCCGCCCCCAACGCCCTGGCCCAAATAACTGCCTCGAACATCAATCCCACTCAGCGCCAACAACTCAACGACATGAAAATCTGTGTCGCATTCGACTACATGCGTGTCAAAGTTGGGGATATAATACATCTCGAAAAATTTACACCTGCACTGCGGGAACTGTATAAAGGGATCGTAGAGGAAGGGAAGGATAGTAGAGCTGCGAAAGAATTTTTTTCAGACGACGAGAATGATGTGCTTAAGAAAGAGCAATCAGGTAAAGGGGGTAACACGGAGAAGAGGACAAAGGGGGAGAAGGCGGAGAAGGCGAGAAAGGGTCAGATGAAGGCTGCGACGAAGAAGCAGGAAAACAAGGCGAGATGGGAGAAGGAGAAGAGGGAGAAGGAAGAAAAGAGCAAGGGTGGGGAGGACGCGATGGAGGGAGTGGAGATGACGGAGCCGGCGGTGGAGAAGATGGGAGCTGTACAATAAGTCCTTCTCCATATGCACTGTATTGTATCCATCGGTACAGTGGTGAGATAATCACCCTGCACGTTTTTGCAGGCAAAAGATATCCCACCGTCCTTGATCCTTCAATTCGGCAGTAAGTGTCCCAGCAATCAATCAATCAATCAATCACCCATCCTCAGCTCTTACCAGCTGCTGGCGGCTTCATCCTACCCATTCACCCATCTCCATTCCATTTCACTTCATTACATTTCACGCACGTAGGCAGCTAAAATTGATAAAGTCGATCACGCACGTGTACAACACAATTCTACCGCTAAACCAGCATACCCAGACCAATCCATCCGTCCTTCCTCACCTCACCTCATCGCCACAGAACCCACACCTCGCTAGCCGTCGTACGCGTCCTCGGCCCGGATCCCAAAGTCCCCCTTCCAGCGCTCCGCCAAGGGTATGTTGCCCGGCCTGACGTACCGGCACGTGAGCCCGTAGCGGAGTTTGCCCTTGGGGGTGACGGCGTGCTGGGGGGGGGGGGGGGGTTAGCTTTTTTTTTCTCTCTTCGTTTCTGTGTCTTGATAGAGAGAGAGGGAGGGATAATTTTGGACGGGCGTGGATAGAGAGGTGGGGGGGGAGAGCAGTACCTCGTATCTGGCCTGCAGGGGATGTCCGTGCATGACGACCATGTCGCCGTGTTTCAGATCCAGGGATAGGATCACGGGGGCGCTTTTGCGCTTGTCGTTGGCGAGGGCGGCGAAGAGGGCGGTTTTGGCCCGGAGGTATGCTCGACGGGGTGAGGTGCGCTCTTGGGTCTCGTTGTCCTCGTTGTCCTCCTCTTCATCCATTTCCTCGTCCTGCTTCTGCACTGCCTTGTACAGCCTCGCCAGCTCGAGACGCTCCTTGTAGAGTTGCGTCCCGGGCTCGATGTCCGCGAGGGGATCGTATGTTTCTGGCGTTTGTCCCTTTGGGTAGAAATAGAACTTGGCTTTCATGCGGATCGTCATGATGGCTTCGCCGCCAATGGAGATGGAGGCGATGGTCGGTCCGAGATCTTTTTCGCCGTCGTCGTGGTACTGGTTGTGGCGGTTGTTGTTAGTAATGGTTGGCTGAATAGGTAGGTGGGGAGGGGGAAGTGTGATGGGACTCACGCCGATGGACTGGTTCTCAAAGTAGCCGAGACAGAGCAGTTCGTTGAACTGTTGGTATGTGCCGTCGTTCACGACCTTTTTTCCGGCCCAGGTCAAGCGGTTGACGATGTTCATGATCGTTAGGGGTGCTTCGCTGAAGGGTTTGGAGTCTACGGATACGACGTATTTGTATGGCATACCCTGTGTTTGGTCAGTGCAGTCGTGGCTTGGGTTATGCATAGCGCTTACGTAGTTGATTGCGAAGTGTCTTACGAGTGAAAGACCTTCCGCTGCTTTGATGTCAGTGGTTCGTCAATAGGCATAGACGTTTGTTATGCATACCGGACGCATTCCCCATAGAAAATCTTTCCATGCCCAGCTTTGATCCCTGCAGTGCTTCAAGAATCTCATTTGCGCCCCCAGGCTGCTGATTGATGACAGCATTTGCGTGGAAATGAGACACAACGTTCCCGCCTGGGATGTCGTAGGTTGAATGACGCCACATGCCCGGCCACTCCGTCTCACGCTTGGTGACGGGAGCATAACATTTGTCAAAGGATATGGCCTGGCCTTGAAATTCGAATCCGTGCTTTTCGACCAAAGCTCTGGCAGGGAAGACCGTATGCGTGACTGGGAGCTCGAAGTCGCAAGCTGCATTCAAACACTTCCACTCGTCCCACTTTGTGCGCGAGTTGCATCTCCCGCACTTTGGACACACCATGCCTTTCCAGCACGAGAGGGATGTCTCTTCCTCCAGGCTTGGTACGTTGGAGTCGGTAAGGGGCGGTGTTGGCTTCAGAGGGAATGGCGGGATGATATGCTGGGGCCATTCGGTGCGCTCGTTCATCCAGACTGGGTTCCATGTCAAGTCGGTGCAGGTGTCTCCGTCGAGTTGGAAGTGTTCCTTGCAGCCGTCGTTCAAGCACATCCATCCGGCAGCGTAGACCTGTGACCAGGTGCGGTTGCAAGAGGAACAGGTTTCGCAGGGTGCTTTTGTGGTGTAGTCGCGGTCTGCTGGGGGTAATGGTGAGTCTTGCGCAGCCAACCAGCTCGGCCTCTGCAGATTGATGTCCTGGAAACGTATCCTGCTGACATTCATGCCTTCGACCTTCTCAGACCAAATGTAGTGTACCATGTGAGAGCCCTTGACGTTGTAGCGATGTGGCATCTTGGAAGGGCAGTGCGGATTTTTGGAACCTGCATCGTTGTCAGCTTTTCTTCCGCTTGCGCTACACCGGGGTGAACTGACCGACGATGAGATTGACCGGCACATGTTCTCTCATGTTGTTCATGAAAGCCACAACGGTTGGGTCAGACAGAGTCTGATCCTTCTCTCGCTCCATCTTGCCCGTTTTTTCATTGGGTGTGTAACCACCGCCACTGCCGTTGAAGTCAGCATCGAAATCATCAGCGATGGAGACTTGTTCTTACAATCTGGAGATGACAACCTCGGCACTCATGTACCCTCGCACATCGTTGTCGTTGTCGAGTAGGTAGCCGTAGCCAAACCCATTGAAGTGGTAGGCACCAGACTTATACGCCTGGAAGTATGAAAGCGACTCACACAGGCTCTGGCGGTCCTTGAAGCAAGGTTAGCTCTAGACTCACGACGTTTCGAGGAGAACGACTTACATCCGCCCACACCTCAGGCTGTCCCCGCGGTTCAGGAAACGACTCTTGGACGTTCGCTGCTGCTGCTCTGTGCTCAGCTCTCTCTTTGGCGGTTTGTCTCCGCTGTCTCTTCGGTAGGTTGTCGGCGCTTTGCCTGGCTGGTTCAGATCCGTCGACGTCTGAATCATTGCTCAAGGAAGACTTCCGCTTCTTCGAGTTGCCGTTACTTGATCCAGGAGGACTGTCAAGCTTCTCTAAGGGTGGAGTCAAGAGAGCGCGCAGCTTATCCTTGTTCGAAGCGTCGACGAAGTTGCAGATGAGTGTTCGACACTTCTGCTGAGTAGTCACAGGCCTGTCCTTCATAGAGGTCTCATTATGATCATCTCTAAGGTCTTGATCACCCTCGCTGCTGGCGTTTGTCTCTTGTCCGTACCGCACAGTCTGTTTTCGAAGGCGAGTCCCTTGTCGCTGTGTTGAAGCGGATTCTACTTGAAGAATCTGACTGTCCTCACTTGCCTCGATCGCTGAGTCCGCCGGAGCTCCAGCTGCTTTGGCTGCATTTGTCAACATGTTGTCTTCTAAATAGGAACAATGTTAGAAATTTTAGGAGAAAAAAAGGAAAGGAAAAAAAGGAAAGGGAAAAAAAAAAAAGAGAGGAAAAAAGAAAAAAAAAAAAAAAAAAAAAAAAAAAAAAAAAAAAAAAAAAAAAAAAAAAAAAAAAAAAAAAAAAAAAAAAAAAAAAAAAAAAAAAAAAAAAAAAAAAGCAGCAGCAGCAGCAGCAGCAGCAGCAGCAGCAGCAGCAGCAGCAGCAGCGTGGGAGGGTAATGGAGATGGAGACCTCGGGAGGGAGCGAATGTTGATGTGCTTCTCAAAGTCGATGGTCGATGGTCGGAATTGAAGCTCGACTTGGGAAGATGTAGAGAAGAAGGAGGTACTGGGAGGAAGAGGGACTTTATAGCAGAGGACGCCGGTGGTGAGTGAAGGAGGAGGGAAAATGAATCTTGTGCATTGGCGTGCTTCACCCCGGACTGATTGGAATTGCAGTGCAGTTGAACGCCGAAGTGACGCCGGACACTGCGGTGACGTCAGATGGGGAGTGATGCCGGATACTGCAACGAAGTTAGTTGGTAAGTGAAGCCAGAGGCTGCAACGAATGCTGTCGGAGAATGAAGCCAAGGGGTGCAGCGACTTCAAACTGGGATTGAAGCCGGACACTGCAATGAAGTCAGATGGCGAATGAAGAAAGCAGTGCGGTGACTTCAGGCCGTGGGTGAAGTAATGCACTGCAGTAACTTCAGACGTGCGGTAAAGTGAAGTACTACCGTGACCTCGAATGGGCAGTGACTCACATCTTAAGATGACGTCAAACGGGCAGTGACGCAAAGCACAAAATGAAGCCGAACGCAGCCGTGAAGGAGAGCACGACTAAATCACATACCTGCTATGCCGTGGGCCCATGCCTTTCCTTGCACATATAGATATCTTTATTTTTTTATATAGTGTAGAATAACAGTAAAAGATAGAGGTCGTGTCTCTTTGATCATGCTATGTTAGGTTTGTTCTCCTAGGCTAAATACCTAGAAATGACACTTGATCTAGGGCACTAGTCATTCACCAACAGCATCTTCATCAAAAAAACTAGTGCTTCTGGGTTAAGTGACATCACCATCTAGCAAACTCAGTCCGATGACTTGTTTCTTCACTATCCTCTAATCTTCGCGCCCCAGCCTAGAGTAGTGAATGTTTCGAAGATGGTATGACCTCTGGCAGCAGGGTCACTGCTAGAAAAGATGGCGGCTGTAGCGGTACACGTCCATGGAAGCTGGTTTGGTCACCTACAGCAGGGCTCGCCGCCTGAACAATCTGCATGGCAACCAAATGGCTGGGAATCTCTTGGAGCATGACAATATCAGCATGACAGTCAAGGTTATGTATCCAGGAATCGCTCTGCTGGGATCGATGCTTCCCATATTTTGCCAGCCTCTTTGGATCTGTATCCACGACCGTGTGCAAGTGAGACAAGATACTAACCATGACTGCCATTTTGTATTGTGACAGCTTTTCCGGTAGGCAATCTTGAGTAGACAATGAGTTCCGTACGATGGTAACCAAAAAGATTCGGCAGTACCACTGACGAAGAAAACCATCGTAGATTGGAAACGAGACGTGTGCAGTGCGTTTGAAAAGTCGTCTAATAATCGTTTCGAAACGATTACTCTTAATAAAAATTTAAGCGACTCGAAATTATCGTAGCTATAATTTCGATAATTTCGAATAATAATTTCGAACGATAATTAAGAACGATAATTTCGAACGATAATTACGAACGATAATTTTAAACGATAATTTCGAACGATAATTTCGAACGATAATTTCGAACGATAATTTCGAACGATAATTTCGAACGATAATTTCGAACGATAATTTCGAGTTAAAAAAGAATTTAAATTCTCTAGAAGTAGATATTAATAACTATTCTATATATATTAAATATATATTAAATAATAATTCTTTTCTTTATTAATATACTTACTTATTTTTTTTTATATTTTTTTTTTTTTTATTTATTATTTTTTTATATCTTAATATATATAAAGAAACTATAAAATTAACTTAACTTTTTTATTTATTTTTTATATTTTAACGCTTTTTTTCTTTATTATATAAAATACTCTAATCTATTATATAAAATATTATATTTTTAATAATATTTATAATATATAAATATTATAAATTTATTTTTTTTAAATAAATTTAATAACTTAGTTATTTAATATATTTTTATTATATATAAAAGATTTATAATAAATTTATAAATAATTCGAAATCTTCGCGATAATTCTATTATTATAAACTCGAAATATTCGAGACTTTAAAAGATAATTCGAAACTTTCGCGATAGTTCTATAATTAACTTAAAATAATCTTAAAAATACTTTAAAATTTTCGAGATCTTTATAAAGTACTAAATCTTACGCGAAAATTCGAAACTTTCGAGGCGAACTTTATCTTTTAATTCGAAATTCTAGAGTTATTTCTTCTACTTCGAAATTATTATAGTAATAATAATAATAATTTTAAATCTTTCTATTATACTTATAAATGATTTTATTATATTTATAGATATTTATATTAGCTATCTATATAACTAAGAGTCTTTATTTTCTTCGCTATTACTATTACTATCTTAAACTAATTATATTTCTTAATATCGTCGAAATCGTTTTACTTTACTATAAAGGTCTTTTATTTATACTCTATTACTTTCTTTTTAATATTAAAATAAAGCGATAAACTTTTTCGAATTTAACTTTATTAAAGCTTATAAGACTATTTAAATATTATCTATCTTTTAAATATATCGAGTCTATTTAAATAAGACACTTTAAATCTTTAATATCTCTTTTCTATATTTCGTAAATTTTATTAATATAAAAGTCTATATAGTCTTATCGCTTTCGAACTTTTAATAATAAGTAAATATTATCTAAATAAATAAATTATTTAAATAATCTTTAAAAAGTTTAAGAATATAATATCTTTATAGTACTATATAATTTCTTTATATACTTTTAAGACTTAGATTATAATAAATAAACTCGATTAAAATATTTATAAAAAATTTAAATATCTCGAATTTAAATAACTAGTAAGAAATTATAACTATTTTATTCTCGAATTAATCGAGATATATCTCTAGATAATTAACTTAAAGATATAATATTCGAGATTTTATTTTTAAAGAACTCGAGTATAATATAAGATATCTTAAGAGTATAAGTCTTAATTATACTAATTAAAAGTTCGTTTTATTCGAAATATAATCTAGTCTTCGAAGAATTCGAGTTTTATAAATATTAAATATCTAGAATTCTTATATTATTTTATCTCGATTTAGATATATAATATAGTAAATTTCGATATTTAATTATAATTTAAGTATTAATCGAAGATTAATATCTTTCTTTACTTTAATTTAATTAATCTTAACTAAGATTAAGTATAGAATAATTTTCTTAAAATTTATTTTCGAATTTTTTAAGATAATATTACGATCTTTATAATATAAGAGCTAAAGAATTATTTTAAAAGGTCGTAATATCTAATAATTAAGATGCTAGAGCTTTACTATATAAATTTTTATATAAATAAAATAATCTTCTAAATTTTCGAATCTCGAAATTTATAAGATTTATTAATCTATAACTTCTTAATATATTCTTCGCCTAGCGTTAATATAGACTAATCGAGTTTTATAAAGAGTAATAATTTATTAAAAAATACGAAAATCTCGAGCTTTTATTTTAAGATTAATATTTTAATTAGAGATCGTAATTTATTTATAATTTTATAGATTTTTCTTTTAAATTTTCGAAGATTTCGATCCTCGTAATATTTCGCTAATACTTCGAAATTTATAAAATATTTATTAAGATCTTATTTAAGAATTTTAAAAATATTTTTTTTTATATAGCGGGAAGTAAATTAAGCGAAATACTAAGAGGTATCCTACTTATAAAAAATAACTTACTCTATAATTCTATTACTTTAATTAATTCGAAGATAATAAATAAATCGTTTATTAATATTAGAGAGATTAATTTTTTAAGATTAAGATTAATTCGAAATCGATAATTAAATTAAAGCCCTTAAAAATAAAGAATACGTCGTGATTTTAGAATTAGAACGGCTCGAAGATATTAAAAGTTTATATACTAATAAAATAGAAGATTAGAAATATTATAATTCTTTTTATTAAATTAAGTAGACTACTTAAGCTTCGATAAATAAGAAGACTTTAGAAATATATTATAAATAGTATTAATTATTTCGAATATTTATTTATATTAAGTTTAAAAACTTCGAAGATAAACTTAATATTTCTAAAGAGTACTTATCGAAATTAATTACTTTATAAATTTATATATTATATAATTATAATTAGATAGATTAAGAATCTCGAATAACGAAGAAAACGATATCGAATATATATAGTTATACTCTAAAAATGCGAGCTACTATTTTCTAATATTATAGTAATATATAAGATAGAGAGAGTTAATAATATTCGAAAGATTCGAATAGAAAATAGTAAGGAAATCCTTTACTTTCTATATTTATTTTAAGATATATAAAAGCTATTTATTATAAAAAGATTTATATTTTCTAATTATCTTATAATCTCGAAGAATATAAATATTAATTTATAGAGAGTAGATATAAGTAGAAGAGATATATATTAGTATAAGAGTAATAAGTATCGAAAAACTCGAAAAGTTATTTCGATTTAATAATATAATAGAACTTCGGCTAAGATAGCAATCTTTACTAATCTCGAAAACTTCGAATCTTTAAGTTTAGAAAAATACCCGAGAACGTATTATAATAATTTTAATCTATATAATTGCTTTTTAGTATTTACTTAGAGTTAATAAGATTCTCGCCTTAGAATATTATTAGATTAAGCTTCTTAATTCTCGAATTAATTAGATATTAATTATATTATAGTATAGAAAGATATATTAATTTAGAGATAAGTTTAAAGATCTCGAGTTTTAAGATTAATCTAT